CCGGGGTGTCATGGCTTGGCGTGTCTTTGCCGGCGCAACGAGTCTTTTAGCATGCACCATGCACCACCGAACATGTGACGCTTGGCGACACGATGATCCGTCCAGTCGAAAGCCGTGGAGCGGCCTGTTGAGGCATATCATCGAGCTGAAGCCCGAGAAGACAGACAGAGGGCCCCCAAAACTGTTGTCAAAAACGACAGGATGTGCATTTGCCAGATGTATATATCCCCAGCGTCTACACTGAGCATGAGCGTACCACGTGGCATCAGGGAAGACCTTGGATCGGGATTATCAAACGACACTGCAAGCCGTCGATCCAGGAATCGAAGGAACTTCTGCGGTAGCTAACTCGCACGATCAGGCGATCTATTGACAGATTGTGTTGCTGGAGAAGGGAACGTAAAGTTTACCGTGGAAAACCCCTGCCTGAAGCTTCATCCAGCTTACCAATCAAATCCCCATCTATTCAATACATCAGCCGATCTCGCTCTGTGTCACCATCACCTTTACATTCACTTGTCGAACAAGACCAAGAATGTCGGGCATCAAACCAACCCAAGAGGGAATTGTCTACAAGACCGTTGGGGAACTCGCTATCCCACTCGATCTCTGGCTGCCAGACAATGCCAAGAATCTCCCGGTCCTGCTCTGGTTCCACGGTGGAGGACTACTCCAAGGCCGCCGAGATACGCTCGCTCCATGGATGCGAAAAGCTTCGAAGAATGGCGATCTAGCTGTCATATCCGCGGACTATCGCTTGGCTCCTCAAGCAAGCGTGCAAGAAATCCTTGAAGACGTGCAAGGTTGCGTCAAGTTTATCAGGACTCAGTTGAGCTCTCAGGTCGGGCAAGGAATCCTCGATACTTCTCGTCTGGCAGTATCTGGCAGTTCAGCTGGCGGGTATCTTGCTCTTCTGGCTGGAATCTTTGTCGAGCCCAAGCCCAATGTAGTCCTTCCTATCTATCCCATCACGGATCCACTCGGTTGGTTCTTTATCACTCCACAGCCGCCGGCAATGGGACGGCCGCTCGTTGCCCGTGAGGAGCTTGCTGAGTTTTTGGATCCCAAGGCAGAGCAGGTGGCATTTAATGCGCCCGACAGCGGCCGTCAAAATATGTACATCAGAATGCAACACGATGCCAATCTAGCCAAGCTATGGCATGTCCCGGACGGCGAGGCGGCAAACAAGTTCCGGCTTTCAAGGCAGATATACGGGCTACGATGTAGCCCAGCTTACTTTTTACATGGCGATGCAGACACGGCTGTGGGCGTTGAGCAGGCTGACGAGGTTGTTGGAGCCATGTTAGGATGCGGTATTGAGGTCGAATATGAGCGCCCTCATGGTAAGGACCATTTCTTGGATGTGGCACCAGACTATGAGAACGAACGCTTCTGGGCGTTCATGCGAAAGCACTTGTAGGAGGCGTTAGCCTGCTACACTAAGCATGAGCAAAGACCGCACTGCAGATTGCGACCGCTTGCTCTGAATCAAAAATGCCGGGACACCAACATGCCCGGACACCACCAACAGCCTGAAAGAGAACATCTGTCTGCGTTGAATGCTTCTCATCTCCTGTTTTGTTCAGCCTCCATCTCCTTCCTCAATTGGATTGCAGCTTGCCCTCGGAGCACCACATCTTCCATGACGGTACCTCGAAGCCTCTCACAGGCTTCATCCACAGACAACAAGTAAGCTCTGTACAGTCTCTCCTCGTCGTCTACTCCAGTACCCTCATGCCGCACTGGCTCATAAATCCCTCGATTTCCATTCTTCATCGTTACGTCCTCTTCTATCCTCGCTTGAAGACTACTAGTGCCTGAGAATGGCGGCGGAGATCGATAGCCACTCCTCGAAGTCCTTCCCTCTGCATAGATTCGCTCGATATCCGGAGGTATCGTCTCGGCAATATACCAAAAAAGCATATACTGCGTTCGTTCGGTCAGCTGTAACAGCTGCGTCCACACTGGCTCGGTGACGAAAGGCTCTGGTCCAGAACCAGGATCGGGCTGTCGATGCCGTAATGGTAGAGGTAATAATCGATTCCGGTATCCAGATTCTTCGTACCCCTCCCTCTCCGCTGCTCTCGCAGTATCTTCATTCGCATTTCTGCGTCCTTTGGGAAGAAACCACGTCTTGTCTCGCGTATGGTAGCAGAGCACCACCCTCTCCGTCGCAAGGTGGAAAATCGCAACCCCCGCAGCAATCGTCAGATGCTCGCACGGAAAGCTCGCCCTCACCGGCAGCGAAGCGTATCGTGAAGGCATAGCAGTGATCGCTGCCGATGCCGAAGTAGACCTCTCCTCTGAGGGAAAGCGATCTCGAGGGCCTGGACTTACGTTTTTTATGTGCATCCACCCCTCTTTGCATGGTGCAAGTCTGCCCGCAATAGCCGCATTGAATACATCGATGTTGCAGATGGAAAAAAGGGCAAACTTGGGAAGAACTTGCTTGCACTTGGCCTAGGTGCTGTGCATTCTTAGATCGACTTGTGAGGCGTGGGAAGGGTGGTCGATGGGTCTAGATCGCAGTCTCTATCCGGCGTGGCCAGCTATTCCATGTACCTGTCATACGCCGGACATCAATAATGCCGAAGCACAGGGGTGATCAAATTAAGATAGATTGACGCTAGTTGCTTGGCATACCAAACCTCCTTACCAACACACTTTTGAAGTCTCTACACCAGCACCACTATGGCCCTAAGGCTTAGAAATCATTTACAAAGGTTAAAGAGGCTAGGGAAATTTAAGACACTATAAAGGACGCGGTTTTTTAACTATTAGGATGCATCTAGAGACCAATACATACTCAAATACTTCTACCAGCTATATAACTACGAAGAATAGTGCCCTACCTACCTAATAGCTAGTAAATAGCTCTACTAACGTATAGAACTTAGAGTAGAAGCTAAGCTATCCCCTACCCGAAGACTACTACGAAAGGAAGCCCCTAGACCTAAAAAGAAGGATATATCCTACTAGATTAAGATAATAGCTAAAGGCCCCTAAGATTTAAGGAAACAGGACTATACCTTCTTCTAAAAGTATATAGAAGCCTTATATTTAACGTTAAGAAGAAGGATAAGGGAAAGGAAGCTATAGATACTATATAGTAAGAGGTAGAGTACTACATAGATCTCTAATAATAACAAGAGGCTTAGGATTTAATATAGGTACTAATATAGGTTAGAGACAGTAGATAGCCTCTAGTAATAGATCTATTAGATAGACGAAGCTTATATTAACCGAGCTATGTCTCTTTATTAACGAATCTTTCGTAAGAAGGGTAATTATAAAGGGATAGTATACGAGCAACCTAAGCCTAACTATTTAGTAGCCTATATTACTACCTCTGTCTCTTAGTAGTACAAATTAGAGCTTGTCTTCTATAACGATAAATAGTAGAACTATAGGCATATTATAGAAATCTAGAAGGGCTAAAAACTACGAAGAAATAGAAGGTAGAAGATAGAAGAGCAGTATTAAGTAGAGTTAAAGGAATAGGCTAATTTAGAGCCCCTACATACCTAGAAGAAGGGCAATTTAATAAGCTAGCTCTACTATATAGAGTATATCCTTCTAAAGTATGTTAAATAGATCAAATAGATAAAGAATTAAGGCTACCCTACTATTTTAATAGAAGATAGTAATCTATTATATAGTTATAGATTAAAGGACAATCTACCTAAAAAGACAAGGTAAGAACAGCTAATCTAGCTTTACTAGTACCTAGTACAAAGCCCTAACCTTAACCTAATTAAAGGTATATAGCTACTACTTAAAGAGAGCCTCAAAAAGATATATAGGGAGTTACTATATTAGATAGACTATTAAGCTCTTAAAGCAGCCTATATCTGTGCCTAGAATAAGATTTTAATAGATCAAATTAGACACAGAATATAGAGCATGTAATAGAGGTACTACCAACTCACTTTGAATAGTGGACAGCGTGTAAAGGATAATATTTGGTAGAGATAGTATGTAGACACCAATGCCAAGCAACTAGCGTCAATCTATCTTAATTTGATCACCCCTGTGGAAGTGTGGGTAACGGAATGACTGTCTTTGGAACTCGTTGAGGCTCGCCAGCAGCTATTTCGCATCGTGGTGATCTGTTCTCGTATTCGATCTCGGGCCTGTTCGATTGGAATAGAGATCGAAAATCGAAGGATCTCGTCAGAATCTAATCGGGAACCGAAGTGAAGGTAGGAGGAGCTATCTCGGCCGGGATGCAAGACGGTTCGGCGGCGGCTAATGTTCTGCACGTTGGGAGAGCTTGTACAAGGTACTGTGTACTACTGCAGATGATATGGCACGACAAACTTGACCGCTTCCCCCGTGTTACCCTCGGTGTGAAACCCGCATTGCATGTATACTGTCTTTGATGATGCGGCATCTCATCTAGACTTCTCCCCTGCATGGGGGAGCGTTTCCCAGCGGCCGAGGCGCAAACAATGGCGCAGTTGATACTCTACACAGAAAGGGTTCTTCGCTATCAGATCCGCAATACTCCCACCGAAGAGAGAGCTATCTGGGCTATCCCCCACTAATCCTTGAACTTTCTATTCTTGTTCTCGCCGAACAGTGTCAATCGCACGGCCGGAAGACCGTCTGCCTCGAGCAGATGGAGTCGCTCTTCGAAGGTGTTGTTGATGTCGATTTTGCCGGTGCTGTTCAGGATGATGACGCCGCCGGCCCTGTTCAAGATTGTTAACAAAATGCCCAAGCCTTTGGACTTTGCTTGCGGTTTGACTTACGACCCCTCGGCGACTCGCTCCTTCTCATCCACATGGATCTCAATGTCCCTCTTCATGCCCTTCTTGTATTCCTCCTTGGCACCCTCAGCAGCTTTCTTGACCACGTCGTCATCCTTCTTTCGACACCGCAGGGTCACCTTCTTCTCGTTGACAAGCGCATAGAGTCCCTCCAAAATCAAATTCTTCAGGACCTTTTCGTACTTGCTCTTGTCTTTCGACGCAGTGTCTCCAAGCTTCTTGTTCGCGTCTTCAAACAATTGATCCAGGAGCTCTTGTCTCGCGCTAAGAATCCGCAGTCTGGTCTTGTTGGCCAGAGTAGACTTTGTGATTTGTTGGCTCATGCCAGCCTGCGTAAACTTCTTCTTATATTGCTCATCGATGCGCGCTGTTTCCGACCGGACAAGCTTGGACTTCTCAATGCTGAACTCCTCGTCCGCCTTGAGATGGATTTCACGGGCCTTCTCCAGTGCTTCCTGCCGAATGAAGGCAGTCATCTTCCGGAGCTCCGTGTTGACCTGATCGTCCGACATGGCATGGATTTGCGACATGATTGCGGTATTGGAGAGCTGCTTCCGGAGCAGCTGTGTGGTCGTTGCTGATAGGGTGGTGGACTTGCTCTGACCGGGCAGCGGAGGAGTCTGACGAGGCTCAAATTTTACTGAAAGCTCGAGTGAGTCGGTGTAGAGCTTCAAGTGGACGACGGATGCAGCCAAATGTTTCCAAAAGGGCGAAGAAAGTTGTAGATGCCGCGGAAACACAGCTCGACGCAGCTGTCCTGGGAGCGATGAGCAGCAGCCATCATTGCCAAGCTATGCCCATACCACCCACTAGTCTCTTTTCGGACGGCCGTGCAGGGACGGGACGGGTCACCCGCGCAACGGCCTCGAACCGATTCCATGTGCATCATACCTTAACCTCGCAAGCACCAGACATCAGCTGTGAGCGCCGCAAGTCACGTCCGGAGATCAGCCTCCCGTCATACCGCCATCACTCTGCACATGATCACGACTTGTGCTTGACCATCGAAGAAAGGGGACAACGAGGCGTATTTGCGACGGGAGTCTCACCAGTTTGCTGGCAGGCATGGCGAGCCGATAATAACATCTACCCAACGCATCGATTGCACGAATCTCCATCTCAACCTTCGAACGGAAACCCGAGCCATGAGCGACTTGACCCTCGATCCGGAAGCTGCCATAGCAGTGGGCGTTATTGTTGGCTTGCTGTCAACATGCGTTCAATCGGTGGGCCTGACATTGCAGCGCAAGTCGCACATGTTGGAGGACGAGAAAGAGGACCATGTCTCGCGACGGCCCCCATACAAGCGACGGAGGTGGCAGATTGGCATGTTCTTGTTCTTGGTCGCGAACATCATCGGATCGACAATCCAGATTGTAGCCCTTCCGTTACCACTCTTGAGTACACTTCAAGCATCCGGACTGGTATTCAACAGCATCCTGGCAAGCCTGTTACTGAAAGAGCCATGGACATGGCGGACAGCGTACGGCACGATTTTTGTTGCTGCGGGTGCTGTTCTGGTTAGCTACTACTCTGCCATGCCCGAGCCCAGTCATTCCCTTCGAGAGCTGTTGATATTACTGGGTGAGCCGAGCTTCTTGGTTTGGTTCATCCTGTCTTTATTCTTTGCTATCGCTGTGATTGTAGTCACATTCACACTTCGCAAATGCATTTCGGCGCAAAGAAGGCAAAGTCCTCGGGTCTTACTCGTCAACGGGATGATATTTGGCTTGGTCTCTGGCATTCTCTCGGCCCATGCTTTACTCCTAGCAAAGAGCGCTGTTGAGCTTATTGTTCGCAGTCTTTCGAGCCGCAACAACCAATTCAAGACCTGGGAGCCATGGGTCCTGATCCTGGCGTTTCTGGCGCTCTCTCTGTCGCAGCTTTACTACTTACACCTAGGCCTGAAGCTCATTTCGACGAGCATCCTCTATCCGTTTGTATTCTGCATCTACAATATCGTGGCCATCCTCGACGGGCTCATTTATTTCCAGCAGATGCACAAGCTGCCACCTCTGCATGCTGGTCTCATCGCGGTGGGAACAGTCCTACTTTTAGCCGGTGTCTTGGCGCTCAGCTGGAGACTGCAAGACGACGAGGACGACGATAATCACGCAGCAAAGACTGAAATTCCACAAACGGTGTTAGCCCCGGGAATGGGCTTCGTTGGGGATCCAGATACTGGCTCGGAGGACTCAGATTCAATACACACTGATGATGACGTGGAGATTGAAAGAGAGATTGATGAACATACCAATCTCATTCGCAAGTCACTTCGGGGAAGCCATAGCACAACCAATAGGATCCCGAATTACGTTCCCGGGCAAATGCATGTCCACACGAGCAAGCGACGCCATCGGGCAGCAACACTCAGAGAAGTTAAGGCCATATGGGAGGCGCTTGGCGATGACGACCAGTATGGTACATTCGACCGGCCAGAGTCTTCGAGGTCCAATCCGGTCCGACCTGCTACTTCTTTGCAGCATCGCAGGAGACGCCGTTCAAGCGCAGGCAAGACGCTCGAACGGGAGCCCGAAGATATGGGCGTTAGCCTCGAGCAAGGAATTTCACGTGCAAGCACGATGCCCGCGCAGCCATACAGATCAAGGCAAAGACGGAAGAGCTCGTATCACGGCAGCGCGCTGTTCTCGGATCTGCTCAGGAGCCACTGGTGGCAATTCAAGCGAAGGGACGATGACCAGGAGGACGGGCCTCCTCAATCACCGGGCCAGCAAAGGCATGATGCATGATAGACGCTAGATGGGCAAAGAGTCGTGATTCTTATGTGAAAGTTCGAAATTGTTTTTGTCACGAGATACCCCTAGTATGAGTTACATTTCGGTGTCAATGTGCACCTCTGCCCTTAAATGTTGTCGTTGTGGGCTTCCTATTGCCAAAACTCCCGTAGTGTGATTCAATGTTCCAATTCCATTATGATCCTGAGTATCCGAGCAAAGACGAAGGAAACTCGGAAGGGATAAATGTTAGCGCCTTCGAGATCACGTGGCTGTCAATCAAAGTTTGGTACTGCGACGGAACGGGCCTAAATTTCGCCAAGCAAGCCCACTGCAAAAATACCCGCCGCTCCTGCCAGCGACTTCTCTCCAGAACACCGCTTGTTCGCATCCCAACGACAACGACAATTTGAGCATCTTGACGGCATCGAGTCAAGATGAAGCTCAACATCTCCTACCCGGCCAATGGCACACAGAAGCTCATCGAAATCGAAGATGAGCGCAAGCTCCGCGTCTTCATGGACAGGAGAATGGGCAACGAGGTCCCTGGCGACAGCGTTGGCGACGAGTTCAAGGGCTACATCTTCAAAATCACCGGCGGCAACGACAAGCAGGGCTTCCCGATGAAGCAGGGTGTCATGCACCCAACTCGTGTTCGACTCCTCCTCGCCGATGGCCACAGCTGCTACCGCCCACGCCGCACTGGTGAGCGCAAGAGAAAGTCTGTTCGCGGATGCATTGTCGCCATGGACTTGTCTGTCCTTGCCCTCTCCATCGTGAAGCAGGGTGAGGCCGACATTCCAGGTGTCACGGATACTGTCCACCCCAAGCGTTTGGGTCCCAAGCGCGCGACCAAGATCCGCCGCTTCTTCGGTCTCAGCAAGGAAGACGATGTGAGTTCTCATGTTCCCTATGAGGCTCTACTCCTCTTCGCCAGCCCAGCCATAAGTGCGGGTTGAGTCTGAGACCAAACACATGCTCACGTTGTGTCAATAGGTCCGCAAGTTCGTCATCCGCCGTGAGGTTCAGCCCAAGAAGGAGGGCGCCAAGCCATACACCAAGGCTCCTCGCATCCAGCGCCTCGTCACTCCTCAGCGCCTCCAGCACAAGCGCCACCGCATCGCTCTCAAGCGCCGCCAGGCCGAGAAGGTCAAGGACGCTGCCGTAAGTCATTCCGCAAAAGATCTTCCTATGAGAGGCCACCGACTAACAATCGCTCTAGAACGAGTACGCTCAGATTCTGTCGAAGCGTGTTACAGAGGAGAAGGCCAAGCAGGCCGAGATTAGGAAGCGCCGTGCTTCCAGCATGCGCAAGGCTTAAATGCGCATCTGGCGCTATGGGTTGTTGGGTCACGCATGGTCTATGAATTAGGACGGAAAATCATCGTCACGGTCGCGCGACTCTGCAGCAGGCACCGCATACAGCGATTAAAGAGGGCGGCGTCCGGATTCATGTCAAGTGAGCTTCTAAATGGAAAGGCTCAAAAGCGGCCTCAGATTTCTCCATGTTGCGCTTCGGCACATCTACCCAGGTTTTCTCTTGTAAATTTCTCAGTAGCCCCGTTCACCTCCGCATCCGAGTCGTTTCTCTGAAGAAACCAATTCGAGTTATCTCATTTACATCCGCGCTTATCTCTCGCCTCCTTGGTATTCTTGGCGGGAGCGGGCCGTGAAGCTTCGATACCTGGGATCGTCACGAGATTCTTTCCTCGTGAGTCGCGAAATACTCCCAACATGCTACACCTAACATTTTCACGCTCGCAGGCCTCACTTTCGCAAATCCAGCGATATGGCTACCAACAGCATCAAGCTGTTGACCGGTAACAGCCATGGGCAGCTGGCCAAACTCGTCGCCGACAGGTGCGCAAAATCTCCATCTCGGATTGTTACATGGGAACCGCCAGGGAAGGCTCACGGCTCCGTAGGCTAGGCATAGAGTTGGCCAAGATCATGGTCCTTCAATACTCGAACAACGAATCCAGCATATCGATTGGCGAGTCGGTCAGAGACGAAGATGGTGCGGTTCCACACACACAAGACGTTGCTGCTCTCTACGAAAGAAGTTAGAAATCTAATGAGTACTTTCCAGTCTTCATCCTGCAATCCACCGAGCCGGGCAACGTCAACGACCACATCATGGAACTGCTGATCCTGATCAATGCCTGCCGAACTGCCTCGGCGCGCCGCATCACCGCCGTCCTTCCCAACTTCCCCTACGCCCGCCAGGACAAGAAGGATAAGAGTAGGGCTCCTATAACGGCCAAACTGATGGCCAACATGTTGCAGACGGCGGGCTGTAACCACATCATCACCATGGACCTGCACGCCAGCCAGATCCAGGGCTTCTTCAACGTGCCCGTCGACAATCTCTACGCCGAGCCTTCCACGCTCCGGTGGATCCGGGAGAATCTCACGGTGCAAGACTGCGTGATCGTATCGCCCGATGCGGGCGGCGCGAAGAGAGCTACGAGCATTGCGGATGGACTCGATCTGGGCTTCGCGCTCATTCACAAGGAACGGGCTCGCCCGAACGAAGTGTCGCGGATGACGTTGGTGGGGGACGTCAAGGGACGGATCGCCATTCTGGTGGACGATATGGCTGACACGTGTGGGACGCTGGTCAAGGCCGCAGACGTGGTCATGGACCACGGCGCGAGCGAGGTCATTGCGATTGTAACGCATGGCATTCTCAGCGGCAACGCCATCGAGAAGCTGAACTCGAGCAGGCTGAAGAAGCTGGTGGTCACGAATACCGTACCACACGAGGAGAAGAAGAAGCTGTGCGATCGGATAGAGACGATCGACATCAGCCCGACGGTAAGTGCTCATCTACCAAGTTTCCCGTTTGGTGTCAGGCAAAGCTAACACTGGACATAGCTCGCGGAAGCATGCCGAAGAACACACAACGGCGAGAGCGTCTCCTTTCTCTTCAAGCATGCACCTCTAGACTAGCAGCGCGCGCGATATAAGTCTCACGATTCCCAAGAGAGACTTCACGTACCTACTTTGAGCAGTAGCGGGTCGGCGTATTGGAAAATATCCCGTGGGACAGGCAGATGAGAGCATGGAACGGGAGTTTGTACTGTTTTCTAACTTTCTTCTTCTTCTTCTTCCTGTTTCTCATTTCTTCATGTTGTTGGGGGAATAGAGCAGATGCTTCAAGATGTGTAGAAGCCAGACGATGATCGCCATGATACCTATTTCCCTTCAGCTTTCTTCAAGATGCCGGAGAAGCCTTTGAAGGCGGAGAATTTACCCGCGTCGTGGCCGTAGCTGCAGCACACGTATCGGATCAGTATGTGTTATCTATCCAATATAGGCGGATTCGTGATGTGGGAAAAAGGGGACGGGACCAACGCACCTTCCTTCTGCTAATTTGCCCGTCTTCGGATCGTACCAACAACCGTCCTCCTTGGCCCTTCCGTATATGGCGGTGTTCTGATTCCGCTCAATTCCTTCTCTCCAAGCTTTGCAGACTACGGGCGAATCGATCATGACGTTGACTTCTTGACTATGGAACCTGCAGGCGAAGCGAAGTCGGTCAGTCAGTCAAATCGACCCCAGCATCGGGATCCGGCCGAAACGGAGAAGGAAAAAAACCGGCAACATACCAGCTCTGTGTGTCCTGATTCCCACTGCCCTGAATCGCGACACTCTCGTCCGCAATGAGCAGTTTAATGTGACAACTCCTCTGCTTGAAGGAATTATGAATCGGCCGATCCTGATCCGCGGCGACATAGAAGAAGACTTTCAGATTCTTCTTCTCGTCTGCTTCCAGTTGGGAATAGAGATGGTTTGCTGCCATTTCGTTGGTCCCGCCTTGGCCGGGTAGGAGTTCGCCGCCGTCGTTGTAGCCGAGACAGACGTAGTATGTGACTTCTATGCCGCGCTTGCAGGCGCTGATGAGAGCCGGGAGGAGAGGCTTCGCGTTGAGGTCGGGAGTCTGGATGAAGATGGTTCGGGTGGCGTTTCGGATGAGGGAGAGGAAGGCTTCGTTTTGGGGCACGAAGACGGATTCGTTGTTGAGGTTTGCGTAGGGCTTTCGCGAGCACATTGCCATGGGGACAGCTTGGCGATTCGGGACGGGGATGAAGGGGAAAAAGTTGAGCTGTTCTGAGCGTTCTGGCGCGCTTGCCTTGAGGGAGAGGCTGGTGGGTTTGTTGAGGTGCCGGGCTACGGCGTCGTTGTGGTTCTCTCCAGATCGAGGGTTGAGTGTGCAGCGCATGCGTTGAATCTCCGAAGCCAGAGTTTCGTCATAGTGTGGTTCGTTGGGCATGTGTTCTGGCATATCCATTTCGACTTTTCTTTCTGGGAGACGAAAGGAGCCGTCGGATTCGAAAAGTGCTTTGTAGGATTCTTCCTCGTAAGTAGGCGGGACGCTCTTGGCGGCTGGGAGATCTCGATAGGGCAGAGGAGGGTCAGTGTGGTTGTGCCAGGACACGAGGAAAGTCTCCCAAAGACTATCGACGATAGGGCCTTCCAGATGAGCCATCATTTCCACATTGTCGTTGTCTTGGATGTTGTTGCTCGAGACCGTGGCAATAGATCGGTCGACGATCATGAACTTGGAGTGAAACGTTCCGAGAGGAGGACGATGGAAATTGACGACCGCAAGGTCGAGGTTGGGAATCTTTTCTGGAGCAGGGAGGCCAACGGCAGCAGCTTGCCATTCCTTTGGGGAAACGTTCTGGTGGTTGTCGAGGAACTACAGAGCCTCCGTCAGCCCAATTGTAAGCACGGTAGAACGAAGAACATCTCACCTGCTTCAGAGCCCCCCGATCGTACATCAACCGCACCACAACCTTCTCGCCCCTCTCGCCGGCCCTCTTCGAAAGCTCGACCAAAGCATCGGTGACAAACGTGCTCGCCCCTGAAGCTTTCCAGAAATTCGTCGCCAGCAAAACTTCTTTCTTCGCCCTCGCAATCAGGTTCGACATATGTCTCAGCTGATCATTCAAAGGAGCGATAATGGTCATGGGAGCGGACCCGGTCGTTCCTATCAAAGGAGGGGAAACGCAATTCGACATTGCATCTCGTTCCACGCATTGTAAGAGATCATGGAAAGCGTGCAGGAAGAGCTCGCTGGGTTGCGTGTCGCCGAATTGGCCGCGGTTTCGTGCCCATTGTAAGTCGTTTTGCGAGGAAGTGCCTCGTTGGTCTGGTTTCCTGGTGACGACGGTGGACAAGTGCTGTCCTGTTGTCAGCATCACTCGCGAAGCAGTGGCATGGAAGGAAAGATTTCAACTGACATTACTCCCATAGAGCTCCTCGGCAATTTCCCCAATGGATCGAGACGAATCTTTGGCGTATTCGGAACTAATCGTCAGCGTGGAATCGCAATACTGCTCGATCTTGTCTCGCCCCATGTTGAATCGGCAAGTCGTCGGCACGCGCGATCGATCTGCGCAAGCTGTGGAGAAGAAAGCAGATAAGGTAGAAGTCAAGCTTCTTCGCCAAGCAGTGCCAAGGACAACCAAGTGAAGTCTTCCGGATGTCCAGCAAAGACGATGTCTTTTCGTCTGGGGGAATCAGCAGTGGATAGCAGTGTATTTGGGGCCAAAAAAACAGGGATCGGATTGGTTTCACCGCATGCACGTGATAAATGGATAGAATGACGTAGGGCGTACGTATGTCCCTCGCTCAGACAGCCACGTGACCGCCTGCTTTTCCTGTTTGGAGTCTAGGACCTTCATCCTTGTAACGGATCCCCCGCCAGAGTCGGTGCCCAGACAGGAAAGAACGATAGGAAAGGGCATAAGAAGAGGGAAATTCCCTATCATACACCCCCTCCATGTTTCCCGGTTTCTTATCATCATCATCGCTCACCTTCCAAGACTCAGATCCCCCGTGGGTTGGAGGGGGGGGCGGGGGGGGGGGGGGGAAAGGGGCATATGCCTGCTTGCTCTCCGCGCACGCCGGAGTCAAGTCATCCAACTATGACTCCCCCTTTCAATGCCTCTTTCAAAGGCGCAATGCACCCCATATGATCATAGCTAGCGCAATACCTGCCTGGTACATGTACAGACAGTGACACAAGCAAGTTCAGCATAATGCTCGTTGGGTGACGCTGTCGTGGTCTCTCTGCCCGCAAGATCTGGCAGCGCTGGCGATTTCGACTGATAAGAAGCGCGGATTCAAGAGATGAGAGGCATGTCATTGATGGACCGTGGCGATTGATGAAAGGGGTCTCGCAAGGAAGGAGGAAAGTGAAAGGAAGTTACGACTCGAGCAAGGTCGGTGGCGGAGGAGAATTTTGGGCAAAAGACGGACAATTGCTAATGTAAGGTATGGAACTCCAAAAGTATTTTCATCTCGGTTGCTACATAGGTATAGGTAGATAGTTTCCAGTCGCCGGTCACGTTCGCCGCGCCTCAAGACTAACAAGACTGTGACACTCGCAGTCGTCGAACGGGGTATCATTGCAATTCATCATACACCACAGCGCTTCTTCCCAGAAGGCTGCTGTGGCGTCCAATCTATTTCCATCTTCGAGGGACTCCAAAGTCGTCCTGTCATTCCATGTGCTCCCACCATGAGTCCAATGGTAACTCCGTGTCCATTTCAAAATTTCCATCATAGGTGCCGCTTTGCCTCCTGCCTCTCGGACGGCCCCTTGGTTCGCGCAGAGCCTGCTCGCAAGAACTAGCGGAGTCGCCACTCTGTTGCCGCACACGAGGCGTAATCGTCCCGTATTGCTAATACTGCTGTCCAGATTGCCCATAGTTGTTCGGTGCGTAGCTCCCGTACCCATCTGTACCAGCATTCGATGCACTGGGATACCACGTGCGTCTCCTCTCATCGTGGGCTCGAGATGCGTAGTTTTGTGGAGGAGGAGGGGGTCCAGATTCATATCCAGGTCCAGGCACAATGTTGCGAGGTGGGATCGGGTGGCCATTCATGTCTTCGTCATTCATGTGATTCACGTTCCTGTCGCTGGGTCTCCGCCCATTGTTGTAGCGCTGCATATCTTCATCTGCATCGCTGGGGAACCTGTCCCTCATCGGACCGTGAAGGTTTGACGCATATTGCGACTGCGGGATACTTCCAACGTCTGGCTCACTTCGAAATCCGCGCGACTGAGGAGGTGACACTCGTCGGCCAGATTTGTAACTTACACTCCGTGCTGGCGGTGGTGCTGTTGACATCCGTTTCCTTCTATTGGGCGGTGGGATGTTCAATGGTTCAGCGGAGCCGCTCTTGGAGTACGTGCCTTGAGGTGGTGGTCCCGCGGGCGCTCGAGACGGATTGCTGTTGGAGTATCCTGGTCGGTACTTGTTTGCAGCTGGTCGACCCGGCTCGCGCGAGCTTTGGGCATGGTCTCGCTCCAGATCACGCTCCCGATCGCCTTCACCATCGTATCGCTTTCCTGTACCTTGTCTGGCATAATAGGGCTTTCGTTCCCTCTCTATAGGCATCGATGGTGGGCTCAAGCCCTCGTCATCCACAGCGTTAGAGTGCGAAGATTGCGAGTATGGGTTTCTTTCGCGCTCTGCGAAGGAACTCTGCTGCGTCGGCGCAGAAGCGGGTGGCGGAGGAGGGGGCGGCATTGCGGCTGCTCCTCTCTCTAACTGGATGAGGGTTGGTTCGTGGTTAACGCTCGAGATCATCCTTTGTTCAGCCTGGACGTTGGCTTCGCTTGGCAGCAGTCTTCGCGAGAGCTCCTTAGGAAAGCGTTCCTTGCAGTTATCCGCGTTAGATATTGGCATCTCTTTGACAGCCTTGGCCAAGCGCTCAAACTCTGTGTCCGGATGCGCCTGGATCATGCAAGTCATGAATTGCTCAAAGCCCATGGGAGTCAGGGCCGGAATAACAGGTGTGTCGTGAACCTGTTGTTGGATAAGGTGGTGCTGGCAGAGCAACTTTCGGTACATCATCGAGATCGAGTTCCACGACATTTTCCCGCCAAATATCGTCTTCCACGGATAATGTTCCTGCTCGACCTTGGTCTCGTCAAGAAAACGTAGCAACTTGTGAGGCGGGATCACTAGACTGCCCTTCGGTTCATAGTCCTCGATGATGTGCTTGGCTAGTCCTCTCAAGAACTCGCTAAGTCGCATGGTAGGGTTTCCATTGTCAAAGAGTGGCTGCCATATCTTCTCCAGTGTTGTGGCCTCGTCCGCATTTTCGACCACAGGATCAGGCCGATTACGACTACGAGGGTCGAAATCAAAAGATGCGGATTCGGTGTTTTTGCTGTCCTTCCGCGAGGCCTTGGGGGGGCTGAAGCTTGCCTCCCTCAGCTCCCTCCTTGCCATCGCTTCTCTCGTCAAAGGAATCATGCCATCGACAGCGGTGGTCTTACTCCTGCGAAGAGTCTCGAGGATTTCTGGCTGCGACGCACGCGGCGTGGTTTCCTTGCAGCTTTGCGTGCTGCCAGGACTGCTCTGGCCGTCACTGCCCTCGCTCCCGTCGTCTGCAGGAGAGCGCGGTGGAGAGACATGGCGTTCACGGACTTTGCGGCTCAGTCGTGGGGAAGGTGGAGCGAATCGGGCGGCGAACGACTCGGTAGAGTCCTGCAGAGGCGATGTTGGTGTCGGCGGGCCCGAGTGATTCGATGAAGGTGCTTGTTCTGATTGTTGGGAGTGAACCGAGGAGCTCCGAGTGGGCGCTCCGATGTTGGCAGCCTTGAGATTGAGTATGACCTGTTCCGTGACCTGTTCCGTGAGCATCTTCATGAAGTCGGGATCCATTTGATTCGTCGATGGTGCCTGGTCGAAAGCGGTGTTGACGGCATCTTTGATTGGCTGAGGCTGACGCGCTCCGTCCATCTGCGAGGCGGTGCTTGATCGGGAAATGCTTGATATCTTGGAGTCTTGAACTTGTTGCTGGTAGTAGTAGTTTGACATCTGTGCGGATGGCGCCTTGTGAGTTTGTGGCGTCGAGGTCGCGAAGGGCTCTTGGGTGAGGCGTGCCGGCGAGTTGCCGGCGTCGGGAGGCAGTGGTGGTGAGGGAGCGGAGCCCATGCTGTCGGATACGGGTTGTGAGCTCGCGCTAATGCGGGCAGAAATGTTGAAACGCGGTGCCACGATGGGATATCAGGCGTGCGCGAGGAGGACGAAGGCGGTATCCAATAGGGTGATGTTGGGCATCATACGATTTGGCGAGTCTGTATGGATGGCGTGCGGAGTGCAGATGTTGGCCACGAATGGCGCGGAGAGCGAGGCGAGTGTCGGCGGGGGGGTTATGTTTGGATGATCTGTAGGAGGGACGGGGTGGTACAGGTAATTTGGACTGTCTGCAGGTGGGTTGGTCGTCGCGGCAGGCTCGGTCGTGGCCATGTGATGCGGACGGATGCGGGAGGAGAGAAGGAGGGAGTGATGAAGGGAGGGAGGGAGGGAGGTTGTGGTGGAAGCGACGCGAGAGGTGCAGCAGTGCAGGAGGCGGACGGGATGGTCAAGTAATTTCGAGGTCAAGTTCCTTGTAGCGCTGCAGACGGGCAACCAGGTGGATGCGGCTTGACCTGAGCGTGGTTGGAGCAGTGTGCAGTGTATGTGCAGGGAGGGAGGGAGCAGCAGCAGAACACTGACTGACTGCCACAGCACACGGCGCGAGATTCGATGCGTGACTCGTCGTGCTGGAAGTGCTGGCAGTGCTGGCAGTGCTGGCAGTGCTGGTAGGCAGTGCTGGTAGGCAGTGCTGGTAGGTAGTGCTGGTAGGTAGTGCTGGTAGGTAGTGCTGGTAGTGCTGGTAGTGCTGGTAGTGCTGGTAGTGCTGGATGCGCTTCGCCCGCTCGGGGCCAGTGTGAGGCCGGCAATGACGTCGGGCGGGAGGAGACGACGCCCGGGAGGCTGGCGCGTGGGACGGGATCCCCCGCGCGCTCCCCACTCGGCAGCGGCCTCAGTGCCGCGAGTCTAGCAATTGGCGAAGAGAGCAATAGACTCTTCACCCTTGCGACGATGGAGGAACATGCGAGACGGTGATTCAGTTTGATAAGGTGCTGCCCACCGACCCTTCCCACCGACGCGCCAGCGGCCAGCCGAGCGACGCGACGTACTCACGGCACTGTTGCAGGCGCCTGCGGAAAACAATGGCAATAAAGTCATGCGCGCCGGGAGCACAGGATCAAGGCCTGACGGCGGCGGTATTGCGCGCATCCGCGTGCAATCGGCCAACCCAACGTGTTGGACGGTATTCGCTGCTGCGCGCCTGTTGCAGGGAAGTGCAGTGCTCTATGGCCATCCCCGCTCGCGTCCACCAAGACAGCGTCTCAGGTTCGAGCCTTGCCAATTACGCCCTGTTGCAGTTACGCCCCGTCGCACACCTCATTGCAGCCGATGACACAGATGAGGCATGGAAAAAAAGGGTCTCGCGCTTCAAACAAAACATGTCGGCCGAGGCTCGTGATAGTGCTCGGGACGGGAGTTGCGCTGGCATGGCTGGTCTTGCACTTGCGGTGGTCACGCTGGTGCGTCGCTATTTGACTCACTCGTTGCATTAGATGTGCAGCGTCACTTCCCTGATTCCCTTGCTGTGCGAGGCAGTACATGTAGGAGTGAGAGCGGAGCGGTAGAGCTTGCCAAGCACCTCAGTGTTCCATCTTTCCGGATGCCCTCCGAAATAACAATGGTAACGCACTGGAATCCTGCCGAACGGACGTCGAAATTGCTGATTGGTGCCTGGAAGTGAGACGCTCGCTCTCACCGGACGAGGCGAGACGGGACGAGACGAGACGAGACGAAACGAAACGAGACGACATTCGGGCGGGTGTTATATTCACAGGCCAGGCTAGTGTTTCTTTTTATACTCGCACCTCAGCCGAACGTAGACGCCATTACACCTCCTATCTCGGTTCATTGGGTAAGTCTTGCTGAGAAGGGGAATTCGACTCGGCGCGTGCGCGCGCCTGAGCCACGCGGTGCACTGTGTGTGAGGCAGGAGGGATGTCGGAGATGTGCATGTGTTGGTGCGTGAGAAGAACGAGCGTCGTCGGTCAGAACTGGAGTGGATTATTAGATCTGGGTATGGTCATCTCATTGTTGGTGAGCGTCGCGGTGTGTCAGACGGGGCTCAGATAGACAGCGACAGGAGAGTATAGGGCGTAGTGTGTATGACGAGCGTAGTGTGATGGCACTGGAGCCTCCCGGTCGGCCGGTGTGATTGGCTGGCGGCGCTGAGCGAAACACACTTACAGGCACGACTGTTTCAGGGCGTCTTAGGGTTGCTGCTGCAGCGAATCGACACCACTCACGGGAACTCCTCCACTGCCAACACCGTGACCCCTTCTCGCCTCGTAGCTGTCAGTGCTGCACCCGCACCCTCTCCATGAGACGCCCTCGTGGGCCGACCTGAACACATACATAGTCTACGCCGCCCTCTCCGCACACGCACGCACGCACGCACGCACGCACACCGAACACACCTCGCCGTCGACTGCGACTGCGACTCGACCCTCCTCCTCCTCCTCCTCCTCCTCCCTTGGACGCTTCGCCCAGGCCTCCCGCTGGCTGCGTCTGGCGAGTACACTAGCCCGCCGTACAGCACTGCGCGCCACGCTGCGTGTGAGGTCGCAAGACAGGAACAGGAACAGGAGCAGGAACAGGAACCGAAGCCAGCAGCACCGCAGCCGCGAGCGAGACAGAGGCAGCAATGCGGGCTTGCTGCTGAAGGTCATTGATGCGCCATCCGTTCTTTGTCTCGCAGCCAGGTTTCGCCTCTCGTCTTGCACCCTTCAACACGACCCCTCTTGAACCCTACATTCTCCTCTGTCCTCTCTAGAAGACCATGACGGCAATCGCCTTCCGCTCGCCCTACCCCGTACCTGCATTCGGCAGCAACATGGCGTCCCACTACCGCCCCTCCGCTTCTGCTGCCGCGGTCAACGGCCACGGCGTCTTCACATCTCCTACTGAGTCGGAGTTCTCCGAATCGTATCAGGACGGCAAGGAATCGGTGTTGGACTGGGATGAGGATCGTGTGGCAGAATGGCTCAAGAGCATCAAATGCAGCGAATACGTCGACATATTTCGCAAGAACAACATCAATGGGGAGAATCTCATGGATATCGATCAATCGACCCTCAAGGAGATGGGAGTCAAGAAGATTGGGGATCGCGTACGAATTGGCACCCAGGCCAAAGTGTTCAGAAGTAATGTCTATAAACGCACCTCGAAGCGTCACATCAACAGGGTATGTTAGGTGCTGTGTGCTTCCAGGGCCGGCTGCTAATGTCTGTGGTAGCACTCGCTTGCTGCTTTAGATGGCAACTCACAACAGATGACACCGCCCTCGTCTGGGTCTCCGAGGCCGCTTCATTCAGCCCGACCGGGCAATACCTCACGCGCGGACAAACGAATCTCCAGGCAACTCAATGGCGCCGACCTTGCATACGCTGCTCACATCGGTGTCAAGACAGCTTCTCGGCCCAGCTCTCCCATGGTGGATCAAGAGAACCGAAACGCACGAGCTCAACGCCATGGAGCGCCGAGTCCGATGGAAAGCTCACGAAAGGATAACGCCACAGCAATGTATGCGCAGAACCAAAACCCTCCTCTCACAGCACGCTTAGCCGGAAGCTCGCGGACGAATCTCGTCGAAACGCCGCAGACAGCCCGCTTCCATGTCAAAGCTCAACCATCGTTAGACAATCTCAATGCCGTCAGTGGTCTGCCGAGTGAGAAGCCCTGGATACGAGTGGTGTATGAGAACGGTCGGTACTCCGTCATTAGCATTGAGGGCTTCCGAACCGCCGAGGACATCATTCGAAATACTCTCCGGAAAGGCTCGTTGAACGAGAATCACTTCCGATCGTACTGCTTTTACGTCCTGGATGGAACAGATCCGAATCCGACCTTTTGTCGGAGGTTAGGTGAGGCAGAGTTGTGTAAACTTTGCCATGATGGTGTAAGAAGTGAGCGAGGTCGTCTCATCTTAAGAAAGATACACGCCGGTGAGCCCGAAGGAGAGCAGTTGAGGACAGCCGCGCGAATAGCAGAGCAACAACATCCAGAACCCCCGGCCATTGAGGTCCAGCAGCCTGGCAAGTCGAAGAGCCAATTGAAGATCGAGAAATTGACGGGTGAGCCACTTGCTGCAGTGAGCTACCCAATGAGCCCTGCCAGCCAAGCAGAGAGGAAGGACTACTTTCAGACCCAATCCGGAGGTGTTCAGAGGCATGTAAGCACGGCCTCCACAGCTTCCGCTCGTGCTCGGAAGCTCAAAGACTTCTATGGTGCCCGACCCCCCACGGAACTCATCACGCAGGATCTCCAGTCCTATTTCCCGGAGGTCGCCAAAGAAGATATGGACCGAACAGTGCGTATGTCGATACGAAGAAGCCGAAGATTAAGTCGGGCCGTACGGACTCTGAGCATGGCCAGCAACTTCAGCATCGCCAGTAGCTTAAAGGACGCACCACCCCTACCGACTATCACCTACCCATGGCTGAAGGAAGCTAGTGCTCATCAGAAGGCTGGTTTGCGGCCCCTGAGCGTGGTTCGGCTTGGTAAGACAGACTCGCATCGAGAGTCTGTTACCAGCAGCGTGTTGGAACCTCTGGATGAGGAGTCGCCTCTTGAGCCCAACAGGAAAAGCTATGTATCGTTTGGAGGCGACAGTGGCTCCGACACAACAACGAGCAACTTGGCCGTCACCGATCCGGAAGGCCAGACAGTTATGCACTCTTATTTCGACGACACCGGCAGCAGCCCACCAGCAACCGAAGGCGGCAGCGGCAGCGACAGCCTCAACTCGAGACTTTCTCGCTTTATCGCGGAAGACGGCGAAGAGCTTGACGAAGAGCTGATGCAACACTTGGAGAGCGACAGTTGGGACAACCTAAAGTATATGAAGGGAGCCATGATTGGTCAGGGCTCGTTCGGTACTGTGTTTCTTGCGCTGCACGCTGTCACGGCAGAGTTGATGGCTGTCAAACAAGTGGAGATGCCTAGCAACAGTGGATCCGCTATGGATGCCAAGAAGAACAGCATGATCGAGGCTTTGAAGCACGAGATCAGCTTACTTCGGGATCTCAAGCACGAAAACATTGTCCAGTATCTCGGCTCAAACAGCGACGAGAACCACTTGAACATTTTTCTGGAATACGTTGCTGGAGGATCTGTCGCCACGATGTTGGTCAACTACGGCTCTCTACCAGAAGGACTTATTGCCAACTTCGTGCGGCAGATCTTGCAAGGGCTGAACTATTTGCACTCCAAGGACATTATTCATCGAGACATCAAAGGTGCCAACATTCTTGTCGATAACAAGGGCACGGTCAAGATCTCGGACTTTGGTATCAGCAAGCGTGTTGAAGCATCGACGCTGCTAAATCCACAGCCGCATCTCAAACGCGGAGGTCCTCGCGTGTCCCTGCAAGGTTCCGTCTTCTGGATGGCCCCCGAGGTTGTCAGACAGACTGCGTACACAAAGAAAGCAGATATCTGGAGCTTGGGCTGTCTGGTTGTTGAAATGTTCACGGGTCAACATCCACATCCGAACTGCACACAGCTACAAGCAATCTTCAAGATCGGTGGCTCCGGTAACAACGCGGATAAGGCCCGACCGGACCTGCCCGATCAAGCGAGCGAAGACGCCAAGTATTTCCTGCGACGAACTTTTGAAATTGAACATGAGAAACGTCCAAGCGCGGAAGAATTGATCAAGAGTGATTTTGTCATCAAGCCGAAGGCTTGAGCAGACTACGAAACACCATTCTTGGATACATTTGAGAGACGAACATTATTCGCATCCGAGAGGAAGTCCACTTGATTGCCTCTGCTGCGCAGGGGTGGGAGGTCTGTTATGAAGGAAGTTTTGGCATATTGAATCAGATGCGTCTGAACACAAAAGACCCGCCATGGAACCAAAAAAGCCTGGTAGAGACCGAGCCACAGGTCTGGAGGGACAAGAATTGTCATGTATGTATGTATGTATGTATGTATGTATGGATGGACGGCACGGATGGATGGATGGATGAATGTCAAGAATTAATGGTAATGGACCGAACCAGCATTACTGTGCATTGTTGCATTATTGCGCATGGTGGAAAAAAGCCTCGTCACTATCGCTGCTCTCATCACAAACAAGGATCCTTGTCCCGTCTTGTATCCGAAACGAAACGGGCCCCGAAAGCTTCATCCATCCATCATAACAATCTTTGCGACACCGAGTGTTGCGGAATCAAAAGCTTTTCTCTCTCTTACTTGCTCGATTCACGTTCCCTCACCCTTCCAGACGATAGTACTAATCACGGCCGGAGGAATTTCCTTTTTCTGTGCTTACTGCCATCATCACTTTTCGGCCATATGTACGGAACGGGGAAAATCTGTTCATCACGGTGCTCCTCGGTACCGTACACCCGTGTACCGAAGATGCCCTCTCTCCTCGTGATCTGATTCCGGTGTAGATTCCAGACTCGCTCTCACCCATGAACAGCGTAAAAAGTAGCCTGCGTAAAGACAGTATATTCCTTTCCTACATGCAAAGCACTCGCGCCGCGCAGGACGGGATGTAGAAAGAGAATGAAGAAGCGCCTAGAAGCATAGGGAGATCATCAGGTTTGCAGAAGAAAAAAAAAATCAAAGCCCCCTTCTTGTTCAAGAAAAACAATACATCTCCTCTTCACGCCAGGTAGGCTCTCCTCTTCCTCCTCATCGAATCGTCACCTCCCTCTCCATTTCATCGGACACACCATCTTCTAGAATCAGACTCCCGCCGAGAATTCCCACTCCCTTGGCCCCTCTGCCTTGCTCACTCCTCTCCGGCCAGACTTCATGAAACTTAATCGAAGCATCGCTCGTCGCGATGACCAGACAGCCCTCTTCTGTTGTTCTCCGACCATACCAAGCCTGCCCTTCTACGTCTCCTTGCGCCATCCTTCCCGAAGTTGAAGTGGAAGTACTGGGTGAAGGGGCACCGTTCGGTCCACCAGGATACGCAATAGCATACAACGCCCTCTCCCCGCTCCACCATGGAATACCGACAACTCTTCGGCAAGTAGGCCACGAAAAGACCGCGACACGATACGCATGTTCCGGTTGCGCGAACCCAAAGGTCGCCGCGATCTCTTTCTTCTGCTCGCTCCAGACTAGTGAAGTGACTTGGGCGTGACAGTCAATTGTCGCGAGTGTTGCTCCGGATAGCGCGTGGAAGAAATGGATGCAGCGATCATTGCTTCCTCCTCCCGCAGCTAGCAGGCTCTCTTGCCAAGGTGCAAAGGAGATAGCTTTGACAGCGGCGTTGAGAGTGAAGGTATGCTTTTGCTGACCGAGCTTGACAGCCAGGACTCTATTTTGACCAGCGACACGGCCGTCACCATTGCTGTTGCCACTGCGTACATCAACTGTATCCGCAGGGTGCACGTCTTTGTTGCCGGTATCAGCGAAAAGTCGCTTGGGTTCGAAGAGATACATCTGGTTGTCATTGCCACCGGTAGCGAAATACTGTCCTTCTTTGCTCCACGCAAGGCCGCAGACTTGCTGGGTGTGGCAACTGATTCTCGCAAGAAGGGTCATGCTCCCATGCCATCCGAAGAGATCGCGCTCGTCGGGCGAGGGCCATTCCACGGAATAGTAGTACACGTTGCCGACTTCGTCTCCAACCAGCAGCTCCTCTGTCGCCAATGTCACGGAAACCTCTCGAATAGACTGTCTCTTCACAGTGTTGGGTCGAAAACAGACGCAAGAGACAGGCGCAGGCTGCTCGCTGTCAAACCGTGGATCGCAATCCTGAGGACTCCAGAGCGTGATGCGGCCGTTAGCTCGCCCAATCGCCAGTATTGCTTTGCCTCCCTCGCTGGAGCTGAATGAGAGGGACGTCACATGTGCTCCAAAAGGCATCGTCAGAGAATCTGGAATGTGCGTAGGGGTAGTTCCGCGCGATTCAGACCATAGGTATACGTGAGGCCCCAGACCGACCGCCAGACACTGCATAGTGTGAGAGTAGGCGAGCAGAGAGCAGTAATAGTCGTCGCGCAACGCTGGCGCATCGAGCACCCTGAAAGGTATCATAGGAATATCTTTCGATTTGCGCTTCGACGGTTTCGTGGGAGTCGTTGCAACGCCCTTTTCCCATTTGCCATCACTCCAGACGGTTCGGTTTGGGCCCATGTCTGAGCTTCGCGTTGGAGTACTTGGACTCGCAGGAGACGAGGACGAACTCCAAGGCAGCATCCGTGAAGACGGACTGACATCCATTGCCATGGCAAGCCTTCGGCCGTGCTGTACCTCTTCTTCGCTTGGCGACGGGCGTTGAAGGAAGTCGGATGTATAGTGTGGTGCATTTGTGCCGCTTGTCACCCTCCCGCCTCTTCCGTTGGTAATGCTCGCGACACCCTCCGTAACCACTGAGCCTCCCACGGTCCAGACAGCACCGGAACTGACTGCTCTTCTGGCTGGAGTGACTGCGTCTTGGACGAGTGTGCCCGTTCCACGGGTCGGCGGATTCGAAGCAGGATGCGTCCGTCGTATTGTAGCAAAGCCATCAGCAAGCCTTGCACTCGGACTCGGAGGTGGTCCAAATGGATCCGGCAGCTCTTCGTCACTTCGGAGCTTCTGCTGAAAGAAAGCCTTGTGCTTTGGCCGTGGCTTGTGCAGACGCAAGGCTTCTTTGGTGGGTGTGCTCGCGCGGCCCGGAATAAAGCGATCTGGCGTCTGCAACGTTCCTACCATCAAACGGCGCTGACGAGGGGTGGCATTCTGCTCGCAATACTTCAAAAGGGCACTTGGGTGACGCTTCGCTGAGGTTGGAGTCGTTGGACCAGCAAAAACCGTTTGTGGCTCTGGCGAAGCATCCTCAGAAGGAGGTGTGGCAGAGCCGTCAAGCTGAGGACAAGCTTTCACTGGTGACGAGCAAGGTGTCGTGAGAGGTGTGTCGTAGGTGTAGTCGTCCCGATCTGTATCGCTCCCGCGCTCAGCAAAGGGTGTTGGAGGATCCGTCTCGTCGTCCTCGAGAGCCTGATCTGTCCCTATGAGCGCCGGGCCCAACTCTTTCGAAGCTGCGTCGTCGTCTAGGCTCCGGCGAAAGGATGTTCGGACCCGTACGGTTGGCCTGGAAGATTTCTTGGACTTTTCCCTCTTCGATGGCGGGCATGGAGGCGAGGAGTCCAGGTGCGGGCTGTGGCCTTGGCAATGTTCGGGGCCTGGAAGCTGCTGAAGACGGGGCAGATGACGGGAACTCGAAGGAGGACCTCTCGGAGGAGGGAGAGGCAGGTGGGGTTGAATCTGGAGTCCATGGGACCTCGACCATGACCGTCTCCTTGGTGTAGAGGGCGTCTCGGGCACATGAAGGCTGTGAGGAGCGGCTCTGGACGAGGCGCGATCTTTCTCGCGGGACGAACATCCTGGGATGGAGGTCTCGGGGATCTCTGGCGGCGTCATTGGAGTTGCGGGCGCTGCGAGGCTCGATGTGCTCACGGGAGCCGGGAGACTTCTGAGGGCTGCGCGGGCGGGAGGGCAAATGGAGGCGCTGGGGGGTTTTGCGGAAGATGTGCGCTCTGATGGAGCGGCGGAGCTTCCTCCAGTGTCTTCTCAAAGATGAGGAGAGGACCTTGACGGTGCTCACGGAAGTCGACGGCGCCGCGTGGGTTGGCAGTGTCGTCGAGGCCGCCTCATTCGGAGCGGTCGTAGACATGCTCCATGAGGTATACCAAGGCGCGGGGAAGGGGGGGAAGGAATAAATGTATACCTAACACATCTATAACATACCTCAGCGAAAGGTGGGATTGATCATGAGGTGAGGTAGCGTCACGGGCTTCTCCATGGTGAAATGCGGTTGCCTCTTTCCTATTCGTCCTCTTTCCTCTTCTTGATCTTCCTTCTCCTCTTCCTTCTCCTCTTCCTCTCTCTCTCTCTCTCTCTCTCCTCCCATCGCTGTTGTCGGACGCATCGACGGGAATCGCGGCCGCGCCAGAGACCTAAGGTACCTGCATTTCCTATTGCGCCTCGGCCCGGCACATGCGATGGCAAGTGTACGTATGCTGATGCGGCGGAGGAAGCGACGATGAGGTGAAGTCGGAGAGGGAAAGCTGACCTGAGGTGACCTGTCTGCCAGCACGGAGTTCCCCGCGTGTCCGCCGCACACCTCCTCGACAAGAGCGACCAGGCGCGTGCCAAAGAACGGAAGCAGATCGAAGAGTACAAGGCTCTGGAGAAGGAAGTCACCGACAAGGTAGACTCACTCTCGTCGCATGTCGCACGTGTAGAGTAGTAATAACCCCAAGCTACAGATCAGATCCGGCGACTACTCCAACACCTCCCTCCAGCTCACCTCCAAACTCCTCTCCCGCAACCCCGAATACTACACCATCTGGAACCACAGACGCCTGATCCTCCAAGACGTCTTCGCCAGAGAGCTCGCCGCCAACACATCAGAGACTCGGCTTGAAGAAGCAGACGCCGCTGCAGCACGCAAAGACGGCCTCACAGTCGCCCAACGCGAAATCACACTGCTCATCAAGGAAGACCTCCAATTCCTCATCCCGCTGCTCAAACAATACCCGAAATGCTACTGGATCTGGAACCACCGAAGATGGCTCCTGACAACCGCGACCACACACATCCCCTCCCATGCCTCCGTGCTGCTCTGGGAGGCTGAACTAGGTTTGGTAACCAAGATGCTCTCACTGGACAGTCGCAATTTCCACGGCTGGGGATATCGTCGCGAAGTAGTCGACAACTTGGGAAAGCTAGGGGGAAAGAGCATGGTCGAGCCCGAGTTTCAATACACCACCAAGATGATCCAGAGCAATCTGAGTAATTTCAGTGCTTGGCATAACCGCGGCCAGCTCATCCCACGGCTACTGAATGAGCGCCATGCCGGAGCAGAGGAACGGAGAAAGCTCCTGGATGAAGAGTTCGAAATGATCACAAAGGCCCTGTATACCGATCCCTACGACCAGAGTTTGTGGAACTATCATCAATATCTCATGTCTGCGTTCGATCCGACGAATCCCAGAGGCCCGGAGATTCTCACCAACTGTACAAATGCAGATCGGCTTTTCTATCTGGAGCAGGAGATTGACGGTATTCGCGACATGCTGGACGGTGCTGAGGATTGCAAGTACATCTACCAGGCCTTGCTGGACTATTCGAGACGATATCTTGAAATCGATGCCGGGAACAAGAAGGTGACGACCGCAGAGATGAAGGGCTGGCTTGATGAGCTCAGAAAGATTGATCCTCTAAGGGAAGGCAGGTGGAATGACCTTGCCTTGAAGTTGGACCTCTGAGCCGCGAGGCATCATCGGCCAAACCCATGATAGCGTACCAGCTAACATCCAAATGTGCTAGCTTTTTCCGTGTTTCTATTGGTTTCATGGGAGCCTCTACCCTGATCTGCACTCTCTGGCCTGTTTTTCTTCTCTGAGTCTTGCGGTGTAGAAGCCCTGTTGGGACCTTGCTGGTCTAATGTTGGGACCTTGCTGGTCTAATGGGAATGGGGGTGATGCCGAGCAGTCTACGACGTCGAGGACCTTTCTCATCGGCTGCTCAGCCGGGGGTCCGTGCACCCTCCGAGTAGTCTCACTTCACCTTTTACGTCTTCCCATAAACACCACAACCTTGACATGCCTCCCAGATTACCACACTCTATAGTACAGCAGAGGATCAGAGCCATCCACCGGATCAGATCCTGTGACGTTTGCATCCGCACCTTAGGCATCCCGTTACGCTCACATCTCGAGGCTACGAGGTTTGTACCAAGAGGGTACAGGCATCACAGATACCTTGAATTGCAAGCGTGACTAGTAACTACTACTACAAAGTCCATAAGTACTCGAAAGGGAAAATGCGAAATGGGACAATGGCCGAGAAATTTGCAGACCCGTGTGAGGCATCTTAGTATTTATTTCCTCACCTAGCCACTGCTTTTGACTACCTAGAAGTATAGGCGTAAACCGTCTCTGCTTCCATCCTCTCGACTGCCACTTGGTGGTGTTTTCGTCCGAGGAGCAAAGTCCGGAGGATTCCCCTTCCAGGGTACCGTAAAGGATGGACCTTCACTCCATCGTGGGCCCAGTATTTGACTGGGGCCCATCTATCCTGCGCCGGCAATCTAACCGTGCCGGTGTTCTCAGACACCTTGGTATTGTCATCTCAGTCTAGTATTCCAATCTCTGGTAAACCGATGTCGCCAGACTTCCGGCAATGTCATTTCTGTTGTTCCATTGCTCGAATCGTACATGATGAAATTTCAGGTACGGTATCCTTTCTTCTCGGTGGGCATTATGCAGGTCGTGATAGTAGTGCTCGACCTCAGAATGGAACTCCTCATACCAGAAGGACGCTACATTCATCATTAGCTTGGAAAGTCAAGACGACCATGGCTTGAGAAACTTACGCATTCACACAGCCGTCATTTTCGCAGTTGTTTGTAATCTGTGCCCATCTTCCCCAGACGACCTTTCCACCTGCCGTCACCAAACCCAGTTCGCTCACGTTGACCTCGATAATCGTGCCCTTGGTCAAAACACCCAGCTGGGTGTACATTGGATTCTGTGGGTTCTTCTTGACACTGATGATCGGCAACTGCACCGTGACGCCGAGCTCCGGGTGCGTTACGTTGGCCTTCTTGTATCGCAGACCCATGGGTCGGATGAAACGCTCGTATTTGACCGGTCGTCGAGTGAAATCCGGACCGACAAAGGTGGGTTTGGTGATCATACGCTTCCAGCTCTTCTTCGCAGTCTTCTTGCCGGTCTTGACCACCTTGAACATCTCCTCTTCACTGATTCCTCGCACCTTCGGCAGTGGAACGCTGAATTTGGCTGCCTTCTCTGCCCTCTTATTCTTGATCGCAGAGCTGAGCGCCTTTGCATTTGTGGTATTGCTTCGGTCGAGCAGGTAACTGGGCAGTGGAGTGCTCGACGGCTGTGCTGGTTCAGAGGATTTGACGTTCTTCTCTTCCTGCTGTCTGATCGCCTTCTTCATCTGGATCTTCTCCTTGTGACGCTTCTGCTGGTATAGCTTAGCCCGCAGGCCGCGCAGATTCTGTGCCTTTTCCGATGCATGGTGGGACTCTCGGGCGGCGCGCTTGCGGGTGCGCTCTTCGTGGTCAAGACGTCGACCGTGCTGCTTTTGGAAGCGCTCGATGTACTCGTTCTGAGGCATGTCGGCGGTGAATTGTGCTGTTGTCGGGGGAGAGAGAGTGTGTGTGAAGTTGAGAATTTTCGGGGGCGGCGAAGAAAGTCGTCGGAGGGTCGGTCGGAGAAATCTTGGCACCCGGGCCTCGAAGTTCTCCTTCGAGAAGCGCGCCCGCAGCCTCACACGACCGACGACAAGAGCATTGCACGCCAACGCCCTATCAAAATGCTGTCCAAGACTCTAAAACGGGCGCTTCTGGATTCTCCGTCCCAATTGCCCCCTACGTTCCTGCTTCCCTGGGCGGCGGCGCTGACTACCAGCGCGACAGCGGCCGCTTCAGCAGAGCCGCAGACATCAGAAACAGCAACCCGCCAGTACCTATCTCAATTGCCTCTCCGCCACAGAGTGACAGGATCCGGGAGCAGTGCGGACACGAAGAAGAGCGCATCGACTGTCTCAAGCCGAAGATCACAATCCGGGATCACCAGTCCTTCTCCAAGCTCGAAGACCTCCCTACAATCAGCTTCTACAACAGCTCGCCCGACGTTTTCCATCGAACATGTACAATCGCAGGCTGAACTGCCCCCGCCTAGATCTGGTCCCATCTCAGACTCGATTCGTGAATTGCTGCCCATAATGCTCTCACAGGGCCCTCACTATATCACTGTCCATATCCACGGAAACCAATACCTCGTCACTGAGGGCGACACAGTCCGGCTGCCATTCCTCATGCATCATGTCGAGCCTGGCGATGTGATCCGATTGAATCGCGCTATCAACCTCGGTAGCCGAGACTTCACAATCAAAGCTGCCGCAAACCCGCCAAAACTGAAGAGCCCTACGGCAACCACGACCGTCGTGCTTGACCAGACAAGCGGCGACTTAGCAAGCCATTCGAGGGTAATGCCAGCGAGTCAAACTAGCGCACAGGCACCGCATTACGTTCCGCATATCGCAAAGGGCAAGCACTCCTATCTGGACGAACGGTTGTTTGTGTGCAGAGCCGTCGTAATGGGGGTGGAGAGCGAGCCCATGCGGATCAAAGAGAAGACGAAGAGGAGACAGCGCCACGTGCGTAAAGTGAAGAGCAAGCATCGCTATACCATACTGAAGATCAAAGAGCTGCGCCTCAGGAGCCTGGAGGAGCTTGATGATGCCGTGGAGTAACCGTGCTTGTTAGTGAGGATTGAGGGATGGAATGGATGTGGGCAGCAGATTGTCTTGGCCAATCAGCCAGTGCGTAGAGAATGAGGGCAAGAGAAGCGAATGGTCCGAACCATGCGAATGGATCCTCTCCTGCAGTCGAGAGGGCATCACGTTGTGTGTTACCGAAACCCCGTCAGGGTCTGGGAGAACGAGACCAGGCTCGGGGATTCGAACTTTTTTCTCTGTAGCGAAGGATCCAACATGCGCGGGAAATATATATCTCACCCGCGGATGCACCGAATGCACCGAATGCGAATCAGGGACGTCATGTGCGCAGGGACATTGTACAATTACCCACCGACACAAGCCAGCAGACTATTAGCGATGGAAAGCCACAATTCAATGTACAGTATCAGATCGGACGCCGCCTCTCGCCCATTTTTCCAGGCAGAAATCCTCGTCTACTTCCAAAGCCAGCGCATCGTGGACCTGATAAACATACGACTATTACGTGATAGGTCAATTTGCTGCTGCTCGGTATGTAAAGCCATGGCCAGACAAGTACTACTGCTGTCCGCAGAATAGACTGACAGCTATCGCATCGCAGTCTTGCTGCGAAGCGGAACCCGCCTGTGCGCTCGCTTCTATACCGCTCGACGCAGCAGCCCAATCATCAAGGCGGACGGGTCCTCCGTCAACATAGATTGTTGGAAGAGGAGTGACGAATCCTCTCCAGCGCTCAAATTGGACCAAGCCGGCATGCAACCAACCACAACAGCAATCACCGGAGGAGACCAACGGCAACATTGTAGGTTCCACTCACCACCAGCAAGCTCTCCTCACCACGACCTCTACGAGCCCCAGGAAGAAGAAAAGTATACGACTTCGTCGCAACTGTCACCGGCCGGCCGGCCGGCCATCAAGCACGATGGAGCGAGCCCTTGTCTGTTTCCTCGTCAAAACGTTCCGGAGAGGTTGGGCTCTCTGGTCTGTCGCATATGAGGGAACAGACAGCGATCAGGTCTCCCAAGCAAGCAAAGTAAGCACCATCGCGAGAATAGAATAGGAATCATCACATATCTATCTAGATGCGTTCGTTCGAAAAACTCCATCTTATTTATTATATTGGTGGCACCGAGAATCGAATCAAAGAGCATCAAATATGTGTTCGAAGCTTGGAATAATCTTCGGGACGGCCGACGGAGCTTATCTCGTTGGGGGAATCCATCAATCCATTCATTCATTCATTCATTCACTTACTCACTCAAACTTCCCGCGCACGGACCACAATCTATCTATCTACACGTGCAAAGCAAAGCTCGCTTCCACCGAAACCCCCCCCCCCCCCCCGGCGATGAGAATAATGACCGCAGACAACAAGACAGACGGCCTAAAAAATTTACGAATAAGAAGAAACTCTCGAGATTTTGTACAAAGAGCATTTCAATTCATTCTTCACAAAGACGAAAAGAGCTATCCTACATCTACCGGGAGGGAGGGGGAATCAGAGAAGGAATAACCCGTTGGCCGTGTCGGCGGCGTGTACCGAATTCTTTCGCTTCTTCATTAATTCCAAAAGGATTGCAATTCCTGTCTAGACGTCCTCATCGCTATCGTCACCAAGCAACTCCCCTTCATCATCGGGCTCCACAACGGCATAATCCCCTCGTCCCCGTTGGAAGCTACTCCGGCTCGTGTAAGGTCTCGTGTAGCCCGGGCTCCTTCCCATTCTTGTAGACACGCTTCTCCAGACACTCTGAGCGACCATGGGGACTGCCGCGATGACGGCTACAATGCCAGACACGAGCATGACGGGGTATTTGATCCACGGCGCGTCGCCATCAAAGGCACCGCCTCCATATCCTCCGTTGTCTCCCAGTTGGATCCGGCCGAATTTGCCATCCCAGTTCTTCCAAACCCAGTATCCCACACCTGCCGCTGCAGCGATGGGAATGACGATGGCAAAGAACAGGCCAGCTCCGCTGATGCCGTGCTTCTTTTCGTACTCGTCCTCCTTGCCAGGGCACGGATGTGTTCTGGATGTGAAGTCGAGCTCCTTCCCTCCCGAGCAGGTGGTAAGCGGAATACGACGGTATCCAGTGACTTCGTAGAACTCCGTCAACTCTGGGTTCTTTGCGCAGACAGCCGCGGGATTTGGCTTCTCAAGCCCCTCAACAAGCCTGCAGGAGCCGTCAGAAGCCGGCTCATAGTTGAAGTCGCATTCGAAGTCTTGACGAGTACAGGAGCAATTCTTGGCGATATTGTGGAGATGCTTCAGTTGGCTCTCCATCTCCTTGCCGTTGAAGCAATCGCGGTCTATCTTCTTCCGGTGATACTCCGAGACGTGCCCGAAGAGACAGTCGTCGTCGGACAGTGGATGTTTCGGCGACCAGAGATTGTAATCACCAGCACCAGGATTCCTTTCATCGAGATTGCAACGCTCACTGCGCTCTTTCAAGCCGCTAAAATCGAGGTTAATCGTCGAGAGCTTGTCGCCTATTTGGCCCCAAAGAAGGAAGTTCCGGCTGGTATCACTGGGCACGGTCGTGATATCGGTAACGGCTATTTCCTCGCCTAACTTATACTCCTTCCAAGTTCTGCCCTCGTCCAGAGTGTAGCGAACGGTGTCCGTCTTCTTGCCCGTTTGGACGATGACGATGATTGAGCCCATGTCACCATATTTCCAGAGCCAGAGTCCTTCGGCAGCGAAGCGCCAAGTGATACCGCCATCACTGGAGATGAATGTGTCCGCATCCTTTTTGGATTCCAGGAACTCACCAACATTTCCGTTGCCCATCAGAATGCCTACAGCGCTTGGCGAGCCGAAGGTGTGCCTCGGGTCCACCCTTTCAGTGTAACCATGAAGATGCAAGCTACACTTCTCCTTTGAGTTGCCCGAGCAATCATACTTTTTACCCTTTGGTGGGTCCTCTGGGCGTCCGAGAAGGTCCCAGGCAGCCCCATCGTTGTGGGTAATGTAGGTTCTCAACTTCTTCTTCTCGCCGCCGTCGACTTCCTTGACATTGGCTACCCGGTTGACGATGGCCACTCCTTCCATACCTGACACTTTCTCAAAGTCCACATATCCGTGATTATCCCTGTTTACCTCAGAGATAGAGAGTACGTAAGAAGTACCGTTACTGTTGCTCTTGATGATGCTTCCATAAGACTGATCATCCTTAGGATTCACGGTCACGTGCAAGAAAACTGCATGTGTGCTCGAATCCAAGACAGTGTAACCCGTTTGGTGGGGTATGTCGACATTTGGTGGGATTTTGGCATTGGCGAAGGTGACCCCGTCTATGCTGGACTCGACCTGAAGCGTCTGCTGTTCTTCGTTGCGAACAGCAACCACAATGTACTCAGACATGGTGGCAAATTGGATAACGTCACGCTTGAGCTCGTTCTTGTGTTCGAACCAGTCCTTGCTGCTCAGCAGCACCAACGGCTTCTCTGTATTTTCTCCTTCGTGCTGCTCGCAATACACCAGATCCTCGGAATCCGGCCGGTCTTCTCGGTAAACAAACTGGCACTTGTTAACAGCTTTGAGGAGGGTGTTCCAGTCGTCACCGTTGTTCTTGGAATACTCTGTGACTACGAGACAGCCATCTCCGCCGGATTTGCAATCACGTTGTCCAGTGTAGAGCAACCAGTCTTTCTCTGACGGATGGAAAGTGAGCAATTCAATTCTACTTTCGTTCGGCTCGTCTTTGACCTTGAAAGAGTGAATGTTTTGCAGACGGTCCGTGGAGTAGAAAATCTTCTTCCCCTCTGTTGCAAAGTACACCCGATCATTGACATACGAGTGAGGGTAGATCGCAATAACCTTCTCGTCCTTGAGGATAGGCGCCCAGGTTTTGCCATGGTCGTGAGTCTTGAACACTTCGTTGCGATCAGTTCGCATCAGCACAGTCTCGTCATCGCTCCTGGCAGTAGCTTCTCGCTCAAGGTAGAAGTACTCTACGGCCAATTTTCCTTCAAATTTCGTAACTTCCACAGCGACCTCTCCAGAGGCAGGGGGTGAAGTGGAGTCAGTGCACTCTCTTTCAACCTCTTTGGCCAGGTCGACTCCACCTGTGCAGTCGTTGCCAGGAATGAGTCGGTAGCCCGAGGTACCCTTGAACTTCGTCTTTCCGCCCTGGCAAGCCCCCTCAGGCGGGATGATCGGGCCATTCTTCACGCACTTGCCAGCTTCATCTCGCTTGAAGTTGTAGTCGCACTCGAAGTCATTCTCGGTACACTTGCAGGGCTCCCTGCTCTCTTCCGGGTCCTCAAAGTCTTTCGACACAGCCACGCATTGAGCGTCGGCTTTTCGACGGTGGAAATACTGGACGTGACCCATGATACAAGTGGGCTCGCCCTTGTCGTCCACTCGCGCAGGCCATTTTTCGAAATCTTTGCTCTTGCACTCGCCCTCGTGTAGATCGCTAAAGTCCAGACCGTACGTGACGTGGTCATGATCTTTGGTGGCTATCAGCAGGAACTTCAAAGAAGTCGAGTCTGGGGTTGTTGTCAGTGCCAGAGGCTTAATCTTCTCCTTCAGCTCCGTCTTCTCCCACGTCTTGCCATAGTCGAGCGACCACTGGATTACTTTTGTTTCTGCGTCTTCAATTGCAACAAGCACCGAGCCCTGAGCGCCGAATTCGTAGAGGTGTGGCTTTGAGAGCGCCTTCTTCCAAGTCAAGCCTGCATCGCTGGAGACGAACAGATCGCCTTCATCGTAGCTACCCAAGCGCTTGCCGGTGTTGCCGATTCCCATAACGAGGCCAGGCGCCGGACTACTGAATATGCGACCAATGTTGCGCTGCTTGGTGACAGAGTGAAGGTGGAGGTTCTCGTCGCCAACTTTCATCCATTCCCAGGTCCTCCCATCATCAAAGGAGATCTTCGAAATGATTTCCTTGTCTTCCAAGGGCTTGCGCTCAACCTCTTCCCAATTCTCCACGAGATTTACAATGACGATGCCCTGGATGTTCGTAACCTTTTCGAAATCGACGAATCCGCGAGTGTTGCGGTTGGTATGCTCCACATTCTTGGTGAAAAATGTACCGTTGCTGTTCGAAGTGAGGAGCACACCCATGGGGCCTGTCAATGGCCTGGTGGTCATGACATCCACCTGCATGCTGTAGTTTGTGCTCTCGAGCAGGGTGTACGCATCTTCTTCCAGCTTGTGTTCCCCGAACTCTGCGCGATGCCATGTCTTGGTGTCGTCAGAGACGTACATGGCCATTTCCGTAGTTCTCTCGCTCTTAGCAGCAAATACCATGTATTTCTTGACCGCAGCAACGTTGTTCACGCCTTCTATGGTCTGGCCACTACTCATGACAGGCTCCACCGGCTCGGAGTGGAAAAAGTCGTCGGTCATGACAATTCGATGATCGGAGGAGAACAAGGAGAACTTGCCTTTCGCAATGCACAGCACTCGGTCTTTGTCGAGCTTGTCGTCGCCCGTCGTGAATACGTCCGTGGTCTTCGCCCAAATGCAAGAAATAACATTATCGCTCAAAAGCTGAGGGTCGGATTCAAAGCCATCGGTGGTGTAATATACGATGTCCTCGCAGAAGAGGCCTCTGCATTCTTCCGCGTGAAAGAGCATGCGATCAGGGTCGGTGGCGTGGAAGGCGATGCCCGGCCGCGACAGCGAAGGTATATCCTTTGACTTGAAGCTCTTCCAAGACTCTCCACGGTTGTGAGTTATCCAGTGTTGCTTCTTGGTGCCCAGAATTACCGCCGTCTTCCTGTCATACGGATGCTTCAACACCTCCATGACCTCGCCCTCCTCCACCTTGTCCAGCTTCTTCCAATTTGCGCCGCCATCTTCCGACCGATACGTTGTCTGTGTTTCGCCAACGGTGGCAAGGACGATGTCGCTGTCTTCGAAGTATGTGAGGCTACCGGGCCTGTCGTCAAACTTGGACTCTTCTATCTCGGGTTTGTCCTTTTTGCCAACAGCGGGAAGCGCCAGCAGCAGGCTGTAGATCAGGCCGAGCACGAGGCGCATGATGAGTGATGAGCACTACCGGGAGAGATGCATGCGGGTTGTGGAAACGAGTTGCAACATTGGAGAGTTGGCAGTGGAGATGGGGGTCCAGATGGTATTGGGGTAGAAGTGGGAAGGAAGACGTCGTTGTGTCGTGTCGCGTTGTATTGTGTTGTGTTGCTGTTGCTGTTGCTGTTGCTGGCGCCTGCTGATAGTAAGGTGGGAAGTCGAGACTAAGCTCGAGGTTAGGTCAGGTAGGAGTAGGACTAGAAACGAGCTGACGTGTGGCGCGTGAGAAGTCCGCGGCCCAGACGTCTCATCCCTCCGCAGTGCGTCACGTGCTTCGACTCTTTCTAACGATACTTGTACTGTATCCCCTCAAAGCATCTTACCGAAATCTGCTGGACGCCATCTCCTGTCTCGACCATTCAAGCACAGGAGTCGTTGACTTCACTAAACTCCACCTGTTGTGACCTCCCACCGGGGCGCAGTGGAAACAACAGGGTCATCCCGTGGAGCCTTTACATATGCCGTGCCCTGGAACAGCAGCTACGAAGTCTCGCAATGGGTGTATAGCTCGCAGTACTTCTGATCTGTGCAGTCGTCACCCCGTCAACGCTATCTCCCCCATCACGACGACGTTCCATCCTCTCCTTCACGCATATCAGCATGGCCCGTTCTTCGGACTTCGCATCATCTCCGATTCCCGCTCATATGCACCAACAGAGCCTTCAACATCAAATTTTCCTTCGCCTTCCTCAAAGGGAAAATCTTCCCATTCCGCCTACTATACTCTCTCAATTCCCACACCGATGCGAATCGCAACGGAGCCATGCCCACTCGCTTCGCGGCCACGAAATCGAAAATGTTGACGTACACACCACGGAGGATCTACGAGGCCCGCCATCAGCCGGAGGACCGAAGTAAAAAGGGGGGGAAAGGCTATCTTTCTAACCTTCCTGCACTGCGTGATAGAAGTCCCGACCTGGACTCCGAGATCTTGGCAGAGAGTCTGCCAGATCGCGAGCGTACTGTCGGTTTTGCCGTAGGTTTCGTCGAAGGAAACGACAATGCTGTTGACCAAGACTTCGTGTGCGGCTTTCTTCTCTGCTTTCGTCTTCGGCGGGGCGGAGGTTGCGTGTTTGGCCATATTTCTCGGCTGATCGTGGTGTTTCGTGGTAAGACCTGTCTTGATATGCGCTGATTGAGAAGGTCCCTGGCTGGGGCGGAATGCTAATGTAGGCGAGCCTGGAGGAAGAAGGAGATTCTGAAGGAGACCGCAGATCGAGAGAAGAGGGACACTTCTCAAACGCCAGCGTTTGCAACATCGTCGTCCGATCACGGACTCCTGCATTCGCGTCCTGCAGACTCGCGCTGTATCCAGACGGAACTGCACAAAAATCCGCAATTCAACTTCCCCAATGAAGAAAGATGTCAACAGCCCACGTATGCCTGCAGAACGATAAGCAATCCCTCACCTCTAGCTCTAAAATTCGACTTCCTCGGCACCATTGCGAACAAAGTCATTAGAACATGCTTTTCATTGCTCTGTAATCATACATTTTCCAAAGAGCCAAGGGTATCAACTCCTACATCGCCCAAGAAGTAAAGCAAAGCAAAGCAAGATCCGCGTACGCTCCTGAGGAAGATCGATCCAAAATCACAGGGCAAGCGCACCAAGGGCCACGGCACCAAGCAGACCAGCGATCTGCGTAGCACGAGCGGCTCCCGCCTGGCTAACAGTGCTAGAGGCGGTACCAGTCGACAAAGCCTCATTGGACCCGGAAGTGGCGGCAGAAGTCGCAGTTGTCGTGGAGCCAGTCTCGGAAGCAGAGGAAGAAGAAGAGGTAGAAGCAGTGCCAGTCGTCTTGGCAGAAGAAGCGCTCTTGGTAGCGGAAGCTAAGAGAAGGTGTAAAGGTTAGTAACATTGGAAACATTCATCAGCTTGAAGGCACACGCACTCGTCTCGACGGTTGGCGACGCAGTAGAAAGCGACAAGGACGTCGTCGGCGCACCGAGGGTAGCCGATCCAAGGCTTGTAGTTCCGGTGTGGGAGCTCTCCAGGACAAAGTAGGGGGTGTAGTTGGTCTCGCTAGGGTTGGAGTCGGAAACGATTTCGATGGTGTAGTCGGATCCACGAATGGCGTCGTCAGGGACGCTCCAGGTGTAGCTGCCAGAGTTCTCGATGGATTCTATATAGCGTCTTAGCACATTTCAAGGAGATGAGTTTTGAAGGCCGCGCCACTGACTTGCGATGGTCGTCCCAGCCTTCAGATCGTCACTTCCACCACTACGCAAGATCAGAGAGACGGTGCCTTGGGTTGTAGGGCTCCAGGTAAGCTTAAGATCCTGTCCTGCGCTGGCGGAGAGACCAGAGGCAGCGACATTGAACGGGTTAGGCTTTTGCGCCAAGGCAAGGAGAGGAGCGCTGAGAAGGGCGACGATGAAGGAGCGCGGGAAGAGCATATTGACCAGCAATAGATATCTTTCTTGTTGATTGAGATTTTTCAAAGGAATGTGGTGCGCCAAAGATACAGCGAGGTGATAAGAAGTGCTGGGGAAGACGGAGCTGGGCACGCGACAAAGTCATTCAGAGATCATGCTGGATGATCTGGCCGCTACCGGTAATAATAGGTGATGATACACTGTCTTTCCGAGAACGCTGGCCACAACTAGGGTCATGGCGAGTCGGATAGCACACAATCAGCGGTAGTCGCCGTCGAGATGACCTGCCGATGTGCTAAGACGCGGTAGTCATGTCATCCCCTGCCGATCTGGGTAGACGATGGGGTGGCCGGCACGCACATGGCGCCTTATAGTAGAATAGCGCCTCGAGTGGTGTGGCCAAGGCCATATCATTCGAATACCACCATTGCTTTGGCAAGAAGACTCTCCAGACTCCAGACAGAGATGATGGAGCGCAAGAGACGAGCAGACGTTGTATCGTCATCGCACAGGTCTCGAAACGCGATTGTTCTGCGATGTCAGCTTGTGCGATGCCCCTGCGACGCCTGTACGATGCCGGTGAAGTTTGAGGTTGAAATGGGAGATGAAGAGTTCACAGCGGATCGGCCCATCTCAGGCGCTTCAGCTACGCCGTTTAGGCCAGTGGTAGGAGACCAGTTACAAGGGCCCCTACCGACCTCCGCGCCGAAAGCGGATATTTGCGCTCGGAGGGAGCGGAGCATCGCCGACCTCGAGTCCTCTGCCATCGTATCGCTATACGCCTGTCAAATGCCATCGCATCGCTATACGCCTGTCAAGTGCCATCCATCGATCGGGGTGACGACAGGTTGGACATGTCTGGTTGGTTGCTGCGCGAAGAGGTGTTGTCTGATGTACATTCCATAGCAACGCCAACGATAGTGTGATAGGCACATGGACCGTCCCGTCGCCACAAGGGAGCGGGAGGGTTGCAGCGGGCGCAGGAACAGCCTAGCGCACTGCAGCCTTGTCCGCCACATGGGGAGCCAGCTCGCCACAACGCATCTGCAGCATCTCGATTATTATTGCGCGGTCGCTCATCAGGCGCAGAGTGTGGCGAGCGCCGAGGAGAGCGATGGGATGGTGGTAGCGAGTGCAGTGTCGTGTCGTTTCGTCTCGTGATGCGCCAAGAACAGAACGGACGAGACATGGTAGAGATGAGCGAGCAGAGATTTGTCGCGAACGGGTTCCTGCGCGGAAACAGCCGCTGAATGTCGGCATTCTGCGTGGACAGAGGGCGCACTTCATTTCGGTAGGACAGCGTTCGGGATTGCGGGGAGACGCGCTAACTCCCGCGCTGCACCAAACGGCTCGCGCACAGCAATGCAGAGGCAATGCGCAATGTGATGAGATGAATGGATCGCCCGCCCCCTGGTTGAAGTACTTTTCTCCCTCCTCGCCCTCCTCCCACCCTCGACCTCGACCCTTCACTCCCTCGCCCACCACCTACCACACTCACACACGTTCTTTCCCCCTCAACCCATCGACGCGCCATTCGCTCCGCATCAACTCCACGAGACTCGCTTCACCCTACCAAACAACCTAACACACCCACCTTCATCCACGACAACAACAACAACATGTTCGTCAAGGCATTCCTCGTCGGCGCCCTCGCCACTCTCGCTGCTGCTCAGTCGACCGTCCTCACCTTCACCCACGTGCCCAACCCCGTCACCGCTGGTCAACCTCAAACTATCAGCTACACCACCAACGACGCCAGCTCTCCCGTCACCATCATCTTGCGCAAGGGCCCGTCTGGCAACCTCCAGACCATCAGCACTTTGACCCGTGAGTCTCTTCTCCAATCCGTCGAGGGTTGCCATCCCGAGGCTGACTTGACATTCAGAATCGGCCACCGGTGGCCAGTACATCTGGACTCCTGCAACCACCCTTGAGGATGGCTCCGACTACGCTCTCCAGATCACCCAGGGCGACCAGCTGAACTACTACGGTCCTTTCACCCTTCAGGGCGCCAGCGGTGTGGCCTCTTCCTCCTCGTCCCTGACGAGCTCTGCCTCCTCGACTAGCTCTGCCTCCTCGACCAGCTCTCCTTCCATCAGCACCGGAAGGTAAGAATCGCAAGCCTTGAACATCTCCTGGTTGAATTCTTTCGCTAATCCTTCTCTCAACAGCGCTTACAGCTCCGCCCTCGGCGCTGCCACTGTCACCTCGTCGCGCAACATGTCCGCCATCACCACCGCCACATACTCTGCTGGCACCGGTGTCTCCATTTCCCGCAACGCTACCATGAGCTCCGCCGGCCTCTCCAGCACCCGCGCTGGTGCATCATCGACTGCCGCCGGTGGTGCTGGCTCGACCAACCCTGCCGGTTACCAGGGTACCTCGACCGCATCTAGCTCCGTCGCTGTCTCGACCGGTGGCGCCTCTGGAATCACCGCCACTGGCAGCGCTATCGCTCTCGTCTTCGGTGCCGCCGCCGCCGTCCTCTTTGCTTAAATGTCGCCAGTCAGCCACTGTTTACGTGGGGAGTGTGATGAATACCATTTGGGATCAGCAGAATTGGGAGTAGCAACAGCATCCGCCACCGGCTAGGGGAGACCAGAAAAAGGGCAATGTTGATGAGGCCAGACCCGCACGGTCGGCTTACGACGTAATGGCGATGTCCGCTAATCCTTGGCGAGGGACGTCCTTTAGAACAGTTACCCCCCTAATGTAGTTCGATTCTCTGTATGATGAAATCCTTGTCCGAAGCACCAGCCGTCTCTGTTCATCGTATTTTCTTTCGTTGGCCTCTCAGTGAACTCGCCGATGCGCGGCTGTCTCTCTGAGAGCAAGGAGTTGTGTTGCCGCCGCTCCAGGCATGATGCATCCGTCCATCGTCCATGTGGGCGGGCATATTTCAAGGTGGCCATGCAACCCCGTGAAGTGGAAGAAGAGAGAAGGAGAAGAAGAAGAAGGAAGAAGAAAGAAGAGGAAGAAGAAGTGAAGTTGACATAAACGCGACACTGAGGTACGTACCCACCCACAGCAGCTTTGGCAACCGAGACAGCGGCGGCAAGAGCCATCGCGCCCCCGTTAACGGGGAAAGAGCGACACGACAGGACAAGACATCGAAATACGGTACCTGTTCTTGTAGGTAATTGAATGGCTGTTGTGGAAGGAGCTCACGGTGTGTGTACAGTGTAGGTATACACCCGCAAGGGCACCGGAAGGAAGCTTAGACGGTGTGAAGGGAAAGGGAAAGGAAGGAGCAGAAGGAAGGTCAAGGGGGTCGGTCCAACACAACTTGGAAGGTATCACGGATGCCTGTACCTTAACAGACAGACTCTTTCTCTCTTTCCACTTTCACACTCTCTCTCCTTTTCAGCACTAGGGTAATATGGGAGCTCGCTTTCTCTCTCGCTTCATGGCGCAGCAGACATTTGCCGAGGATTTTCGGTCTGCACATTTCTAAGAATTCTCTCTCTCTCTCTCTCTCTCTCCCACGGCGCTCGTTTCGCGCACGATTCTCATTTCAAACCCCCTGCAGTCCATATTCGAGCGCCTGTACCTCTTGTCTCACTGTTCGTCCACAGAGTCATCCTTCGAATTGCTCACGAGGCCCTCGTAGAACTTTGGCCGACTTTTCCCCACGACGGTAACAACAGCAACAAATGAAAAGAATGAGCAGCGTCGCAATGGCGAGATCCAGTCAGACGGACCACAATGCAGATATGCGCGAGAACGCCGAGATGCTCCGCTGGCCTTGTAAATGCAGAATGCAGTTTCAACCGCAAAAGCAAGACACACAAAGGTGTCTCCCAATTCACCTCCATTTTCCGTGCCCAAAAATGTTGTATGAAGCGCAATGCCGGTGACAGAGCTCGTAAATGATATTTCATTCCATCGTGACAAAGATCATGCCATGCCCATTGCACGCTGTTGTTTGTCGTGCCGCATGCTACCACGATTGGGGCTTCCGTGTGACTCGGAGCTCGCGCTGGGGTTCACATACGGTAATGTCGGCGGTGTCATGGCGTCGCTTCCAACATGCCGGACAGAACTCTCGTTCTGCCATGCTGTCGCCTGGTGTGGATCCGTGTCAACTCGCGTGACAGCTGCTGCTGAAGCTGGCGGCGATGTCGTGTTGTTGGTGGCCACGGAGGTGCCTTGCGCACTGTTGACCGTGGGAGCCTTGGCCCGGTCTCCGTACCGCTTCAGAATCTCCTTTGTTGTCATATCAGCACTGTTGCTGAAGAGCGACGAGTCGTTGAGGATCATTGCGAGATCTTCAGGAACCTGCACGGACATTAGCGCTATTTCTCTCGACAGATGCGCTTCCATTCTGAGACTTACCTCGCACATGCTCTCATTGCACTCGATCAGGCTGTGTACCGCTTCAATGGCCAGGAAGCTGTCGTCCACTGGGACGTGATCCTTTCCGCGATGCAGTATGTTGGGCGTAATGACAGTCGCAAGGTTATGAATGTCCATCTTGCTCCCACTTTCCTCGTCGACATGACTGAAACTGGACACCCAGTTCATGAAAGTAAAGAGCACCTCCATGGTGTCTCTGTGAGACTTGGGAAGCAAGCAGCAGGTGAGATGCAACACCCGTCGTCTTCGCTCACTATTATCGATCTGCTGTGAGGTGATCCAGAGGTTGTGCAGCTTGTGCGTTAATAATGGGTCGGGGAGCTCGCGGAGGAACTTTTTCAGCAACGCGGCAACCTGCACAGGATTCTCCCTGGTGAGATCGACGTCCACGACGCCTTTGCTGTCGATTTCCTCCTTGACGTCATTGAGACGCTTGATGTTGCCATTCTTTCTGAAGACGCCTTCAACAGACATGTCCATGGTCCTCATCGCTGCCACGCATTCTTGGACGAGCGATGGGATTTTCAGGGACCCCGGCCCGACGCCGTCTGTGCTCTCTTCGTAATCACGCTCGATGAGCTGTTCCAAAGGAACGCCAAAGATGGCATTCTTGGGCCGCTTTTCCTTCTTCTCTTTGCCACCCTGGAAGGCTTTGCCAAACTTGCTCCAGAACGTCGGCCGCTTCGTTTCAATGAGATCAAGCAGCTCCTCCTGGTTGAAATGACCTTCGAGAAGGGGCTCCATGTAAAGCACGGCAATGTGCCTCACGATGAAATATTCCAAGGCGGTCAACTCAGAAAAGTATTTCTTGGTGCCAGGAGGCCTTGTCTCCGGCTTGTCAATGCACTCGCTGGAGAAATCTCGTGTGTGGCCGTTGACCAGTCGTGGCTTTGGTTCCTGAGGTATCATCGGCTGCCTGGCGTACCTTGAGGCATTCGGTCTCTGCTCTCGAGTTTGCTGCGCCTGAACTATTCGGGGAATGTCGTCCAGTGTCATCGCATCATTTCTGCCAAACGCCAGTTGGCTGACGGATTCTCCGTTTCCTTCCCGGTCTTCCACAATCTGAAATGTACCTGTTCGCCGCCGGCTTTTGTCGCCATCTGCAGAACCAGGTCGCATGCCTTCAGGCCCGTCAATGATCCTGGACGTTCGAGCTTTTCGAGTTGCATTAGAAAGGTGCTTGTCCATTCTAGTGCTCCGCAATCGCCGGATGTCGCCCATGGTATCTTCATAACTCGGCTCGCCCTGATGTCTTTGGGACCCAGATCTTCCAGCGTACGACCTTGATCGTGTATTCGAGCGGAGTAGACCGGGCTGTTCAGTGCTTTGCGAAGGCGTGTGCCCTTCTCGCGAATCGTACCCACTCAGGTTCGGATCGTCACTGGTGTGCGGCAGCGCTCCACTCGTCCTAAGAGTGGCAAGCAACCGGGCATGTGCTACTCGCAAAAGATGCACGTATTGCTGTAACCTGGAAACCGGGACGAATCCTCCAGCTCTTGCATCTGATGGCGCATGATGGTCGCATAAGACTCGCTGCGAGATCTCGCTCCATCGCGCATCGCCTGCATCGTCGCTGAAATCTCTCCCACACTTGGCGCAGCTCAGACACTGCGTGTGAAGCACTCGGTTGTCTCGGCGGAAGCACTTGTCTTCTACGGCCTTGTTACAGACAATGCACGTGTCGGCGCTCTTGTCCACATACATAGCTGCATCAGCCCTGGAGTCGCGTTGACTCTCAGACTCGAGCCTATCATCCAATTTGCCGATATCTCCTAGGAAGTTCTCGAGTCCTTCGGCGCTAGAGGTCTCTCTCTCCAGTTTCAAAGCTCCAGAAAGGCAGATCCGGATCATCAGCTTCAGATAATGTGCCAGGCCAGTGACGAGTGACAGCAGTTCCTGGGTGACGCCCAATCGCCGGACGCCGTTGTCTTGATTTTCTGCCAGAAGCTGGAAAAAAGCGACGACTTTCTTGCACAAAAGCTTGGCCTCTCTGCTGTAGCTCAGCCCAGGATGCACGATTGCCTCGAAAGTGCGGACGCCCCTTTCATCCTTTTTGTTGGGTCGCACCTGCAATCGATGGTCCAGATCATCCGCAGCGCCGAAGAGCAAGTCAACGTGGATTATGAACTTCTTTGCGGCCATCACTCCATCCATGTACGCTCCGTTACTAACATGCAGCAACATGTCCGAGATGCAAGTGGCTGAGCGCTCTTCGAAAGTCGAGAGCGTATGCCATATCCAGTGAACCTTGTATTCCACGGCTTCCTCCTCGTTGCGGACCACTTTTCGTTGCTCCTCACTTGCATCTCCCTCGCTGGCTTCGTTCTCCTGCCTCTGTCGCTCCCATTCCGCCTCCTCCTCAGAACCAGAGGGTGGAGGAGCGTGTAGCCGCACGTTCCAGTATTTGTGGATCATGTAACACTCTGGGTGCCAATGCTGGTTGACGCCATTCCGGAAGATTTCGACGAACTGCTTCAAAATCGCAGTCTGGCATCCGTTACATTTCTGCGCGAATTTGGTGGAGTAGTGATAGTGGCAATACACGTTGCCTTCGTGCTCATAATATGAGTCCTGGGCGCCAAAGACGGTCGGACAAACGGAGCATGTGAAGTGCTCGATGTGGTATTTGCGGTCCAGTGCCGTGATGTACGAGCCACGAAGCGCTCCGCCGCATGCATAACATAGCAGGTCGAGTCGTCTGAAGTAGTCGGTCTCGCACAGGGGGTACTGGTTCGGAGGCTGCTCTGGCACAGGGAAGAACTTGGAGGCAACAATCTTACCACAATCCTGGGACTTGTCAGCTTGTCCCTATCGAAGAGCAAAAATCCTCCTGTGCGCCAATACTTACATGACACGTGAAGCATTCCAGATGGTATGTATCTCCCAATGCGCGCACAAACTGGCCCGTCAAGTGTTTACCACATTTCCCACACACTCGCTGCTGTCCACTTGGGCGCCGACCGTTGGACTTTGATCTCTTCTCACTCCCGCGCTCTTTGCTAGCTTCGACAGAGGGCCGCGACCGGTCGTGGGATTGCCTTGAGCGATCTTGCGGTGAGTGGGAGTGGGCCAAGGCAGAGTCGTCGTGTGGCCTCAGGGATAGATTGGACGGGCCATTCGCCAGAGATGCCGGGTTCTGCTGTGAAGGCGGGTCATCGTCGTAGAGTGTCTGCTTGACCGCGCCCGGCGGTCTGTCCTCCGGCGGGAGAGCCATGCCAGGGCTCCGCTGGGCGGCGCTGGCTCGCTAGGGGTGTTGCGCGCAATGCAGTTGTCGCGCAAGAGCGGAGAACGGGGTAGGTCAGGGTGCGACTTCGTGCACGGGGTGGACCGGGGGTGTGAGCGAGTGTGGTGAGGATGATCGCGTGGTGCTTATGTAGTGCGGCCAGGTGAGGACAGAGGAGGCGAGCGACGCGGTGGCGTGCGGAGAGGATGGCGGTGCAGCTACGCGTGGTCGAGGATCCTCAGGACGGTCGACTGGGTATGAGGGGATGACGGCGGTGATGTTCCCTGGGGCGTGTGCGTGTGCGTGGGCGTGTGTGTGTGAATGCGAGAGCGAGAAAGAGAGAGAGAGAGAGTGTGTGTGTGTGTGAGTGAGCGAGAGAGAGAGAGAGAGAGAGTGAGAGATGCAGCAGACCCTTCGTCCCGATGCCGCGCACTGGCGATCTACAAGTCGTTCGCTCGATGTGAAACAGCCTGGCAGCCTGCCGGCCAGCTCAGCACAGCACAGCACTGCAACTAAAGCAATGAGGACAAGAATAGCCACCATTTCCTCCCACCAGCGCGCGGTATTCGTAGACCGATTACGTGTGTTACGTGTGTTATTAACGAGGGTCAGATCCAAGGCGGCAATGCTGCGGTCGTCAGACTGCCACTACATGTAATTCTTGTCTCCCCCAGCGTCTAAGAGGAGCTCACGGCAGCCAGAGCAGCATAGCCAGACGAGCACAGCTGCGCAGCAACAATGCAGTCCTCTGCCAAGCTTTGCAGAATTCATATTCTGATATGGAAACACGCAGCCAACGACGTCGCAGTGGTTATTGCTGTCCTCACCCATTCTCGCCCATCTGGATTCCGCCTCTCCGTACTAGCACCCTTCTCCACTCCGCCTTTTTCCCCAAAATCGATGATGGTCTGCCCAAGCGCGTGTCCGCGTCTCGCGTCTACATGATTCAAGTCCCGTACCTGCCCTCTCGACCAACCAACACCTTCTGCTCTGCTGACTGTAAGCTCCAGGCGAAGCCAATCAACTCTACCCCGAATTTTTGATGAGAGCTCCATGGAAGTCCCATTGGGAGGCGACCTGAATGCCGTCACTGACTCGGGAGCGACCCGTTCCGGCCGAGACATGACTCGCGCCGCCGAACCTCCACCGCACATCGTCACAAGCTACTTTCCATTCATTCACCAGTGCATCGCAAAAACCCACTCCGAATACCACCTGATCTACATCCACGCGACCAGTAACACTTGAAAACCATCACTACATCCCCCCCAACGCTCCCACCATGGCTGGTCCCCAAAACGGCCCTCCAAAGGCCACAGTCCCTGCCCCGACCTCGCGCCGACGTCCACCACCCCTCGGCGACGAAGAAGCCACCACGCGTCTACGCCTGGGCGACATGGCCGGCGAACAAGCCCTCTCCCCAGCCGAGGTCACCCTCATGCTCGACCAGCTCGAGAAAGCCAACCGCCGCCCCAACCACACCGAAATCTACTTCAAAACCCGCGACTACTGCCGCCATTTCGCCCGTTTCAAGGACGACAACAGCATCCGACAAGTCAACCACATCAGCACCGAGCTGACGGAGCGGGACTTGGGTATCACACAATTCGAGAGGGCACAACTCGGTGAGATAGGGAGGGAATGCATGGGTGGAGATGGAACAATGGATACTGATGATATTCGTTATAGCCACTCTATGCTGTGACACGGCAGAAGAAGCCAAGACTCTTATCCCTTCGCTTGAGGGCAAGATCACCGACGAGGAACTGGAAGCCGTTTTGGCAGATATCTCCAAGCTTCGAGACTTTTCTTAGCCGGCCCGTCTACGACGCCAACCAACGCTCGGAGGAGGGGGAGATAGCCGTTCATCAGCATCCGGGCATGTTCCGCGTCAAGGGGAACGGTTCCCTTCGCATATTCCCAAAAATGAAGCAAACCCGCTCTCTCATGCCTCAAAAACCCACCGCAGGAGAAATGACTCTGAAGACCGGATTGGAAAAAAAACTTTGTTTCACTACATTAGCGAGGCGTTGGTCGGAATTTTTCTTCAAAGAGGAAAGCATGGTGCAAAATGGCGCTTCACTAGAAAGACACTCATGATACCCATAAAGACTCGCAGTTCACACTTCACAAATTTCTCAATCACGATAGTAAAGATGTCATTGCAAGATGAGTGGTGGTGGTACTACAAACCTTCCCTGAACCCCGTTTCCTAGAGCCCAATTTCGTTGCTTGCTTGCTTGCGAATTTCGCCTCGGATCCACGCTTTTGGAATCCTCATTTGTGTTACATTCCCACCAAACAATTTTGTGTCTGCTGCTTGTCAATCGCTTGTTTTCCTTTCCTCGCGCGCGTCGAGAGAGCGACACCAATGTCAATTTTTCAAAAGGGTCCAAAAAGTCTTGGTTCCAGCCCATCCACAAAATCCTCTGTCGGAATTATCGTGCGCCTGCCTCCCATCTCGATTCGATATGTGTGCTGTCTTGAGAAAGACCCCTCCAACGCCTTGCTCGCTCGAGAAGGAAAAAAAAACATAAACCAAAGTGGATATTGTACGTGACGCGGTCGTGATTCGGTAAGTAACAATGCAAAATCAAAATCATCAACATGTGAAATCAATGGAGGTCTGACCGGGACAGTCTCGAAGTTGGCGCCGGATGGTATACGTTCGATCACTCCTCTGCTGCCTCCTGCCGCGACTTAGGTCTCGGCGTTGGATCTGAGTCCGATGGGGTCGTATGAGAAGGTTTCGGAGTAGCGGCATCCATGTTGATCACCTCCGCATGCCCATCGCCAGGTTTCTGAGGGAAAAATTCAGGAGGCGTAAGCTTTCCCAGTTCCGTTTCGTTCTCAGCCTCTTCCGCGGCGGGATCTTCTGCTATGGCATCCTCTTCAAGGTTTGCAGCAGTAGTCGGACTGATGGGTAACTTTGGGGATATCACATCCTCGCTGGAGATCACGCTGCCTTGACTGTTGGTGCGCATCATCTCGATTCCCAGCTTCGAGCTACGCTTGACATGACGTTTAGGTGATCGTTGCCTAACTTGAAAATGGCCAAGCTCTTCGTCTTCGTCGTCGCCACTCTCAGCTGCGGACTCATGGCGTACCTTCTCTAATGACCGGCGCTTGGCTTGTATTGCTTCGTTCGAAGGCTGCTTTCGAGGTACTCGCGGCTCCGGAGCACTCAGCGCCGCAGGTGCAGACGCTTGCTCCACCAGATGAGGTACAGGGGGCCCGACGATACCCGAACGCTTACTGTTTGCGGAGTCTCCCTTCGAAGAGTGGGAAATGCCGAGGCCACCGAATTGTCTTTCCAGGTCGGACTGCGATTGCTCGGGCCATTCATTGGTGGCTTGTTGACTGATGATAACTGGAATGCTGTCGAAGTGAGTGTCAGACTCGCCCATCGAGCTGATCGACGGTTCCCTGCTCCCGCTGTTGCCCCAGCTGCTTCCTTGACTACGTGTTAAGCTCATCGCACCCATGGACGAAGTGGTTGTTGGGCTGTCATCGGTTGGTAGCGAGTCCTGTCGCGGTGCAGACGGCTGAGGAATTGCTTGTGAGGGCGTCGGAGTCGGTTTCCACCCTTCCGGCGGTGTCCTCCACTGGCAGAGGCGGCCCATGACCTCTTCGAGCTTTTCTTTCGTCGGTGGCTTTTCTACTAACGCATCGAAGTGATGTGGAGCCTGCAGCTCTTTCAGATACCCGGTGACGGCGACAATTGGCGTATGCGAATTCGCATTCTTGGTGTCCCGGATCATTCTCGCCACATCCGCCCCATTGACGTGGGGTAGCTTGTACTCCATCATGATAATGTCAAACTTGACTTCGCTCATGGCGTAGCGCATTGCCTCCGATCCGTTAGTCACGGCAATCGTACGACATCGCAGTTTCTCAAGCAGCCGCTCCATGACCAGGCGAGACACTGGATGATCTTCGCAAACAAGAACGTCCAGGGTGCGGAAGGTGGGCCCATCTGCGAGACTGATTTGGGACAGTCTTCGCGAGCTCTGCCGCCTGCGTTGCACACGTAGAAGTGCCTGATGATGCCTCGTCTCCTCGGTATCCGAAGATGACGGCGAGACGTCGAAGATGCCGCTTCGCCTCTTGTGGTGATGCGCAGGCAGGATATCAGGTACAAGATCGCGGTCCTGGTCTTGAGACGCGGAACCGATCGTCTGCGATCGCTGCCGCGGAGACGAAATACTTGGCTGTCTGTGGACTGATGAGGTTCTTTCATGCCGCATCGGAAGTGACACTGATCCTGGTAGACCAGACTTGACTGGCGAAGGTGCGCTTGGGTTTGCTTTGAATGTTACCGGATGTCTAGGGCCATCCAAGAAGTTTCCAGGCTGAAGAGAACTGCTCGTCTGGGCTGAGAGGCTTGAGGAGCCGCTGGATTGTTTGCGTTTTTCTTGATTCTGTCCTGTACTAAAGGACACAAGCAAGGGCGAAGAGGGCTGCGATCCTCGGCTTGGAGAAGAGTTGGTCTGGTTTAGAAGTGATGGTGACTGCGGTCGATTCGCTCCCTTGTTTGTAGACAGTGTTCGCTTGAGGGGTCCTGGTACAACTGGGCTGGACTCCAATGATGGTGCTGGAGAAGGCGGAACCACTGCAGAAGACGAGCCAGAGCCACCGGCTGCTGTTTTAGCCTGAGCCTGCATGGCGTCTGCACGCAGTTTCTGGATGACATCCTTGTTCGCCTTTTCCAGTACTGGCAAGTTTTTAAATTGGAAATTACCAAAATCATCAGCAGCGACGGGCTCACTGAGCCTACGAGATCGGCCATCACGAACATGTGGTGGAATGTGGAGAGGCATCAAGTTGCGTTTGACAGAGTTGACCTGGCTCCTAACTCGAGACAACGCATCGTGCGGTCGGTCAGGGTAGTCAGCCCCGGGCGTCTGAGCAGGCGACGTGGATTGATCTTCGAACTCGGCCGCGAAGTCATGCATGGTTGCGCCTCGTGAATCAAAGTACTCAGTGTCCTCTGGGTTCTCGCTAGCGGGTACAAAGGATGCTTCATCTTCCCGAAGTGTCTCCCAATTGATGTCCGCAAACCATGGGTGAGCTTTGATCTCATCTCCTCCGTCTTCGAATTTGCTATCCTTGTTGGAACCAAGTCTCTCCTGAGGATCCAGACACATGAGCTTGTTGATAAGATCTTTGGCCTCTTCTGACACCGCATCCTCTTCGTCTTCCTCGGGCCAATGGATGTTGCGAGACAATATGTTCTGGAAGACCTCCTCGGGAGTCTCAGCGTTGAAGGGTGGGCGGCCATACAAACACTCAAAAAGGATGCAACCCAGAGACCACCAATCGCTTATCTCATCTTGGCCCGCTCCATTGATAGTTTCCGGTGCCAGATAGTCAGGAGTTCCAACAAAACGACGATTGCTGTCTTCGGGATCGAAGAGTGCCATCATTGGCGGCGGCATGGTAGTCGGCTGCTGCGGAGGCGTTTCCGTCCTTGACACACTCGAATTGCTCGCTACTGGCTGGAGAGCATATGGATCAGGAGACTCACTGCCGCCTTCTTCACTTGCAGTCTCTTCTTCAATGGGGGTCCTACCATCCGCCACAGAAAATCGCCGGAACATCGCAGATAGTGCATCGCTATCTCCGCTGTCACTTCGGTGACCCGACGTTCGGCGCGACGGCTCCCGAGATGGCTCGCGGTTGAGACTGAAGTATGATGGCTGGTTGAAATCACTGTTCAGGGGACCGGGCGTAAGCGCTGGCGTCAGTCCAGGAGAGTGATGGTGTCCCTGGTAGTCGAAAGACGTGGATCGCGACGAAGCCATTGAAGGTGCACGCCTGAAAGGTCCAGCTTTCAATAAATCCGGAGGAGCCTCCCCAGGCTTTGCATTGATGGCACGTTTTTGGCGCCCGATGAGACCCATGCGTGACAGTCCAAAGTCTGTCAGCTTCAAATGTCCCTTGGCATCGATCAAGAAATTGTCTGGCTTCAAGTCACGATGGACAATCTGCCTACTGTGCAAGTGCTGTACGCAGAGCACAACTTCGCCAATGTACTTCTTAGTCCAGTCCTCGGGTAACGCGCCCAGGACTTTGATCAAAGAAGCGCAATCACCGCCATTCAGGTACTCCATCACCAGATAGAGATAGTCTTTGCTGGAAAAAGTCCAGTACAGCTTGGCGACGAAGTCGCTTTCGCCCTGCCACATCATGATCGCGCGTTCAGCTTTGACGTTGGTAACCTGGTTTTTGGCAACCATATCCGCCTTTTTCAGCACTTTGATCGCATAGTAGTCACCAGTCGATTTCTTCTTGGACAGATATACACTGCCAAAAGCCCCTTTGCTGATTGGCTTGATGATCTCAAAGTCCTTGATTGAAGTCTGAACCGCACGTGGTTGCGGGTTACTAACGACTGCGCTGAGGCGTGGAGAAGCAGGTCGAACCATGGCTTCGGATAACGTTGCAGAAGACTTTCGTCGATGATGATGATGGTGGTGATGGTTTTGGGCGCGCAACAATGGCGAGTTGACCTCGCTTTGCGTCAAGACCGGCGAAGTAATTGGTGAGGGGTTGCTGTCGGTACCGCTGGGTAGTCTTGGCTTGGCCATACGGAGAGGAGACGATGGCGGAGGAGGTCCACGCCCTGGTGACTGATGCCGTCCAGCGGCAGTCAAGCTCGGAAGAATTAGAGATTGGCGTTTGCGATCACGAGAACGCGTGCTGGCAACGCGACTGAGGCTAAGCTCCGCACCAGGCGAGTCCGCACGCCGATGACTACCACTTGCAATCGAGGAGCGCATGCTACTGTCACTTTCCGCGCCAGCATCGCTTTCCAGTGCAATTGAACCACGTTTCGGAAACGGAAACGTTTCCGACTGAGTGCCGTAAGACTTGGGTGTTGTCGCACCACGCGGGCTGCTTGCTCGTGACGACTCGGCTGAAGATTCCCGACGTTGGAGAGATGGGTCTGACGCGTTACGCAGAGCCATCGCCATCGCCGAGGGGCTCCCAGTAGATCTGAACGGCCTGATATTGAACATGTCCTCGCCAACTCCTTGCTCTCGCTGCTCGCCCGGAGCCTCTGACTCGGACTCGTGAGTTTGCTCTGGACCCGACGTTTCGTAGCCGCCAGACTCCTCTTCTGAGCTCGATTCGCTTAGCTCGCCAGCTGCAATGCGTGCAGCTTTCTGTACCGCAGCTTCGATACATTCCTGCACTAGGATATCATACTCGATCCTGATGCGCTCGGAATACTCCAAAATGCGGCGATGCCTGAACACAGCTTCAACTTTTGTCTTGGCTAGCTGCGAAGTGTCATCGCAGAGTAACGACAGGCCTTGTTCATTCTCAAGTGATCCGGCACTTGGCGACTGCCACTGTAAAACCTGCTGGATGCGGCTTTCGGACTGAGGCGACTGCGTTCTGAGCTCGCCAGGGGCACATCCTTTCGTCTCTTTGATCGAAGGTGTGCTTATTTCCATGGCAGTATCGCAAAGATCTAACACAAGTTCAACAATGCGAGCCAAAGGTCGCCGAACAGCGAAAGACCGTGCTCTGTGATGGCCAAGGCCGCTCGACGAGGAATCTCGCGATCGTGACACATGGGACACTGGCGAGGCACGCCCTGAGGAAGGGCCGGATGAAGGAGCTGAGTTGGGCCCGATTGGCAATCCTTTGTATTCAGCCTTGGCAGACGGCGCGGGCGAGCCGGCGTCTTGAGGGATTGGCTTGGCCAGGCGTGCTTGTGCCTCCAGAGCATCGAGAACTTTCACAAGGGCAGATCGTTGCTCGTTGAGGGATTCTTGTGCCATTTGCACTTCCATCTCTGCTCGATGCTCCTGCGAGCACAATTCAGTGTGCTTCTCAAACCACCACGGCGTAATTTGCCGTTCGCAGATTCGACAAAGCACGGGAAGGGGAGGAGCATGATTAGCTGGATCCTGTGTCCCTACGTCTGCAAGCAAGGTAAGATAGTTCGCGAGCATTTCCGCACCAATACCCAAAGAGCCGACAAGTACCTGGGGCAAATCAATGGTGACCTCATGAGAGACCGCAGGTTTCACCATCCACATAGTATGGCTTTCTTCTCCGGTGGTGCGATCGTAAACCATGATTCCTTGTGCCTCCAGGTCCATAGTTTGTTCGTGCTGGTCATTTTGATCCGGTGCTTCACCCACTTTGTCTTCTGGGTTTGGCATGGACTCCGACCCATGCTTCGGCTCAACTGGAGTCTTGTCGTCAGTAGAAAAGGCATCCTCAGTCTCCACTGTTGCGGGCACTTTCACTGTGAAGCACACGAAATGACTCTTTGAGTCGTCCTTTCGCATGGCCTCCAGTTTCTCCGCAAAAACGGTTGCATTGTCCACAAGTAGGTCTGCAATCGGCTTTCCCGTGATTTCGTCGGCATGAGTCCCCGTTAGATCTTCCCAAGACGGGCTGACCCATTTGATATCTCCGTCCAAGTCAAGTTCCAGAATCGCGTTCAGCGACTGCTCTGCAGCCCTCTTCAAGTCCTCGCGTTCCTCACGAATGTCCATGCTAATCGTCCTGAGCATCTTTCCTTTGTCGCCATCCTCGTTGCGCAATGCCGTGACAGCGGGAGGGGCCAGCCTGGCCTGCGATGCCCCATTCTCGGCCATTGCAAGAAATAGTTTCTAATGGAGTCGCCAGCGTGTGCGGAGGTTTGGTATGCCCACGGCACCCAAAGAATGGCTGCTATGCCAATGGAAACCGCTTGCCCATCGTGACTTAAGGATCAAGACGGGTGAGCCGGGCGGAGGTGCGCGGGCGCGGTGAGGTTGCGAGATATGGCTTCTTGCTTTGGCGTGCGATGATGGGAGTGAGGTAGTGAGGAATGGAAGCGAGCGACGGGGGCAGGGCCACACAGAAGACTCGTGCTGGTCAGCTCTCCCGTTGAAGTTGGACTGCGGTCATGTGCAAGCGCGTGGACGGTCCCGGAGCCGTGCCCGTACCATACAAGTAGCGGCAAGCAAAACGACGGCCGGCCTCAGCGGACGGGCGGAGCGAGGGATGGCAGCGGTGAGGGTGTCTCGCAGCGACGGCGACGGCAGCGGCGAGGACTGAGGTCAGGTCAGGTCGAGTCGGCCAAGAGAAAGAGAGAGAGACAGAGTAGTGGACGTGACAGCGACGAGTGAGGGCCGATTTGGCTTCCAACAGCGGCGCTAGGTAGATTTCCCCGTCGAGCGGGGCGCTACCCGTGACCTTACCTAGTAGGTACCTACTGTACCATCACCCTCGGGCTGCCCTGCACAGCTGCCCGCTCCCCAACACCCACCCAGCTGTGCAGCATCATCAGATTCATCACATGTGAGGAACAAAGAGATACATGTACCTAGCCACCCGCAACAGCGCACAGTAGTAACGGCAAAGCAATTGATAGCCTGCGATCCGTGTGCTCTGTTTACTATCGCCTGTCCTGGCCGCACATGCACAACAAACATCCACAGTGGCTCGATGGTATCGCTGGCAACATCCGCTACGGGACCATCATACACAACTGGAAGTCGTCGTCTTTCAGCCCCGTTCAAGATTGTTGTGCAGCCTCGGACCCTTCGCTGGCATCGCCCAGAAGAAGCCCCGTCAGACTGCTGCAGCCTTCCTGATGCAGGGCCTCCAGCCAAAGCTCCCTACTGGTCATCTTTCTCGCCGTTCGACAACCCAGCAACCGGCTCTACGCGGAATAATATGCAACCGCAGTTCTTGCGAACAGTAGGACGAGAGCATGCCTCGCTTCGATAGACGTAGCTCAAGCCACCTGAACACGACAACCTACAGCGTTCTCCCTCAGCCAAAGGTTACTGTCCTCCAGAATAATCCAACGGGCTCAGGTCCGCAGTGATGCGGACAACGCAAAAACAATGGGCAGCAGCCGCCGAGATGTTTTTCGACCTTGCGTCCGAACGGAACGGTCTCCGCGACTCAGGCCACTCGTCGCGGGCGCCGAGATCATACTCTACACTGCATGCATACATGACGCCTGTCAGCAATGCCTCGAACCATCCGTCTTTCACCACCTCGCGACGCTTCTACCCGGCGGCATGCTTTGCTTTTGATCAGCGAGACACACACATCACTAAACGTGCTTTAAAGTGCATTTGAAAACCGTCCAGCCTCTGTTCGCGGACGGCTCTGAATTGTGTATTACGCTAACAATTGAACACTAAGCAAGTCATGTCGAAGAACGCAGCCAAAATGAACAGGATACTTCCATTCCAAGATCGTGGCAAAGGAGAACTCAAATGCGCCGCGTTTCAGAGTTCCTCCTTATCAGAGTTCGTTCAATGGCCTTGACCCTGCTATTGCTTTTCTCGTCGACAGTATCATGCATTAAATCCACCCGCTCCCGGCATCCCGTACTTTGTTCTATCGGCCAACCCGAGTCTCTCGTACTCTTCTCTCCTCTTCTGTTTCTCAACTTCCTTTGCTTTGGCTCTCTCGAAGTCGGCCTCACTACCAGGGAGCTTCTCTGACCCGGTGATTCTCGACCGAGCTGTGTCCATCATCTTGCCGAACGACGATCGCTGCTCACGCAGCAGAGGACGGACGGCCGAATCGTTTGACGCACTTGTCGTACGAACAGAAGAAGCTGAGGCAGGTGAAGTGGGCATCTTCGATATTGGCGTTCCGGTTGCTTGACTGGAAACTATGCTTGTGGCGGACGATTGATCGCTGCGTTTAGGTCAGATTGAAACACCGACAGCGGGTGCCAGGATTACGGACTTCGAGGTCTGCTTTACTGTTGACGCAGAGGGCTCCGACTCCGAAGGCGGATGTTGGTCGTCTGCTAGCACGCGAGCTGGGCTATTGGTTGCCAAAGGCATAGGAATCTCTTTGCCCTCTGAATTCTGGCTTGAAGCCATCGAGAGATGGGACGAAGCAGGAACACTCTATATATACTCCCACTTGGACCAAGCCCAATCCCACATGCGGAGGATTCGGCGCTTGAAGGGTCGATTCCGACGGCCCTCGGGGTGTCGTCGTAACGGTCACGGCGGTAGGCAACCACGATATAGACCGCCAACGGAAGCCGCATGAAAGGGAGAAAGTGCTATAACATAGGCAACCAAATACGCGTATGGTCAGCTAATTGCCGTTTTGGCAACCAAAGTAGAGACTTCTAGCGTGCGGTGGCGGTCACCGAAGGCGATAGTTCGACTCATTCTCATGCAGGAGTCGTCATGTTGCTTATTGCACAAGCGTAGCGAGGTCCGACGTCAGGCATCCAGATATCCATGTTCGCCTCCATTGGGGTATATTCCATACCTTCTGATGAGGTATATGAGTGAGTGATCTTCTCCAGCGGAGCTCGGCCTTCGGAGTTGGAGCTGTGTATAATGCGGGTGCCTAAGGTGTCCACGTACACCTCTCGGTGTCGATGGTACGCCATTTACGGTTGCCTTGTGGCAACGATCTTGCACTTGTCAACATGCAGAGAAGATTTGTCCGCATCAGCGAGCGTCCTTCGTCCTCTACAGTCCCGTATACTGCGTGCTCGTGTCGTCCGCTAGAGACTGTGCCGGAGCCGAGCGCAAGAGCAGACCTCATCTCAGATGCGCAACCTCCTGTCATCGTCGCGCAGCCTTTATTATGCAAGCACGACGCGCCTTTGGATGCGTAGCACATGACAACGATTGCTGTCCGTCACTGTAGCACTATCGGACCAAGGAAATCTCTATCGCGCTGACCCGGCGTCTTTCCTCGCAAAAGCAGTGAGAAAACTGCCGCGACGCAACGCAGCAGAAATTTTTTCATTAGCTTTCTCTGACTCGGAGTTCCAGGTGAAACAGGAAATCCCTTCTACTCTTACAAGGACACATAGCTGGAAGTACATTCCCACTCGCATCAACAACATGGCGTCGACCAACTGCAGAGTTGTCAATGGCGCCGAAATCGCGAAGCCGCTGCTCGAAGAAGTCAGGGCGGGCATCAAGGAGCTAAACCACGCTCCCCGTCTGCATGGCTTCCTCGCTAATGGCGATCCTGCTGCGCGTATGTATGCTGATTGGACGGCGAAGACCTGCGCGGCAAAGTGAGCTCTTCACGACCTGACCTAACCTCGCATAGCCGGCACTGACCAGCGTCTCCAGTGGTGTCCAGTTCACACTCCGAGAAGTCGATGCCGAGGACCTCGAAGAAGAACTGCGACAAGCCAACCGAAGCGATGAAGTCGATGGCATGATCGTCTACTATCCGGTCTTCAGTTCTCAGCGTGACCGCACTTTGCAATGGACTGTCAGCATGTTCAAAGACGTCGAGGGTCTGACCCCTCAGCTCATCAGCAACATGTATCAAAACATACGATTCCTTGATCCTGACAACACCATGAAATCCATCCTGCCGTGCACTCCGTTGGCGGTCATCAAGATTCTCGAGCACCTGCACATTTACAACCATTTCCTGGACGAAGGCAAGCGGTTGTTTGGAAAACGTATCACGATCATCAACCGTAGTGAGGTCGTTGGCAGACCGCTCGCTGCTTTGCTTGCCAACGATGGAGCGGAAGTTTACAGTGTTGATGTCACGGGCGTGCAGCAATTCAGCAGAGGCTCCGGACTAAAGAAGCAGAAGCACGAGGTGGCCGATAAAGAGGGCTGGACCCTGAAGGACTGCTTGCCCATCAGTGAGGTCGTCATCAGTGGTGTGCCGGGTGACAAATTCAGAGTCCCGACGGAGCTCATTCGCGATGGAGCTGTCTGCATCAACTTCTCCAGTCAAAAGGTGAGATGAGCCAAACCTCTTCAATTGTTGCAGGTAGTTGACCCCTTTGGCAGAACTTCGCAGACGATGTCAAGGAAAAGGCGTCCATCTATGTTCCTGCCATCGGCAAGGTCACCATCGTCATCTTGATGAGAAATCTCATTCGTCTGATCAACAACATGCCGCATGCCGAGAGACAGCAAATTTTCTGAAAGCTTCGGCACATGGGCGCGGGCGTTTGGAGTCGGATGGTGAATGGTTCGCGCTACGGTCTTGACTGTGTTCTCGTCGGAGTGTACGCGCGGGATCCTGCTTTCGAAACGGAATGCATCTTCTCCTGAAGAAGGTGGTCAAGATTCCGTGGCCAGATCCTGCTGCTACGCAAGTGTGCAGGTATGCATCTAATCGACAACGAGTGAAGGGAGATTAAATGGTGTATGATCTCGTTGTAGGAGACACTGAATGCTGAACTCACGGGCACAAGAGCACACTCCCAATCCGTGTCACGGTAGCTTAGAGGGACGCGGCAAAAGGGGAAGCCGCGGCTTGGCTTGTGGTCTGTGCTCCATTGCGCGAAAAGTTCCCAAACCTCGAAGGCGTTGCAAACGTGACCATCTTTCCTTCATCTTTTCACACCCCAAAAAGACATTCTCCGACGCCGCCATCGATTGGCATCAATCAACGTCACGTCCTACCCCGTTCTATCTTTGTGGACGCTGTTCTCTACCAGACACCCACAATGTTCGCCCTTCGACGTGCTGCTGCGCGAGCAGTATTCACGCAACCTGTTCGACAGCTATCGACGTTAAGACAGACTCAATCTCGAGCTTCGACGCTGCAACTCGAGAAGCCTACGCTCTATCGATCTCTCCATCAATCACTCAGATGGCGCGCAGAGGAGGAGAGGAAACCGGCCGAGCAGGCAGAAGCCAGTCCAGCGGAGGCAGAGACTAGCGGCGAGACTGTCACGACCGAACCAAGCACAGAAGAGCAAAAGGAGATTAGGGAGAAGAGCGTCGCCGAACCTACAATCGTGGAGTCTGTAAAGGAGACCGCTGAGAGTGTACGCGAGCAGGCCCAAGAGAAGGCCCAAGAGGCGGCTGAAGGAACCCAGAGCACCGCTAGCAATGTTGCAGAGAAGGCTCAAGAGGCTGTATCAGGTGCTGCGCAGAGCATTCAAAACGCGGCTTCCCAAGTCGCTCAGCAAGCACGTGACAGATTCCCACCACGCGACGCCCTAAATCCAGGCTCCCCGGAGTCCGGCAAGATTCTCTATGTTGGCAACCTCTTTTTCGAAGTCACCACCTCTCAATTAGAATCTGAGTTTGCTCGTTTCGGGCAGATCACCAACGTCAGAATCGTCACGGACAGCCGAGGAATGAGCAAGGGTTTCGGATACGTTGAGTTCTCATCGCAAGAGAGTGCGGCCCGCGCTGCGCAGGAACTCAATCAAGCGACCTTTCAAGGTCGCCGCATGGCCGTTCAGTTCCACGTCCGCCGCGAGCCTCGTGCTGGTACAAGCAACAGGCCAATAAGCCCGCCGAGCAAGACCCTTTTCATCGGCAACATGTCTTACCAAATGAGCGACCGCGATCTGAACGGTATGTCAAATCACAGCAGATGACTTCTTGAGACGCTTGACGATACTGACGATTTTTCTCCCACAGACCTCTTCCGCGAGATTCGCAACGTCCTCGATGTCCGTGTTGCGATTGACCGCCGTAGCGGTCAGCCACGAGGATTTGCGCACGCCGACTTCATCGACATTTCCAGCGCTGAGAAGGCTAAGGAAATTCTGTCGCAGAAAGTCATCTACGGCCGCCAACTCAAAGTCGATTTCAGCCAGAGCTCTACCGTCGTCAGAGACCGTGATAGTCGCTAAGCACATCATTCTGTGAATGACTTGCAGCGTACTGTACATCCCCTAGAATTTGGCGGCAATCCCCGCCACATTCCTACGTCGTCGGTTGAAAAACGGACGGGAAGTCATGGAAGTGGTGGCGTTTGGGGCGGAAAGGGGAAGGAGAGAGGCTGTTGGCCAAGGGTGGTCCACTTGATGGCTTTCGCGAGTGTATTGAGCATGAAGTTGCGATTCACTGTTGTAGTTACAAACTGTAGTATACCAGACAGGAGCAGAGCCAGCTCACTGGCAGAGGAGAGGGAGTACAAAATAGTGAGACACTTCACTCCGACGGAAGTGGCCGATCACATGCAAAGCTGTCTCCCGCTGAATCGCGTTGCGGAACCACAACGTCGGCCCTCGGCCCAGCGAGTCGGCTTACAAAAGCCATTTCGGCTGCTAACCACCCACCTTTCAAAGCCTCTAAGCCGCACGCGAAGCAAGGTACTGTGCTACCTCACAATCCACCAGACGCTTGTATACTTCCGCCGTATTGCTCTGGTGCCTGTCCTCCCTGTCCATCTGTCCATCCACGAACACGGCATCTTCCACCCTTGCCTCCCACGCCTCCGTCTTCCCTCGTCTCCGGCGCAACCCCACTTCTGCGTAAGTCCTACGCGAAGCAGACGGACGCTCGACTACCACATACCGACTTGTACATACACGCACACCTAGCGGCCTCCCTCCACAATGTCGTTCCTCGGCGGGCCTGAATGCAGCACTGGATCGAACCCCTTGGCCCAGTTCCAGAAGCAGACGTCCGCCGACACTTCCCTCCAACGAGACCGCCTCACGTCCCGACAACCACAGCAACTCAATGGCTTCCGTAGCGGCCAACAAGTACCTGAGGATGCCGCGTTCCAAGATTTCGCCCAGCAAGGCCCGCACATGGGCGAGATGCTTCCGCAGGATCCCTTCCACTTCGAGCAGATGAGACGGGAAGCTGAGCACTTGGAGCGAGCCGGTGGCGGCGGTGGAGGCAACTCGAACTGGGCAGGCGAATTCGCACAGCAAGGACCAAACTTTGCGCCCGAGGCATTCACACAGCAAAGAGCTGCAGGGTTTAGTCCACAGGACTTCGCTCAGTTCAGGCAATCGCAGGTGTCACCGGCCCAGAGGACACAAAGCCCAACCTTCCAGCAGCAGTCTGCGTACAGGCCACCGATGTACGGGAATGGCTTTGGGATGCAGAGGCCGATGTATGGAGGCTTTGGAGGTCAGATGTACAACGATAGTCTCCAGCGGCAGCAGTACGAGGGTAAGGGCAAGGGTCGAGTGCAAGAGCTGAGCGACACGGACTGGGAGAAGCAATTTGAGGAGTTGTCTACAGCCGATAAAGAAGCAGACCAACTGGATAAGGAAGCCCAGGAAGCTATCGAGCGAGAGCTCAACCAGGTGGACAGGTACGTTGACCGATGGACATCGCACATTGCTCTCATCTGTCCTGCTCACTGCTGAGCAGGTCAGAGACCGGGCTAGGCGACTTTGAGAACATCATCGAAGGTGTCCGTCACGAGGCTAACGTTCATAGGGACATGCTCGCGGATGAAGAGCTTGAGAATCGTTATGGGAATGAGTATGAACAATGGACAGACTTTGATGGTCTAAATCATGACTTCGATAGTTTCCGCGAATTCGGCGAATTCGACTCGCGACCGAACGAAGGCAATTACATGTTTGAAGAACATAACCTCTTCAAAGACGTTCCAAACGCATTTGAAGAAGGGCAGAAGATCATGCGCGAAGGCGGAAACTTGAGTCTGGCGGCGTTGGCTTTCGAGGCTGCTGTTCAAAAACAACCCGATTTTATAGAAGCTTGGGTAGCACTTGGTCAGGCGCAGGCACAGAATGAGAAAGAGTCACCAGCTATTCGGGCTCTTGAGCAGGCACTCAAACTGGACCCTGGAAACCTGGAGTCACTCATGGGGCTTGCAGTCTCTTATACGAATGAGGGATACGACACACTCGCGTACCGGACGCTGGAGCGATGGGTGGCAGAGAAGTACCCACAGCTGGGCGTCAAGCCACGAGGCATTGATGCGGACGAGGAAATGGGCTTTACGGACCGCCACATGCTCCACGAGAAAGTCACCAACTACTTCCTGGAAGCGGCGCAATTGAACCCTGAAGGCGGCGACGTTGATGTGGACGTACAAGTCGGTCTTGGTGTTCTTTTCTACGGCAGCGAGGACTACGACAAAGCAGTCGACTGCTTCACTGCCGCGCTGAATAGCCATCAGCACGGTTCCATGAAGCGAGAGGGAGAAGAGCACTTACTCTGGAACAGACTCGGAGCGACGCTTGCCAACAGCTCTCGGTCAGAAGAAGCGATCGAGGCCTACTCCCGTGCCCTGGAACTGCGACCAAACTTTGTACGCGCGAGATACAACCTCGGCGTGTCTTGCATCAACCTCGGAGTCTTGGAAGAAGCTGCCGGACATCTTCTGGGAGCTCTATCTATGCACAAGGTGTTGGAGCAAGAGGGCAAGGCAAAGGCAGCTGAACTCCTGCGCGATGGACACGGGAATGCTGTGGACGAGAGGGCCGTGGATGACGTGCTACAGCAGAACCAGAGCACGAACTTGTACGACACGCTACGGCGGGTCTTCACGCAGATGTCCCGACGAGATCTCGCGCAGATGGTTGGTCCCGATATGAATCTGGATGCCATGCGAGGGGAGTTCGACTTCTAATGGCTGCGTGGAAGAAGATGAAATTTAGTGTATAGGATATGAGATCTATAGGCGTGGAAATAGATTTGAGGTCGAGGAACGAATGGAGCGGACACTCGCGCTTCACTTCTGTCTGCCTAGTGCTTGCTCCATCACTTCTTCTGCGGCTCACAGACGGCAATAAAAGGCGCCACAATCCCCGAGAGGAAAATCCTTCCAGTCTTGACATCATGAACAGCAGTCGTCGCTCCCGGCAAAACTTCCGCATCGCGATCCTCCAACACCTTTTCCACTTCCCATTCTCCCCCGGCATGCTTCCTCCTCCGAATCCTGAAAACCGTCGCAGGCGAAACCACTCCCATGGGATTCTCAAACGACTCCAACAACCTCGACAACTTCGGAATCGCCGCGGCCCAGATATCACCATTCCCATCCTGCGAGAGATTATCAATCGGATAAGGGATATCGATGGAATCGACCTGTTCGATTTCCTTGTCCGGGTGGACTTTGTAGATTTTGATCCCGCCTGAAAAGGCTGAAGGGACGTAGAGGCGGTTGTCCATTCCCATGATGAGGCCGTTTGGGAAGGAAAGGCCTCTATGGACAGTTTTACAATCGTTGCTGGGGTGGCAGTAGGTTATGTCTCCGTTTCGAAGGATGGGGGCGAGGCTGAAGGGGAGACCTGCTTTTGCGGTTCCGTGGTCGTTTGTGATGAAGAAGCCTCCTCCGAGGGGAGCTAGGGCGATGTTATTCGGGGTCCGGATTTCGGGGTTGTGGAAGGTTTTCTGATGGAGGAGGGTTGTCGCTGAGGTTTTGGTTGAGAGCTGGAAGTGTTCAATTGTCATATTGGCGCCTGTCTTCTCGTTGTCGAGGGAGAGACCTGTCAGAGTGTCCATGGAAGGACGTGCGTTGTTTAGATAGAGATCTATTGTCTGAGAATTTTGATTTTCGCTTCCTGTTATTGCAAGAAGGTGTAGGCGACCATCTCCGTCAACGCCCTGGAATTTGGGAGTTTTGAGAATTCGGTAGGCGAAGCTGGAGCCTTTGGGACTGTCGAGGTCTAGTGCAATCACGGCATCGTTGAGGCCTCGTGCTGAGGCGTTGAGCAGCCCGATACTGAGGCGGGGTCAGCAAAGATGATGGAATGAAGCAAAAGAAGCGATCTTCGAACTTTGGCACCCATTTGGTTCTGGCGATGGGATCTGAGCAAGCCAGAAACAACTGTCTGGTCGACTCGGACAACCACATGTCTTCGCATGCTTGAAGTCTTGGATCTTCAATTCGACGACATTGGTATGGAAACCCCGACAGTGGTTGAAGTTCTCGACCAATGCCCAATGTTACGAAGAGTAGAGGGCGGAGAAAGACTTGGAAAACGATACCAAGAAGCACCAGAAGTACGCTGATCTTTGTGAGGGTATTCATCGTCGCGGTTAAATATCAGGCAGTCGTGAGCTCTTTCACGACGGATCGGAGTCTTGATGGTATGAAGTGAGGTGAAGCGACTCGATCGGGTGGGGTAGCACTAGTTCATCCCGTAGCGTGAGGTACGAGGGGCTGGCGTAACTCAGAAGCCGCGGATATGAGAAGCCGTGGGCATTGGATGCTTGCCCAAGGGAAACATCTGGTCGGAAAGATATGTATTCATGCTCAGATCGATCAGTAAATGGCAAAGCTCTAGACATATTGCCAAGTCAAAGCGTTGGTGCGCCCTGGCATTGCGATTGCATGACCTCAAGGACCAACAACCAGTCCTGAGGTTCAGTGCTCAATTGGGGAACCAGAACGACCAGTGCTTTCACCCCGCGAGATATCTGTGGCGTCCTCAGGACGAGGAGAAAGTTTTGAGGGAGATCTCTGTGTTCTCGCCAGCAGGGGTTCCAAGATCCAATGAAGCCGCGGCTCTTGCTCTTTTCGCAAGAACTTGAGGAGAAAGAGAGATCGAAACTCAAGTCTCGCGATCACTGATCCAGCAGATCGTCACAAAATGTTCACGCGAATACTTGTCGAAGAGTGGAAGCGCACTACTCGTAATGAAAAGTAACGGGGCAATGCGAGTGGAGTGAAGCGTGCAGGGATGATGTTAGACGCGGCAGCGTGTTGCAAAATGGGATAAAAGGAGGAGCGGCTGGTCCCGGCCAGCGTAGCTCATCATTGGCTGATTGAGCGAAGAGATTTGCCAAGCCATCGCACTTACTTTCGAACTCCCGACCGCAGCCAACTCGACCGCGACGACCACAGGCAAGGAAGCCGGACAACACCACAACACACACTACATCCCACCGTCGCCAAAATGAGAACCTACGACGACACTTTCTCCGGCCAAAAGATCTACCCTGGCAAGGTACGATGACACTCCCAACTCATCGCCATGTGTCGCAAGAGGAGGACATGAAAAAGGCGCGGGTCATAGACACATGAAGCACATGCGGATTGTGCTATTGTCGTAAGAGATGGGATACATGAGACGCCTTGGAGGAACGGAAGCGGTGCTCGAAAAGACCCGCTGGACACATACGGCTTGAGACGACTTTGATCGTAGGAGGATGCCAAGCTGACTTGGGGAAATGTACAGGGCAAGCTGTTCGTCCGTGGCGACAGCAAGATCTTCCGCTTCCAAAATGGCAAGACCGAGTCGCTGTTCCTTCAGCGCAAGAACCCACGCCGCATCGCGTGGACTGTCCTCTGCCGTCGCCAGCGTAGAAAGGGTATCACCGAGGTACGGAAACCCGCCCCATCACACGCCTTCTTCTCTACGGAATGAGCGATGCTGAACATTTGTACAGGAGCAAGCCGCCAAGCGCCGCCGTCGTCAGGTCAAGTCGCAACGCGCTATCGTCGGTGCCTCGCTCGACGTGATCAAGGAGCGCCGCTCTCAGCGCCCTGAGGCCCGCACTGCTGCCCGCAGCCAGGCTATCAAGGAGGGCAAGGAGAAGCGCGCTGCAGCACAGAGCGCGAAGAAGGCTGAGAAGGCCAAGAGCGCTGCCAGCCAGGCCAAGGGCCAGACTACCGGCCGGTATGATCAGTCGGATTCGTTCCCAAGTGAATGATGGAGCTAACGTAGTCTCAGTGTTGTCGGCAAGCAAGCCGCCAAGGGCTCTGCACCCAAGCCAAAGGCCACTTCCCGCTAAAGAAGCAGGGGACTATGATTGATGGCAGGCAATGGGGATGCGTTTATTGGGTTTGGAACTGTGTCTACACGGGGATGCGCCAGGCATCCATGGTGCTCTGAATACCCGAGGAGTTTAGGCTTGACAGTTGCCATAACGTAACCTTCTAATTGTTTTTCCCCAGTTCCCGATTCCGTGAACATTTGATGCCAGGCCAGTCGCTCTGGGGGCTCTTGGGAGAAATTCGAATACCTTTGTCAACACTGCGCGGGTAAGTCTGGGATGGGTTTCACGACTATCGCCGGCAAACACCCTTCTAAAAACGCTTGTCAGGCCAAATGTGTCTACTTATCGTGTTTCATTTCACGGACTGAGTGCGGCTGCCTCTATTAATCCAATAAAATGCTACTGTATCCGAGAGCGTCGTACGCCGCGCGGAAAACTAGCAGCCACTGCAAGGTTTTCTGCTTCTGCTATAACTGCGTTTGAAGCGGCAGAGTGGGACATCGGGGTTGACCTGTTAGTTTCGTATCTTTTCGCGATATCAAGGAAGCCACCCGCACGGGCCGCCGATTGTGACGGCATGACGGGAAGTCTATTTTCTCGCGGGCGTCATCAGAAGCGCGTCGGTTGGTCGTACGATGTTCTGTTGTTGTGCTCTCGTCTTGTCTCCATACACAGCGCCCTCAACCCTCCGAATGACCCTCTAGCAATCGGATACCACCGAAGAATATGGCGCCCAAGAGAACGACCACGAAACCAGCCTCCGAAGTCGAAGAAGCGCACGGCTATGAGTTTGGAGGACCGTATGTGAAGCCGAACCACTTGCTTGAGTCGCGAACTTGAACTTACAATCGCTGTAGCATTGGAGCTTTCTTGATTTCCTTTGGTCTTCCCATCGGCTGCTATGCCTTCGCTTTCCTCTGCAACGACAAGTCTGGATGTCCACCGCCCTCATTACTCAGCCCTTCGAAGCTCTTCACGCCTTCCACGCTTTCGAATCAGGCACCATGGCAGCATGCGCTCAGTACGCTGGCAGAAGAGGTGGGCTGGCCGGGATGGAGCGGTTTGATCAATGTTGAAGCTGTATTGGGAACTGTAGGCTGGTACATTCTGAGCTTGCTGCTCTACTATATCCTCCCAGCGCAAGAGATCGAGGGAACAGAGCTGCGTACTGGAGGAAGACTGAAGTACAGATTCAATGGTACAGGCGATTTACAATCCGCTTCTGCAAAGTGGATTCTTGCTAACTATGCCTAGCTTTCTTCTCCGCTGCAACCATTCTGGTCACTTGTGCAGCTGGCAGCTGGGTTCGAGGTCCTGATTTCGCGGTCTGGACTTTCATCAACCGCAACTACATTCAGCTCCTCACATGCAACATCATCATCTCTTATGCACTCGCGACGTACGTCTACGTCAAGTCTTTCGGGGTGAAGCCAAACAACAAGGAGAAACGCGAGCTTGCTGCTGGTGGAGTGACCGGTAACCTCGTCTACGACTGGTTTATTGGCCGTGAGCTGAACCCTCGCGTGACCCTGCCCTACCTTGGCGAGATCGACATCAAGAGCTTCATGGAGTTGCGTCCTGGTATGCTTGGCTGGATCATGCTCAATTTGGCCTTCATGGCAAAGCAATACAAGAGCTACGGGTATATCACGGATTCCATGCGTAAGTTCCACACATTACCAGTCGTCAGTACGCAACGCTGATGTTTTACAGTCATCGTCACTGTTACCCAGGCGGTCTACGTTCTCGACGCACTATGGATGGAACCCGCCATCCTCACCACCATGGATATCACAACTGACGGTTTCGGCTTCATGCTCGCATTCGGCGATCTCGCCTGGCTCCCGTTCATCTACTCCATTCAAGCCCGCTACCTCAGCGTCCACCCAATTATTCTCGGCCCACTCTACGTCCTTGCTATCCTCGGAGTCTACTTTGGAGGTTATTACATTTTCCGCGCTAGTAACAACGAAAAGAACCGGTTCCGCACCGATCCCAACGACCCGAAAGTTGCCCATCTCGAGTACATCCAGACCTCGACTGGCTCACGACTGCTCACCACTGGCTGGTGGGGAACCGCACGTCATATCAACTATCTCGGCGACTGGGTCATGTCTTGGGCGTACTGCCTGCCGACTCTTGCAGCCGGTTACAAGCTTGTGCCGACTGTACTTTTTGAGGGCACAAGGCTGGTTTCGACGGACGGCATGACAGGTGCTGCCATTCCCATCACATACTTCTACATGCTATACTTTGCCATTCTCCTCATTCACCGCGAAATGCGTGATGAGGAGAAATGCAGGCGCAAGTATGGAGAAGATTGGGAGAAGTATTGCGCGCAGGTGAAATGGAGGATCTTGCCTGGTGTTTACTAACTGTTGTTCTCCGTCATCAGCGTCGCCGGAGGCTTGCGTAATGTATAAATGTATAGTGAGAAGTGAAGCGAAGCGACGACAGACTCGAGATGTACGAATTGGTAACCCAAAAAGAAACTCTGATGATCATGTACGTGGTATTCATGTACATATACGAGTCGACATCCCTCTTCAAATTCAAGCGTAGACCGGCAAGACCATTGTTCTCTTGGTGCATCTGGGACAAGGCATACACGTCGCCGGAGCGCTCAGGGAAGGATTCCAATATGTGCTCAACGAAACGCTTCCCGCCAGCGTGGAGAGGCTCATGGTGACGTTGCTGAACCCTTGTGTCATACTCATTGACGAAACGGTGCTCGTGATTGCAGTATTGCTGATTTGCCCTTGGCTGCTGGTGGCGGCGGTCGTTGTTGCAAAAGAATTCGAACCCGGCAGCACGGGTGTTGCGGTGGTGCTTTGTCGTCCGGTGGGGGTAGCTGGGTTTGTGGTGATGGCGTTCGGTGCTGTGGGCTGAGTGCTCGAGGGTGGATAGATGGGGGGTGGTGAAGAGCCTGGAGGGTACGAGGCTGGAAAGGAGGAGCTTGGGGAAGCAGGTGGCGGAGAGGACGATCCCCGCGAACCTGTCACTGATGAAGATGGACCTGAGGGAGAAGTCGAAGTTGGAGACGAGCTGCTCGTCGACGCAGAGACAATATAGCTGGTCGGGACAGTCGGAGAGGAAGCCAGCGAGCTGATTGGAGAAGAGGCAAAGCCGGCCGTCGTCGGAGTCGAGCCAGGATAGGTTGGCGGAAGTGCTAGCCTGATAGCCACGATTGTGAACGGGTTCGGTGTCAACGCGTAGCCGGCCTCCTTGAAATTGCAATTCCCAGCACCATTTCCACCGTCGAAAGAAACGCCGTAGCAGCCGCTGCCGTTGTTGTAGGCATCACAAAGCACAAGACAATCGTCGAAGCTATCCACGTTGGAGACCGTAGCCGAAGGACCGCCATAGTCAAAACCGCAGTAGATGGTAAACTGATCGCCGTTTGCGTCAGTATAAACTGTTCCGTTGTAAGCAGGACAGGTGCCGGATGTGTTGGCTGGGGTAGATGCGGTGGTTGTTGTTGTCGATGACGGAGACGGTATGGCAATAGAGGAGCCCGGAGAGGTTGTGGGAATTGATGCTTGGGGTGGTGTAGTGTCTGGATAGACTGCCGGCGATGTGGGAATGCCGACGGAAGAAGTGGCGCTGAGCGACAGTGAGCTACTGGTGTAAGGTGCTCCGTTTGAGGTTGGTGAGATCGGTGACGACACTGATACAGGAGAGGGTGATGTCGACGCGGTAGGAACCGATCGTGTTGAAGCCTCCCCGTTTGGTACACTTGATGTCGATGTCGATAACGAAGGCGCGGGGAACGTGAAAGATTGGCTACTCGATAGTCGCGACACGTCCTCGCTTGAGATCGGCATCGAAAGGTTCACAGGAGATGTCGTGGTGGTACTCATGCTCGAGGTTTCTGACGTGCCATAGACTGGTGGCACGATAGTGTTGCTTGTTGCAATAGAAGAACCAACTGTGGAGGTCACTGGAGTGCTGTAGACCGGCGGCACAACGATTTTGCTTGTTGTAATAGAAGACACGAGGGTAGAGGTCTTTGATGTGCCGTAGATCGGTGGCACAATGGCGTTGCTCGTTACAGAGGATGAGATGACGCTTGGAACCGGTGTCAACGTGGCACCGCTGGACGACGAAGTGCTTGATGACACTGGATCGCAGATCCCGAACTCTTGTTGACATCCTGCTCCACAGTAGAGAGGTCCAGAGCCGCAAAACCCGTATTCGCTGCAGCAGTTTCCGGCGGGAGCACCATAGCAGTTAAAGCCAGAGCTGGCACCGCAGGTGCCGCTTGGGGAGACATTAGCTGTGGTAGAAGAGGGTATCGCCAGGGAAGCAGTGCCCGCCCTGGCGGTACTCAGAGATGATGTCTCGAAGCTTCTGGTCTGGCTGCTGGTGACACTGTTCGATGCCGGCACATAAGGAGACGCAGATAACGCCGGACTATTCGATACGGGCGAGCCAGATGAAGTGGCACCACTGCTTGCAGAGGAGCTTAAGAGGTTTGAGCTACTTGTCGTGGTGGTCGTGGTAGTTGTCGGGAGGAAAGGGCTCGGAGAAGTTGTAGTCCCAGTAGTAGTAGCTATAGTTGTCGTCGTAGTATTCGTCGATTCCGATGTCCCAGGAATCAAAGCTCCTGGCCCAGGGCGTAGCGCCGCAAGGACAACGCGTGCACCACTAGCTGGAGCAGCGAATGTCACCGGGTCACCATCTGCAAAACGAAAGGCAGTAGGTAAGCAGGTGTCCCATATACTATGAGGTTGTTTTGCGTCGCTTCACTTACTGACTGATTGCTTCAAGTAGCAATATCCTGGGCATGAAGATCCAGCATATGTAGCATAAGTAAAGCCGACACATCCTTGGGTCTGATCGCACAAGGAAAAGCAGAGGGTATAATTTTGCTCGCCCGTGACGGATAGAATCCCACCATCGGTGTCTTCCCCACATCGAACGACGTAGGAAGTTGTTGAGGATGGGTTTGCAGCTGTCTGGGTGGACGACGCAGCGCATGCGGGTATCGCAGTAGAAAGAGCACTGACGGAGCTTTGTGACAGTGTCGTGGTATTGCCCTCTGCAGGATAAGGTCTCAGGCCGGCGATATATTGTGCACTTAGCTGGCCGGCAACGCTGAAAACGACAGGTTCGTTGCAATTAGCCACTTTGAGGTAGCAATTGCCTGGGTGCGGAGCAAGATAGTGTTAGCAAGATCTCGGAGGCTAAGAGTTCCATATTGTCTCACCCAAACCGGTGCCATTTTGTGCATCAGATTGGTACGTGAATCCTGAACAGTCGGTGGTATTATCGCCTGCCAACGACCTGTTAGTCATATCTGTGATTCAGAGATTATTGTCCTTATCTGGGTATCGTACAATTTGCCATACAATCCTGATAGCCATTCTGTACCATGAGCACAGCAGCCACGTCGCCATATGTGTCGGAGCCACATTCGATGGTGTAGTTCGTTCCCGCTGAAAGCAAAGTATCTCACATCAGCATATGTCGAAATCATGGGAGGTGGTGTCGTCTTTCTCTCGACTCACTCGCTGGACTTGATACGATTGACGGCGCTCCCGGGTCTGCACAGGCTACGGGCGAAACTGTGCTCGTGGCGGTAGAGGTAGCTGTTGCGGAAAGGGTTCTTGTGGGTGTGTATCCTGCTGGCGGTGCGGATAACAGTACAGCCCCGACGTACCTGTGAAGCAAACGGATCGAGGGTAAGTAGGTGTAGCGCGATCTGCCTTCAATGACTTGGGTTACTCACGTATTGCCCATGTTTGTACTGTTTAGCAGGTATGTCCCGGTACCCTTGAGGTAGCAATCGCCGTAACCTGTGCCATTTGCGGCTCCTAGATACGTGAAACCACCACACCCGCCAGTCGTGTCGCATGATGCAAAGCACTCCTCCCATGTATTGTATGCGTAGGTATGTGCAACATTAGTGCCGGGAGGACCAGTATCGGCGCCACATTGATATTGATATACAGCGCCGTTTACGTCGGTGTAAGTCTCGACGGTCGTCGTTGCGCAAGGATTCACATTTTGCCGTCCTTTGAATTTATCAGTCAAATTCACAATCAGAAAGATCCTTCGAGGGTCGTCTTACGGATGTGGGTATAACCGTTGCCAGCGCCGCTACTCGTCTGAATTCCAGTATAACGATAGTTGTGAAAGTCCTTGGATCCCAGAACCAGAGTAGAACTCAGCCAGATACGGATGAGGAGAGACATATTGACTGCAGAAGTCTCGCTGCAGAAAGAGAACGACGAAGGGACGAATGTCGCTGACAAGGAAGTGGCATATCAAAGCGCAACGAAGTTGTGTGTATTTATGTCGCATGCTTTCTGTTTTCGGTCGATCGAGCCAGCGCTCTGCCGTGCCGCATTCCTCAGTCTATGTCCCGGCAGTGAACGCACAGAAAGCGGCAGAGACGGGATCAGTGGTTCAGAGTCGTTTTAACGTCCGTGTACATAACGAGAGTGAATTTTCTCCCCCACTGTGCTATTCTACAGACCGCAGCCGAAGAATTGGACAGATTTTGGAATTGGGTCAGTCCAGCATGGAGTGTATGACCATCGTGAACGGCACATCGATCAAGGCCTATGCAAGGGACACTCGAGCTGCCCCATCATTCCAGCTTTCCAGAGAAACGGAACCCGGTAGCGCATTCAACCACATGCGGGTTCGTTGCCCAGAGAACGACCGGTATCCTCGCCGTACAGACCGCCGTCAAGGATCCACTGCTCGTTATCATCCTCATCCATCTGTACTCTTCTCCAGGTGTGCTTATTTGCCTTCATGATCTCTTTGCCTTTTGTTTCCCTCGCGGTCGGCCGAATCAATCCTGACGCTAAAGGATTGTGACTAAATGCCCCTCCTTCGGTCCTCGAAGAAGGAATATCCGCATTCTCGTGATTCTCAGCGTCTTCCGGCACCTCAAAATCCGGCTTTTCTAGGTCTGCCATCCGACGCACTACTTTTCCGCCTTTTAGGTCAATACTCGCAACAACGCGGCGCTTCTCATATTCCGGCTTCGCATTCCACTCCATTTCACGCAACACCCTCTGCTGCTTCTTCAGCTGCTGAGCTCGTTCGTGCGGACTCGCCCACACATTTGTACCCGCGACCGGTACATCGAAGTCTGCTGCTTCATCATGGATCTGTGTCCGACGAGCATTGTTGGCTTGGAAGCCAAGAAGCTTATCTCGGTGTGCTTTTGCCTTCTCAGTTGCCTCATCATCTGATTCTGCTGGTGTGGCAGGCTGTGAAGAGAAAGGCGATGGTCGCGCAAACGACGCACTAGTAAGAAAGTCGCGGCCGGTATATGCTCGTGCTTTACCTTGGGAGACTTCAGCTCGCTTGTGAGAAGCATTGTTGGCATTCATTCTCTCCTCTCCGCGTTCGTCCTTTAGCACTCGAAGTACTTTGTGGATGTCCTCAGCACTCAAGAGCGATGAGCCACAGTAGGTACAGGGACCCAAACCTTCCTTCACGCAGATAATTTTGCCGCACTGCAAGCAGTTCGGCGCCATATCAAGAAGTTGATGCCTGGTAGCCATACAGTTGCATTTGCGCTTCTCGTTGTCGGCATCAGAAGTCACTGAAAGCGAGGGATTGGTTTGCAATTCGAGACTCCGAATCGCAGAATCCAAATCAGACAAAGCTGTAGAAGCACCGTGCATAGCAGTTCCTCCGGATATATTTACTTTCGCCTTCGGGGCTGGCGATGAAGTTCGAGATGACTGGGCAGAAGCCTTAGAGACCGCGCCCTTCTTTGTTGACAACGAGTCAGATACGAGCGGGCCTGAGGCCGAGGGAGGAGCCTTGGACGTGATTGGACGAGCAGTAGGCGTGGCTTGATCTGTTATGAGAGGCAGTTGTGTAGCATCTGGCTTTCGCCGCAAGGCCAGCTTCTCTGCAACATGGTCGTGATGCGTTGAACCTGCAGGCATGTAGTCTTCTTCCGCACGCTTCTGATAAGCTCCGGAGACGTGGCCACGGTCTTGTATTTGACGAGCTGGAAGAGCATGTATATTGGGCTTCTTCTTCTTTTGCTGCGACTTCGCAGCTCGTGGCACGTCTGGGCTAGCGTGATGGTCCGCCGCTGTCGAACTCGACACGGTGGATGAAGCTGGAGCTTTTGGTCGCCTCATATTGAAGCTTGAGATGAACTCGAGACTCTTTGATTCGTCACCAAGCAAATTTTTCAAATGCTCCGCCGAAGCATCTTTTGGAAGCGAGCTGGCGTATTGAAGCACTTGCTTGAGCGACTCATCATCCAGTGGCAAAAGTTGCTGCAGGCGAGGAAGAGCCCACTGCTCCAGTGATGCATCCATGGGCCCACGCAAATCTAAGTCTCTCTGAGATTGTGCGTTGCTACTATTTCGAATGTCCGCCTGCGTCCGTCTGTGTGAGAATCTCCAGACCTCACATTCGGATTAGCCGCCACGATGTAACGTCGCGTCGGGATGCGTGGCGAGTCTAGTCCAGGCAGTCAGCGAGAGAATCGGTGCTTGTTAACATGCAACTCTGTTTGGATGGAAATCAAGAGCAAAGATGCAAGCGTTTGATGGTCTGTCTGTAGCACCATGAAGTCGGCTTTTACTTCCGGCAGGAACGTCCCGCCCTTCCTTTCGCCAATGAAAGCAGATCAGACAGACGCAAGCGGCTGGCGCGGCCCGTACCATCGACCCTGCTCGTCATAGTTATGGGTGCGTGAATGCAACGACCACCAAAACTCACGTGAGCATTGACGGCATTGCAGCTCTATCTTGCTTTCTCTTACACGGTAACATCTCAACCCCGTCTCCGGACTCCTAGAATTCGTTTGTCAGAGCGCAAGAATCAACCGCCAGTCCCGATTCATTATGGCCCGACGCTCAGGAAGACTATCAGGCGCTGGGAGCAAGCACAAACGAACTACTTCTGGAGCCTCCGCCACAGCAGCGGACCCTAACGCGAAGAGATCGAAGACCCAGCCAGCTACACCGACCAAAAGCCCGTATTTTGAGGACGCAGAGGACGAGGGGCAAGCTTCGGAGAGCCCATCCATGGCCGATGATGGCTCCGACTTTGCGGAGCCAGAGGCAAGTGAAAGTGCCCTCTCTGAGCCTCCACGATCCGCGGACGACGACAGTGATGATGCGGATACACGAAAGATGAATCTTGTAAAAGCCCGGCCCGGCAGGGAGGTCATCATCAAGAAGCCGAAGGCCAGACCCGCTGGAAAAACGCCATACACTGATGATAGAATCCACCCAAACACCCTGGCGTTCTTAGCGGAATTGAAAGCCAACAACAAGCGAGACTGGCTGAAATGTGAGTTATGCACGTCGACCTCTTCTGAGCACTACCGGGCTGCGATACTCAGCGGCCTGGGGCTTGGACCCAGGTGCGCCGGCCGACCGACCACACCACCCCAGCACACTTGACTTGGAGTTCCCGACACGGAACATGGCCACCGTCGGACTGCTTTACATCCACAAGTGTGACACAAACCACGACATCTAGCGCAGCAACGTTGCAACATGGCTACGTTGTCTCTGGGCGAAATTTTCCATGGTGGCACAGGTCTGCCGGTCTGCACACCGGAGCGGTGACGCTGACGTTGTCAAGAGCGGGAACGGGCCTGAGTCGTGCCGGTCCTATGCATGAAGTCGCGGCGAGCCGATCCACGCAGTGGAGCCAAGGTGCTCAGACTACTGCGGTGGCTACGGTACGAGTCCGTTTTTGTGCGAAGCTGCGAAGATGGAGCCCTGACAACGCAGCAATCAGCCATGTTGCAAGCTTACCGAAATTGGAAGGCGCTAACATGACACACATTTATAGTTCACGATGCACAGTTTCGACAGGCCGAAAAAGATTGGCATTCGTTCGTTGAAACGATAACCGGGAAGCTCGTGGAACTCGACGATACAATTCCAGAACTTCCAGTCAAAGATGTGTGAGTAACATAGGAGGAGGCTGTGCAGTCGTTCTTGCGATGAACCATGATGTTGTCTAATGATGGATCATCAGCATTTTCCGCGTGTACAGAGACATTCGATTCAGCAAAGATCCCACGCCATACAAGGTGCGTCACTGCGTCCGGAAGCGTTCCCCGCGCAGGGATAATGCATAGCTAACTCGCTAGTATCAAGCCCTGGTTTTCTGTGGCCTGGGTACGAATCCTCCGCGAACGTCTTGCTCAACCGCTAACGAAGAGAGTATAGTCACGAACGGGCAGGAAAGGACCCTATGCCCACTACTATCTACAGGTTGCTCCGAATAACAGCTTCGTCGGTAAGTTGCGAATACTCCAGTGCAGTGCGCGATGATTCTTGGCCGCTGCATCCAGCCCTTGGAGTTTTGCTTTTGACTTCTCGACCTATACTGTGGTCGGGCCGCTGGATGCCCGGCCATGGTCATAATGTTGATGATTCGCGCAACGCTGGTCACTACGACCTGCCGGTGAGGATGAACTATCACTCGTCCGGTGCAGACCATGTCTAGCACTGTTAATGCTGCACAAACCGCGACGGCGACGAAAGCGCGCTCCCTACTCTGCGAGGACGAAGAGGGTCTGCATCGCACAGTCCATCATCCTCCAGTATATATTCACGCCCAGTGCCATGGGCTTTCGTGAGACCTTTCTCCATGCTCTTCAACGACTAGTATGCTACGAGCAAGCGAGTTCGAACACGCACTCTGTTGGCGTCTCAGGGGTGTGCTGAATAGCTTCCAAGGAAGGTCGACCTTAGCTTGACGTCGCGATTCGGGTCGAAGCAATGCTCTTGCGGTCGTGGGCTGCTCGAGAGGGGCCAGGATCCATCGCGAGGAAGATGGACGACGAAAGCGCTCTTTTAGAAAGGGCGGTTCGCTAGGAACCCGGCGGTGACGACACAATACACAGGCGCTGCCGTGCTGTTCATCACCCGAGCTGCTGCCCCAGTGAGCGGCTCCAGAAAAGGTTCGGGCCTTGCCCTCGTAAGATGCTGCTCGCGCCGCAGATGACGGCACCAATGGGAGGATGATATCCGCCAAAACCAGACAATCGTGCCTTGGTGGTGCCTTCTCTGTGCTCGAATGGAAGCCTCGTTGAGACTACGCGATACTGCTGGGCTGGTAAAGCCTTGTCTTGTCTTCAATCCTACCTCGAAAGCAACCCAAGCTCTTCCGTGCTGCCAACACTGTCCGGCCCCATCCAAGCACGCGACGAAAAGACATCCTGGCCTACGACGTCTTGACGTGTCTGGAGAAGTAAATCGGAATAGGTGGCTACGCAGAAGTTTCGGTTGCGACTGCGAAGGTCAGCTGGGAGCGTCAAAACAGCGAAACAAGGGAGTGGGACAAGACGAGCGAAACGGAGATGAGCTTCTCTATGAGTTCAGTACCTCCTATACCAGACAGACTCCTTCGCTATGCCTTTGGATTACAAGGGTGTCTCGATGCAGAGCGTGAGTAGCGCGCGCGCACATCGCTACGCCTGAGAGCTCAGACGCGCAGGACGCCTTGGAAGCGCTTGAAGACTGCAAGAGTCATCTTCAAGGGCTAGCAATGTGCTTTTGCTGCACGTGTCGGCCTCCTAAGCTGATGGGGCGTCTTCTGCGAGCGGCCCTGTCAAAGCTGCCACCGCATTCTGAAAGCCAGTGCAAAGAGAATGCCACCATGCACGCTGGTGAGTGTCTTGACATTGCACCAGCCGATCAAATGGATCTGCTGTGGGTCGTTCGCCAACACCAACGTGCGCAAGTGTCACCTCAGAGCGACAGCAGCCACCGACTCAACCTGAGATCTTTCTGCGGTCGCAATGGAACGCGTCGACGCGTTTCCTGGCCTCTCAACGACGCCTGCTCAGCTACCAACCGCGGGACTTCACTCAGTGAAGAGGAACGAGCCCTAAGAAACAGGCGCGCCCATAATCTCTGGGCGCTCTGGTATTGTCTGACCGCGACCTGTGTGGAGGGCGCGTTCCACGGGCAGGACGATGGCAGTATTACTTTCAGCCCGTGCCTCCTTGCTCTTTCCCTGAAGGATATAGGTCGCGTGTTCGAGAGACGGCGGGTCGAAATCGGCGGGTCAGGGTATGCTCCGCCGTCGCGTTAGGCGTTTGTGGGCTATCGAACTTAGCGCGTCGATAGACGAATGTGAGGAGCGCGTAAAGGGACAATCGCGATGTACTGCAGCGTTCAAAGCGCTTTGCTTGTTGACAGCCAGGGTGAACAATGCTAACGTCCGCGTCTATAGGAGGTGGAAAGTGGCATCCTGAAGCGCCTGCGGTCAACGCATTGCGAGCAGCCATCGACCGCAATCCGCGTGGACTCAAGAATGTCTTGACAGACCCAGGGATTCGCAAGCACTTCCTCAAAGACGCAGGCAAGACAGAAGCTGCAGCAGTCAGGGAGTTCGTCAAGAGCAACGCGGACAGCGCTCTGAAAACACGACCAAAGGTGAGTCCTACCATTCATTCCTCTTCCAAGTTGGGATAGCCGTTCGTCGACCATGTCGAAGACAAGTCGATGATGGCGCAAAAGCCGTCGCGATGCTCGCGTCTCTGACTCCTGCATTCGTTCGTCTCATGGGCGCAGTCTCGTCCCACGTAGCTGTGCAAGCAGTCGGACAGGACTCTGTGGACCTGGCAGATTTCATCGCAGATTCCAAAAAACATCAGGCAAGGCTTCCACTGGGCTGGTCTACAGATTGATTCATCTGTGACCAGCGCAGAAGAGAGATGAACTCATGAAACTGGTTCTTCCATGGTCCAACGAACTCCGGATTGCGGGTCCAGGCCCGCCCCGGCTGCCACGAGATACTGAGGCGTGACTCAGGGAAGCCCTAGGTCTTGTCACCATGATGACTTTATTTGGCTTCCGAGTGTCGCTACTTCTTCATGATGTCGTTCTACACGGCCTCGACACTGACTACATAAACATTTGCCTGAGCAACGCAGTCCTGACTCCTTGTACGCTCTACAGGAGACTGCTCCGCGAAAAGGTCGATAAGAACTAGACCAAGACGGGCAACCACCGACTCCAGGCGGCCATGTGTGATGCATTATCTCCACCGATGCAAGTGGCCCGCCGGCGGACCAACTCTGCAAGCCTCTATCGGCATGCACCTCCGCTGCATACATTCACATTCTGCAGCTGATTGCTCCGTCACAACTGAGCGTCTATGCGCCCTTCGACAATCGGAGGATGAAAGAAAGTATGTGGCTGACAGATTGTTGAATAGGGATATGACGCGGAACATCCGGATATCGACCTGCTGCGTCTCCGCAACTTCACCGTTGGGAGAAAGCTCGCCGACGAGGAAGTGGTGGGCGAGGCAGGAGCCAAGAGGATTGCGGAGCTCCTCGCGGCCCTGAAACCGTTTGTGAGTCTGCCACCCCGGCGCTGTCGTGTGTTTCGGTTGTCCTGCGTCACGCGTACCGTGGTTCACCACGAAGTCAAATCTCCTTCGGGACGCTTCTCATCAACGAGCGACCGATCTTCCGTGCCTTGCAACGCCACGCGCATCGGCTGAAGCAGGCTCGGTGTTCCCAATAGGGCAATACGCTGAATGGACGCCTACAGTGACCACAGTTCCTGAGTTGCACTGCACGTCTTGGTATGTCTGCTGACCGTGTCTTCTGAGCCTCAGATCACCTACCTGAATTCCGTTGTCATGCCTGACGATGAGGACGAGGATGCCGACGCAGCAGCAAACGACGAGGAAGAAGCGGAAGGAGAAGGAGAGGAATCTGACGGAGGGGAAGACTCTGAGTGAGCCCGTCATACGACACCTTCTCCCCCTCTCATATGAAACTCTGCAACGTCCTAAACTTCGACGAGAACATGCCGTGCTTCAACGGTACAATACACACACATGCCAGATAGAGTGGCTGTCCAGCACAAGGCGCTCGCTGTCTTTCTGCAACTGTCCAAGGAAATGCATACGTCGGATTCCAATCTACGTATCATGTGCATCGACCTGCACACCCACCATCATCATTCTCCTTCCAATATAAGCAGGATTGGCTCACCACCTGGAGCGTATGGAGCCACGTCGATGGTATGATGTGAGTACACAGCATTCGCACCTGCGCTGTCTGCGCAGTCTGCGTGCGTTGGCTGCATGTAGCTCGCTCTGTACTGTACGCATCGCATCCTTTTCGTCGTGTCAGCGGCCCAAGCATGCCGTCCAATCAAAAATGGGCCGCTACCGTGCCCTCGCGAGCAACTGTAGCGGTCCGAAAGTCTAATCGGCGGCAAGTCGCAGCAATTTTCCGTCATGTGATGAGCTGGGCCTAGCGAGATCGTCGATTCGTCGGCGCCGGGACGGGCTGCTCAGCGCACCACGACCGCGCCGCTCCGAAGCGACAGGGTTGTTTCCTCATCGCTGTGTGCTGTACTCCGACTTGGTGGCGTGCCGAGTGCTTGCTTGCTGGGCAGAGCGAATGAATGGCGGTCACCGCCACCCAAGAACGTATGAGTAGACGGACCTTCAGACTGACAGTCAGCTCTGAACGACATGCCATGCCAGTGCTGATGACATCTGCTGTCTCACCGGAGTGCGCTCGGTGGCAGACCAGCGCGTTTAGGCAAAAAGCTCCCGAGGACCACGCCGGGCCGAACCTACATTTGCACACGCATGCCCTCCCTGCTGATGGCAGCCGACGACAGAACATCTTCCATGTTTTTACATGCATGAACGACCATAACCCGCAGCGATGCAGCTGCATTTCGCTGCTCTCAGTTACTTCGGGGCCCAGGCTGACGCTGCCACCAGCGAATCTTGTTCTGTGAAACTCTCTCTGCTGGTCACATCAACATATCCACACACACAGGTCGCTTACGAGACTGTGAGGCACTGTTCATCTAGGTCTGACGATCGAGACGCTGCCGCACCATGCACGCAATGTCTCCTTACATCGCAGTGCGGTAAAGTGCAGTGAAACGGGATCGACTAATCCCTGATGACACCCCGAGATGTGCCACTGTGGTCGCCTGCCAGAGCTGTCGTCTGTCGCGTGGACCTTGCGTGCCGTACCAGGGCTTTCACCAGGATATAGGGTCTTCTGCAATTATGCAGACACCAGGTTGGAGTGGGTGTCGACGACCAAGGGTGGGGCGACAGAGATTGCTCGCAAAGCGAGAAGTGACAGGAGCATCGTATCATGCAGTAGTAGTACTAGTAATAGTAGTAGGAATTCCCAATGGGTCCGCACCTAGTCGTCGTAGCGTCGACCTCGATGCGCAGTGGTACATACCTGCTGGCCTGTCCTGCAGCGAACGTCGGTGCTGTTATATAGGATCTGTCGCTGCTCAGTGGTGCACGCAAATTCTTTCGGTGACACACTCTTCGCTCCTCACACTTTCGTCGGGCCTCATAACAACGAGCCTCATCACTGGCACACCAGAGAAGCCGTCCCACACCTCGGCGGAGTCTCCTGTGCGTATACAGGCGGAGTGACACAGCCGCGCTGGCCAATGAGACTGCTGAGGTGTCAGTTACTGTCGGCCTCCAAGACGGTACTCCTCAGATGATTGCCGAAATCGACTGTTTCACTCTATAAGAGAAGGGTACCACGGTCGACTGCCCAGCCTTTTTCGACACCAACCAGGATCTGCCTCTTGTCGTCGTCCACTAGGAGTTCCCAGACCAGCATCCGCGGCCTGCTGTCCTCAACGGGTCGGTCCACGCCTCCCCACAGCATCCTTCCGGAAGTCTCGCTCTCCTGGAGCGGTCCACAGCGTTCCGCATTGCAGCACCGCACCCGCATCAAGGTTGAGGAGTATAACTAGAGCTGCAGCTATAGTCGGGCAGGTAGAGCCATCCATCGACAACGTCCAGCGGCAGGCTAGTCGAATTGTCGAGATCTGTCGCGAGGCGCACGAGCGTTGCCATTCTTGACGTAGCTGCACCGACAGGCGATGTTCGCGCAGCAATAAATTTGTGATTGGTTGGCGCAGGGCATTTTTGCCCCCGCCAGCTGACCAGCTTCCTCCCCGACAGCGCAGAGGGCATCGCATCGCTGCTGCGAATTACGTTAACGACGTACCGGGAGCGGGATACGCAGGAGAATTATTGTGTACGGCTGCCGACGGGCGAGCGGGCTGATCGTACACGATTCGATTGGGTGTTGGAGCACAGAGCGTCGACTGGGCACATCAGCGCATCACGCTACTTGCTCTCCGCCAAGTGGCCGCCTGCGTAGCACGCGCAACAACTGGGCGCGGCGACGCAGTGCCCACTACGGTGCACTGCCAGAGTAGCAGCCGCGAGACACGCGGTTGATCGGGCCAACAGCAGCTCGTGCTCGGCAGGCATCTGCAGGTTGACGAGGCACTATCGGCCTGAGCCCTGTCCCGCGCTGAGAGGAGACTACCTGCTGCCAAGCTACCTGCCCGTATACATACATACATCACAATCACCGTCACTGTAGACTCGGACTCGGAGTGCTCGGATCGCGCGGACGCACACGCACACGCCGACCAGACGCAGACGCAGACCCAGTAGTTGCCAGACGCAGACGCGGCCGGCGGTGGGTGGGTGGGTGCGGTCACTGCGGTGGGTGAAGGCGACGGCCAGCGCCGCAAGTGGGCGGACCGTCCGCGGGGACGACCGAGACGACCAAGACGACCCAGACGACTCCCGGCGCCGGCGGCCTGATCCTGATCCCGGAACGATCAGCAACACTCTAATCCGCGCTAGCGCAGCGTAAGCGTCGTCGCGGACAAGGGCCTTCCGCAGGTGCAGCAACGCGAAGGAAGCTCCCGCATCGCTGCACCCATTCACGGACCTGTGCGCGATTCTCGATTCTCATCAATCATCAGCAGAGCCAGCGGCGTGCACATCTGCCAGGCGAGGGCATCTTCACCATCCCGATCCCTCCCCTTCCCCCTCCACCACTACCGTGACTGCTGCTGCCCGCTGTGCTGTGTGCTCCTTCATCATTCGCCTTCGTCACCGTCCCGCGGCAAGCCAGCCAGCGCGCGCTCTTTCCTCATAATAATCATAACCCGGCCCTCTTCCCGTCCCGCCCACCTACCACCCTGCTGGGACCTTCCACGCTTCCTTCCATTCTTCCACCCGATTTTCTTGCACCTGCCTGCTACCTGCTACCCGACGACTCGAGCTCGCACTCTCGTCGCGCCGAACACTGCGCCGCGATTCCCACCACATCCCCCTGCTGCTTGTCCGTCGCGCGCGCGCGCTTGCTTGCTTCCATTGCTTGCTTGCTTGCTGTGCACTCTCACCAACACACACACTTGCGCCGCATCCACCCACCCACCCACACACCCACAGCACACAGACAGAACGACACTCGCCTTCCTTGTGCTCAACCGACGACCAACACCCGGCACGCGCGCGGCCCGTACCTCTCGTGCGACCTCACGCGCTCCATCTGCATCACACCGCAGTGCCCGCTGTATCGGCGCCGCCCTCTGCTGCAGCACACCCGCATCGCTATCCATCCCCCGCCCGCAATTCTTCGACGAGTCGCCGTCGCGACTCACGCGCGTCGCAGCCATGTATAACAACACCACCGATCCGAATCAGAGCCCCAACAACTGGTCCCCACAGCCGCCGAATGGCCAGTACCAGCAGCAGAGACCTAACAATCCCAATCAGGTAAGTTACATCTTGCGCCCTGCTTGCTTGATCGTCCCAGAAAGTTGGGGTTCGCTACGGAGTGTGCCAAGGCCGTGGCCAGCTTTGCTGTTACGCCATTCACCTTTCGCTTCTCTCCGACCTCCAATTCTCAACCTTGCATCTCACGTCGCTCTCACCACCAACACCGCATCCACATCAAATCTTCCCTCCTACCTGCAAATTCGCACCACATATCGCAGACCATGGGTGGCACTGCAATTGATCCCGCGTTGGCCGACGTGGATGTCCAGGTAGAAGGTAATGCTGACCAAGATGATGAGAAGAACCTCGCTCCCATCGCACAGTCTGGAGTCCAGCAGCCGCAGCCGCAACAGGGCGCACCGGCGATGCCTACGTTGCAGCCTCAGCATCCCGACCAGTACAGAGCCCTTCCTCCGCCTCAGCAAATCTATCCTCCTCCATACGGAGCTGGCATGGCATATCCTCCCACGCAACCCGCACCACGCCAACGCACTGCCATCGCTTGCCGCTACTGCCGCCGCCGCAAGATCAGATGCAGCGGATTCGATCAGTCCGACGATGGCCGCTGCACCAACTGTCAGCGGTTTTCTCAAGAGTGCGTCTTCACGCCAGTCAGCAGCCAGACTCAGGTATGTGTATTGTAGCCGTCGCGTCGTACCATGTCTTTCGCGTCAACTAATACTTATTCCAGGCGTTTGTGCCCGCGCACACCGTGTGGCGTGGCCAGGGCGGGCCTCCTCCAAACACGCAGCTCTACGGCGCGTATGGCCAGCCACTGCCACAGCACGGCCAGAACCGTGACGGCTACCCACAACAACAGCAGCAGCAGCAGCAGCAAGCTGGACAGTATCCTCCAGTGCCGCCGCAGGGCTACCAGCAGCAGCCTATGTATGGCCAGCAGCCGGGCCAGCAGATGCCAGCACAAGGTACGAAGCGCCCGAACGATGAGCCGCATACCCCGACACTTCCACCACCCAACCCCGGCGCACAGGCTCAGATGCAAGGCTACTCTGATCCCTCTGGTGCGTCGTTTGCCTCTCCCACTCCTTCCTATTCTCATTCCTCTTTTGAGCCCTACTCTTATCCCTATCACAACCAGCCGGCTGTTCGTGGAGGTCGCCCTCCGTCAAGCGGTCTGCGACACACCGTCAAGGGCAACGAGCCTGGTCAGTCGCAGCCGGAGCGCACCTCCACGGACAGTAGCATGGTTCAAGCCCTCAATCGCGCCTAGTCGAGACGGAAGCTGACCATGATCAGCAGCGAACGGAATGTCGGATCAGAAAGAGACGGGGCCACGTAATGGAATGAAAGATGTTGGCGTCCAGGTGGAATTGCTCCGGGATCCCGCCAAAGAGCAGGCCTCATAGCGGCGGTCAATCAGCGAGCATGGACACTCGGCGTCCATGACGGCTACGGACGAGGTGCGATACGGTGCGATACCCCCCGCTCCGCGACTTCTGGTCGCGGCGGGACATGCAATACTGCGCTTCTGAATTGGCGTTCCGACTTGCTTTTGCTTTTTCACGGAGGCTCGAGCGATTTTCCAAGGCTCCGCACAGGTCGCGCAAAAAGCGCCCGTCCTTACTGTAGCATTGGGAGGTCTTCTGCGATACTCTTTCAGCAAAGCGAAAATGTTTTACGACATGGCGTTCTCCTCCTCTGGTTTGGCACGGTGTATGCGAACAAGAGCGGTCTGGCAACGGATAAGATAGCCTAGTAGCATGAGTTTTTCTAACGCCTTTCTGACGATGCTGTACCCTGTCGCTCCGATCCTTCGTGATGCTGTTGATGAGGTTGGAGATGAGAATGGGGATGGCATGAAGTTGCAAGAAAGTCTTTCTTTCGCGGTCCGTACCTCTGCGGTCCGCTGCCCACGTGAAGTGGCCTTTTCCGTTCGCCAAACTCCAGAGAAGGGAGGCAGCGGGAAGAGGCGTCTCCCGTTATGCACACCTCGAGATTGCGCGCTTCCATCGCCATCACGGTTGCGGGTCTTGCTTGATTGATTGCGCGACCGTGAAGCCTGTGCTGCTGGGTGCGTGTGGCTGGCTTTCAGGAGCAGCAGGACCGAAGCCCGCGCGCGAAATCTTCGAACATCCCAAGACACAGAAGACGGACGGACTGACTGACTGACTGACTGACTGACTGACTGAACGAAGCAGTACGTAAATGTACGGATTCACAACCGACAGACAAGAAAGGAACGGGCAAACGGGACCTCTATCTCTCTCTCAGCGCGCGCAGAAAGTGAGAATTCGTGATCCTCGCTTCAGACTCTGCTGAACAGCAGCAGCAGCAGCAGCGTTTGAAAGAAACAGCAGATCTTTTTCCTTTTTCCTTCTTCCTTTTCCTTTCCTTTCCTTTCTGCAATACCCACCCACCCACCTGCTTGAAGGACTGTTTCGATAGAGAGAGAGACAGGTATCGCGAGACTGGAGATTCCATCCGAAGGGTGACGACGACGGAGAAGAAGTAGACGGAGAGGGCCCGATAGGCGTGGGCGGGAAATCCATCCCTCCCTTCAATTCAAGATGCTTCCTGTCGGATTGGAGCAGCCGCCTTCCTACAAGTGCCTCGCGTCGTCTTGAGCGTTTCAGAGGAGGGGAGATAGCGAGACATCTAGTTGTCGCTGGCTGGTGGGCAGTTTGTGTCTTTGGCATTTGCATCATCGTGTCTCCGTGGGCTCATGGAGGCTTCCAATATCAACCGGACCACTCACACTGTATGGACATCGCAGGTATCATAGCTGTCCGGACTCACAGATTCAATGTTCGCGCGCGTCTCTGGAGGTAGTGCTGTGAACCAAATACCATCAGTCTACGTCGGCATCACGAAGACTAGAGATCTGCCCTAGGTCATGAGACGATGCAATTATCTTGTGTCTTTCCGCTGTGCTTCCTAATCGAATTAAATCAGAACTGTGACTGAAGATGTCTCCTGAGGCAACATTGAACACCGCAAACACCGTAGCCAAATGTCACTCGTCATGAGGTCGAAAGCCGCTCTTCCCATCGCGCATAAGTTCTGCTAGTCTGGAAAAGCCGCTCAGACGTGGCATTATAGACATCATGCATCTCTCCTTCCCCTGCAACGCCTCTATGATTGATTCCACGTTGCACTCAGCAGTTGCAGCCTCCCGGACCTCCACTCGATGCTCCAGGGTCTTGTCGCGATCCCAAATCAACGCCCCCGGGTCTTCCAGCAGCTCCTCTCATACCTCGCTGACTCGCCTGCTCGATTGGAAGTTTCTTGGCGATCGCTGTGAACAGCTCCTTGACGTTCTCTGCTGTCTTGGCGCTTGTCTCGAAGAAGAGGAGGTTGGCCTCCTTGGCATACGATTCGGCATCGGCGGTTGGGACTGCGCGCTTGTCGGGTTGTTCGGCCACCAAGTCGGCTTTGTTACCGGCCAGTGCAATGATGATGTTCTCGTTGGCCTGTCGCTGTAGCTCCTTCACCCATGCCTTGGCCTTATCTAATGAGCTCTGATTGACGCAGTCAGTACTTGTCCATGCCATGAGGTTCACAGCGCTCTTACCGCCTGCGTGATATCGTACACCACTACAGCGCAATTTGCATTTCTGTAGTACATCGGTGCCAGCGACTTGTATCTCTCCTGACCTGCGGTATCCCATATCTCGAATTTGACAGTCGTTTGGTCATCAAGGGCGATCGTTTGGGTGAGGAATGCGGCTCCGATGGTACTCTCTCGATAGTCGTCGAACTGGTCCTTTGTGGGGGGTCAGATGATGTTTGCTAGGGTAGGATAGGATAAGCCTCATACCTTGACGAAGCGCAGTACCAGCGAGCTCTTTCCTACAGCGGATTCACCTGTCCTTTCTCAGCATCAGGCGAGTATTACGCAATACCAGAAGCGGGACCATACCCAACAGTACCAACTTGAATTGCGCAAACTTAGCCGCCCCAGGGCGACCGCCGGGTTGCTGTCTCGCCGCCATGTGTTGTGTGTGGGTGTCCTGTGCAGTGGATAGCGGTGAGGTCGTGCCCCTCGCGGATATGTTGTAGTCGGTCTGCGAGGTGTTGAGGAAGTTGGCCGGCGTGATGTTGAGTTGAAGTGGTCTGGAGTGTTGATCGATCGTCTGTCGCCTGGGCAAGGTTGAGGCGGAAAGCGCTGCACGTGCCATGTACGTCAGCTAAGCTTTTGGCTAGTCCCTGCGTATCAGATCGGGCGTGGAGACCACGACATCGACTTCGCCATCCACCACCGCGCCTCCAACTTATTTTATAACATCTTCCTATCGCCGGCAAACAACTCTTTTTCGTGTTGCAGAATGGCCCAATTCTGATCTACATCCTCCCAGACTACTCAGCAAGCCCATCACCAGCCCGCAATCGCCGCCAAGATGAGTGGCACGCTCCCCTTTCGCGACATTAATGTGCACGCGTCCTCTACCCACTACGCCTTCTCTTCACCATCTTCGCCGAACGCGCCAACTTTGGTGGTAGACCGACCCTCCGGCGACCTCAGACTCAACGATGGCAAGCTTAGCGGTGGTCATCGTGTGTCGAGCATCTCGGGAATCCTTGGTATCATCAAGCTACGACTAGGTACAAAGCTCTCGAGTTCGTTCTATTCCATACTCACATGCTGACCCTTTTCAATGTAGATAGCTATGTTATAGTCATCACCAAGTCCCAGGCCATGGGGCGTCTAAAGGGCCATCAAATTTACAAGGTCATCTCGACAGAATTCTTGCCATTGCGGGAGCGCCAGGTTCACGACCCGGACGAGGACCAGTACCTCACCTACCTGAAGCTTCTACTCAAGACCGGACCTATGTACTTCTCCTATTCTTTCGATCTAACAAACAGCTTCCAGCGCCAGGCGGGAGGCAACACAAATGAACCACTGTGGCAGCGTGCGGATGACCGGTTCTTTTGGAATCGATACATCTCCTCCACATTGATCGACTTTCGGCTAGGCAAGGCAGGAGGAAGACTTTCGTCGGGTCAGCAACCCTCAATCGATCCATACATTCTTCCTGTAATGTACGGCATGATGAGCATCACCAATACGTCTATCAAAGGGAATGCTCTCACCTTTGTGCTCATCACACGGCGATCGAGACACCGGACGGGTACTCGTTATCTGTCTCGTGGTATCGACGAAGATGGTCATGTGTCCAATTTCAATGAGACCGAACAATCCATCATTCTGAATGACAACGCATCAAGCGGCATGACGAGCTACGCGGGCGACAGAGGTTTCGCGAACGGAAAGCCGGTCAGCGCGCCAGAGACACAGGTGTTCTCATATGTCCAGACCCGTGGAAGCGTTCCAGTCTTCTGGGCAGAGATCAACACATTGTCATATACGCCGAAGCTGCAAATCCGCGGCGTAGAAAGCGCTGCAAATGCAGCCAGACGGCATTTCGACGAGCAAATACGCCTTTATGGCGAGAACTACATGGTCAACCTTGTCAATCAGAAAGGGCGCGAGCAGCGCGTGAAGGATGCATACGAGCAAGTCGTCAAAATACTGCAAAGCTCCCCACAAGAAGAGATCGAAGCTGATCGCAAGACCAATGAGAAGTTCGATGTCATCGAGCCTGGTGATAAGCGAGGCTGGTTTGACCACCTTCACTACGTCTACTTTGATTTTCACAATGAGACAAAGGGTTTGAAGTGGCACCGCGCACAGCTCTTGCTCGACCAACTTAAGGATGGTCTCACAGCCGGAGGCTATTTCCACGGCATTGACATGCCTTCTGGAGGTGTTGATGTCAGAAGAAAGCAGACGGCGGTTGTGAGAACAAATTGCATGGATTGCTTGGACCGCACAAATGTCGTCCAATCGATGCTGGGCCGATGGGCATTGACTCGTATGCTGCTCGACCTGGGACTACTTCGCGCCGGAGAGACGGCACAAGATGACGAAACCTTCGAGCATCTCTTCCGAAACGTCTGGGCTGACAATGCCGACATCGTCTCGAAGACATATTCAGGAACAGGCGCTCTGAAGACCGACTTCACACGAACCGGCAACCGCACGAGGGCGGGTATGCTGCAGGATTTCAGCAATAGCTGCACTCGGTATATCAAGAATAATTTCGCCGACGGTCCCCGACAGGATGCTTTTGATCTCTTCCTAGGCCAGTATCCTCCAGACATGGGCGGCATTGGGTCAGCACAGCAATTTGCAGACCGAAGACCAGTCATCATCCAAGCAGTCCCCTACGTTCTCGGATTCTGTGTCTTCTTTGTTGTCATCAGCGTGAGCACAAACCGCCTACCAGATTCGACAATCTGGCCTTTGCGGTTGTTTACGCTCTTCAGCATGGCTGTCGCTGGCTATGCAGGCCGGTTCATGTCAACATATGGAAGTCTCTATGTGAGTTATCCCATGCCATTCGTACTCCTCTTCCACAGCTGACAGATTGTTAGGTCAACTGGCCGAAACTCAACACGCCACAATGGGCGATCGAGGCGTACCAAGACACACTCGACAGAGCCAGCAAAGATCCTCTCATTGGACCATTCGTCAGTGGCGGCAAGAGCGACTCTCGTCTCGGAATCCTGGAAGAGGGCAAGAAACGTCGCGAGTAGAAGCGTCTCCGTCTTCTTTGTTAAATTACATTCAGCAAATTGCATCTCAAGAGCTCAGCGGGGTAATAGAAGCAGCTCTATCTTTTTACAACTGGACAAGCGCTTTATTTGCATAATGGAAACCAGGTCCATTTTGGGCTGTCATTACCTCTAGGCCGAGGGTTTCTGATTATGCAATCACCATGTTTGAGTGCCTTTTCATGTCGCTCACACTGACTGGCAGCTCAGACTTCAGAAGATTGAGACCTCATGAAGGAGCTTGCACTTCAGCCTCCCATGGCACCAAATTGCAAACAAATGTCGAAGGCTATTGCTGCAGGCTCCTCGCTCTCCAAAATCACACAAGAACCACCATATCCCACGTAGGTATCGACCTGCAAACAGAGACCGCAATAGCTTGCGCCAACTGCGCAAAAAGGCAAAGCGAAGTGTGATCGGAAGGTAAATCAAAAAGTCTGACAGGGCACAGGATGTTTGACGTTGCTGGCATCTGCGCAAATCAAGATCCCCTGTACGCGGTGTATAGAGACAAAGCTCACATGTCAAGGAAGAACGCCTCGCGGTGGGCCAGGACGCTCTTTTGGAAGTAGTCAGGTTCGTACTAGGGTTGCTTCGTCCGATGGATCATAAAAGTTGCTTTATTCCAGAAGATGGACACACTTTTTCCATACCACCACAATCAACAGCTGTCAAACTGCCCAACCAGCGCCCCCTCGGACTGTTTCCACCCGCGCCGAGGGCTCAGACAGTCTCTCCCTTCGCACCACCGTGCCTGGCAAACGAATTGTCTGTGTCGACGGCACCGGAGCGCTGAAATTTACGCAGGCTCACAGGGCCAACACCGGGTCGCACGGTTACTCTTACTGGCTTCAGCATTAAGCCCGAGACTGGAGCTCTTCAGTTCGAGAGGGACGAATGGGACGCTTGTCCAGTTGACAAGGTGAACCCGGATGGTGTTTACCGGGTCTTTGCTGCTGACAAGATCACTGGCTCCAATGCCGATGGTGGCTGCTTGGGATTTGCTTTCAGGCCTTCTGAGGTTGGCGCTGATGCTGATGCTGCTTGGCAGTACCGGTAGAGACTCGCAGGTTAGCATTGCAGATGGCGATGAAGGGTTGTATTTAGACTGTATTGCACAGCGCTGTGTTGGACCACAGGACTCACGACAAGATGGACTGTACAGGATTCAACGATCGACGAGATTGAAAGTTTTGGAATTTTAGAACGTCCATCAATCTTCCTGGTGGGTGTCGAGCAGGGGCAATGTAATTCCATTCAAGAACTATGCGCGGCATCGCTTTCTGCGCCTTCATTTCTTCGCATCGTCCTTCATGCCGGCCTGAATCCAGTTGCGGCTCTCGGCGGCGTGCTTCTCCATCGCCTCCTTGTTGGACAACAGCTCCTTCATCTTGTAAGGGTCTGGAACATTAGCACCCTTCAGACCTTTTGTCAGCAAACGTGATCACGGATTTCGCACAAGCTTAGTAGCGAAGAGGAGGGTACCTTTTGAAGCGCGGGTCTCGCCCACATTCGGTCCTCCCATGCTTTTAGGGTCGGGAATTCGTCGATATCGATTCCGGCCCAGCCTGCAGCAGAGACCCAGCCTGCAGGAGGAAGAAAGAAGAAGCCATGTCAGCTCGTCTCCAACGCGACGACGTAGCGTTGGTGGGCTTACCCCAGTGTGCGATGTCTGCAATGGTGCACTTGTTTCCGACAAGGTACTGGTTCCCACTGTCCTTCAAGTGCTTGTCCAGCACGCCATAGAGACGACGGGTCTCGTTCTGATACCGGTTGATACCGTATGGGATTTGCTCAGGAGCGTACTGTGTGGAGTGTCAGCGAAGCATGTCGTATCGTATCGTGTTGGTTGGGTCAAAGGTACGCGAGTGAAATGGTTGGATTGGCCTTGCATGGGTCCCACGCCAGCGTTCATGAAAAAGAGCCAATTGGTCATCTACGAGATGTCAGCGCCAATATCTGCTGGCAATGCAAGTGGTCTCACTTCGATATGCTCGCGAGATCCCGCGGGATAGCTAATCTTGTGATCGTTGTCGTATCGTTCCACGAGATACTGCATGATCGCTCCGGATTCGAAGACGCGAATGGGCTTTCCATCGGTGAAAGTGTCCGTCAGAGCTGGAATGCGGCCGTTGGGGTTGACTGGTTTACACCGTCAATGGCTATTCTCCTCGTGAGTGGCGAAGGACAACGTACTGTCCAAGAACCATTGCTCCTTCTGGGTGTTCTTGGAGATGTCGATCTTGGTGAATTCGTACGGGAGACTGGCCCTCAGTCAATACATCGTAGTCTGATGGAACGCCTGGTCGACTCTTACCCCAACTCCTCCAATGTGATGGAGATTTTGATGCCATTCGGCGTCTGGGTCGTGTAGAGGTGGATGTTGGAAGACATAGTGCCAAGTTCTCGATCAGCCATGGCTTGTGGTTGTATAGTATGGAACAAGGGTGAAGTAGAGTGGGTTCAATGTCAAGATATGTGTGGGGAAGGAATACAGTAGGCCGCCTTACTGCTTGGAAATCAAATACTTCGAGCTACACGTCACACCCCACATTCGATCGAGGAGCAGTATGGAACGAGCAAACGCGACATGGCAAAACGTTGCCGGTCAGTCTTCGTTCACGGGAGAGAGTGGATGCACGTTCCATGATGTTGGCTCAATCTTGATAGAGAAGTTCCACCTCGTCGCAGACGGAAAAGGGAGATGAGGTTGGATCGAGACTTCACGTGATAGCGCGAGGGTCAATAACGACGGTAAAACTTTCTCCCACAACTCTGACTTGACTTTCCCTCAAACACAGAATTCTAGAACAAACGACACCTAAGACCAGCCGAACGAACGAAATAGAACAGAACAACCAAAACCATGACCGTCCCACACCCAACCAAGAACCAGTCTCCCTCCGCTCTCCAAACCTTCCTAACCAACCATCCCCCACCAAAATCTTCCCAACACCCCACCGACCTCCACCACCTCGCGCTCCAGATAGCCCACAACCTGCACTACCAACACCTCTGGACATCCGTTCGAATCCACCGCTCCGCAACCCATCCGCGCCCTCTGCTCTCCGGCGTCCCGCCCTCGCGCCTCTACATCCACCCGGACGAGCAGATCCAACTGCTCCAGCAGCAAAAAGACCACGGAAAGACGGGCATGCCGCAGTTGGAAGCGCAGCGGGAATGGGTGCTTCCGAGTCATTTGCGGGAGAAGTGGAGTCTGAGGAGGTTGGGGGAGGTGTTTGATTCGATTGGGCACGCGCCGAGGGACGGGGAGGGGGACGAGGTGTTGGAGGGCGAGGGAAAGGGAAAGGGAGGGAGCGGGGAGCTGAGCAGGTGGAGGTTGGAGATGCCGAAGAGGCTGTTGCTCGCGACTTTGGATGATGATAGTACGGTGGTGTACTATATTGTCCATGATGGGATTGTGAAGCCCAGACAGAATTGAGTCGGGACCGCGTATCGACATCCTCGAGTCATCACTACGAACGACCACGGCTCACTGCGATGCTGTTTATACAGCGCATAGAAGGCATGAATTCGAATCTGACGGAACAAGGCTTATGAAGCAAACGTGAGATATGTACACATATGCATGGGACATCGTTGTCGGAACATCGTTGCATTGAGGGAATCCTACATCTGGTCCAAGCCGTCCAGACCGCTACCTGGCTGATCTCCTGTCATGCCGCTATCTTGGCCGCCATCAACTTCCATACCTGGCGTCAACCCAGTCGAAGGCATACCACTCACATCGCCAAACCCAGGAAAGCCATTCGACCAATCGAAGCTCCCGCTGAACAGATTGTTGTCCTCCCCAATCGTTGGAGGATCCAAGTTGAAAGGCATGAACCACGCAGTTGACGGGTCGCCCCAGAAGCCATTCCCCTGCCCGTTCTGGCCGTTGCTATTGGCAAGAGCACTCCAGTCAAAATCGCCGAGGTTGTTGCCTGTGTTTTCAAGCAACATATTCAACGTATTCAGGTTTGATTGCGCATTCTGGTTCGAATTCGCGTACGAGTTGAGGACCATCTGCCTGTCCATTTGGGACAGAAATTGCAGCGAGTTCATCGCAAGCGGATTTTGCTGCTGTTGAAAACCTGGAGAAAAGGAAGAGGCTTGTTGCGAGAAGTCGCCCATATTGCCGTTATGCTGGAATCCTTGAGTCGAAGCCAGGTCGTGTGTGACCTGTTGCGAAGGGGCTTGCTGATGCGAGTTGCCCGCTGAGCTTTGTTGCGCATTACTTGCATTCTGGCCAGTCTTGCTGCCTTCGGAAACCGACTTCGAATGCTTCTTTCTCGCGACCTTTCTCGAGGTGGACGGTTGCTGTTGCTGTTGAAGCATATGTGCTGCTCGACTGGGCGGACTCAGCTTTGAGAAGAATTCTTCGACCGTCTGCAGATCGCTCTTCTGTCCGAGCACTGCATCACTTCCAGGCTCTTTCTTCATCTCAGTACTCGGTTCTTCATAGTCTGTCCCACTGACACCATGTGGGTAGCGATCAAACCAATCGCCATACTGGAAAATAGCTTGCTCTCCCTCCTTGCCGGCAGATTTGGCTCCTGATCTTGCAGCGTCCGCATGTCTCCGGTACAGATCCCGCAGATTTTCCGTGACGAAGTGAAACATGCCCCAGTACTTCTTCATCTTGGTCAAATATTTCACATTCCACGCCAAGTTCTGCTTGCTCGAAGCTTCCAGAGCCGCGTTCTTGGAGAAGACGCCGTGAATGTGTACTGTGCTGCTGAAGAAGGCACAGTATCCTGCGAAGGGCGCTACAACGAGGTGATCGTTCGCCTCATGTATCAGCGCTGATATCTGGTTCGCAGCTTCCAATGCTGTCCGTGCGGCTTCGGCGATAAAATCTTCTGGCATGTCCTTTGGCAGTTGAGGTCGTCCGCCCGCACTCGGAAGGGCAAAGCGATTCATGAATAGGATGATCTGATTGTGCACAAGATGCAGGAAGATGAACTGGTTTGCAATCTTCTCGGACGCATGGTACTGGAGATTCTCGGAGCTATACTCCAGTGACGAGGGCAGCGTCTTCTTCCACCCCTCCACGGCGTTCTTGATGCTCTGAAAATTCGATCCTTCGGACCACATGTGATGTTCATCGCGTTCCTTGCCGCCTTGGTTGAGGTAGTTAATAAGCCTTCCCCAGATGGAGACCAGTCGGATCAAATATGCAGCTACACCCATATTCTCCTTCGCGTCGGCCATCTGGCCTTGGCCTGGATCCACAGGGTTGGGCACCGCACCTTCTAGATCTTGTGTAGGCCCGTTGATCTCCATCTGGAAATAGCTCTCTTTGATGGGTAATTGAGCACGAATGTATTGCTCGCCAACAAAGATCGGTCTATCCGTCCCACTGGAGTTGAAGCGATCCATCAAGAAACAAGACCACATCGTTCTCCTTCGTATCTCACGATCGGTAAAGGTTAGCTCGCTCCGAGCGCGGTCTTTGGGGTCATGATCCAAGTCTTTATGGAGCTGTAGCGCATAGGCCATCCGCTGTGCCATTCCTCCAAACATCCAACTGCGGCCTCCTTGACATGTACCGAATTCGTGCAGGCCCAATATAAGATACACGATCAGAATCGTGATGTTCGGGGTATCAAACCTTCGTAATGCGATCTCTCTTGCGGCGATAGACCAGCTTTCTCCTCGTAAAAACGCCGGTTCCGTGCGTACTGAGGGATGATTTGAGAATCGAGCCGATATTGCGCACACAGCAAGCATCAACACGGGCGGCACTGTGCCCTGCGCCAATCTTCGCATAAAGCTGGGCTTATGCAGCAGGTGATAGCTCTGGCCATAGACATAATCGAAAAACACTTCGGAAAGATGTTCCTGGATCTCCTTGGAGGGCAATTTGTCCGTGCCCTCGCGAAGTAAGTTCTGCTCTTCCGGGTCTTTTGCTCTGGCCTTTTCAGAATCCTCGTCCGTGACCGGACCTTCTTTTGATGCAGCAGCAGGAGGCTTGTTCTTGTCAGACGCCCACTCCTCAAGTTCGTCGCCAAATGCTACTTCTGCGGCACGCTTCTTGGACGATGCGGTTGGCTTGGGAGGAGCAGCTGGCAAGGATGGCTTCACAACAGCACGGCCAGTGCTTGCGACAATACCTTGCTCCTCCTTGGGAATTATCTTGATCACCCGGTCTTCCATTCTCTTGAGTCTTTTGTCCAGCATGGCCATGTAATCCGTCCGTGGAGCAGCTTTGCGGGTGGTGACTTTGTAGACACAGGGAATGCGTGATCGCAGACAATGTTTACAAGCCGGCTTCTCGCCGGAACAGCGAATCTTCTTCCGTCTACACGCAATGCAAGCCAACGGCAGCCGCTTTCGTTCCTTGCCGGCCTTGGTCTTGAGTTCACTCCATGAAGGCGCATGAGCAGCGTCTTCAGCTTTACCGCCATCACCTGCTGGCTGAGAAGCATCGTTGTGATCTATCCTCGGCTTGTTCCCTGGGCTTGTCATATCCGATCCGCCGCCGAAACTGTTGTGTCTTGCCATTGGGGCGTTGCTTCCAATGCTGGCGCGATGATGGTGCGCAGTAATTGGTGATTGAGCGTCTGAGAGCGCAGTTGGTGGTGCGGCAGATGGCGAAGGAAGTACTCCATTCTCGAAGCCAGCAAATGGGTGCGCATGACTTGGTGTCGAAGTGGGAGCTGCAGTGTACGTTCCTGAATTGGCAGAGCCTGTCACAGTTGGACCAAAGGCTTGTGCGAGGTCGAAATCATAGTCGCTGGTTCCCGACTGACTTCCTCCGTATGCAGAAGCGGGACCCATGAAGTCGAGATTGACCAGGTTGGCGCTCGGCGAGTTCCGCTTGTATTCTGACATGGTCTCACAGCTCTTACTGCAAGTCTTCGCGGCGTTGTGCGATCCTCTTTGAAAGGAACGAGGGCCGATGTAACCTCCTCTACACTGGGTGCTCCGACCAGTCTGCCATAGGAATGGGGAGGGGGGTTGTGGATATATCCGGACCAAGACGGTCTTCACGCGGTTCGCTAACGGCGGGAGCCAACGTCATTCGCGAGATGGTACGGGGCGGATAGGCAGGAGAAAGTTACAGTCGGAGCCTGGCCTGGGTACTGTATCGCTCGCGGGGAGAGGGGAAGTCGTGGTGGATAGGGCGAAGGGCTTGCAAGACTCGGTCAGCCCAGCATCGATGGGGCAACTACAAGACAGTCAGGTCGTGGAGGGTCCAGATGTCTTCGTTCGGGGAGGTGTTGGTGAGATGGGGATACATGTGTGCATGGATTGTGGATGGAGCAACGAGGCCCGGGTGAAAGCGTGGTGGGAGGACAGGGCTTCCTTCCCCAGAAAAAGGCGAGAGTATTTCCCATCGAGTGCAGTGGAAGCGACTGGATGTCTAGCTCATGACATGACGACCCTTGTGCACTGGGTGTGGGGCTGCAGCACTGCACTGCACTGCACTGCGATGTGCAGGTCACGGTGCACTGACTACTACTGGCGGGACGTGTCTCCGCTCCTCCCAGGGAAGCATCAGCATCGAGCCGCGGCCCGCGAGCCTCCAATTAGCCGCCGCACATTACCTATCATTTAGGTATTCTAGAGCGGGGTGCTGTACGGTACTGTCTGTACTCATCAGTACCCCCGACGGCATCCGTCACACCCACGAGGCAGCAGAGGATTGTTCGACCGTACGGTACTTAGCCGAGTGCAGCATCCGAGGGCTCGGGAGCGGCGCGTCGCGTGTAGTGTCACCTTCGAGAATTGGAACCGTTCCACAGCTTTTTTGAGCCTCTCCACTGTGCACGGTGCAGCTTTAGGTTCCCTCCATCCCGTGCCCGTCCCCGTCGGCCTCCCATCTGGGACAATTCGGTGGGCCTTCCTAGGGCACAGACGGAGGCGGCCCGGTCCGAGCCCCCAGGCCCCCTCCCTTCACAGACCACGACCAACTCCTCCTCTCCTCTCTTCACACCTCCCCGACAGGCAGAGAACAGGCAGATGCCATCCTCCGTCCCCCTTTCGCAGCATCTTGATACCCAACAGGACGCCGAGGTCAACACTTGGCAAGCGTGTGACTTCCCCAGACTCTCGGCGTAGCATGACACCTCGACGGCGCCCTGCATGATCCAACAACGTGGCCACCCTGCTCTTCAAGGCTGTCGCCGTTCTGTGCTACCGGTAAGCATGTACTTGCGACCGAGTCACGCGCCAAGGTTGTGGCAAGACGTTGTTGGTTTTGGCACATCTGACGCATGCGGTTGGTGCAGGAGAGTTGATGCTGGAAGTCACGGGCAGAAGAGGAAAAAGCACCATCCCTACCCCATCCACGCATTGAGCCTTTGAGTTCTACAGTATTACTGACTACGAAAATGGAAAATCGCTCAATCGTGACATCCCTGCTCTGCGCTTTCACATGGCCCAACGCCCTAGACCATATCCCTGGTATCGACATATCTGCCCGACGGCGACGGCGTCCGGTCATATCTCTGCCCGTCCCACACCCTGCCACTTGGAGATGGACTTCGCGCCTTTCGCGAATCTGGCATGAGGTGAGCCTGTGTCGGATCGTCGTACCGCGGCGGTGAGTCAGGCGGTGGCTGACCAACCATGGGATACAATGGATTCTCGAACTGTGTTCCGTGCGCGGCATCTGGACGCGACAACGACTCCATCCCGTCGATTGTTTGATACCGTCCTTGTGCACGCCTAGCTTGCGCCTTGCCCGCCCTCTTGTCTGTTTCTGCTTGTGCTCGTGCCTGGCCCCAGGCCTGGAAGCCTCCGGTCCTACTCAAGTGAAGAATGATACCAAACATTCGTCCGATACCAGCCATCAGGTCCCATGGATTTATAGCGTCCAGCACGGCCCTCCACACTGGAAGACGAGTATGCGTAGGTTTCTGCGAAGAGCCATATTCTGTCGAAGAGTACGCGTACCAGAATCCTAGCGACAAGAAAACCATTTCACAGCATGTCAGAAGGCTCGGGAGGCCGTAAAGGAGATCGTCGTAGGAGAAAGTGCTGCTTGGCTTGACAATATCGTGGCCGAGGAGAATGCTAAATATGGTCTGCAGAGCAAATGTTAGCTTGGCTCAGCTGCGAGGCATTAAGAGGATCTTACCGATTGGAGGAATCGAATACCAACGATTAGTTTGAAGCATACAAGCTTCGATAACCCTCGTCGGACCTTCATTCGATTCTTCATACGACCGTAAAATCGGAGGATCGCGAGGACTGCTGCTCCCACGCCAATCGAAGATATAATCATCTCCCACAAGTGCCCATACTTTGGATTCAAAGACCGAACGCAATATGTGCCTGCCGCTTCAGTTGCTTCCAGGATGACGATTGAGAGTACTTCCACGATTGGATATTGGAAGACGAAGATCCAGGTGATGCGTGGCCAATCGAAGCTTGCCTTGGTGCCTTCATCGGATGCCTTTACAGCATCGAAAGTCTGCTCGTCAAAGGTACCGCCCGGGACACAGAACTGGATGTAAAGCAAGAATAAGGCGCACAATCCGAAGGCTTCATAAAGGTCGCCGAGTGGATCGATGTAGGGCGCGATGTCGTAGCTGAGGATCTCGAAGAAGCATACGAGAGCGAATATAAACGGTGCGAAGGTAATGCGGATGATCTGTCGCTGCTCCTTTGGACATCGATATCGGCGAAGGTGAGCAAAGATGAGCGAAACACAGATGGCGAGTGTGACGGCTGTTGCTATGGCCGCAATCCAGAGCATGACCGTGTGTGAGCTGCCATCGCCTTTGAACTCGTTGGCTTCATCGGGAATCGGGCCTAGAATTGTCATCAGCCATAAGCTCGCGACCAGAGGACCAGTGCCCACGTACAGCTTTTGTCGCCAGAGGAGTTTCCCATATCTGCTTCGGTTGATGGAGAATCAGACGGAGGTAGGTGTTGATGAAAAATGATGAGACCTGATGCCAGCAGACACGCTGGCCCTTTTCTAGTGTCCCACCATCGCCAGAGATATTTTGGGCGCCGCCTAGCACGCGACAAGACACATAGTACACCGAACAGAGGGAAGCTCTGCGAGCTGAGCATGGCTCAGTCAGCAGCGCAACGTCTTCCGTTTCGGGCAAGCTGAAGCCTGGCGCACGAGTGTCCCGAAGAAGAATACCGCTTTTACTCTGGCCTAGAGGATCGTGGCTTGTCTGCTTCGCGACGTTATGACGAAATGCTACAGCAGGGGCAGCCATTGACATGAACTATGTGATATCTTACTCGGGACACGGCTCGGTGTCAGACCAGCCGCAAGTCGTCTCGTCTAGGGCTTCCTCCAAGAACAATAGCCTTTGGTCAACAACGACGGCACGGTATCGTCCGCAGGCTACGCCGACTACAGTATGCAGCAGCAATCCTCGCTCGCAACTGGGCGGAGCTGAGCCCAAGGACGGGATTGCGGGCTGAGGATTTGAACAGTCTCTTTCGCCCCTTCCAAGCCCTTGAATCACCCACCGCCCTCGTACTTTCTCCCCCAGACATGCTACTCTCCACCGGTATTATCGCGCTCTCGCGCAAGATTAAGGATGAGAGACACCGCAAGAAAGAAGCAAAGCAGGGTCTGCTCAATGCGCAAGACAGTGAAGCCGCGAGAAGGGCATTCGCAAACCAAAGGGCATTTCAGACAGGCGACGGAATTGCTAGCGGTATGACTCGCTCTGGAACGAGAGTGAAATACGAGCAAGCGGAGGACGTCGCATCCCCTCAGCAGAGCACGAATGGCCATCCCAGCCTGCAAGACACGGAGCTGGCGGCTACTAGATCTCCCTCTGAACCGTCGAACGGTCAAGACGCTTTCGCCAGCCTGAGTAGCTTTGCGTCTTCCTCAGCGTTGAGTCCTGGCGACGTTCAACCGATTCCATGCTCCCCTGCCACCCCATTGAGCTCTGTCTTCTCAATCGATTCACCAATTGCAGGCACTCTATCAAACAAGGACCAGGACGATCAATCAACGTCATCGGGACATGCATCCTTCAAGACAGACTCGGAGGAGATTAAATGCATCAGAATTCGCACGAGGGGTAATGGCTTGAAGTCTGGGTTTCCTTACCATGCCGGATTATTCGACTTGCACGTACGGCCAGACCAGTGGGAACAGTTCACCGCTCAAGTCGTTGAGTCGACCAAGTTTACCGCGGGCGATCATGCTCAGATGTGGGGAGCAGCGACAGCGACCGCATTGAGCGGAGCGCTGATGACCAGCATCTATGTCGGACGGTACGCCACGTTCTCCAGCGAGCTGATTACGATGGATGCAGGCTGATTTAGTGCAAAGGTCTATGAACCGCTCCCTCCAAGAGAAGAAAGTGAGATCTGGACTTCAAGACACCTCAGACGGTGGACTCGGCGAGACGCTCAGACGCTGGAACCAGAATGAATTTCGCGATCTAGGCATCTTCGTGCATCTAGAACTGAGCGAGTCGGCCATGAAACGTCAGCATCAAAAGCACCACTCCTTTCGGAAACCCACTTCATTGTACTCTAAACACGAAGATCGAGATCGAAAGACGGAAGAGAGAAAGTTTTGCATTGTGGTATCGAAGCTGGATGGTGAGGGCTTTCCTTCTGAAGCGTTCCACGAGCTTGCGGGGGAAGAAGCGAGAGTACTTGAAATGGCGGACCCAAAGAATGTCATTTATGAAGTACCCGAGTTGCCTGGAGATGAAGGGACACGTCCAGCGGAGCTTCCCGTGAACGGATCATTGGGCTACACCCGTGAGACGACTGGTACACCTCATCAGTATTGTGCTGAACTGGAAAGTGCGCCAGTTGAATTGATGGAGAAAAGCAATCTCGATGATGAGTCGCCTGGGAACGAAACGACAGAGAATGAAGACTTTGAAGAGAATGCGGCACTAAGGCCAGCGCCTTTGATGGTCACGGCAGAGACCCACGCAGCTCTCGACAAGGAAGTGACATGAATTGAGGACACCACACACCTAGGAACCACTCATGACAACGTACTGGACAGACGCTATACCTCTAGCTGCGACAAAGCTGCCCTTTCTCGACTTGTACCCACGAATGGCTACCCACACACGTCTGGCAATAGAATACATCATCCGGATCCAATTCCCTCTTGATGCGCCGCAATCTGTTGTAATGACTGCCGTAGAAATCCTCCTCGTAATCTGGATCCAGAAAATTCGCCTCGTTCATGTACACTCCGGTATCTGGAGCCAGACTTCTCAGCGCGGTACCTTTGACATGTTCCACATCGTGCCCAATCTGGACCACTTCCGCCGCCGGAGTGTCCCGCGAGAAGCCGCGGGAAACGATATGATTGACGACCATGGACCGCCATGCTGGATTCACGCCTGAGACGGGACTTGTACGGCCATCAGCTGCGACTCGCCCGTATGCTGCGCCAAAGAACTCATTGGTGTTAGATGTGTACTCGCCACTGGAACCCGCCAGTGTCGAAAGAGTCTGAAGTAGCGAGGTGCGATTCGAAAGCAGAGCTTTCTCATCGAGAAACCGACTGGAAGTGTACCCGAGTGTTCCTGCCGGCGGCTCTGAAGGCTGGTAGAATTGCCAATACGTGGGATGATTGGTATATTGCAATGAGACGATCAATCTGGTCTCGTTGTATTCTTGCAGTTTGGCCGACATGGGAGCAAAAGATGACTGCGCCTCAGCTAGCGATTTGTTGAAGTTTCCGGCGTAATGCGCGTATCCTGTCGTGAAGTTGGCGAAGACTGCGGCAGGACCATCCACCGCCCAGGAGCCGTATCCCGACCAGCCTCCTTTCGATAGCTCGGGGAACGACTGATACAAGTCCGTCAACACATCCATGAAGACGCCGGTGTCGTTGCTGGTCCGCGGCGCAAAAGCCAACGTCTGCGACACGACATTGGTGTCGGGCCACGCTTTCACGGTCGTCTCGACTACGACTCCATACGTCCCTCCCCCACCGCCTCGAATCGCGAAGAAGAGATCTGGATTCTCTGTCGGTGAAGCCGTCACCAACGATCCATTCGCCAGCACCACCTTGGCCCTGAGGACGTTATCCGCCGCCAGTCCGTAATTGTGCGTCGCGAACGAATGCCCTCCGCCTTGCATGTATCCCCCGATACATCCCACCGTCGGCGTCCCGCCCCCCACGACCACGACATTCCTCTCCGCCGCCGCGGCGTTGACGTCCGTCCACGTATACCCTCCACCGATCGTGAACGCGGGCCCCGTCCAATCACCACCATCACCATCACCACCACCAGCACTCCCTCGTCCTCCTCGTCGTTGTTGTTCTTGGACGTCCGACGAAAGCGCAGAATGGAATTCGATGCCCGTCCGCAGATGGCGGATCCAGATCTGCAGGCTCCCAAACCCGGTACTCCGCCCCAGCAAATCATGTCCCGTGTCGCGAATCACCAGACGAAGACGATGCTCCCGGGCAAAGGCAATCCCCGCCGCGACGTGTTGCCATTCCGTCGCGTTGACGGTATACACCGGCGCGTCGCCCAGGGTACATTTCCCCTGCCCGGCGGAAGGTGGTGAGGGCGGACAACTGCTGCTGCTACCATTCAAGCCCGACCAAAACCCCACGGGCCCTTCTTCCTGGAACGAAGCCTTGCCGTAGTGCGTCTGGATTTTCGCGCACGAGGCTGCATTGTACGCTGGACCGGGATAGCAGGGGAGAGCGACGGGTTCGTTGCGGATGAGTTGGCCGGCGACGGTCGTGTTGAGGGTGGAAGACCACGTTGCTTCTGAGGGCCAGCAGGGTTGGGAGGGGATGCATTTACATTCTTGTCCTCTCGATGTTGCTGCTGATGATGCTATCGCTATTATAGAAGAGAGCAATAGCCTCACGATCCACAAGATCCTCGGAATCGCCATGCATGATGGGGATCCGATCGTACATTTGCCCCCTTTTTTTTTTCCCTTTTCCTTTTCCCTTTGCCTTTTTTCCTTTTTTTTTTTTCGATCCTCGCGAGAGGCAAGGTGGGTGGGTGGGGACGAAAAGTGGGAAAGAGGAGGGAAGAAAGGGAAGAGAGAAAAAAAAAATTTAAATACAAGCCCAACGATGGATATAGCATGCAGCCATATACATATATATATAGAGACACATATGTCTCACACACAAGAGAGTCAGTCAGTCAGTCAGTCAGTCAGTCAGTCAGCCAGTCAGCCAGTCAGTCAGTCAGTCAGTCAGTCAGTCAGTCAGTCAGTCAGTCAGCCAGTCAGTCAGTCAGTCAGCCAGAATCCAAAGAAAACTTGGCCCCCCCCCCCCCCGGCTCTTTTCCCTTTGTTCCTTCTTCCCAGCTCAGCCATCGACAAATCTACAGCGTGCAGCTCCCACACAGCACACACAGCACAGCAGCACATAAGCACAAGCAATGCCCTGGGAAAACCTGCGGCACTAGTGCGCATTTACTACTAGCGCCGCCGCCAGGCGAAACAAAGGGAAAAAGTGAAAGGAGAAGGGATGTGCTTCTGACTATATCTTGATTCTATGCATTTTGATCGAATACGTATGATAATATCGTATTGTTAAGTGATTGATGATGATGATGGTGATGACCGTAATATGATGATCTCGCCATGTCCGGCCCAAGCAACGAGACGATTATATCCAAAACAAAGTGACCCTTTTTATAAGGCTTCCTTCCTTCCCTTCCCAAGAATTGGAAATACCGAGAAAAAACCACCCTGCCTCCATGATGATATGCTCCTAGAAGCTGATGATCGACAACGAACGCCGTCCCTCCTAACTAACCCCTCTTCCCCATGCCTTCTGATGCCCCTCTGCCAGTAGCGAGTGCCGGACGCGTGGAATGTGGAAGTACTTCAGAGATTCAGCGCAGCCGACTCGGTAAGCCGCATGTGAGCCATGTCGGAGAGTACACACTCCATGTCTGAGACCGGGTGCTGCTGTCGCTTCGATTGCGGCGATTGCTGATATTCTGAACGACAATCTTCTCGTCGAGAATGAGCTCCAAGCGGTACGATGCCGGATGCGGATTACGCCGACAGCGAAGGAGCTGATACGGATCCAGATTGTCCTCGGATATCTGGACACGATGGACATTCAGGCTGCGCTGCGCTTCCTAAACACCATGAAGAGGCGCGCCCGGATTCCATGGATTCTTGAACTTGATGGTGTTGTCGTCCTCGATGCCGCGGAGGAGCTCCACGTTCTCCACAAGCTGACCGTCCCTCGACCTATACGCCGGCGGTCCCTTGTTAATGCCGAAGTCCACAATGAGAATGCGTCCGTCCTGGCTGGTGGCCACAATGCGGCGGTAGTCTGACTTGGCAGCGAGCATCCAGCTCGTTGTCCATTCCTCGCCGCGCCAGAGCTCCTGCCCCGTGACAAAATCGTAGACCCTCAGATCCAAGTCGTAGCTGCCGGAGACGACACGGTTGTTGGCACTGTCGAGCCAGAGCGAGCGGACCAGCTGCGAATGGCCGGTGAACTGCATCACTTCCCGCCCCGTCTCGGTCTCAAACTTGTAGGTAATGTTGTCGTTACCACCCGCAAGCACATACTTCATGTCCTCGGAGAACTCCACTGCAGCCAGACCACGCTCCTTGGCGCTGAACTCCTTGATGAGCTTCATCTGGTTGAGATCCCAGAGCCTCGCGATGCCATCGCCGCTTGCACTGACGAGCAAATGGCCCCGAAGCTGTACGGCGTTGACGGGACCGCGGTGTCCCGTGAGATCACCCTTGGGCTCCAGTGTCTCGCGGTCCCAGACGATGATCCTGGAGTCTTTGGAGCACGAGACAATGTGCTTGGCGTCCAGGGCGACGTCCAACACACCGCCCGTGTGCTTCTTCAGGCGCTTGATCGGTTCGTACGTCTCGATGTCCCAGATCAGGAGGTCGGAGTCGGACGAACCGGTCACGAGGATCTTGTCGTCGTACTGTAGGCAGAGAATGCTCGCATCGTGCCATTCGCGTGGGACGTGGTAGATGCTGTCGCCGTATGCGGTGCCGTTGACGCTGGCGGTGGCCATGTGGAACGAGGGATAGTCGACGGTGCGCAACACCTTGGGACCGAGGATGGGCTTGTGCTGGGGAGCGCCGATGACGCGGATGCACTGGAAGGTGTTGATGTCCCAGACACGGAGGGTGCGGTCTCGCGAGCCGGTGATGATCTTGTTCTCGTCGAACTGCAGGCAGTAGACGCTGTCGGTGTGCCCGGAGAGGTAGACGGCCTTGCCCGCGTCCATCGCACCCGCTCGCCAATTCCGATCCAAGTCCAAGCGGGCCTTGTACATCTTGCGCCATTCCTGCTTCTTGTGTTTGGGGAGGCCGCATCCGCCGCCCCCGACCTGGATGGGCGGCGGATCGGTCATGACGTGTCGCTGGTACTTGCGGAGGAAGACGGTGCGCCAGACCTGGGTGTCCTTGGACATCTTGTTCCAATGCTTGCTGACTTGCTCCGCGAGCAGGAGGTCCTTGGCATCGAGGGATTCGAAGACCTGGAGGGCGAGCTCGTTGGGCAGGAGTCTGGTGAAGTCGCGAACGGGATCGGCGGCGGTCATGGTGATGTCGCCGTCGAGGTCTCGCAGCGATGCCTCTGAACCACGGTACGTCGAGAGATCTGCTCCGCTGTCGGCCGCGCTGCTCAACGATCCGAGGCGGCCTCTGCGAGAATGAATATCCTCCTCCTCCTCCTCCTCCTCCTCCTCCCAGTGCTGGGCGGGTGGTGGGCCGCCGTTGGAGGTGTTCTTGTGCAGGGCGGCTGCTTTCCTGGCGCCATCGCCGCCGGGGGCGGAGATGACGGTGGGCGTCCTGCTCGTGGCAGGTCGCATGGGCAGGCCGGTCTGGGCGGCGGAGGGGGCAGGAGTGTCCTTGCGGTCGCTCGCGGTCGGGAAGTGGGATGCTCTGCCGCACTTTCGGGGACGCTCGTCGCCCTGGCGTGCGCTTCTCTTGGAGGGCGAGGTGGGCTGGCGGGACAAGGTGAGGTTCATGGGGTCGACGGTGTCGGGGTACTCGATGGTGTGTGGCGTGCTGGAGCGCCTCGCTCTCGAGGAGCGGTGCATGTTGTGCAGGTTATCGCGCCACTCGTTGACCTTTTTGGCGGAGAAGCGTCTGGTGGAAGGAGTGCTCTTGACGGCGGAAGAGTAATGGTCGAGGGGCTCGACGACGGAGGAGGAGGCAGAGGAGCGGGAGGGGAAGCGTGACAATGGTCGCTTGACCATGCTCCGCAGGCGCGATTGTGAGCCGTATCTAGCCTCCTTGGAGACGGCATTGACGGCAGGCTGCTGGTTTTCCTTGAACTCTTCACTCATGATGGCCTGGTCATTGGCGGCATGGGCATGGGCGTCAGGATTGGCATCGGCGTCGGCATCGGCATCGGCATGGGCGGTCAGGGACATGTCATGGAGGTCATTGGCGGTGTCGTCTCGGGACATGCTCCTGTCACGAGGGTCACGCAGGAGATGGGGGTATGTGCGTGTGGTGTGTTGTTGCGAGCAGGTGGGCGGAGCGGCCGAGGCAGGCGGTGTGTTTTGGGCTTGTGAGTCGATCTTTTCCTGCGGTAGACGAGAGCGATGGGTGGGCGGGAGTACACCCGGACAGATGTTGGACTGCCACTGCATGGCGGCAGCAGCAGCAGCAGCAGCGGGTGTCCAAGTGGTGATGGCGAGGAGTTGGGTGGGTGGTGAGGACGAAGGCTGGGATGTGGAGGAGGGTGCGCCGGGCGGGATGCGGACCAGTCAGGAGGGTGCCAAGTGATGATCGCCTCCGCTCTCAGCCCGGGAGCGGGTCGGCACCGGGGGGGGCGGAGACAGGAGGATGGATTGCAGGGCGGCGAGAGCAGCAGCAGCAGCAGCCGGAGGAGGGAAAAGACGGGCTCTCCAAGGCGATGAGAGGAATCGGGGAGTGGTCGGATGTGATGTGCGAGATGGGGAAGGGAGATTTGGGCGAGGCTGACTCGGGCAGCGGTGCGGCGCCGGGCGGTGGAGAGGGAGGTGATGAAAAAAGTGGTGTATTAATAGCGCCAGAGAGAGGGAGAGGGAGAGGGAGAGAGCGTGGCTGCGTGGGCGGTGCAGTGTGTGGCCGGGCTCTGCCTGTGAAACACGAGACAGTTGTCGAGACGATTGACGATTGGATTGGGGTGAGAAACAGGCACGCTCGGGGCTCTGATATAATATAATAGTAATCGAGCAGTAGGCGAGGCGAGGCGAGGCCAGGAAAGCGGTAGAGGTGAGTTGAGGACGGGAAGGCGGTAGTGGTAGTGGTAGTGGTAGTGGTAGTGGTAGTGGTAGTGGGATGCAGATGGTGAGAAGAGTGGTAGGTTGGTGAGGCCGGCGAGGTTCCGGGCGGCGGGGCGGAAGGATGTGGAATTGTGGAATTGAAAATTGTAAATGGGAGATTGGGAGTGGCCATGCAGCAGAATGTGTGAAAGGACTAGATACAGATACAGATACAGATACGGTGAATGGTCATTATTCCGGGTGTGAGAGCTGAGCTGAGCTGAGCTGAGCTGAGCTGAGTCGCGTCGCATTGCATTCGCCCTCGTCCGTGACCGTGTAGGAATAGGAATACATACCTTACACCGTCGTAGCAGTGAGCAGCAGTGTGGCAGTGAGCGGCAACCGTGTGCGGCGGCAGTGCGGCAATCCCGTCGCCTTCCTCTTCTCCTTCTCTTCCTTCCCTCGCCAGCATCCAGCATCATCCCTCCTGCCCCCGTCGCACAACCCTCGGCAATCCCATTGATGCCCGCATACCACATATCATCCTCATCCTCATCATCCTCATCATCCTCATCATCCTCATCATCCTCATCATCCTCATCATCCTCATCATCCTCATCATCATCCTGCCAGCACTGTGCACACCTCTCCGTTTACGTATTGTCATTGACTGACGTAGGTCTTGAGTCTCCCGCCTCTACCGACTCTACCGACATACCGACCGACATAGCCATCCATCGGAAACTTCGCCCCGGCACCGTGTATCGCCTCGGAACCACTCGACCACCTGCACCCTTCCAAGCCTTCCTCGACACTACCTTCCAGTGCACTGCAGTGACATGCCAACATGCCTCCCTCCGTCACGCCTCTCCCGTCGCTCTACACCATCTTCTTCCTCTACATCGAACCCATCGCCACCGCCCTCGGCGCCTACTACGCCCACTTCCGGCAGGACGACTACATGCACATGACCTGGCCCACCGCCGCCACGGCCACTGCCACCGCTCCCGTCTCGACCGGCCAGAGCATCGTCCTTACCCAGCTGGCCAACCTGTATTTCGTCTTTGTAAGTCATCATGATGCCACATGCCCCTCCCCCCCCCCTGACAATGAATGACCACAGGCATTGAACGAGGCTTTGGTCTTGCGATGCACCACCGACCGCCGCGTCTGGAATACTTTCCTCTTGGGCCTCCTCATTGCAGACTTCGGCCATCTGTACAGCGTCCACGCGCTCGGTGGGCAAGTCTACTACCGCTTCTGGGAGTGGAACTCCATGTACTGGGGAAATCTGGGCTTCGTCTACATCGGTGCTACCATGCGCACCGCTTTCCTCTCGGGCCTCGCTCTTCCACCCGCTACCGACAACAACAACACCAAGCTGAAGTCGTAGGAGGCACCAGTGAATCTCCCGACTCGCTCGGACCCAAACAAGCCTCACCCCTACCTTCCCTTCCACCACCCGAGCACCATGTCGGCACCGCCAGCACACCTCCACGCCCACTCTCCTTCATCACCCCGGTCCTTCAGAGCTGCAGAGCTGCAGTCAAGGTCGCCTGACGAGAGAAGCGTCCGATGGTGACACGCATCAACCGGCTTCGTGGGCGCACACGGCCCGGCCATCCCTACCCCATCACATGCCAGAATCGAGCCGCCGCCGCCATTCTAGGTTACCCGCCGGCCCGACTCGGTCCATGGTAGAATCGCCCCTCGTAACAGAAACCTTGACCATCATGACCCACCATCTTCTATACCATATCCGCACCCCGGCGAGCTGCGTTCAGCGGAATGTCGCTGACCATGACCGGATTCCGTGGAACCTGGCGCACAACTTCGGGAAGAAATGGAAGCTTTGCAAAACTCAATGCCCTCCGCAAACCTCGACCCTTTCTGTTCCGAGGTCCTCGTGCCACGCACTCGGACACGAATCCGACGCTGTGGTACTGCCGAACGTTTCTGAGAAACCCTGAACAGAGTTTGAAACAACAGCAGCCAACAGCAGCCCATACCACGGAAACGTCGACGAACGGGTGTTTGCAGCTACCGTTCAAGTCGCATCTGGACCGCTCCGATCGAAGTCTCTGCTCCCCAAATGTCGAACAGACGCAAACATGGTGGGATTGGGGCGCAGTCATGAACCCTGCCACATCTCCAGGTTCGAGGCCGTCGTCGGAAGAAAACGCCATGGGGACTGTGTGGTAGGAGTGCATCATCGCACCTGGCCTGTAGGCTGATGGACGATGCCGACGCCACGTGACCGGGATAGCAGGAGAAGACGTCTGAAGTCCTGACACGCTATGATCGATGCTTGATCTTCACATGTCAAGACGTGTGTTTCTCGGGGCCGAGCAAGCAACGAGCACACACCCGCGTCACCGGAGATCTATGGCAGGGATGCGAGAAACCAACACATCGCGGTGAACTACAGGGTGACTGTAGAATAGCAATCGAGACCACTGCAACATGGTGTGAAGCGGTCAGCGCATGACCACTGTACAATCAAGAGCTCAACCGCGTCCATCTCCCTCCCAGAAAGACCAGCCCTTTCTTTTCCCTCTTCTTCCCATTCCTCTCCCTCCAACTCCGATCAAAAATCTGCAAACACCTTCTGCGCCGTCGAACCCTTCACACACATACACACATATATATATATATATATATATACATCCTCCTTCTGCCTTACTAATATAAACGCAGCCGACTCCGCCGACATGTTCCGCCACCAAACGTCCCATGACCTTCGCAAAAGCCTCACATCACCCCTGATGATGCCCGATCCTTGAATTCCTGGAAATTTCATGGCGTACTGCTTTGGAGAAAGAATGGAATTGCTGTTGATTTACATGGGCTGAAGATCGATCTGGAATCATACGGATGCAAAAAACAATTGTTCCCCTGGTAGATTGCACATCTCCAAGGTAATCTATCATTTTCTTCTACTCAACGTCTAACCCTGTCATTCCACATACAGACATTCTACATTCCACTCATACCTTGCTCTCCCCAACTTGAATGCTGAAGGTATTTCTGAAAACTCTTGGCTTCGAGATCCACACGGGCTTTCGCCGAGCATGTGCAGAAGCTTGGGGTTCATGTGTGATGAGGCGTAACGTATAGCTGTACAGCTGCAGTGCTTTGTAATCGCCAAGTCAGGTGGTGGTGAAGAGAGTAGAGGTGTGTACATGTAGAGGTCCGCTGCCAAGCCAAAGTCGGCCGACGTCATCTCGGCAAATCGCTCGGGTCGACGGCGATGAGATGATCGGAGTGGAGGGCAGGCAGGCAGAGTCAACTACTTTCACAACCCCTCCACGTCCCCTACAGATACAGCATTCCCTTGCTGCCGTTCGTCACCTACATGAACTTCGTCCGATCCTTCTTCACACGCCCCTCCAGCCCCAACACCATCATGGCAGCCAAGACCAAGGCCCAAGGCATCATCGACGACAATGCCGTCGCCGTCTTCTCCAAGTCTTACTGCCCGTACTGCAAGGCCACCAAGCAGCTGTTGAGCGAGCTGGGCGCAAAGGCGAACATCCTCGAGCTCGACCAGATCGGTACGCTTTTCCAACACGCTCCCAAACCCAAACGCTGCCCCGTCTCCACAGCAACGTGCTCGTGCTAATGACTGTCCCGCGCAGATGACGGTGCCGCCATCCAAGACGCCCTCCAGGAGCTGACCGGCCAGCGCTCTGTGCCCAACATCTTCATTGCCAAGAAGCACATCGGTGGTAACTCGGAGTTGCAGGCGAAGAAGAGCGAGTTGCCCAAGCTGTTGAAGGAGGCCGGCGCGGTCTGAGATACCCATTTGGAGGAGGAGGAAATCTTGTCATGTGATAGCCTAGAGGGGAGGATGCAGCGTAGAAGTACAGAATCAATACGGAAGGCTTCGAAAGAGACATGGAATGCTCCCAATCGCAAGCTCATACTCCTCATACGCGAGAAGACCGTGTGAAGAGTGCACTACCGTTTACTCAAAGTCTTCAATTTGGTCTGCCTACAGGAATATACTGTCGATGTCGCATGTCTAGTCAAGCTCTCCAGCAGCAGCCATTGCCCTCATTGCCTCAATGCTCTTATGCACCGCCATCTTCGCGCCCTCGATACTCTCTTTCTGAAACTTCTTGTGCTCATCGCTTCCCTCCTGAACATCCGGATACCTCCACTCAAAAGTGTAGGTCATGTGGTAGTCATGCTCCGTGAGACCAGGACCGTCGGAGACCGTGTTGGTGATCAGAGCGCCGGAAGGCTGGTGAAAATCCACCTGCAGATCCAATGCAATGATTGATTAGCTTGCGTAAGCTGCACACCCGACAGCTTGTTGTTGTTGCGCAGTTCACCTTTGTGGGATAATAACTCTTGCACACCTCCTTCACACTACTCGCGGGGACGCCAGGCCTCTCCATGAAGTGCGCTACTCGCGTGATTTCGTTCTCTTTCTCCTCGATCACGTCGCAGCCGGTGATGATGGGGACAAAGTCTTGGGCCTTGCGGATCTTCCGTTGGAGGCCTTTCCATATCTGATCGCGTGTCAAGACGGGCGTCGCGCCTGCTGGGTTGATCTGCTCGGTATAGGCGCAATGGATGACGACCATCTCTGCGAGTTGCCGTGCTTTGTTGCAAGGGGTGGATGGTGGGGGTTGGGTTGGGTGTTGGAGATGGAGTCGCGGGTGAGACTGAGTCTGTGCTTACATCCCATCCGCAATCAACAACACCGTTCGAAACGTCGTTAACGGTAATTGATGATCATTCCGCCCATCATCGCACGAGCCTTTGCTTGGTAAGAGACAGAGATCCAAGATTGCTAAACACGCTTATGGGCCCGTTGTAGTTCATGGGAAATTAGCGAAGACCGGAACTCACGCTCTCGATATGTCTCGTCCGGGCCTGAGGAGAAATGCGACACACGCTCGCGTAGCTATAAGAAGACTGAGACACGTTGACAGGTTGACTAGCAATTGAGTTCGAACTCCTCTCAAAGGTCCGGTGCCAACACGGCTGCAAGGCATCTCAACCGGCGGCTTCTTTGGACATACTTGCGCTATGTGCCTTCTCCTCTCCTGGTCCACACACTCGACACGTATAGTAAGTAGTCACCTGAAGATGGCGACCGCAGAGAAGAGACCCTATGCGCTTCCTCGAGACGCCGCTGAAACGACAAGGCTGGATCTCCAGGCTCGGGCCTACGACCAGAATATTGGATACACCATCCATCCCGAGATCGCAAAGTCACTCCCGGCCACGGCTGTAATCGCAGACGTCGCCTGCGGCACTGGAGCCTGGATGCTCAATCTCGCCTCTCAGATGCCATCGACGTATCGCTTTCACGGTCTCGACATGTCCGCCGAGCAGTTCCCTCCGACACATCCGGAGAATTGTGCCTTTGGGACCTTGAACCTGCTGGAACCCATTCCTCCGGAGATGCAAGGTCGCTTCGACATGGTCCACATGCGTCTGCTCATCGTCGGCCTGACGGGCGACGACTGGCACATTGCCCCTACCAATGCTCTCCAAATGCTCAAGCCCGGCGGCTGGCTTCAATGGTGCGAGGCGGACTATGAGCAGACGACTGCGCTCCAAATGCAGAGTGGAGCCTCTACTCAAGCAATGCGACAGTCTCTCCAAATGATGTTGAAGAAGGGCCGTGAGCATGGCAAGTTTGGGGGAGACGTGGGCCGACTCTTTAATACGGTGCACCAGGCTGGTTTTCAAAATTGCAGCGAGGACATTGTCAGCTCGGATCGCATCCCTTCCACTAGGCAAGGTCTTACGCTCGTCTCGCAGAATGCCATCGCAAAGATCTATAAGATCATGGCAGATCAAGAACAAGCGGCCGACGCCGCGACGAAACACCTGGATGCTGTTCTCGAGCAGTGCGAGGCGGAGATTGCGGGTGGCAAGACGTATTGGCGATTCGACATCCACACTGTGATCGGTCAGAGGCCGTTGACTTGAGCTGCCATTTGGGTTTGGGTCGAGTAGTTTCATCAAGGAATTTGTCTGATTACTTACAAAGCCAAACAAACGAAGCTTCCTGCCACTCACGTCGTCGAAGGGTATAGCCTATCACGAGCAATAGAGAAACACTGACATGTCTATCGTGCCGGGCACGAAAGATCAAGTGCGACAAGTGTAAGCTATCAAAGACTACACAGGGTGAGTCTCTAGCCCATGGCTGAACTTTCACATGCCGAATAGCGAAGATAGGAGGACCGATTGTACGGATCCTATCTATACGGGAGCTACCCATCATCACCCTGCGATGCTGGAAGACGTCGACAACTTGAGACAGAGACCTGTACTCGCCGAGCCAAAATTTCAATCCGAGAGCTCGCCACAGCCATCTACAAACGAAGCCCATAGCGGCTGAGTCGGATGTTCTGTTTGGAGATACGCCGCGATGGTCGTCGCTACAGGCTATCTTGTGTCGATATCTCCCACCAAAGGGCAGCAGCACTCGACCGCCGTTCCTGCGGCTTCTCTCCCAGCTGAAGCCATTATTGCTGCACCGTATGTTCACGTACCACAGTTCACGCGCCAGTGACGAAGCCTCTCCCCGTCCTTTTGCGAGAGATCCCGTCCATCTCGTCATGACACGTAGATGCCTCGAACTGATTGTTTTCCAAAAACATGTCCTTTGCTGTCTGCACCGTCAAGCATGTTAGCTGCAGGTCCAGGTCTGCCATTGATGCGTCGAAGCGCGATCGTCCAGAGCTTTCTTTCTTGGGATTGCATTCCGAGTTCCAAACGCGGGGGCCCAATTGAATGAAGAACGATGGTTTCTTGGGCACGATTACGTTCAGTGGTTTTCCTGCTCGGAGTGATGGTGCTCTCTGCTCAGTAGTATTCTGTCATCACAGATGATGCACCGGATCGGTTCATGGGGATCAGGAACGAGATGATGGAGGATTTGGAGAATGAGTCTGGGTGGGTGTAAGGAGGACGAGTCGATTTGCTCCAGCGATTGCTTCGTGACAGTGACGAGATCCTGAACCACGGAGAGACGCTTCATCACTTCAGCAACCGGCCATGCAGACGGGAAATGGCCTACTTGATGGAGCTTATCCAGCCAGCGGCGATGGACTTCAGGATCTCAGCGAGGACCACATAGATGGGATGGAACGATCCACGGACAAAATGTTTTCGACGCTCAAGAAGGGATGTTTGTAGAGGAGTGTCTGAACACGAACCCCCCGACACGCAATAGGGCAGAAACTCAGATGCACCGACATATTTTTTCTTATATTGGCTTTGATTTCTCCTACAACTTGGACTGCAACTCCGTTTTCGAAGCTTCCAAGTCCCGCAAGTCCCTCTTGGGCTCCGTCTGCTCGTGAGCGCCTCTCCATTGTACATCCGTACTCTTCCATCCCCATGCTTGATCCTTTTCTCCTCCATTGCCTTTGCCGCTGAGCACATTGACCACGTACTTTCCGATGATTGGCAGAAACTTGTAGCTGTGGAAGGAGCCACCGGTGGCTAGGTACAAGTTGCTGAGTTGGGGGTGCGGATGTTGAGTTAACAGCCAATCTTGCGTCGGCGTGCGTGCATCCCAGCACAACCTCCAATACTCCGGCGTCTTGCCCTGCGCAAAGGTCGGCATGACCCGAGAAGACATGACGGCCTCTGTCTCACGTTTGAGGGCTTCGGGTACTATGTGCTGATCACGTCGCGGCGGCACAGAGATCTTGTGTCCCGATGGAGTAGTAGTCATGCTGGTGAACGTATTCGCATTGGTATACTTCAGAAGGTTGTTCTCTTTGGGTGGAGGAATGACTTCTCCGTGCTCACCGTAGACAACCACAGGCATCTCAGAGAGCTTTTCCATTTCAGCAGCAGACATCTTGTAATGGACTACACCGACTGCGGCAGCGGTAGCTTGGCGCTCCACTCGGTCCTTCTCTGCAATGTGTAGTTTGTCCTCCATGGGAGAGAGAGTGCTACTGGTCCATGCGCCAGTTGCTAGAACGACCTTGTCTGCGGTGACAGCCTGGCCCCTGCTTGTGCGAATGCCGCTGACTTTACCAGACTCGAGGAGCAGCTCTTCGACTTCGCCGACCACGTACTTCACACCACGCGAAATGGCAGCATTCATCATGCTCGCGGTAGCAGCAGCTGCCTGACACCATCCTGCTTCCGGATTCCAGTACGCTGCCTTGAATCCTTCAGTCGCAGTGCCCTTCATGATACCTTTCCAATGGTCGTCAAGTTCCCTCAGCGGTACATCCTCAGTGGGATCGTGGCCTCGGTCTCGGAACACTTTGCGAATCCGGTCTGATAGGTCGGAATCCTCGGCGTCGAGCATGATCCATCCTGTCCGATGGTAGTGGTCTTTGAGTTCCGGCCATTGCGACCACGCATCCATCGCTTCGTATGCCAGTTCGGCGTAGAAAGCACTCGAGTAGTCTGCTCGGATGATCTTGTTGATATCGGTGCTGGCTGCTAGAGTCGGCGGAGCTGTTGTGCGATCCACTACTGTGATTTTGGATGCATCTCTGTATTGAAGGGATAGGTGGTAGGCAGTCGAGGCTCCGAAGACGCCCGCTCCTACGATAAGCACGGAAGGCTCTTCTGGGGAAGACATCTTCTTGGACTTGAGTCTATGTGAGTACAGCTAGGTGTGGATTGACAAAGTCAACGTGAGAATAGCGCGAACAGAATACGTTGAAAGAAATGTAAGAATCACAAGAAGAAAAGCCTCCACGGCCTATCTTCCAACGCGGGTGGGTGATAGGCACGGTGCAGACAGCTCCGGAGCTTCATGAGATCCGCCAAGTGAAGAAGTCAGGCAGAGCAATATACCTGCTTCTGAATAGTCAGAGTGAAGTCGTTCACAGCGCGCCCTGAATCACATGAAGGATGTCGAGGTGAGTGAATGGTAGCAGGAACAACAACGCGTGAGGTCTTGAACTGGGGCTTGGGTGTGATATCACGACTTTTGTCAACGACTTGAACTCGGTCAACGTCTCGCTCTCCATTGGCCGCCTGAGGAGACGACCTCCAACGACAAGCCATTGCGGCACCCAGATACCTCACGAACCTCGCGCATAGTCTTCAGCATGTCGTCCGGATATGGTTTGGCAGGAGGTACGTGTTGGCTAGCTTGCGCTCCCCCCCGAAAGAAACGAGACCCGAAGGACAGACGGCTAACCTGTCCACCTACTACTCCCCTTCAGGTCCGGGACGCTGCTTTCCCTTCTGGCAGGAGGTCCTCGCCTGCTACGTCGTCAACACCAATGCCGAGGACGATTCCGGAAAGGCCAAGTGTCAGCCGGTCCTAGAGGACTACTACGAGTGCCTGCATCACAAGAAAGAGGTACGCGCGCACCACCCAGAACACGGTATGCAGCAGTGGAGCTATGAGCTAAAGGGACAGCACAGGCGTTGAAAATCTCCGCCCTCCAAGCCGCCTACCGAAAGCGCGAGACAGCAACAGCGAGAGACGATGCGCCCTCGGCAGGCCAAATACGGAGTTTGGGATTGCTGGAAGCAAGTGATGCGGAGAAGAACATTAAGCATGGAAACCTGTTGCCGACCTTTGGATCGAACAATCCGAAGTGAGAGATGCGAAGGAGGAAGAAGATTGAGACAGGGATGGATGTAAATATATCATGGGATAGGGAAGGTATGATCCCATTGGAACGACCGCGAGAACGAACAGCTGCGATGAGGCAAGTCTGGATTGTTGATTCATGCTATAATACTGCTGGAGAGCCAGGAGCATATTGCGCGGACTGGGGATATTCACTGGTATGATACGCTGCCTTGCTCACGGCAAGTCCCGCAGCCTTCCATCGGCGTCACACGTGAAAGCCGCCCATCTGCCGAATCGACCGCTTTCCCGATCTTGCACAATCTCGAGTACATGAGCCAACTCCGTGCTTTGGCGTTTAATCGGTAGCTTGTGCAAATATGTTTGGACGTCTACAAGGTATCCGAAACCGAGGCCCAGCGCCGGCCGGAGAGCACATGATTTGAATAAGCTGAGTTTCTCATCGTCTTTTGCCGGCTTGTTGGCCGTATTGCTGAGAAGGACTGTACAGATGTTGTGAGATTGCGTCAGATGCTGCAGTGAACGCATAAAAGTGGCAATGAGCGCTTGTCCGTGGGTGTAGTTGTTCTTGACTTGGGGCATCATGAGCTGTGAGATGTTGTTGACGATCAGCAGTCGTACTGCAGGTTGCTCTTCGGCCGTGTCTGCAAGTGCAGGTGCTGGCTGTGGCTTCTCATTTCCCGCCGGTGGAATGTCGTCAAGCATTTCGTCCTCATCCTCCTCGCTGTCTTCGATCGTGCTTGGGAAGGTCTTTGCTGCAGGCTGAAGGTTCGGCTGTCCAGACTCCTGCTTGCCCTCCAGAACGTCGCGCAGCTCCGCCACGGCTTCGGTGAGTCCTACATAGTCGAAGACTTTCATGATGTCCAGCCGACCTAGCATCTTCATTGCTCCGTCCTTTCCAGCTTCACCGTCTCCAAGAATGGTGAACAGACGCCGCACATCGAACGACAGCGTACTGTCTATTACTGTCGCTCGCGCCTCTAGGAAGGAGCGCAGGTGAGATGCTATTAAAGCATGTACAAGCTCGCTCGCGCCGTTGTCCGGCTCAGAGACGATGCAATGGACACTCTGGTAGCCCAGTCCTCCTTCGAAAGCCGAGTCGAGAGTCTTGTTCTCAAATCTGAGTCTTCGCGGCCTCGATGGAGGCATTCCAAGTGGTGATTTTGCGTTGGAAGTGTCGTTGACCCGAGAGTGCCCAATTTCCGAAGCAAGGATTGGTTCCGCTGGTGTTGCCATTGCTGATTGTGAGTAGCAATTCGTCCGTCCTGAGGACTGTGAACACAGCGATGATTCGAAGCTTCCCCTCCTCAAATTTGTCTTTTGGAACTTCCAGTCAAGGCATAGTTCAAATGTTGACCGCAGCGTTCATATCCGGATATTTTCTGCACCGTGGAATGCTCCAGACAGTACCGAAGACCTCGATTGCTTCGTAGCGTAAGTCGTGCAAAGCATGTTCTCAGTGCGGGTTGTGAAGTTGAGGTTGAGGTAAGAGGTGAAGTCGCTCGAGCTGCTTCCCAAAAGGGACATTTTCCCTGCCTGAGGCAAGAAATTTGCACATTCTTGGTATCGACCTGCACAATACCACTGCATGTTCAAAAAAAAAACCAAAAAGGCTCGAAAATGAGCAAAAAGAAACTGTGGACGAACCCGGAGTCGAACCGGGAACCTTCTCCACTTAGAAAGTACAGCAATTGAAGCCACACTTGTGCTAAGAAGATGTCATACCGCTAGACCATACGCCCTTGGACTTTTCGCGTCAGTTGTGAGCTGATTCGATGGAGCTAAAAGACAAATTGCGTCTATGTACCTTATTCTGCGCCAAGATCCACTTCCCGCGCCGCAACCGGTTGTCAATAAGCAGGCGTATTACGTAAAGGAATCTCCAGCTTCGTATGCTTTCATCTTGCGACAGAGGCACCTCGAAGGGCTAGCTGAGCAGTGCACATCTTACAGGGCAGTCTAGACTGCCAGCTGATCCTTTTGCTGTCTGCATAGATGAAATGTAATATTGATCCATTCAAGTACAAGGCTCAGACTGAGCACCACTCCGACAGCAGGGACGCGGACGAGATAGACAAGTGAAATGGCTCGAGCAGAAGAGAGATTTAAAAAAGGACGTTGCAGAAATTTGGTTCTTGGTGGATGCTCCGACCAGCGTACCAGATAGATAGCCTATCTACCGGCCTATGATAGCCAGACGGAGACACCTATATTCCATGCCAATTTAGATATACAAGCGACAAAAACACGCAAGAAATGCTTTGAAGGGAAAAGAGGTTTTCGTCGCTCTGCATCCGATGCGCATGCGTTCCTTCGTCAAGGCCTCTGCGGGCCGGGGGGGAAACCCGTCACAAGATGACGGTACTACCACGAGAAAGCCTCCTCGAAGAAATCGATCTCTGTGTCCTCGCAGCGATCACGCATGCCCCGCCGCACATCGTCGCTCAGGCTACCCGTGCCGCAGACGCTGATAGCCATAGCGCCGACTTGCTTCTCTTGTTCCTTGGCGATCAAGGCACCAACATCCGGCTTTCCGGGGAACATCTGAACGCTCGCGCTAGGAGAGTGGATTTCCTTGGTACTTCGTGGTCGCGTTACGAAAAGAAGGATCTTGAGAATGTCGCGGCGCTTCTCCATGCCAAGGATTTGGGTCATCCAGGGACGGATCCATTCCAGGTGCTCCGGAGATTGGATGATCCAGACGAGGACAACCTTGCGGGTTGCGCTGGTGCCGTTGGCGTACGATGCTACAAGATCGCGCACGTGAGGTACTTGGTGAGAGATACCCACGCCAGCCGCGAAGAGCATGACGGTGCCGTAGGATTGGAAACTCTCATGTCCATACGGGCCCTCGACGTATGCGGTGGTGATGAGCGGTCCGGCAGTGCACTGCTCCGCCTTCCTGTAGAGAGCGTCGGTGAATCCAGTGCGGCGACGGATGATTAGTGACATTGATGTCGCCTTGGCTGCGGTGATATCCTGCCGAGACATAGGGAGGGTCTTCTCGTTGGCCAAGTCCTTGCCATCCTCACTCCAGGCAAGGGAGAACGGGTGACTGGTCCACATGCCAATGTGTGGGATGTAGAGATAGACGTGTTGGCCAGGCCTGAATTTCCAAGGTCTAGCCGTACGTAGAGTGACCCGGACAGCATCGCCGGGCAGAGCTTCAATCTCTGCTTTGGTGCATCCGCGTCGACCGAAGTTCTTGCGGACGATGAGCCAGAGGCGAGTCGCACGCTCAAATACCCAGCAGACGATGGCGCCAGCCAGCAGGAGCTGAGCGGTGGGGATTTCGTTTAGATGAATCCACACTGCAGCCACAGCAGTAGCCGCCAGGGCGATGTGGAGGTGAAGGAAGGTCTCATAGAAGGCATGGCGAACAATGGAGGGCGATTGCAGGAGAATCATGCAGAATGCAGCAAATCCAATCGTTCCAGTGAGGATCATTGTGCTGCTCTTCATGGCAATGGCGATCATCATATAGCCCTTCTTCGGTCCCAAAGAGATGACCTTGCCGCAAAACCAGAAGGCGGCGTGAGCGACGGCTTCGAAGACAACAATACGACCAATCCAGCGATGGATCATGTTGAAGTCGTTGAAGCTGATGCCCAGCAGCCAGACAAGTGGATTGTTCCGCCCGGCAAGCAGGAAAAGAGGTACCATGTTCAGGGTTGCGAGGATACCGGTGCGGTGGAGGCCGATAGAGTAGAACTTGTGGCTGGTCCAGTCGATCTTCCAGACGGTGAAGACAACGTTGAGAGCAAGATAGCCGACGAGAAAGAAAGTCTGCATGCGACCTGGGAGGGTACCGACATTCATCGCAGCTGAGAGCTTGAACTCGCGGTTGTGACGGCGTCTCAAGAGAGGTGCAGATAGCCAGTGGCGCTTGAATTGAGCCCATCTCTCGTTGGGAATGGCAAAGTATCGCTGTCTGCCGTCGCTCGATGATCCGTGGTTCAAGTTGGCAAGTCGTCGAACGTGCTGCAGGCCGTACAATGTCCAGCGATACACAAGCACTATGGCAATGATCATTCCCCATGTCCAGCCAATGTATTTTATCATTTTTTGGTTCGTGTTCGCCGCGTCAATCTCGGCCTGCGACGGCGCCTGTCCAGCAGCCATGGCGTAAGGGACGGCAGCTCCGAGGAGCAGCCATGATGCCAGGGAAGCCATCGTGTGAAGTTCCGAGACCGGTCAATATGTGTGTGTGGTGGTGGGTAGGACGTCGAGTGTCCGCTGCGCCAAGTTGTTGATGGCCTTTGGATGTTGTACCGACAAGCGCGCGGTACTGCGCAGTGACCTCGTTCTAGAATGAGGGGAGAATGAAGGCGTGAGTCGTGTCCGGCACAAGCTCGTGAAGGGGTCGTCGAGTAAAGACTGGGATGCGGTGTGCAACGATAACGAGCGTGGCGGTCCTACAATTCCCAGAGTCGCGAGGAACAGGCGTGCAGACCGGCTACATGGGTTGATTCGTTCAGCGGTGAATGGAGGGCGTGTGTTCGCGGGCGAGGGGATTGTTGTGCGAGACAATAAGGAGTCTTGTGGTCGCGGGAGGTGAAGGCCGGCCTTGGTGAGGGTGAGGGTGAGGGAGCACTGCTTCGCGGGCGCTGAAACGAGTGAAGCGAAGTCGAGGATATCAGGCGCGTGAAGGATGGGGGGAGGAAGTGTACATGTCGCCTCCCCTCAAGTAGATGAAACGCGCCCCCGGCCCAGGAGGTGCGAGATTAGGTAGCTGTGTTGGTGGAGTCGCCGTTCTGCACACCACGCAATGCCCAGCCGCCATCACTTGCCCTCCTCGTACCGGATGTTACTACTGTACAATACCAGAAGATCTTGACCCGATCGATCCCGCATCACGAAGCTCCTCCCCCTTAACATGTCTGCGCGAAGGAAGGTGCGAAGGCTGGTCTTGCAGAACGCGACACGAAAACCAGTTCCCGGCATTTCCAGGGCCCGAAAAGTTGTGAGTGGTCGACCTGTTTCACATTTCGGGGCGACCCTTTAGCGCCAGGAACCAGACATCCACAATGTGATCCCAATCGGCCAATCACCACGCTCGACACAGGAAACAGTGAAACCTGCGATTGCCGGCCGGGCGCTTCGCCGTCTGGTGTAGGTCACAACGTGGAGAATGCAGCAGGGTCACGAAGCGTTTAGTGAAGCAATAAGAAGAGAACTACTGCTCAACGCTCTATCCCCCATTCTCTGAAATGCGATCTGTCGCCAAATCTTACGCCCAGACGACCCAGACAACCTAACCAGACCTTGAAAAGGCTGGATAAGGGACAACCCTCATAGGCTAGACTGCCTTGGCACATTCGTATCCCTCTTGGAATTATCGTTTCATCTTCCATCCCGGTAGGAACCTACGAGTAGCAATCCCTCGATTGTCGCCGTTGCTTTGCAAGCGAAGTGTTTCGAACCTCCGGTGCCGTTCACAGTTTGTTGGAGGCGGGTCGCGTGGATGATATGGATATGTAAGAGCTCAACTGCGGAGCCTCGGAGGACGCAGCAACAATACCTAATGTCGATGGAGAAGAAGCGGGGAACTAGAGATGCGTCGTGCAATCTAACACCGGTAAGACAATCCGTAGGTGCGCATTAGTGAACATTACCTGCTTCACGTCACGTACACACGCCCAACCGATCACAATTTCTCCGGGTGCACCAGATCTGTCCAGAGCAGTACCTGTGAGTACCTTACGTTGCCTTCTTGCTCCCTCCCCACACAAGGCAGGGTCGTCGTGCCTCTTCTCTAAGATCCTGTCTTGTCCCGTCTCCGATGGCGGCGCGGGCGGCGGCGTCATCATGTAGCACAGTCTTGACTCTCGATTTCACGTGGCAACATGCCCTGGGAGCAGATGCTGTCAATAAGTCACACGCCGAGCGCATAAGGTATGCATTCGAGTTGTGAGAACTGTAGCAGGAGGCGCACGAACGCGGGAAGAGCCGTTGGCTGCCGCAGCCCTGCCTCTGACGACGCCTGTCTTGGGCACAAGGAACTACTGCGACACCGCATCTCAAGCACCACGCCACCTTCACACGTATATCGATCTGCTCGACAGCGCGGATCTGAGACCCTCGACCACTGCACCGACAGTGGTCTCCCACAGCATCGCCCCGAATCCGAACCGCCGGCGCCAACGTGAGCGAATACAACGTCGGCCGTAGCCTCAGGGCTAACCTACCATCCTCCCCTTCAGACATGGCAGACTCAAATGGAGCAGCTCCACCCAAACCGAGCAGCAGCGTCAAGCTTGTGCTGCTCGGTGAGGCCGCCGTTGGAAAGGTGAGCGCACTGCAGCCATAAGCCGCCATTTTGGAGAAGCAATCTAACACTTCACGACCAGTCTTCCCTCGTCCTTCGCTTCGTTAACAACGACTTTCAACCCAATAAAGAGCCAACGATCGGCGCAGCGTTCTTAACTCAGAAATGCCAACTCCCAAGCCGAACAATCAAATTCGAAATATGGGATACAGCAGGTCAGGAGCGCTTTGCCAGCTTGGCGCCCATGTACTACCGCAATGCGCAGTCTGCGCTTGTAGTCTACGACATCACCAAACCTAGCAGTCTTGTCAAAGCGAAGCACTGGGTGGCAGAACTACAAAGACAAGCATCTCCAGGCATTGTCATTGCACTGGTGGGCAATAAGCTGGACCTCTGCGAGGACGATGCCGGCGCAGAGGCCGGTGAGGCGGAAGACGGTGGCGAGAACGAGACGGAGGAAGAGCCGGGCACGGCAAGAAAAGTCAGCATCAAGGAGGCGAAGGCGTATGCCGACGAAGAGAATTTGCTGTTCTTTGAGACGAGCGCGAAGACGGGACACAACGTAAGCGAGGTCTTTACTGCAATCGCGAATGCTATTCCGGAGACCAGCTTGAAGGGACCCAGAGGCGGTGCAGGCGGCAACACACAATCTGCCATCAACGCGGCGAATCAAGACAACAGCAAAGTTAATCTGAACGCAAGAGGCGAGTCTGGACCAAAAGAAGGCTGCGCCTGCTAAGTGAGGTCGTTGGCTAGAAGATTGGAGCTTCCAGCAAGGCGTAACAAACAAGGGATTGTGTTCTGATCTGCGGAATCCACTCTGTGCACTGTTGGAGTAGCAGAACGGGTCGGATATCCCTGCTGCCGAGCCCGGAACACCCGAAAGACACGTCTTATTTGCTATAAGTATTCAGGTTTATTGTACTGTCAGCACTGATTCTAACTTCTTAGTATCACTAAACCTTATGTCCTGATCTCATACCCGTTAAAGCCAAGTCTCTGACCCTGTATTACCCCATACCTTTGATACCATAATACTGTCACTACACGAGGTAAGGGATTATTACGAGCTCGAGCCGATTGCAAATGCACCTCACTCCTCGTAAACAAGAGCGAAACTCTAGTCTGAGTGGAAGCTGTGGGCTGATAGCGAGGTTCTCGACGTGAAACAGAATGGCTGCCGCAATCTCCAATCTCATCGACAACCTGTGCGCATTCGACGACGAAGACAACATGGCCACTACTGCAGTTCAACTAGAGACAGAAACCACACCTGTCCCCGTCCGACCGTCTCGTGCCGTTGACACTCATCTGTACTACTTCCCGGACGACCAAATAATCAAAGATTTATACCTCGGCACGGCTTCCATGCACCTCATGAAATTCAAGCCGGTGCCTACGGCCATCCACGACGTTCGGTCCAGCGAAGAAGATTTCACTCTTGACAAAAACGGTTTCCAATATGTCAAGCAGAAGCCTTCCGTCAAAGACCTGAAAGGCAATGACGACGAGAGGATAAAGAAAGTTGTCTACGCGGAGACGGAAGAATTAGTCAAGGCGATGTGAGTACAGCGATGTGAGCTCGAATGGAGAAACGTGCTGATTTTGAGAACAGCACTGGCGCCACGCATGTTGTCATAACGTCGCACTTGGTGCGGATGAGTTCGTTGAAGGATGTCACTGAAGCAGCTGAAATGGCCGAAGACGAAATGAAAGTGCTGCCGCCCGGCCCAGCGACGCACATTCACGTTGGTAAGGTGTCTCCGAACCGAGCATTGTGTCAAAGGCACCGTGTTGACACTGGATTAACGCAGATCAATCCTACGAGAGCTCTGTCCAATTTCTAAAGGACGCACTCACACCGGAAGAAGCCGCTCAATTGCAAAAGACGCGCTGGGGCATTATCAACGTTTGGAGGCCCATCAGTCGAGCAGTCACACGGTACAGATATCCTAGACCACCCCTCCTGGCATTACGTATTGACTGACTCTTGACTCCTTCAGCGACGCCCTTGCGGTATGCGACTGGAACAGTCTCTCCCTCTCACAACTCCAGCCTGTCATGGTACATCTACCCACGTCAGATGGCAAGTCCTCCAATGAGATCCAGCACTCTCGTAGCTTTGAGAGCTGGCGGTTGAAGCATGCCGGAGAGGAAAACAAGTGGTATTTCTGTTCGAACATGACACCTGACGAGGCGTTGTTGATCAAGAGCTTTGACTCCAAACTGGATGGCAGGGCAAGATTGGCGCCTCTTACATCTTTTGAGAGTCGATATGATAAAGGGCCGGCTAGATGGAGCTTGGAGATGAGGTGTCTGGTTTTCTGGGAGGATCAGGAGGCAGAATGATATTGGAGTTGTATCCCTGGAGGACAACAGCACCAGCTGGTCGCAGTGCTAGCCTAATGAAGTGTACAGCAAATATGAGGTCAGAAGGCGCTCGGGTGTCGTAAATAAAAAAGTGTCTGATGGAGAATGACTTGGGTACTAAACTGTCGTTGTTCGTCGGAGATGCGCTAAATTTAGAGTTTCCTCTAGCCCCGCAGAGCCCGGAGAGCTCGGACGTCGTCATGCTCGTGATTGGGGGGCCTTCGTGTGACTTTCCTGCGGAACGCAATTTGTTCCGGTCGCGCCTCATTATTCTTCTTGTGTCCTGTCTGCCTTTCGACACGTCTCAGCCTCGCGAAGGACAGACCTTGGAGCGCCACCATCGTCATCAGACCGGAGCAACGACACCAAGGAAGTCCCGCGCGAACCTCAGGTATCCGCCCCCGCCATCTCCTGGCACCAAGCACAGCACAAGCAGCAAACGAGTTGAGCGTAGCAGGCTGGAGCCCCGGACCAGCAGCTATGGACGAAGCCACATTCCAGAATGAACTCATCTCGCTGAAATACCGCATCGGCGAAATGGCCTCCATGTATCAGCAGCAGCCATCTCAACTGTTCTCACCCACGCCGCCTGCCACCGATGCGTTCTCACATCGCCTCGATGAGGTCAAAGCACGCATGCAAGCTTTGCAGGCGAGTCTTTATCACGTTACGGCCTTGAGGGATCGCTCGACCCAGAACAAGCCCACGCCACCCGCGCACCCAGCTCACTTGTTCGACGAGAATGCGTTACATGTACAGCAGAGCAGGTTGTCTCTCCCGTCAGGTCCGCTTTTCTGGCAATTGTTTACCTCTCTACGCTCGGACGTGCAAGGCCTAGGCAGTCGCGTTGCTACACTGGAGCAGAATTGCTCAGAGCTCGAGGACAGAGTTGATGGTCTTGATCCACATCAATTCACGCCAGCTGGCAGCGACCTCTCCTTTGGCAACCCCCAGCAAGACTTTACATTTGAAAGAGGCTACGACCCGTTCGGCAGTTCCAGACCGCTACCATTCGGCATCTCGGCCGACGCTCTGTATGGCAATCGGAATGTGGGAGTCGAGCTTCCCGCCGCTGGAGAGAATGCCGCGCCCAAGACTCAGCCTGTGCCTGCTGTCGAAGGCGTTGCTTTCAGAGATAAGGAAATTGCAAGGCTCGAGGAACTGATGCGAGCTATTCAGGAAAGCCTCAGGCACCATGAGGACCTTGTTGGCCGAAAGGACGCTGAGCTTGAGCGACTGAACTCGGACCGGCAAGACGGAGAAGCCAGAATCTTGGAGCTCGAACGCACTGTCGCTGAGCGGAATAGCACGATCAGAGCTTACAGCGATATGATGGCTGAGAAAGACAGTGAGATTGAGGACCTGCGTGCTGAGAGTAGGTCGAAGGATGATTCTTTGCATACCTGGACCTATCGCCACCATACCATTCAACAAGCTTTTGTACACAACCAGACCGAGCTCTATCATGCCGATCAGCAGATTCAGCAGCTCCAAGGAGCTCTCTATGAATCGCAGAGAAGCGATCAAGACGAGCTGGAAAACAAGACGAGAGAAATCACGAAGTTGCGTGAGTTTTACGAAGCCAAAGAAGCCATCGTGCACGAGCAAGACCAGATTGTAGCGAGGGGAGCCAAGCTCCTCGAAGAGCGAGACAGCGAAATAGAGCGAACTAGCAAGGAGCTCCAGGTGCTCAAGGACGACATTCGCAACGAATCCCGGGAACGCATTAGATTCGCGAAATTACTAGACGAAAGAGATGAGGAGATTCTTCAGTTGAGGGCGTCTCTCGATCGAGCGTTGATGCCACGACCAACAAAATCCAAAGCCCGCAATGACAGCACTGACATCAAGCAAGATGAATATAGCGAGAAGGGCATGCCTTGCTCTCCTTTCGCGACTGCCGGATCGTCCGTTAAGCGAGCGCGCCCTGCATCGGCCGAGTGGACTCCACGAGCTATCGACAATTACGCTAGGCTGCCGTGGGAGCAGAAGCGTGCATCTCTTTGGAAAAGGGGTGCAGCAGCAAACGAGCTGAGGTTCGGTGTGCCTGGCTTGGTCGCCCAAAGGGAGAACGCGTCAGAGGAAGCCAACACAACTTCAGGCAGTCAGAGGCGGGACCCTCGGCGGAGCGACAGCCTGAAGCTGCTGCAAAGGCTTGCGCTGGTGGAAGAGGGTGGAAGGCCTCCTGCAAGCGCGATCGAAGATGACAAGCTGCCAAGAGCAAGACTGCCCTTGGATGCCACGAGACCGCCGTTGCCTGCACCGCCGTCACCGCGAAAAGTGGCATCGGCAGAAGACCTCGTGACTCGACGCGGTCATGACGACACGCAGACAGGCCGTCAGCAGCGAATCTCCCGACATCAGTCCATACAACACCTCCCGGGACATAGGCTGCAGGCGTATGTTGAAGAAGATGACAGAGGTGGCGACGCATAATCGTCCGTTGCACCGCAGCCTCAGGCAGGAGCGCAGGATTACTCGCTGCCCTTTCGTAGGACTGAGTGTATTGCCCCGCGGAGACGGCGACGGCGGCTTGGGGTGGTTTTCACCAACAATGCGCACACCGTTATGATCCTTTCCGCATCCGTCTCTTCCAATCGCAGCGCGTGGGGAATTAGTGGGTTGTTGCATGGGTCGGCACGCCGTAGTTCCGCATGCGCGACGTGTCGGGACGCAGCAGGCTGTCATGATGATATTCGCCTGGCAGCTGCTGTGGTGTGTGGCCCAGGTCGGCTAGTCGGGCCAGTCGGGTAGGTTGGCCCGACTCCTACCACTACTTACCCTCGGCTTCCGTGGCAGGCGCTCTTACCGCCCGCTCCATCTCCAGCAAACGGTGCAGCAAACGGTGCAGCAAACGGTGCAACTTGCACGGGCTAGACCACACAGAAACACCCCGACGTCATCCCGAGGTCTCGCAGCCAACCTCCCTGTGTCCCGACTCTGCTTGAAGTACCTTGGGGCAACTTTGACTTCACGCTCCTTTCATCTCTTTCCGAAACAGCGATCACCCTGGCACTGAGTCGCCGGACTACATTAGCCTTCACGAGCTCTCCACGACCTGCACCTTTCGACGACCACCAGCACACGACATCTGATATCACCCAGCATGTCGGCCTACTCCGACGAGCCGCCACCCCGCCCTCAGGAACGCCGTCGCCAGAGACGGCCCCCTCCTCCTGACGACTACGAAGGCGAGGACGACGACTATTCCTACCGCTCTCCGCCGAAGCCTCGCGACCGCTACGAGGAGCCACGGTCGAGCGGTCGCGACAGGAGGAAAGACAAGTACGACGCCAGCGATGAGGATGACTATCCGCGTAGGCGTCGACATGAGCGTCGCTCACCGCCAACCAAGGGGCGGGATGAACCTGACATCCCACCTCCCCCGATTGGACAAGACAGAAAACACAAAAGCCGCAGAGATCCAGCCGAAGACGATCCTCCTCCAGGTGCCATCCCTGCACTAGACACAGAGGCAGATATGAATGGCGGACCTGGACGTGAAAGTTCCCGTCGCCGCAGCAGACCTCCCAAGGACAGCCGAAGCCCTCGCAAAGAATACAGAAATCCGCCCAAGGACCAAGGGCCATTTGACGACGCAGAAACCATGGCGGAACCAGTCAAATCTTCCAGATCAAGGCCTCGAGGCGGTTATGGTGACGAAGAGCCTCCACGGCGATCCAAGGGACGTGATAGAGAGCGCGAGCGTGAGCGAGAGAAGCCTCGCTACGACGATGAGCCTCGTCGGCGGAGCAAGCGTGAATCGTACAATGATGATCCACCGCCGCGAAGTAAGCCTTCAAGGCGTGATGAGGATCCCAGGCGGAGACGCAATCCTTACCCTGATGAAGACAGTGAGCCCGAATACATTCCCTCCTCTCGTCGCCGAGAAAAGCCCAGCAGATATGACGACGAGAGGCCTCGTAGATATGATGATGGCTACGGTACAGAACGACCGCGCAGGGCTCCCCGAGACGATCATTATGACAGAGGTAAGCATGAGAGCAATGGGAAGAGAACCCCATAAACAGCTTTCGCATTCCGCGACTTCGCAATTCTATAATTGCGACATTGGCTGACGTGATATCCCTCTGACGCAGGCTACAAAACGGATAGTCGTGACTCCAAGCGCGACCGCCACCGAGATGATGACAGACGCCGACCCAGAGACGATTATGATGACTACGACCGCAAACGGAATTCACGCTCAGGCCGCAAGGGAGGTCCAGATTATCACGAACTGATGGAGAAGGGGCAAAAGAATTGGAAAAAGGTGGAGCCCATTGCAAAGCCTCTTCTCGCCCAACTTGCAAAGAATTATCTGGGCAACGGCAGGCCAGCCTAACAGGACTACCACAGCTCTGACGAGCAGTCGGCAACGACACGAGACCAGGAAGACGATATTGAAGGCGCATTGAATGGCAACGACGATGACGATTTGAACCACATTTCTCCACGGAAATATGGGATGGCGTTGTGTGTGCTACTGATTCCACTCTGTTTATGTATACCTTCCACTGTATTGAACGCTTACAATCGACCAATAGCCTGTCATTCTTGCGTAAGAGTGGTTGTTTTCCCCGTGCACGGCTGTCTGCCTTGTAGTGACTTCAGCCTTCGCTGCGACCGACATCGCATGAGGCCGAGCTTGACTCCGCTTTTCCTTCAGCTGGTGAAAGCTCAAGTACTCCACATCATCACCATCACCATCATGGAACGGTGACATGGTGTGATCGTTGCAGCATGCTACAAACTGTGCATGCATCATTGGGAAACGATTCCACCTCAGCGTGACCGGCATTCTTGATGAAACGCAGAAGCGGCTGACCGCCAGACGAGACGTACTCTACGTCGCCATGCATGTGATTCTACTGGGAACCTGCGACGTAAGTATCCAGACAAATCAGGTGTGAGGGCTCACGGGCAACACGCTGTCGAAACCACTGAAACCACTTAGCTGATCAACTTCGACGTCGCAGACCAAGCTTGACGAGCTGCTTTACCTTCGCGAACAAATCCTGGACAGCGGCGGCTCCGGCTGCAGAGTCACGCTGGTCGATGCCGGGCGATCGCCTGTGAAGCACCAGGCCATCGCCATCTCGCAAGACACTCTCACATCGCCTCCATATGCACCCGACAACCATCATCAGGATGTCCGGCGTCTTGCGCGGGGAGACGTGATCAAGTACATGACGACGTGTGCTTCGAACTGGCTGCGGGAAGCTTTGCGGAGAGGACAGGCGAATCCTGGGAATGCGATTCATGGCATTGTCTCCGCCGGAGGCACGGGTGGGACTGCGCTGGCTTCGGGTGTCATGAGGGATGTGTTGCCCATCGGCTTCCCGAAACTCATTGTCTCGACGGCTGCTTCGGGGGACACCGGGCCGTTGGTGGGCGAGACGGATATTACGTTGACGTACAGCGTGGTCGACATCGCCGGCACGAATTCGTTACTGAGGCGAATCCTGGCCAACGCGGCGGGTGCCATTGTTGGCATGGCCCGGTCCTATGAACGCTCACTCTCCGAGCCAACAGACGACGTGCAGCAGAGGAAGCGGATCGGCCTCACCATGTTCGGGGTCACGACGCCTTGCGTAGACACGGTAAGGCAGCATCTGGAATCGAACTACGACGTCGAATGTTTCGTCTTCCATTGCACGGGCCACGGCGGCAAAGCAATGGAGCGACTCGTCGAGCAAGGCGACTTGGATGCCGTTCTGGACATCACCACCACGGAAATCTGCGACTACCTCTGTGGTGGCGTCATGAGTGCTGGAGAGCACCGGCTGGAAGCTGCTCTGAAGGTAGGGATTCCGTACATATTATCCGTGGGAGCGACGGACATGGTGAACTTCGGTCCCAAGCCCACCGTGCCGGAGAAGTACCAGCAGCGCAAGCTATACGAACACAACCCCACCGTCACGCTGATGCGGACTTCAAGGGAGGAATGTCGAGCCACGGGGCAATTCATCGCGGAGAAAATCAATCATCATGCACGCAAAAGGGAGGTTGTCCAGGTCGTTCTTCCGCAAGGCGGCGTCAGCATGATCGCCACGCCTGACGGCCCTTTCTACGATGCTGAAGCGGACAGGGCCATCTTCTCCGCCCTCCGCGACGGGCTGAGAGATTCGGGCGTCACCTTGACGGAAGACGAGCGTGCCATCAACGATGCGGGCTTTGCGGAGGACGTCGCTGAGAGACTTGTTTCCGTCATGGGCCTGGAGCGCCGAGGACTTGAGGAGGTATAATCATGAAGTATTTCGCATAATAGATGTTCGAGCAGCTGTCTAATAAGCCTGCGCGTGTAATCCCGAAGGATACCTTAGCGGGTGGTTTAGCTCTGGCATCCGAGATCTGTTGATCATCAGGTTCATTACGCTCTCCGACGGAAGAAGCGGCCGGCCGTGGTTTTTGTCTTTCGAGCATCCTCGTGTTTCTGTCCATGAGATGAGACCAGCTCAGCCAGAACAACTCGATGAGCCAATCCCTGAAGATAAATACTCGCCCGCGCTCGGTTCGGACTGAAATCGAGGTTTCATGAAAGAATGCAGCCCATACTCTATACAGTGCTGGCTGAGCAATCCATCTTTCCCACACTCACTTGAAGCCCGTCTCCCAAACAAAGTTCGCTGACATGTGTGTCCTTCAAGCTCATTGTACGCATAACTTGTGAAGGGGGGATAGATGGTGTATGTTTTTCCTCACTCTAGGCCCGCCATATGTTGGCGCTCGCCAAGACGCAGGAGGGAATGTTGAAGGATTCACTCAGTTCACAAGGCCGGAGTGCAATGCTGTATCAAGGGCGTCAGGGTCAATAATGCCGTGAGCGTGTGGGTGACGCACAAGCCAAATCGTCGAGAGGCCATTTCCAAGAAAGCCGGACAAGAGGTCGAATTTGCAGCTATTCCGGGATACGTATCTCAGAGTTTTCTTGCCGTCGCATGTCGCACACGAAGTGGCGGAAATGTTCCTGTCTATTGGAAATTTACACTCACTAAGCGAAAGGGGAGAAGGAGAAGCAGATCGAAAGACACAGATGGCTTGTCGAAGGGGCTGAGCCGAAAATCAGCTTTGCGAAGTGTGTACATGCGAACGGACCTGGGAGTTTTGATCTTAATTGAGTAGAAACCTGATGTAGTATTTCGTAATCCAAAAGATGTTGCATTGTGGTTTTAGCTGCCACATTCAAAGGTCTGCGCTGTGTGAGCAATCCCAAGATCATATGCATTGGTTTACAGCGACGGTCATTCTGATACAATCGACTCGTCGTGCGGTGTTGTGCACCACAATACAAAGGTATTGGCTTTTGTATTGGCTTATTGGAATCCAATGCTTGATTGTCCCGTGTCGTCTCGGGAGTCAACATCCCGTTATATGCCATCGCAGCGGTTTCGGCCCCTCCGTCAGTCTGCTACTCGCCCAAAAGAGAGCTCTGATCATGATCCTCACAACTGGGGAAGGTTGAGCGGTCCGCGTGGCTGATTGTGACCACTTGCGGCTTCGGGCAGAAATTGCAGGCTTGAGGCTTCCGAACGAAGATATCTGGGCCGGATGATCGAGATCACTTGGTGCCTCTCAAGAGAAATCGACAGCACTCAGAGGACGAGACCAGGCACTCATAGCGAGTTCGGAGCTAATGAGGCGGATTCAGGGCAAGTATCCAAATTCTCATCTTCTCGCGGAAGTACTACTTCCGTTTTTGCGCTGTTCCGTTCGACTGTGTTCCCGTAGCGTGGCCGTTGGAATGATCATGTCCGTGGTCATGATCGTGGTCGTGATCGTGGTGATGATCTTCAAAGGGCTCGTCCAGTGCGTCCGTATCCTTTTTCGTAAACTGATCCGCGAAAGCCGCCTGGTTGGCATGATCGAGACAGACAAATCGGACATTGACGCGTTTCGTTCCCTTCACGTTCTTTGACACTGCCTCTCGGATCTCTACTTCGAGATCGTTCGAGTGGGAAACCGACCAGTCATTCGGCACGCCAACTTCGACCTCGAACATCAGGTTCTGACCGCTCTTGATGCCCTGCACCCCACGGACTTGGGCGTCGCCGCCATCCAATATAGCTACTACTGCCTTCTCTGCTCCCTCTCTGGCTTCCTCGTCCATCCCCACGTCAGCGAGCTCAAATAGCGCAGACTTGGTGTTCGACCAGCCTGCCTGTACAATCATGCCCGAAATGACAAGGCCGCCAATAGGATCCAACCAGCGAGCTCCTTCGAGGAAATGGCTGACAACGATAGTGAAGAGAGCGACGAATGCTGTTAGACTGTCGACACGGTGATGGTACGCCTTGCTGTGTTAGCTTGCACCCCTGATGCAAAGATTGTTCAGCCATTGGTCGTCACTCACATTGGAGGATAATACACTGCTCCTCTTCTCCTTTGCAACTTTCATCGTTGCCCTGTAAAGCCACTCTTTCACGACAATCGATCCAGCAGCAAGCCATGCGGCATTAATGTTAGGCCCAAGGTCCATGTGTCCGTGATCGTGTCCATGATGGTGTACAGCCTCGAAGACGCCGGTATGTGAAAGGAACTCGAAGATCTGAGGGAAGAACTGCTGTGTCAAAGCCATGACTGCCTGTAGTCCAATCATGATGCCTCCGGAGAGTAATATACCCGAGACAGCCAAAGCACCTAAAGATTCTATCTTTCCGTAGCCCATTGGAAATCGGACAGTGGCCGGTTTGACGGAATAGGAGATGGTAGCGAGTGTCATGATATCAGACACAAGGTCCGAAAGGGCGTGAACTGCATCTGCCGTCAACCTGTTCCAAGCAGCCTCGTTGTCAGTCTTGTCCTAAAATATCCGTCTTGCGCTTGTAGAGAGCTCTTACGCTTGCGAATTGAAGACAACACCGCCAACGCCTTTGCCAACCGCCATGCCCAGGTTGACATAGAGCCCAATGCGCGTGATTCGCACTCCTGGGTCGCTCTTGTTCGTGCTCGTCAGGTATGTGTTGTCATGGTGGTGGTGATGATGGCCATGTGAATGGCCCATATGGGATCTCTTCTGGATAGCCTGGGTCGCCATGGCAGTTGTTGCTGTTGTTGCTGTTGTCGTGGTGTTGGTCGGCGAGGGACGAATGCGGTGTACAATATGAGACCACTGGTGGGGCGATCTCGACCTCGTTGTTGACACGTGTGGTGAAGCGGCGGGATGCGCAGCAGTAAGCAGGACGCGATGTCGGGTCTTTAATAAACGGACTCGCGCGTGAAGTCCGGTTCCTACAGCTGTACGGAGAGCATTCGCGAGGCGCAAGGTGGAGGGAACAGAGGTATGGTGGTCGCGTGAGATGGTGTGAGCGGCGGCGGTGGAGGGGGTGGAGGTCGAAGTGGTCGCGGTGTTACATGGCCAGGAGGAGGTAGAGGGGATGAAACGCAGCCTCACGCTTCCAGGAGGAGGGAAGGGCGGCATACGTTGTCTAGAATTCTATTCCAGTCTGGTAGGGCGCAGGGGGAAGAGATCTCGCTCGCTCTTTCGTCGACCCGCGACGCGACGCTCAGCAGCTGCAATCCCCAATGGTTCTTGGCGACACCATCAATGTCATATGATAGCAATAAGCAAGCAATAGAATATCGCGTCAATATGCGAAGTTTCAAGCTTCGCGAGTTCGAGGCGCGTTCAACACTGCGGCAGAATCGGTGGACCCCCCCGTAGAACAGCGCGCCTCGGCTCGGCTCGGCTCGGCTCGGGTGGTCGGGTACTGCCCCTCAGCTGTGGAGGTCAACAACTCTGATGAAGGTCGCAGTGGCTTAGCGCTTCCGCAGGAGCTGAGAGAAAGAAAAACGAACACCGCTTTGACGGACGGGGACGTTTCGATACGACCAAGCCTGCAACATACGACCTCCTCGAAGGTACCGAGATCATTCCGTAGTGTAGATAGCCGGTCCTAGTTATCATACGTCCCCAAAGTGAGCCTGTCTAAGTTCCTCCATTCTGAGCTCCTCAGGCCATGGCACCAGAAATTTGTCGATCTCTTCACGCCAGAATGTATTTCTAAAATTGACCTGGCACGCTGTCGTATATTCCCAATAATACGGAAACCAGCCAGCTGTTTCCCAGTCCACGATGCCGGTGATCTTGTCACCTTCTGCCATGATATTGAGACTACTCAAGTCGCCATGAGTAAACACAGGTAGTGGCCATTCTCGACCATGTAATTGTATCAATTCGTTCACAGCGGCTGGGAGAGCACTAGACTCAGCGCTGATACCGCCGCGAAGGTATTGATGGAAGCCGTCCGTATTTTCAAATGGCCCGAAGTCGAGAGTCTTTCCCGGCAGTCGGCAGTCCTACAGTCGACCCCCATTGACGTTGGCAACGGCCGGGGAGGAAGGAGGAAGACTGCGCATAGTATTCACTATTTCCTTGAGCTGGAGTAGTATCTTGGCCTAAGAAGTCGCCGACCTCGACTTCCACCCGTGTGTCAGATTTTCACCTTTGACTCTTTGCATTACAATATATGTCCAGCCTTTGCGCGTGAAGGCGCAATATATTGCCGGTACCGGAATGGAAGTATTACGCGCAATGAAGTCTATCGTCAACGCCTCTGGAAGGTGCCGCAGTGGACCATATTTAATACAAAGTCCTCTTGTCAGAAATATAAGCATTCCTTGCTTTGGCCGAAAACTACCAACAAGTTTGATAGCTGCGAGCACCAAAATGCGGTGAATCTAGGTATCATCAATGGACTGCGGACTATTGCAGATTGGAGTCGTCATTCTCTGTTGTCCCATCTTGATGTCGCCGAAAAGACTCGACGTGGTCTAGCGTGAAATTCCCCTCTCCAGTCCGAGGATATAGTCGCGCGAGTGACAGCAATCGCGGTCGACGGCTGCAAATCAAGTTCAGAGCAATTTTGGGTGGTGCGAGCGATTGAGCTTCTGTAGCAGGCGTCTTGGATTTGTATAGAGATAGCGATAAGAAGTATTACTAAAGTATTCTACTTATCGCGACGATAGATTAGGATATATTTAAGAGCGACGACTAATACTAGCGTAGCTAGGCGTCGATAGAACGAATTAACGTAGCTCGAAGGCACTTAATAGTATCGGCGTTAGAAGACTAGATAGTCGTATAGCAAAGGAGTAAGAAATATAGAGTAGAATAGAAGGTAAATAACATTGTACTAAGCGATAGTAATCTTAAAGCGGAAGAGACTAAGCCGTAAAGGGGTTTCCCTATAAACGGAGTACGGAGTACGTAGAAGATTTACAGTACGTTTAACAGGATATTTGTACTAGCTAAGCAAGCTGTAGCGAATGTCGTAGTCTCGTTTTCAATCACTGATTTCTCCTATGCCTCAGTTCATCTCGTGATATATGAAAGACCGCCAGAAACTCGTCTAGTTATGATATTGTACAAGAGACCAAACAGTGAATAAACAGCGCGGGCGTCCCGGGGTATCTCTGTGTCTTACGCGTTGTCGTTACGCTGTCATAGTGTGGTGTAGTAGGCCGTGAAGAACGTTCAATTGGAAACAATGGACTGGATGCTGATTCGGCTGTTTTGAGAGTCGGGCGAGCAACGTTGAGATGCTGGCTGGCCCGAGAACGACATGTCCTGTGGGCTGGTCATCATCGACGAGCCGTCGAATGTTCGTCGGATCGGTGGTGGAGGTTGGTAAAGCGGAAGTGGTTGAGGCAGGCTTCTCGATCGAACGTGCTCGGGATATTGAGGCGGCTGCTGTTCACTCGTGTGCGCACGCCATGACGATGCTTTCCTGGTCGTCTCCGCCTCGCCTGCCTCCAGCTCAGCATCGGAGCAGAAGCCAACACCAGAATCGCTGTTGTTGTCTGAAATACCTCGTTCCGAGAGAGTCTGGTTGTAGTCGGCTGTCGCCTTCCTCTGGGCTGTCCGAGCAGCAGTCTGGAGAGTCTTGAGGCCTTTCTCCATGCACTGTAAGAATAAGTCAGCACTGTGTTGGTCGTGTGTTTCTGCCGCTCTGCCTGCTTACTTTGGCTTCAACGACTCCCCATTTCTCCCCGAGCCTCGCGGCAAGGGTCTCCCACATCTCCTTCCTGCACGCCATGTACTCCTGAGCGAGCAGCTCAAGCTTGTGGGTGTCCCAATCATCTACATGACGCCTCTCGATGAGGCGTTCGTGACGCTTTCTGCAGGCATTGGCGCTCTTGTTCGGAAAGTGTCGATTGGCAATCGGCTGCCAGTTGAGACCAGACGCCCGCGCCTGCAGCAAAATCTCGTCGTCTGCTGAACTCCAGATCGCGGCGTTTCTCTGTCCGCTCGCAGATGCCGATGTTGTTGGATAGGGAGCCACTGCTACCGCGTGGCTTGCCATTGGGTTCCTGCTCTCCCTGGGCATGATTGGGATGTTGCTGAAATAGGGCATGTATGGCAGAACGATCGTTGATGTTGACGAGAGTAACGGCGATTTAGGAAGATAAGAACAAGAACGCAGTTAATGCAAGGCCAGGCGTAGGGTGCTTCGAGCACACAAGGTGACGCAAAGGGGTGGCAAGTATTAATGATTAGGAGTAGGTAATTCCAGTACCAGACCGAACAGATGGACTAAGGAAAGACAGTAAGAGATAACGAAATACAGAAAATGACAAGACAAGAAGACTTTTGCGCTGTTGCGCTGTTGCTACCGAGCCAGATGAAGGGTGGCGAACCCGACCGTCTTATATCAACCTCTGCCACACTGTGCTGTCGGCTCTCGGGCGGACAAACCAGACCACAGGAGGGGAGGGTTGCAATGTGAAACCAGTGGACGAACGCTCTGCGTCTATTGCCTTCCAAAGAGTATCTGCAAGCTGTACATTACAGGCAAGGCTGAAACGCCTAACTCTGCGATGTGGTCGGCGGTGCTCCTGGAGACGAAGGGAGACCGTGGGTTTGGCATGATCAGTGGCTTTCCGTGGTACAGTTCCTGAACATGAGACGTCATGAACTGCATGTCAAGGTGCCGATGGGGAGTTCGCGCCTGTTTCATGCTATATTAGGCATGCGGCGGGAGATGAGGTCGCAGGTGAGGGCCGGCGCGAAGGCCACGAGCAGTCGGCGGCTATTGATATGCAGGTGCGGCCAGGAGAGGCCAGGAGGCCAGATCGGTATAGAACAGCTGTAGAGGTTGTTCACTGGGGAAAGCTGGCCAGGTCGTTCTTCCGGCTGGAGCGCTCGGTCTGTGGTAGTGAGGAAGCTATCACTTCCGCGTTAGACTGCCATCTTTCATCACCCGAGGCGTTTCTAACGCTTTCAACCGGAGATGGGACATGCTCACGACCCCTAAGCGCCTGCTGCGACCGCAAGGTCGTGTAACACGATGATGGCCTCAGGGCGGCGAGCAGAGCTGGAGGGCGGTACGCTCGAGCCCATAGATGGTATGCGGTTGCAGAGCGACGACCAGAGCCGGTCTTGTTTGGTGCGGTGGTGGAAAACGACGAGAAATGAAGGAGTGTCGTCCGTTGAAGGCCCCGTGATTGGAGAGAGCCGAGGATCAGAGGGCGGCTATTAATCGGCTTCCACGAATGAAAAATTAGGACGGCGCTGATTGGAGCATTCGGCCATCACAGGGTGGAATGGATGCCAGCCAGGCGCAAATGTCCTGCTTGATTGGCAAACACGTGATGTGAGTGAATGAGAGGCGAGAAAGAAGTTCGCGGCAACGAGAAGGGGTCATGATATGGTAAGCCCATGGAGGCTAAGCCCATGATTACGTCCGGCTAGATCCGGTGCGTCCGCGACATCGTAAGACGTGATTATTCCGGGCAAAGCGTCATTGTTTTGCCAAGACGGACAGAACCTTACCGTTGGCAACCTCATCTGCTCCCTCTCTGCTGTAGTCAACAGCATGGGCCAGCGCTGTACCATCACATCCTCGCAGAGGATCATGCCACGACAGAGATCGACGTCGACCTGCGTGTGTGCGCTCTTCACCTCCGCATCGACCAGAAAGAAGCCCAGAGAAGCCAGACGACGTCGCCGGCAGAATCGCAGTCGCCTCCTTGACGTTTGTGCTGCGTTCAACTCTCGCACGGGACGTCTCCACTTCTGCTTCCAGACGCGTACGCGGACGGTCACACAGATTGAAAGACAGGGCCATCGGATACATGCAGCGGCCCGTCCTTTGACAGACGATCTGCCAGGGAGCGCGACGCGATTGACAGCCGCTCCCGTTCCACGAACGCCATGCTGAAGACGTCGGCTTCTTGCCACGCCCGTCGCATGGCAGAAAAGATTCACTGTCAATCAAGTGAGAGCGCTGCTTCGAGCATATGATAGTGTCTTCTCCAAGTAGGTAGCAATAGAGATGACAGCTCATTTATGCATCATGAAGAGCTAAGGCAGTGCGTGCTATGCGTTGGCTTCACTGCGCATGCTGCCGTGCAGTACCAATGCAAGCCTGCAGCTTGAGGAGAAGCTCCCCGGTAAACGAAGCTGTCTCCGTCCAGCCTTCGCCTACAGGAGATGACTGTGTTGCTGATCAACACACTACAAGCTCACATTGATTGTGAAGATTGATGCTCGTGCTTCGGGGACTACTGACTGGCCAGATCAGCATCTTGGAACCCGCAGCTCTCAACCTGGAATCTCCCCCAGATGACGAAGGACCTTTACCCGGATAAGCTGCCACGGGAGGGCGCAGAAGCGTATTCAATGACAGGTCCCATAGGAGCAATCAGTCATCCACAGACCCTGGACGGACGAACGAACATATGCCGCTACGTTTTGCTGCTCCTGATGTTGCTCGCAAGGAGTTGCCTCCAGCCTGGACCTCTCACCACCCATTGGGTTTTAGGGCCACCGGGAGCCCGTGTCAACCACATTGCATCCCGCGCGGAAGTCGCGACACCCTTTTGCACTCCGCTCTGCACCTCTGTAGACGCGGATGGAACGCAAATTCGGGGCTCGGAAGGGTGATCCGCCTGTCACCCGTTATTGGCCTTCGGCAGTGCCAAACGCTATGCCCACAGTCCAAGCTGTTCGCCTCTGCAACATGGCTACAAAGATAGCTGAGGGCCATGGACTTGCTCACCTATTCCTTGCCCATCCAGTGTCATCTTCTTGGCGGTCCATTCCTTGCTCTTTTGCTTTGCTTTCCTGGTGGTTGTCTTTTGATTGTTTTGTACTTAGTGGCTGCGTTCTTCATTCCACTCTGGGGCCATCTGTACCGATCTGACGTTGCCTCGAAATCTGTCTTGAGCCATCGAAATTCTCCAGCAGCCGATCGGCCTTCCGTTGCCAGCGTTAAGCCGACGGTCACGTGACATTTGGTCCACGTTGATATCAGCACTCCACGACACCAGCGACCGATCTGCCAGAGTGAAACTTGCTTCTCGTCTTGCGGAAAGTGCTGGAAAGACCTCCGGTGAACTTTGTCAACTTCGCATCAGGCTGCGAGAACTTACTTCACTTCTCACCTGAGGCAGCCCCCACCGGCAAGCACCCGCTGAAAAGGCTCGGACAGCACTCTTCACAGACAACCATCTCACCGCGCACACTCGCAATAGCATCGCTCGTCCAACACTCCCCTTGCCCCGCATACAGCGGCTGCACCTCGACATTAGCTTCTGCGACGAACTGCTCGTACACTCCAACTGCCACGCAAAGAACGCCGCCACAAGGGTAAGTGCACACCGAACATGCGGTTGCATACATTGAACTGATCGGAGTAGCAGTTCGGTCTCCGGCCCGCTTGGTATCCTACTTGGCTTCTCCAATGTCGGTGAGGAACACCATGCAGGCTCCGAACCTCTTTCCGGCGTTGCGGCAGGGCCCTCCCCCTCCTACTCTCTATCACCGACATCCAAACACCTACCACCATCACCCATACTCCCGTCTTCGTCCTCAGCGCTCCAATGCCATGGCCCAAACACCAGACGCTATGGGATCTTATTACCAAGAGCACGATGGAATCATCACACCAACGTTTCCCAGCGGAACTCCCAGCTTCGACCAGTACTTGCAACACCAGGAAGATCCTGTCCTTACGGAGTGGCGCAAGTCTCCAATGCTCCAGCCAACTCCGAACAACGTGAACATGAACTTATTCCGCCCACTGGACATTGGTAACGGTAGCACAAACAACTACTTTCAGCATGGCTTGGTCGGCTCGGGCTTGACTACAGTCACCGGAGATACAATGGTACGAAAAGTTGAGTGTGATGCCGCTCCCAACTACACCTCTCCGAATACCGGCTTCAACCACTCCGACATCACCTCCGCCAACTCCAATCAATTGTTGTTCAGACCTGAAAGCAACGCTTCGCGCCATGGGCATTACATAGCGCCGTCGGCTCAGCCTCATTTGGCGGCCGCTACAGAAGCAGCAAAAGACAATGGCGACAGCCCGCTGGAAGGCAGTCAGCGCCGCTCTTCCTATCCAACGGTGGCACCGGTCCCGTGCCATGTCGACCCTTCAGAATATCAGAACGTGGACGATGCAGACTGGATGATGCAAGCACCTGGTAACAACGCCTTCTCTCCGTCCACAGTGGACACACCCTACGATGAGGCTGCAACTCCTGGCGCAGGTGACGACAGTACAAACGAGACTTACGGTGGTAGCTTTGCAAATGCTTCTTCTACCTTGAACCAAGTCTCGAAGGTCGACTACGAAGCGAACACCCAGCGCACTTCAAGCTTCGTGGAATCCATGAACATCCCTCCTTCTGGACCATCTCAAGGCCTTGACTCCAACTTTGAACCACCCCCCGCTTTCTGGACTCCTCCCGCCACAAGCTTCGTCTCTGAACCCGCGTTCCCTGGATTTGGCAACTTCCAGAGCCAGAATGTTCTCCGTCCCACCGGCCGAGCACGTGTCGACGTACCCTCTGTTGCCCCACAATCTACGAGACTCAGCGACGCGGCCGCTCTGGAAGAGACGGGTAGATCAGCCATGGAGACGACACCGGAGACTTCAGAAACCAGCGATGGAGAAGAAACTGAGTCGGAACCCGACATCAATGACCAAGCAGTGACCGAGGCAGCTCACCGTCGCGACCGAGACAGATATCTTCTCAAGATGCGCGAGAAGGGCTGGTCGTACAAGGAGATCAAGAAGCGTGGCCACTTCCGCGAGGCAGAGTCGACCCTGCGTGGTCGAGTGAGGGTACTGACCAAGCACAAGAGTCAGAGAGTCCGCAAGCCAGAATGGACTGCCCACGATGTAAGTGACGCATGATACCTTGATCATTGATAACTTGCGCGGCGAGGATAGGACACTGACAACTGCCAGATCGAGCTCCTCCGTAACGCTGTCAAGCGCTACAAGGACGAGGGAGACAGTGATGGCTCCTACCATGGCAACCGCATTCCATGGAAGCGTGTCAGTGAGTGGATGAAGCGCAATGGTAAGCACATGCCAGCAGGCACCTGTGATATACCTGGAATTCCGCTGATCTTCTGTAACTGTAAAAGGTAGCACGTACCCATTCGCAGGTCCTACCTGCGCGAAGAAGTGGAAAGAGATCGAGTTGGACATTGAATGAGCTCGAAACTGTCGACATCGCGGCTGGCGCTCACCATGCAGGACTGGCGCATTATGGACGGTATACCCGGCATTGCTTGGCGAAAGGTTGGTTTTGAAAAAGAAGGCGAATGGCAACATCCACGGCAGGGCGTAATAGAAGGGGCCCTACACACGCACGCATGATACACATGGCATATTATGAGAAGGCATTCTACACTGATAGAATCACGTAGATAGATACATGAGCTCGTGGGCATGATGCTCACCGCGGCAGGTTGGCATCGGCATGCGACAGCTTAGACAGACCAAGATCAAGAGTGAATGAAGAGCACAGAGATTTGAAAAGGGTGGTTTCTTGTTAGTGCTTCTTTCTTCTCCCTCACCATCTCATCGCAAGCCCCAGGTACGAAGGAGAGCCATCATCACCTTTCATTGAGAGTTTCAATACTGAAGCTGGAATATGCTAGGGGCTTTACCCAGACGTATTCAGCATGCATAGATCGACCTCCGATAGCACAAACATGCACATATGTCTTCTTTCCGCGCTTGACCAGAGCATGGCTCGCACATTCATTCGCCACTCGGTTCGCTTTCCTTGCCAGACTGACGACGTAGTCGCCAAGAAGGATGTCCAAAGACAGCGCGCGCAGTATGTTGGGAAGCGTCCACTCCAAGAGCTTCTCTGTAAGATTACGTGCTCGATTCTGGTAGTGTAGCTATAGTCATGTGCATGGGTTGCTGAACAAGGCACAAGTGCTCCTCCAACGGGCCATTCACCGTGAAGGTGTCGAGGAGACCACGCATGAAAGACTGACCGGGGTGTTGTGTTGTCAGTGAGCTGACATGTCCATTGAAACGCAACTCTCCTTGATTTTGGTATAACAAGTCGTCCTGCTCCCCGAGTGCAAACCTTTCACGGCCACGAATCCAGCACATTGAACATCTCGGCAGAGAGAGAAGGTAGAATTTACACCATAGCCCAGCTTTCCCAAGCCCCGATACATGCCATTATCTCTCCGGATCCGCACTGAATAGAACTGGTCCGGTTCGTACCAGGGTAGCCGCTCTTCTTCGAGCGGTTGCGAGAAGTCCGTCTCTGATGTGCTGATAGTGGCTTACTGGGCACGACCGGTTTGTGTTCTTGTAGACTGTGACAGCCTTCGCACAGCTCGAACCATCACGTATGGTAAAATTGCCAGATGCCCGTGTCACTGATCTTGTAGAGTCGGGAAGGGAGTGACGGCGTAGCGATAATAATAGAAACACTAAGTGTCCGTGCAGCAACTATCGGTATGCGTGTATGATACAGTCGAGGGATGAGGCAAGGGGCATTTGGGAGGTAGATGCAGCTCGTTGTGGATGTAAAGGGAGGAGTTCTGTTTGGAACGAGCATTGAGTACGTTTTGGCGGGGCGTTGTTTGAGCGAGATATTGTGGAAGCTTGGTAGAGGCTGCAATTGGGGTCGAGATCAGATCGTTGTCATGAGAGGAGTTGTGTGAGATGTTGTTGGTGTTGGCATGTGAAAGTTTGAGCCCCTGAAATTGAGTGAATAGAGGCGGCCGGGATGTTGGAGGTCGGTAGCCGAAGGGTGGGTTCACGTCATTACCCGTTTGCCGGAGATACTAGTGTGAAAGCTGCTGTGCTGTCAGCCTGCCAAAGCACAGAAACACCTGCCTACATTTACTGCATGCTGGTGCTCGTGCATCGACATCAACCCTGCCCTGCCCGATCCTGCGCATTCGTCTGCCGCGTCGACCGAGACGACACTAAATCAGGAATATCTCAGGTGTACAATACAACACCTCGTCCGCCGTCTTCCGCTCAGCCCACCAGTCAATCATTCCCTTCCAAGAACCACAAGCCCGACGTCTTCACGATTCAATAATGCGCGCGCACTATACCTCGCGATACCGGTAGTCTCAGTCTCGCAGCCCCAAGCCTGAAATCGACCGACCTGTCAACACACGAATGCCCACCTCCACGAGCGCCAACATCCACGCCATGTCCGGCTCGTTTGAGAAGTCCGTCAAGGGTGGCACCAAAGTGAAGTGCGCGCCTCCGAAGAGCAAGTATGTCGAACATATCCTCCTGGCCACGCAGTCTGGAGAGGCCGGCGTTGCAGAGGTCTTCCGCACCCTCACACATCGTTTGCGGGATTCAACATGGACGGTAGCCTTTAAGGCTCTCATTATTGTACACTTGATGATCAAAGAGGGGGTGGCGGATGTAACATTGCGCTATCTGTCAGTCGCGCCTCGCAACAGGCTTGCTATCAACAGCTTCACGGACGTGCAGACACAGGGTCAAAACATAAGAGTTTACTCGGAGTACCTGCTCGCGCGTGCGCAGGCGTTTGAGATGGGCCATTGCGACTATGTGAGGAACGGAGAGCGTCATATGAAGCGGTTGTCTGTGGACAAGGGGCTACTAAGGGAGACCGAGCTTGTACAGGACCAGATCAAGGCGCTGGTCAGGTGCGATCTGCTGTCCAACGACTACGATTCGAACGAGATCTCCTTGACGGCCTTCCGACTTCTGACTCGAGACCTCTTGAACCTTTTTGACGTGGAGAACCAGGCTGTGATGAGCGTGCTTAGCCACTACTTTGAGATGTCGAGACCGGACGCGGAGCGTGCTATAACAATCTACAAGACCTTCTGCAAGCAGACAGATCAAGTAGTGCAGTATCTCAGCGTTGCACGGCAATATGAGTATGCTACACGGCTGGAGATTCCCAAGTTGAAGCACGCACCGACAAGCTTGGCAGCTTCGTTGCAGGAATACCTGGACGACAAGGACTTTGAAGTCAATCGCAGGCAGTATCTTGCGGAGCAGGAAGCCAAGAAGAGTGGCAAGCCATTTTCGAAACCATCACAGCCTGCTGTATCGTCTACGAAGACTCCAACGCCTTTCGATGAGAAGCCTACAACACAGCCAGCGGCGGCAACTGCGTCCGCGAAAGGCCCAAATACCAACCTAATAGACTTCTTTGAATCAATAGAGCAGAATCAACAGACCACGGAGACGAATCCATTCTTGAGACAACCGCAGCAACCACAGCCGACAGGCTTTCAACAGCCTCAGCCGACGGGGTTTCAGCAGCCTCAATCAACGGGATTCCAGCAGCCTCAATCAACGGGGTTTCAGCAGCCTCAAACAACGGGCTTTCAGCAGCCTCAACAAACTGGCTTCGCACCCGAACAGCAGGCTGTGAACGGGTTTGGTTTGAACGGAGCCCCTACAAATCCGTACGCACAGTCACTCATGCAACAGCAGCCTCCGCCTCAGCCTTTGCAAGCGCAATATACAGGCGCTGGATTCGGCGGGTATGGACCGCAGCCTTCGCAACAATCGTTTGCACCTGGAAACGACTTCGGGCAGCAGGCACAACAATTTCAGACACCGGCGCAAACACATGCCCCAGCGCAACTGCAGCCACAGCCAACCAATCCCTTCCGTCAGTCCATGATGGCAATCGGAGGCTCGGGAGGTTTTGGCTCATTGGGCCAGCCCCAACAACAACAACAACATCAACAACAGCAACAACAACAACAATCGCTCCAAAGATCCGCTACGAATCCTTTTGCACGCAATCAGATCTCTTCTATACCGGAGGGCGGGCCTCCGCCTCAGCAATTACCGCCGCAAACCTCATCGCCATTCTCACAGCAGCAACCGTCATTCCAGACACAGCAGCAACCGCTGCAAGCACAGCTGACAGGCACAAACCCTTTCGCCCGCAATCAAACTCCAACGCAGCAACCTACACCTCCCGTCTCACCACCCAACGCGCTCCAAGTGCAGCCTACTGGTAGCACGAATCCTTTCCGGCAATCGATGTTTGTGAACCAGCAGACCGGACAGGGATGGCAAAACTCACCACAGGCGACGATGGGTGGTCTGGAGAATCTGCAGACGGTACCTATATTCCCCCGACCTGGACAGGCGCCGCAACAACAGCAGCAGTCACCGTGGGGGTGAAGATACATGATTGAGAGAGAGAGAGACACTGGTGCGATCTTAGCGTGGAGTTTGGGGGATCATCGCATGGCATTTCTTCCTCACCAGCCACACAAGCGTTGAAGCAGCAAAGTCAGCTATTCCTTCCATCTGCAAGTATCTGAAGCGACATGATAATCGCCGCGAGCATTTTTGCAGCCAAGTTCTCACCGTCCCACATGTTTGAAAGCCTAGCAGCGGTTGCATGCACCAGCTCCACACACACACACACGTCTGAGCTCGGCAGTCTCTGCGGCTGCGTCATTGCACCCACGTGAAGCGTTTAGACTTTTCCAAGTTGCGATGGGGAAAACCATGCTACCCGAACTGCCTCGCCTCGCCTCTTGTTCTTTCTCTTCGGTCTGCCCCGGCGGATTTACGTTTTCAAGACACAGCCGACTTTGGTATCTGGCATTGGCGAAATCTGGGACAAGATCTGATCTCGTGCCCAATAGCAAGATCTCGAGAGATCTAGATCGACCAATCACCTTCTGCGCCGCGGACTGCACTCCTCAAGATGGCCGACTTTCTTAGGGATAAGAAGATGCAGGTGGGCAATATCACCCTATCAGACAATGCTGCATATCCGGTGCAAGACTTTCACTTACGATGAATCAGGTCGTTGCCTTCTCTTCCGCCGCGGTGGCTCTCTACGGATACGATCAGGGCAAGGCATCTTCGAAGTCCGATACGTATCTCTTCTCAACCAGCTAACATGGTCCCCAGGAATGATGTCACTGATCAACACTAATTACAACTACCTGTCAAAGATGGGCATCTCCTCCGAAGACCCTCAAGTCGGAGTCATCGTCGCAGTCTATTACCTCGGCTGTTCCGTCGGAGCGGTTATTTTCTCCTGGTTGGCAGACCAGTACGGCCGCAAACCAGCTCTCTTCGGATGTCTCGCAACAGCATCTCTCGGGAATCTCATCATGTTCATTGCTGGCTTGGGATTCAGCAAAGGTGCTCTCGCCACGATGTACATAGGGAGAGTTGTCATGGGACTGGGAGTTGGAGGGATCGATTCTGTCGTTCCGGTCTACAGTTCTGAACTGTCGAATGATGATGCTAGAGGAAAAGCATTGGCGCAAGAATTTCAGGCGAATATCTTCGGTCTGAATATGGCTTTTGCCATCAATCTGGCGGTCACGGTCACACTTGGGAAGCAGAACCAGTGGGCTTGGAGGATTCCGATTATTGCGATGCAGGTGGGGCCACCAATTCTCATATCGACGGAATTTTGGCTGACGCGGTACTAGGTATATCCGGTGATACTGATGATCTTCATCGGTGCTCTTCCAGAGTCTCCTCGATGGTTCTGCTTCCATGATAAGACGGAAGAGGCAACGGAGTCCTTGAAGGAGTTCATGAGCGAAGACGAAGCGAAGACGAGGTGCGATGAGCTTATGGAAGCTCATCAACAGGAAAGCGATTCGCATGTCTCTTACACGGATATGTTCACTCCAGGCCATTCGCAGTTCCATCCGACCATTCTTACGATTATGGGACAGGTCAACCAGGCCTTGACGGGCTACGGAGGTATGGGTGAAACCGGTTCATGCCTCATGGTACATCTGCTAACAAGTGTCTCAGCTGTGTCTGTGTATGGCCCGCAGATCTTCGAACTCTTGGGATATGGAGTCCGTCTTGCCGAATATCTCACCATGGCGAACTACGTCTCTTACTTCTTTCTCATGACATTCGCTTGGCTGCTCATCGACGCCGTTGGCCGCCGCACCCTTCTGCTCAATGGATCTGGAACACTAACACTATGCTTCTCCCTTCTAGCCCTTTTCGGCGGTCTCTCCTATCACTCCGACGAATTAAACATCCACAACAATGCCGTCGCCGTCCCAGGAATTGTGGTCCTCTTCATTGCTACAGGGACATTCGGAATCTCGTGGCTCGTGCCGGCCTGGCTGATCCCTACGGAAATATACCCTACTACCTGTCGAGCTCAAGGAACAGCAGTATCCGTCATCATCTGGGGCCTAGCCAACTTCACCGTCACGCTGATCACTCCGCTGATGTTCAACAATCTCAAATTCTACCTCTTCCTCGTTTTCGCGGCGACCAACCTCTTTGCTGGTGTGTGGACTTACCTTTATTGTCCCGAGACAGGCGGGCGTACATTCGAAGAAAACCAGGAATTCTTCGAGCAGGCGAAGAAGCATGGTACTTGGAGGGTGTCTCAAGTACAGGACGGGGAGTTCAGGTGGTTGCCGTACCCGAAGCCTGAGAATCCGGATGATGAAAGCCAGCCGCTCTTGAGGAGGATTAGGGATCAGGTTAACAATTAGTGTTCCTCAAGAGGATGGCCACTCGTGGTGTGGTGTTCGATACCCACTCCTCTTACGCACTTTGGATTGGAAAAGTAATAGGCGATTTGGATTGGCACTGGCAACGTTGTTGGCCAGATAGGCGCATGTAATTTTCTACTGCTTTAGCATGCTCATCGATGACATCGACAGACTTCTCGAACAAATCAAAAACTCAATAGGTATCTCTCTCTCTCTCTCTCTCTCTCTCTCTCTTTCTCAAATGCAGACAAATGGCGTCCCAACGCCACGCTTAGAAGCAACAAACAGACCGCACCGCCATGAGTTGGGCGTCATGCTGTACATGTACAGACTTCAACACGAAATAAAACTCGACTAGATCCGAATGACAACCGAGAACCCCAAAGCTTTGGCCTCGCGAATGGAGCAAGCAAGACAAGTACGCCCGACCTTGGCCACGATTGCGTTCTCGGCGACCTTGGAGCACCACGCGCGGCCGAGCAACTGCAAGTCTTCTGTACCGCGACAGTCCAGCACGACGACGCGGGCTTCTTCCTCGGCTGTAGCCTCTGGATGTGCGGCGCGGGCGTCGGGCACCGAGAGCGCTCGTGGACGCTCTTCGGGAGGCTCGGTCATCAGAGTCGCTACTGGTATGGTCTCGTACTTGTAATCGACATGGAGCGAGTGACAAGGCGGAGGCGGTACCTCCCTCATCGCTTCGTCCGCCATGATGTATCCACCAGATGGAGAAGTAGAGCAACGAGCGCTGTCTTGGGGACCGATCTCGCCCAATATCTCCATTTCCTCTTCCTCTTCCTCTTCTTCCGATTCGTATTGCTCGGCTTCGTATTGGATCACGAAGTCAGACGGGAGAAGATCTCCGGAAAAGTCTGGTTCTGGAGCAGGCTTTCGCTTGGGTTTGGGTTTGGCTTTCGGTTTGGTGATGATCTTTGGTTTGCGCATTTCCGGATGGCAAGGATATGACGAGACAAAGTGCACATTGTAAGTGATCGTGACGGTCAGAGTCGAGAGCTTGCTGTTGATGGGCGAGGAGAAAGTAATGGACGGGATTGGAGCTTCGCCAGCGAACTCAGATTCCGTAAACGCGAGGCCTTGGGAACGCACTTCGTTGCCCATCACGGGAAGGCCATCGTGTGGTGTCGTAAAGTCCGTCTGTTGCACTGCCATTCGTTCGCCGCTGCCCATGGGATCGGAGTCCTTTGCAACGGCTTCTGGGTCCGTCATTCTCGCCATCGAGTCGTCGCAGTATGGAACATCTCGTATCTCCGATGCTACCCAGCCCTCCTTGTGACCGCGCGGCATTCCAGCGACGGAGATCCAGCCCATGCATTCTACTGCATCCTTTGACGCCGCCATTACTCGTCCAATGACAGAGCTCTTGCTCCAGTAACTCCGACCTTGGTAGACGAAGCCGCTCTGGAGATTGGCAACGTCGCCAATCGTGTTGAGAGCATGAGGCGTGTTCTCAAGGACGGCACTGATCAGGAAGTCACTTGCAGCTTCTCCTGGCATGACCAGGCCGCAAAGCCATGTGCGACTCATCCAGCCACCCACATTGACCTCTCCCCCACTTGTCTCGTTGTCTACGGTCTTGTGCAGGTGCATGTTGTGCACCGTGTCTTGTCTACCGCCGAAGAAACGAGGCCCGCCGTGCTCGCTCCTGGCAGTGCCCTGTCGACTTCCAGAACGGCTTCCAGGCCGACTTCCTGAACGACTTCCGGGACGGCTCGAACGACTCGAGCGTCTCATACCCAGAAATCTTTGTGCTTTTTCACTTGTGTTGTTAGGGTCTAGATCTCCGGTGAAGCCGCTTGGACGCCTCTGCAGGACTGCTTCATTTACACCTCGATCACCACCACCTATATCTGCTGCGTCATCTTCGGTCGACTCTACCAGTTTGGCGAGCAGCTCTTTTTCTAACCTTGCTGCATTGGGCCAGTGAAGCGACTCAGCAAAATGTACCAGACCCGAGATTTGCCGTTCCTGGTTCCGGGGTTGATAGAATGGTTCAGATCTCTCTTTCGATGTGAGTTGAGAAAGGACGCTGAACAAGCCATTCTTGCTCGGCTTGTCAGAGGCTTTGATTGATACCTCCACATTCTCCAAGAATCTTTCCGCTAGCACGAGATCCCAATTGACCTTCGCAGTCCGCTGACTTTCGATAGCAAGTCGATCGCTCAGGGAGAGGAAGGTTGTTGCGCTGTTGCGAGTAAATGACACAGCTCTTACGATGGCAAGACGGATGAGAAGTTCAGCGGCCAACGTGATTTGCAAGAGCACAATTTCTCGTTCAGATGGCTCATGATCTTTGTCAAAGAGAGACGGCCGTCTCGCATTGTTGATCGGTCCAGACCAGAGTGATTGTCCGATTTTCAATCTGGTGTCAGGCAGACCAAAATCAGGCCAGACCTCTTTCATTCCCAGGATGTTCTGCAAAGCCTCGATCTGCACTTTCAAAGTGGTGTCCTTGATGCTCATAGATTTCGGCGGGCACAGTATTCTCGTAAACAGTTCCTCTCCCATTCGTGATATCTGCTGTTCGTTGGTCATGGCCATTACCGTATCGTCATCGCTGTACTTCGTTTTCAGCAATGTCTCTAGCTCCGCGAGGCGTTCCACGTTGCTGTCGGTGTTCATCTCTTGGAGACCGAGTTGTCCCGGGTCGGCGTAGAGTAGCTTACGGTTCTCGAACCGTGGCAGCTCGACCGTGTAGCGTATGTCATCGGAGATAGCCAGCTGAAGGAAGTGCTCAAAGCTTGTAGTCCCAGTCTCTGTCCCATGTGAGCTGAGCATGCTTGGCAATTCACGCAGAGCTGCTCGTGAGCTTTGAAGCACCGCTTTGGCATCTCGCTTCACTGGTTCGGCACCCAGTGTGCTTAGTAGAAACGACGCATGGCTCAGATCACGGTGATCTGTTGATCCAGGAGCGAGGACCTTGGACTTCTCATCAACGAAGACCACTTGCGGCCGATAGCCGCTTTTGACCTTTCCAACATTGAAGTAGGGCGCTCCGACGAACATTTCTTGGGCTTCCTCGGTCGTGAGAGGCTTAGTACGGCCTCGTTGGCCATCTACTTGAGGTTCATCAAGGGAACATGCGCCCCTGGTCCGTGATCTTGATCTAGCCCGAATCTTCTGCTGGAGTATGAAATTCTCAGACGCCTGCTTCTTCTCATCTTTCGTCTTTCCCATCACTCGCTCCAGGACCGAGTCGTCAATGTCGAGAGCTCTCATTTGCTGTGGTCTGTGGCCTCCCGGCGAGGGCGGTTTTATCTGCAATGGAGCCAATCAGCTCTCATCAACAATGCATACCTTCAATGACACTCACTATCCGCGATGCGCGGTACCGTGTCTTGTTCGACATCCATCCATTTCCCCAGCCACGAAAGAATCCCGCAATTTGACTCCTCTTCGGTTTTCTCGAAGGCGGGTCCGGCACCACCATAAGAAACTCGTCCGCAGTCTGTACCATAGACATCGCTGATTTCGATTTCTTGTTGTTCTTTCCCGATACATGCTGGAAGATCGAGGCCAGAGACTCTTTGCGGCTCCCCCTCCCATCTTTGGAGGAACCCAAGGAGAAGAACATGGCCGCACGCCCCGTAGACGACGGGCGGGGGGAGAAGAGGACAGCAGAGAGAGGAGGGGATTGCAGGGAAGACCAAGAGGAGAAAGAAAACAACTTTACGAGGATAGTTTCAATTGCGTTACTCCCTGAAGAATGGAGGCGTGCCGCACACGAGCTGAAGTTTGGCGGAATAGGGTCTAAAAAGCACTGTAGCGCGCTATAACGACAGCCATCGCATGCTCTTACTCCGCCAGGAGCGTTTCAAGCGGCCAGGCACTTGAAGGCCGACGGCAGATTGGCCGGTTCCAAAAGCGAAGTGCGGTCGTGAAGCGCCACATGCAGTCTGGCAGTCTGTGCGACACGCGTTCCTCACGCTAAGACTGACAAGATTTGGGGTCGTTCCTGAAATGGTGGAGATTGTGCAGATCGCGTTCGCTCAAGGGGCGAATCGTGGGGAGTACCACACGGCCGGTCCAGACTCGTGGAACATGCATCGTCACCGACGCCAAGTCCATGCTGCTGTGCTGGTATCTAAAAGTCTCGGTCTGTCTTTCGCTGCTGCGCACCTCTCAGCTGTACCACTAGCCATTCACCCTTGCCGGCCTTTGCTTCCGTGGCTTTCTCAGCCCACGCCCACAAGGCTGGGTCGAGTAAGTCAATAGACCCACTCACACAACGGGTACCGGCATGCGATGCGGATTCATTGTTATCATGACCAGAATGTTCGATCAGCATCCTGACAATGTCCTCGTTGCATCCAGCTTCAGTCACAGCGATACGCAGCAACTCGGTATCCACATTCACGCCCATACCCAGAAGCATGGAAATCATCTCAGGCTGTGCCGATTGGATAGCAGCAACAAGGCCATTATATGCAACTTCGCCATAGGATGCGTCGTTAGCGGCGACGTCCCGGATGCCTTGAGCCAAGACTGCCAAGAACTCAACCTTGTCCTGCGTAAAAGGAGGGAACAGGAGCTTCTTGGGAGGCAGCAAATCCGGTGTAGGTGCAAGTGCCGACCAGAGCTGACGATATTCAACATCGGCAGAATCGACAGAAGGTCTACTGGCAATGGAGCCAGCTTCTGGTTGATTGCGAAGCCAAAATGCAAAGAAATCCCAAGTGACAAACCTGCTGTTAAGCAGTCTCGTGGCATCGGATAGATCTCTTGCTGTTACCTCGGTGTTGGGGTGTCCAAGTACAGGTGCAAGGATCCGCGAGGTGAGGTGATGCTGGAGGTGCTGACTCTTTGACAGTTTGAATAGCAGTTGCCGAGACACAAGCGGTAGTTCGATGTTGGCCGAGTGGTCAAAGATCTGTTGCAGAACTTCCGCGGGAAGCTTTTCCAAAGGAGTCTCCTCATGGCTGTCAGAAGACTGCTTGCGTTTGCGCGATTTCAACGAAGTAGGTCGGGAGGATTCTGCCGGAAGGTGTGCAGATGTAGAGTGGCGCTTCTGCAGCTCTATTCTGCGGCGCTTGCCCGTATGAAATTTCTCGGCTGAACGGCCATGGCGCTTGCCTCGCACTTTTACATGCGTCAAAGCCGTGTCATGTGGAGATGCCATAGATGATTGGTAATACGGTGCCAGGCAGGATATTGGCAGTCAACTGATGAAGACATCTGATTTGATGCACTGTACACAGGGTGGTCAGCAGTGTTCGATAGAGGCTGCTGAATCAGGAAGCAGAAGGGAGGTGTCCTCAGTGATCTTGGTGTAAAAGCGATCATGCCCGCAGGTCAATTACTATCTAGTGCATAAAGGTATAATCATAGGAAGCATTGATACTGAGAGAGGCCAACGTACCTTTACAACAACAGGGTGCATCTTCAGCCAAGCTCTTCTGCACTCGGCCGACTTCCTTGCCGTGTCTGCGAAAAACGTTAGCTACGGGTACATAGAGCCACACGCGTGAAGGATACGTCTCGAAGAGATTCGTAGATCAGCATATGTAAGAATATTTTGAACACAGAACACCGTCTGGAAACAGGCAGAATCCAGCTGTATAGGCACCCTCTCTCGCAAATTATCTCGTCATCAGAACAGTGGGGTTAGGGTATGAGGAAGTACTTGCCTCGTTGGGAAAGCGGCTCAGTCGATGTCCGACTCGATCTTGACACGCATCAGCCAGGAAGGGCGGGCACGAGGCTCTTGACATGTTGTGTGTGGTGAAGAACACAATGGAAGAGTGAAGCAAAATTGAAAAGCTCGAGAGGGTCAATGCACGGACCAGCAATTTCCATGCCAAGGAACGGGCTGACTAAGTGCCCACGCCCGACTTCCCGACCATCAATTTAGGAAGACTTCGAAGTCGAAGGCGCCAGCGACAGACAGCGACGACAATCCCCCGGACAACACAACGCCGATACAGACATAATGGGTGACGCAGAGGTTACTGCCAGCAACTGGCGCTCGGTCGAGGTTGGCCGCATCGCCTTCTTCGGAAGCGGCCCTTACACTGCCAGAGTCGCGGCCATCGTCCAGATCGTTGACCACAAGCGCGTACGTCTTTCCGCACCGCTGTAGACGGAATGGAATCGCAAATCTTGGATACGGAGGCTTACATTTGTACAGGTTCTTGTCGAGGGCCCGTCCGACAAGCCGGAACTCGCAGTACCTCGCCATGCCGCTCCCCTCTCCTCCCTGTCCCTCACTGGCATCGTCATCGACAAGCTCCCCAATGCAGTTGGATCTGGTGCTCTGAAGAAGAAGTGGGCGGAGGCAGAGATCGATCAGAAATGGACGAACAGCTCCTACGCCAAGAAGTTGGACAAGCAGGCCCGGAGAAAGCAACTGAGCGACTTCGAGCGCTTCAAAGTTATGCGGTTGAGGAAGCAGGTACGTCTCGTTGTTATAACAGGCTGCAATAGTGGATTGGACTGTCTTGTTGCGAGGAAGCATTGATACTGACAAAGGACCAGGCTCGATTCGAGACCCGTAAGGCTCTCGCTCAGGCCAAGGCAAGCGCATAAGCGACGAGCGAGCTTACCTTGTTTTCTCGAATCACGACTCTTCGAATACCTCAGACGTCTTACAACATCATGGGAAGGTCCTCGACCGATCATCAGGCGAGTTGGGCAGGCGAAATGGGGAAAAGGAAGTGCTGTCTTCACGGGTTTGATAGCGCTTTCAATGCATGGCCTCGCAGGCCGTCACATGAAGAATCTGTGAACAACAATCCCTCTGTATCCAGCTTTCCCCATGGCAATTACGCCGTTGAAGGCACAAGTAGCATCCTTCGACATGAAAGCTCTGGCTTTGACTCTCGTGGGAAGGACGCCGATGCATTACGCGGTACGCCCAATGTAGGACATCATTTGTAGTTTTCACTCGATCAGCTGGTCTTTGGCCGAATCCTTCAAAGGTGACATCTCGTTCTACCTATGGTAGTCCCAAGTTCCAATGGCGCACGTGATGTGATCTGTGCACTGGTAGTCTTGGCATCAAATTATGGAAGGTGCGACTTCACGAGTCATGACCTAAGGAAACAACTTCGCAGGAGGATTGCTGGACACTCGCACTCGACACGCGTCCAGTATTAACCGCTAGCTGTAAGTTACCACAGTGCGCTCTTCGCTATTGCAACTACATCACCGAGTCAAAGTTGCATCTGCATCACTTTGCGCGAAGATATCAACTGCTAATTCCCTGCGCAGCTCCCCGCTAAATCGCATCCTCGAAATCGCAAATATGGCCAACCCGCGTGTTGAGGAGCTCCCCGACGAGCCAGAGAAGCACAACCCGGAGGTCGAGGACGAGTCTTCTGACTCTGATGAGGAGGGCGGCGAGGCCAACATTCCCGCAGGCGCTCAGGTCGCCGTGCACAGCAGGAACGAGAAGAAGGCGCGCAAGGCTATTGCCAAACTAGGCCTGAAGCACATTGAAGGCATTACCCGAGTGACTCTGCGGAGACCCAAGAACATCCTCTTCGTCATCAGCAACCCGGACGTCTACAAGTCTCCATCTTCCAACACCTGGATGTAAGGGAACAACGGGACAAATGCGTGGCTTGTAGACCATACTGACAATGATGTAGCATCTTCGGTGAGGCCAAGATCGAGGACCTCAACTCTCAAGCTCAGGCCTCTGCCGCGCAGCAGCTTGCCGCCCAGTCCGCCAACGAGGCCTCTCACGATCACTCCGCCGACGGTGCCGACAAGGGCAAGGCTATCGAGGGCGACGCTAAGAAGGCCGAGGAGGACGAGGATGATGGCGAAGAGGTTGACGACACGGGTCTTGAGGCGAAGGACATTGAGCTCGTCATGGCTCAGGCCAGCGTCAGCCGGAAGAAGGCTGTCAAGGCGCTCAAGGAGAACGACAATGACATCGTCAACAGTATCATGGCTCTCAGCATATAGCCTTGACCAGGGCTTGCTGCGAAGCTACGGAGACCGAAGCGGGTAGAATGAGGCAGGGTTTGTCGTAAATGTACACTGCTCAGAGTGATCCCAAAAGAAGTGAGAACTCTTCATCCCCGGTTGCAAATAGTCTCTTTCTGCGCTCCTCCAACGTTTCTCCGTGTGTTGGGCCCACAAGCCATTTCAGCAAGGCTGCTGGAGCCTACAGCGAGGCTCCCTCCAACTTATACATATTTTGCTCGGTCAACGTTCAGGCGTCATCAAACATTGCTGTGTTTTGAAGTGTATCTACTGCTTCCGCATGCATGCAGTGACGCCGTGGCCGATTTATCAAGTGCCCCATGAAATTTTGATGTCAGGGCAGCTTGCAGCTTAGAGTTGCGGCTTCAGCCGAGGAAGCACCAGGAGCACTTTGGCGCAACCTCATCTGCAGCATCCAACATCATCCAAGTCACTCCAACACCTCAACACGCTCACAATGGCGGCCACGGTATGTCTAAACTTCTCCACGGGTAGCTATGGGGCCATCAAAGGCGGTATTGGCGCGCATGAGTTCTAATCCGCTGTGTCGGACGTGCTCTTTCTGCAACCTCGGAACAGCAAGCTAACACCTGCTATCAGCGTTCTGCTGCCGCAAAGATCGACTGGGCCAATTTGGGCACCAAGCTCGGCCTCCGAGGCGCGACTGCCAACGCTCTCTCGAACTTCAAGGCCCGCAACGATGCCGCACGCCGCAAGGTCCAGCAACTGTCCGAGCAGCCTCAGACCGTCGACTTCTCCCACTACAAGCAGATCTTGAAGAACCAGGACATCGTCAACGACCTGGAGAAGCAGTTCAAATCTTTCCAGCCCAAGAAGTACGATGTGCAGAGGCAGATCAAGGCTATCGAGGCGTTTGAAGCCCAGGCCGTCAAGAGCGCTGAGGAGACAAAGGGCAAGGTTGACGCAGAACTGAGGGATTTGGAGGCCACACTCAAGAACATCGAGTCTGCGAGACCATTCGAAGACCTCACTGTGGTGCGTATTCGTCGCATGCCTGACTTCCTACATGGGAGGTCAGAAGTATCACGTGACTTGGTCTTGGCTAATCTCTCACGCAGGACGACGTTGTTGCAGCTCGCCCAGACATCGACAAGCGCGTCGAGCAACTTGTGTCCAAGGGCCGCTGGCAAGTTCCAGGCTACCAAGTACGTTGTTCTCTTGAAGAACCCTCGTACGAAGTTTCCTCTCTAACCTCTTCCACAGGAGAAGTTCGGCAACCTTTCTGTTCTATAAGCGAGCCCAGCAGCTGCGATCTCATAGAGTCAAGCGTGTATATAAGCATAACGAGCTCTCTTGCCAGAAATTCCCGCCATTCGAACATTGCTTTTAGTACTGACTGCATTACCAACTTGATGGCAGTGCCCTGCTTGCGCCTGATAACGACGATTAGATTCGCTTAGGACGGCCAGAAATTTGGGACTTGAGGCGAAGCTCACTCGTCTTGCGCACGCGAGCACATCTATGATCAAAGGGCCGAATACCAGACACCAGCTGAAACACCAGCTGCCTCCGTATGGGGAAATGTTACAACGACCGGCCCCTGCAACACTTCTGGTAGCTTGGGATAATTCTACACACAACCCACAAGATGGGCATCTTGACAGCAGAGAGTCCAGCCATCCCTCACAGCACATATGGAACAGTTCGCTTTCGTAGTCGATCGCGTTTGGCTCCGAACCTTCCTGCGACGAATCCTCGAGTTCGACAGCTCGTCACATCCACACTCTAGTGGTGATTAGGTACGGCGCACCGATCGCTCGATGCGCCTTCTGTGTCTTCTTCGTACCTGTAGTAACCGCAACGATGTGCTTTGGTGGCAGTTTCAACGTAGTAGTAACAAGCATCGCAGCACCACACTCCTTCATCTATGATTTCTGTTCTAACAGGCCCGGGCACTCCAAACGAAAAAGTAGGTCCGAAAAGGAGCAGTCGCCGTGTGTTGCTATGATGCTTAGATATAGACACTGCACCAAAGCGAAGAACCCGCAAAAATAGTACGGTATCTCCAGATATAGCCATCTACCTCTTCCTTTCTTTTCTTTTAAGTAATAAAGTTTCATCTAACCTTACACACGCCCATGCCAATGCCATGCCCCCTTCCCATGCCTGCCAGGATCTTGTATAGCGCAGACATGTCAGCTGAACTTGTTTCACAGCCGTGTCTCTTTCCTTTTTTGTCTTACCCTGATTATTAAAAATATCTCTCGCGATTGCTGACATTTCCCTTCGTTTCTATTACTTAACTTACTTACTACACTACAGAAGAGACAGACACAGAAACCACCCACCCAAAAGAAAGCCCTTGTCTGTCTGTCGGTCTGTCTGTCGGTCAGACATCATCATCATCATCATCATTATCATCGTACAACCCGTTCCTCCGCGAGACAGGTAGATTGACGCCGTTTCTTCTCAACAAGACAACCTAAGCACACCGTGCCCCTCTCTCTCCCCCTCCCACCCACCTGGACGAGGAAGGCCCGTTTTTCAGGCGGTTTGCCGGCCTCTCTCCTTCTTCCCCTCCTCTCCCTCTCCCTCTCTCCTTTTGTCTATTGTTGTTTTTAATCATTCTTCTTCTTCTTACATGGCCATATCATACTTCGATCGGTTTTCTGACGAGGCTTTTCTAATAAGCGTATCAACATACAAAATTCTACATACCCATGCACCGTGAGAATGAGATGGAGGATGATCCCATCATCATCACCTCTTTGATGAAACTTCCGTTCGTTCTGCCCTGGCTGGTGGGAGGGACTTTTCTCCTCTTCCTCGTCCTCGTCCTCTCTTCCTCGTCCTCTTGTCTGTTGTTATTGTTATTAATTCTTCTTCTTACATAGCCATACTATACTTCCATCAGGTTTTCTGATGAGGCTTTCTAATAAGCGTATCTACATACATACATACATCCATCCATGCATACATCCATACCTCACCACCGTGATGATGAGATCCCATCACCTCTTTGAAACTCGTTCTGCCCTGCCCTGCCCTGGCTGGCTGGCTGGGAAGATTCCTCCTCCCTAGTCAGTATACGAGAAGAGAAGAGAAGATGGGATGAACTCTCTCTCTCTCCGACGATCGACCTACTACGCACTGATGATCGCGAGATCTATATACGTATTAGAGCGAACAACGGGAGGGGATGGCCCTAGGGTCGACGCGGAGCATGCTGATGAAGTCCTGGAAAGCCTTGTTAGGCATTTCAGATCACGTAAGACTCGTCGACCACGCATATTCCTTACGAGAGAAGACCGGACAAGCCCTGATGATGGCGCTCGAAAAAGAAAAGGGAAAAAAAAGAGACAGGACCGGCCGAGATAGTGAGACATGTAATTACTCGTTTGACAAGAGTATTCATTTCGTGACTTTTCACCGCCCGTGCGGCCGCTCTGCCATGTTCACACACACACCGTGCCAGGTGCCATCGGAGAGACGGTCGGCATGGGTGAGGGGCCCAGACCTTTTCCCGTAGAACTACAGAGTCTTTGCGCCTCCTAAGGTTACCTATTCTCTTCCCTTAGTATCCTAGCAAAGACCAGGATGACAGCGAATCGGGCCGCGGGAGCGTCCGCCAAGATATCCGTCGTAAGTACGAGGACTCTGTACGATTACTACTACTAGTGAGTACAAGCCCTTGCATCGGCGTCCCGCAGACAAGACAGCAGTTGCAGACCGATTGCCGAACTCCGTCCACGTCTTTTCTGGAATGCCCAAAAAGCGGTGGGCACCCCAAGGGTTGCCCCCAGGTTCTTGAGACCCGGTTCTTTATCCCCTGTCCCGGTTCCAAACGCCGGTCGACTGGCAACTTTTCGATTCGGTCGTGCCCCCTCCAAGATGTGCGCCAGTAACTCCTCGCTTGCTCAAACACTTCAGACTGCACGACAGCAAAAGTCTGTTGTCCATTATCAACAATTAATACATGTGCGCGTGTGGATGTGGCGCATACGGCGGGAGAGCGTGTTGAGGTGGAGGAGGGAGATGTCCTCCAGGTCCCATGCCGCCGTGACAGCCCCTTTCGTGCCTCTTCATGTTGCTTCGTACCGAGAAAGCCTTGCCACAGCCAGCATGCGGGCATTTGAATGGCTTCTCGCCTGTGTGGCTGTGCGAGTGAATTTTCAGGCTGGAAGGTCGGCTGAACGCTTTGTTGCAAGTCGGACAGATGTATCGGTCCTGTGACTGTGGAAACGTCGCAGATGATGACGGGCTGATGTAGTGGTGGTGCTCCCAGGGGTTGCTCGTCGGTAATCCTGACGAATGCACGGGCAATGGCGCCTGTGGTGGAAAGTTGGATGGAAGTGGCCTTTGCTGGTAGATTCCAGCTGGAACGGGATACGTAGGCTCTGATGGAGAATAGTATGACGCCGCCGAAACGGTGCCTGGTGATGTTGTGTAAGGCGAGGCGGTATATCGACCTCCATAGGGCGATACATTAGGTTGCGATGGAACGGACGGCCGTTTGACCATATGCATCTGAGCATTGCGCTGATCAGCCGGTTCCATGTTGTTGATGGAAGATCCCACAAAGTAAGGAGGACCAGAGATGTTCGATCCGGAGGACATGGTCGAGGGACTATGCGCGCTCTCCAGGACCGAGTCGTTGCGCATCGGAGGTGGTGGAGGAACGCCTCGCGGGCTGACTGAAGCGTCTTGAGCGGCGTACGAAGGTCGTGATCTCGACTCCACGTCCCCTGTCTGAGCCGCTTGAGGCGAAATCTGGGAGGACTGTAATTGTTCTGGCGCTTGCGGCGCAGAGGTAGGAATCTGTTGTGGGCCTAAGAGGTTCGTCAGCTTGGTCCGTTAGCCATGCAATCGATGCGCTTCGTCAAACTTACGACCATCGTTTGCTGGTCTGTCCGCGATTCCGAGGAGGTTCGAGATGGATGGTAGAGATGGCTTGAAGCCATCCTCTGATACGGGAGATCCAGAGGGTTGAGGTGACCGTGAACTCGTCTGTATCTGTTGATAGTGCGGCTGTGGTTGCGGTTGAGGTTGCGGCTGCTGCTGAGGTGGATGCTGCGCTGCGGGGTATTGGGCATACGGGTTGACCGCCATCGAAGGCCCAACGCTGACCTGCTGGTGCTGGTGCTGGTGCTGATGCTGATGCTGATGCTGGTGCTGGTGCTGATGCTGGTGCGGATGCTGGTGCTGGTGCTGGTGCTGGTGCTGGTGCTGGTGTGGCCGCGGCTGGTACATGGCGTATTGCTGCGGATAGGCCTGGAAGCCGTCACGAACGGGGTACGCCATCATGGTCGCTGCCGCCATCAAGATGGATCCGTTTTTCGATGAGGGGTGTGGAACGTGATATGCTCTTGGACGGCCGAGTGGTAGAGAAGTCGAGGGGGCTTGGAAGTCGGTCGGCAGGCAGATGCAGAGCGTGTCAACGTGACGATGGACAATGAGCAGGATCCACGCACGGGTTAGAGACGGTGTAGCGAATGGCCGATGTCCTGTGGGGTATGCAGGACGTCCTTCGGTTGCGGTGGCAAGAGTGGGAGTGTGGTTGTTGACGGTCGAGCAGTGGAGGAGTGGGAGTGGTAGCAGTGATGACACACTGGCGAGCGGAGTAGGGTAGTAGTAGCAGGTAGGTAGTCGTACACCTGTGACGGGCAACGATCCACGGACAGTGAGGACGGCTGCAAATTGGAGGCACAGCGACGGGTAATGGCGAGTGGAAGATTGCAGAGCCGGGAGTGGACTGGAGTATCAACGTCGAAGGGCGGGATCGGCTCTAGCTTTGCAGGCCAAGGCAAGGCAAGGCAGGTGCGATGTGCGATGTGCGAATGGATGTGCAGGAGCGACCAGCAGCAGTACAGTAGTAGCGATGCAATGCGAGTGGCTCTTGCTCCACAGCTCCAGACCAGACCGTGAACGGCAGCAGGAGCGGATGCGAGAGTGGTAGAAGTAGCAGGAGCAACCCTGCACACTGGAGCGTGCCTGCCTACCTCCCAGCCGGCAACGACGACGACGCCGACGACGCCGACGACGACGACGACGTGCCTGCCAGAAGAGAGTGCCCAGCTGGAGCCAGTGCGAGTAGTGCGGCCAGTGCCAGCCTTGACGGGCCACGCGAGCTAGCAACGGCGGAGTGGGCGGCACGGGAAGGGTAGAGAGTGCCTTGTGCGAGGCTAAGAAGCTGACTTGCGGGTCGATCCTGGTGGTTAATCTATCGTCTTCCGGTCCATCACCCCTCGGCCTCCCTTTTCACCTGCTGCTGTGCGGTGTGCACTCCTACCTCCCCTCCGTCTGGTGTAAGACAGCCAGAGGGAGATGGAGAGACAGAGAGAGAGAGAGCCGGCGGATTGCCGCCTTCGTCGCAGACGGGCCTATGACGATCGACGTCGAATCGACGGCACCGTCCTCCCTCGCTGTGGAGACTGGCGGTGGACGAGACGCTCGTGCTTGTCTCGGGTCGGCAGTGGATTGCAGTAGTGGTGCAGTAGTAGTAGCTGAAGATTGGCCTGTCCTTGGTGGCTTTCCTCCCCAGGCGATCGACGAGAGCTGCTCTGCTGCGGAGGAGAATTCGCGCGAAGGAAGATGCCAGGCGTCTCGTGAGGCTGTGGCGAGCGCACAGGCCGTTCCATCCAACAAGAAGAATGATTGCAATCAGGCCCTAATAGTCCACGCTGAGCGTCGCGATGGATGGAGGCGGTGGTGGTTGCCGCGACGGGTAGCAGGACGCAGAGGACTGGAGGCAGCGCACTGCAGTTAGCGGCATCGATCAATCTGCAACGTCCGAGAGGCCGCGGTAGCATTGGCGATTGACGACAGCGCTGGTCGTCGGAGGGTGGTAAGGGTAGTGCACGGCACAGGCGGCGGGTTCGCAGGGCACGAACTGGGTGACACAGCCGGCTCGAGAAGGGCTCCACTGGCATCCCGAACCGTCGTCGGTCGGTGGGTGCCGTCGATGCCCTGGTCGCTGTCACGTTCGCTAGCGTAGCGTGGCAGAAACGCAGCAGCACACCCACACAGGGCAGGGCAACTGTGAACAGGGTCTCCTCGACCCTCGGGCCCCAGGAGCACGGCACACGGGGATGGGGCACAACACTACCACGCACTCACAAGCACTCTGCACACTGCACAGCACTGCACAGCACAGCACTGCACTGCACTGCACAGCGCTGCACAGCACGGCACAGCACAGCACAAGCGCTACCTGATGCTAGGTAGGAGGACCTGCTACCTACGTACACACGAGTGCTCGGGTGTATCAACACCCGCATCATCTCTCATGCGTCGTGCGCGGTGCTTCCACTCACGCGGCATCCACCCCATTCAACCCCTGTCTGCCTGTCTGCTGCCGCATCTTGCCTGTGCTGGCGTGCTGCCGTTAGTCTACTCGCCCACACCCACGCCTGCACGCTCGGCAGCAGCACAAGAGGATATGACAGGTCGCCTGGAATGTTGCGGCGCGCATAGGCTGTCCAGCTTCCTCATCAGCTGCTTCATTGGCTGTGGGCTCAGGTTTTAACGTTTCCAGTACATTCGTCCCAGAGGATCGTCGGTGGCCCTGATCTCTGGGCCGACACGACGTCTTTGCTATCATTGGACTAGTGGCATCTGCGCCCTGTTGGTGCGCTACAAGGCGTCGCGGGCCGCCGGAGATCTCTGCGGCGTTCGTACTGCGGCTCGTCATTTCGCCAGCGGCGCCATCAGCGACGGCGAGGAGCGACCGCAGGGACATGCTCCTTGGCAACAGCGTCCCGATGGCAAGGAGCGAGGACGTCGTTGGCCATGTCGCAACGACGCCCAGAGTAATAGTAGAGTACCGTCGAGCAGCGAGCAATTAGAGTGCGGCGGCGGCTGCGCTGGCAACGGATCTGGCGTGTCCTCTGCTCTGGTCCCGACGTTACGCACGACGCAATGCGGGCACAAACACGACAGCGTTTGCAGTGGTGGTGGGTGGTGGGATGGGTACGCCACAGGATTGACGGCTAAGCGAGCTGGAGACGTTGGCTCATCATGTTGCGGTGCAGTGCAGGTGCAGATCGGCCGAGGAAGCGTGGCGGACATGGATTCGGGAGTATGATAAGTGGAGATCGACGCAACGATCCACACGCCAGAACGACAATCAACACCTGCCGTCACGCCTCCTCCAACCATGACCATGACCGTGACCGTGACCGTGACCGTGACCGTGACCGTGACCGTGACCGTGACCATGACCATGACCATGACCATGACCATGACCATGACGCCGGGCCGCACCTCCCACCTCCTCCTCCTCCTCCTCCTCTGCCGTAGGTGTACAGTACAGCGTGCAGCGTAGATACAGTGCACAGTGTACACCTCCCATCTCATCATTCTTCCTCCACTCGCTTGCACTGTGCACATGGCACGGGACAGGTGTCTTCATTCTCCCAGCACGGCGCCTGTAGGGGCAGGTGCGCGGACTCCGATGATCGCGCGAAGCTACCTCAATGTCAGGCCGGATGAAACTGCGTGCTCGTAGCACAGCACCGACGCTGACAGCACCCAACAAGTCCTACCACTACGGAAATGATGTGCCCACTCCTACCGGCCACCTGCGCGAGAGCGGTCACCGCCGCGGAATCGTCACGATGCTGCCCGCCTCATCTCACACATCGGGGCAAGTGCTGGCAGTGCTCAGGCATCTGCAGCGGCGCCAGGATCGTGGTCGGGGGCTCGGGGAGACTTCCCTATTATGCAAGATTTCCGCGAGCGACATCGCTTGGCGCCCGGGACTCAACCCACTACACTACATGTACAGTACTGTACGGCCCTCCCCGGCGGACATGGCGGACATGGCGGACATGGCGGACATGGTTGGAAAGGCCACGGCCTGTCCGCCTCGGGACCGTCGTCGTCGTGCACCCAGCGGCAAAGCAGCCGCGAGGATCGCCCTCACCTGGCGTCTAGCATGATTCGTGCCAATTCCTCCGCTCCAAGCTACTAGTACAAACCATCCATCACCAGCGATCCTACTGCCACCCCCTCCGCTAGCCGTCTCTCCCAGCTCTCTCTCTCTCTCTCTCTCTCTCTCTCTCTGCGGCATGGTAAGACACCAATCCCTCGTAGATCCGTTCTGCCGCCATCCGCAGATCGCGTGAACGATCCTCACCTTATACTTTCCCAAACACAAAATTTACGGCTCGCAGCTGCTTGTCTTGGCGTGGCACAGAGACGGCTGCACGGCAAGAGCTCACCAACAAAACGCCCGCGCATCCTTCGCGCCTGCCGCCAATAAGGAGCTCGTGGCTTCCACGCATCCTCCAAGTGTGCAAGGTTCACAGTGAAACGAGAGATCTGCGCGTCGCCTACACAAACCTGCTTTTTGCGGCTTAGCGGATCGACTCGGCAGTTCTAGCTCGCACGTTGACTTGAGACATTCTTCCGTCCTTCTTCCAACTGCAGCCATCGAGGTCAATCTGCTCCAAACCTGCCTGCTCCAAACCACGTCGGTCCACGCAGGTCACTGTGTTGGGGCTGACTGGAAAGCCCGTGTGCCACGAGACAATAATCAACCAAGTCTGCCTCCACGTCTGTATAAACTCTCGGATGTCGCGCTATGATCCACATGCCGCGAAACCGCCAGAATGTAGCGCCGATACCATGACACTCATCAGATGCGGTGACCAGCGTCAGCTGGTAGGGCGTCGAGATAAGAGGACCACGGCAAATCGAACCGAGTCCTACGACGTGCCAATATTAATGCCACCGAAGTTACCGCTGCGGCGGCGACTATTCAGGCCTCTACGTCATGTCCTGGTCTGGTCGATGGACCTTCCGAAGAAATACCTCAATCATGTCTTGTGTTCTAACCGGGCCTCATAGACCAAGGGTTTTACGACTAAGATTCGACCTGGCAGCGCATCCTCCCCGTACCATCTACAGCGCCAGACATCTGAACAACGACGCTTTTCTCAAACATGTGACTTGGCTTGCGCTTGAGACCACGGAATCGTTGACGGTCAGTTGGTAGATGCACTTTGTGAGTGAACAATGGATCCGCGAAATCCTCTCATCGAGACCCAAGGTGATTCATCACACAGCTATCGCGCCCGAGCAGCAGGACCTCGCCCATTCACATCATCACCAGAGCCACATCGCAGGTCGGTCGTACATGCGTAACTCCTTGGCGGAGCATTGCCTTCGTTCGGTTCCATGCACCTCATCACTACAGTCTACTCTCCCGGGGGAAAAGACCAGAGAGCGTCCCACCCCTAGTGCCTAGCACAAAAGTGTCTCAGCCACGACCTACGGTCCCCGCGCGCTGGGGCAAGACCAGTGGCATTGGGGGTTTCAACTGTGGTGGTACAGAGTAACACGCACCTCACCTCAGTCTCCTCGCTGCTCCACCACCAAACCCGCTTGCATGTCACATGGCGACCTTGCTCCGTCGCACAGCACAGCACGTGTTTGTATGTATGATCTGCAATCTCCCCAAAAAGTAAGAAAGAAAGATCCATCCGTACGACCACCCATGCGCCACCCACGCAGAGATTTTTAGATTACATTTTGCACCACCATTGATTATTATAATATTACCAAGAATGCTAAGCGAAAGTAATAAGCGAAGGGAATTGAATGAATGAATGAATGAATGAATGAGAGAGAAGAAAGACAAAAAACCTCCGACTCGCATCCGAATCACGTCCTCATCCTCGTCTCCCTCGTCCCTGTCCCTCCTCTTATTTACTCCCTTCCAGTTTCTTAAGCGATTTGGCGCTATCGCGTGCGCCGTAGATTGCTTGCACATCACAGTCTCCACCCGTGCACAGTAGTAGCGTGGTACTGTAGTGTGCCACTCTCTCTCCTCCCCTGCGGCTGGTTCGAGAAGGCGCCAGCGGGCATACTGCCGGATTCTACCTTTACCCTCTCTTGCCTCGCTCTCTCTTCCCCCCAGTCCAGTACTACTTACTATATTGCACGCGACAGATGCGTGGGATGCGTGGATGCGTAATCATGAGTTTGCAACCAGCAATCTCGGCCTCCACTTCTGATGGACATTGTGGGTACGGGCGGGACTAGGGGATTCTGCTATTGCTTAAACGATCTTCTCCTCGTTCCTGTGCCTGTTCCTGTATTTCCCCCCCCCTTCTTGTGTTCTCTGCTTCATCTTCAAGCCGAGCGTGCATGGCTGCGGAGGTCCGCCCGCCCACCCACAACACAGTAGTAGTAGTAGTAGTAGTAGTAGTAGTAGTAGTAGTAGTAGTAGTAGTAGTAGTAGTAGTAGTAGTAGTAGTAGTAGTAGTAGTAGTAGTAGTGCGTTGTTAGAAGGGTGTGTGGCAGTGGGCGGTGGGTGGTTTGGGAGTCGGTCAAAGGCCCTCCTCCACCATCATCATCATCATCAAGTCCGTTCTTTCTTATTATCTTTATTAATGTCTGGAGCTGTGCGTCTGTCTCAGCAAGCGACCCCGTTCGAGAGAGGGCGGTGGCTCATGAAACATTCACCGGGACGAAAGCGACGGCTTGCTTGGTGATGAGGCGGTGAAGGTGTCGGATGTCACTACTCACTAGTAAGGTAGGTCTACTATTGCAAGTGGTCCCTCCCCTCGTCCTTATTATTATTATTATTACCACCACACACTCACCTTTCCCGTTCCATCTGCCACCGCTCTCACCCGACTTTCGATCTGGAAGGGGTGGCCTTCCGAAACGACAAATTCCCAATCTCCCGCATCATCAGCTTCCATCCCCATCAGCTCGTAGATGTTAGAAGAAACCAGCGCCAGCGCCTCCGTCTCGTTGATCTTCCCCCGACTGTTCGCCTGTACAATGCCCGCCTGCAAGAACAGATCCCGCGCTTCCCAATCTTCGTCTACCCCAATTGCGACTGTCACGCCAGCGGCGTGCAGCACGTCGATGGTGGTGGCGTTCGTCAGAGGAGCGCCGGTCAGGGCGCGACGCTGATCCCAGCTCGTGGCGTACGAGAAGAGCGGTGCCAAGACGACTCCGACACCCGCCTCCGCTAGTTCCTTCGCCACGAGATGGGCTTCGGCGCCGCCGAGAATCACAACTCGTAGGTGTGCCGCCGTCCCGGGAGAATCGTTGCCCGAGCGCTTCTTGTTCATTGCTTCTTCGACTTGGCCTTTCAGTCTCAGGAGCGAAGCAATGATGTCCGCCGAGTGGACGCCGATAATCAAAGGCAATCCTTCTTCCCCAACAACCCTCTCAACAACCTTCTCCTCGAGAGTCTTCTCTTCTTCCGTCTTACTACTATTCGACGAGGCGACACCTTTCATCAACTTGACCCTCAACTCCTCGATCGCGCTACTAACACTCGGGGTCCTTTCCTGCTTCGCAAGAGTATAATGCGCGCCAACACCTGCATTGAAAACGGCATGCCCCGCCAGAGAATGCCTAGCGCCCAGTCGAAATCCTACACTGAGGCCCTTATGATCTGCAGATCCACCAAACTTGGGAGCGGTGATGGCCCTCGTGACGCCGTGCGATAGGGCTGCGCGCAAGTTCTTGCCCTCGAATGAAAGGCCGTCGATCGCCGCGCTGAAGGATGACTGATCGTTTGCCCCGTCAGACGTGTCCTCCTCCGCAGCGATCTCTTCCAGTCCGAGAAGGGAACCGAAAGCGGTCAATCCTGGCGCGATGTGTCCATCCTGAAGATCTAGGGTCTTCAAAGAGGTTTGGAGATGGGATGCGCATTCTCCAACGCAAACAATCCTGGAACCCTTGATCGCAACATTAGTAGGCGACGACCACGTCTGCTCGTGGCCCGGAAGCAAGATTCGAGTCACACCAGTGAGGACCACATCCTCGATCTCCACAGGATCCTCGCCAAGATCATCACGATCGATCGTCTCTAAAGGTGGTGTGAGCGGCTTGCTGAAGTTTGTAGGAATCTGGAATTGTGGGACCCCGTCAATGAACACTTGTAGAGGCGTCGAACCAACACTGAGCGGATCCGAATCCCAAACCACCTGTTTCAAGATCAGCATACAAACTCGATTCGGGGGGGTTAGGAGCATGCTGTCCGCGGAAAAGGTGGAACATACCACATCGGCATCGAAGCCAGCTTTCACTTTTCCAATCCTTTCGCCCAAGCCGAGTAGTTCTGCGCTGGCCGTGGTCACACCAGCTAGAGCAGCATGGTACTTCAATCCGTTTTTGAAAGCCTTGGCTGCCTCAAACACTACATGCTGAGCATTGATGACAGGATTGTCCGAGACGTAGACTGCGCTTGATCAGCGTGCTTCTACGCGCATCTGGAGGGATAGGTGAAGACAACGATTCGCCGCCCAGCAACGGCGTGCCTATGGAAGAATCCTTACCGGGTGTTATGCCATTTTCATAGAGGATCTTGCCAGCTTTCTCAGACGCAACGTAGCCCTCTGCCTGCATTGCCCATCAGCTTCACTCTTCACTCACGCCCGACTCTGCAAATTCTTGCGTACCTTGTAGTTCATATTGTCCGCAAAAAGCGCAGCAGCGGGCGCTCTACCTCCATATGCTCGCTTCAAGACCTCGGGGACCAGATATGTGCTGTGAGCATGATGAAACGCCCGCACAGGAAACTTAAACTCATTGGTATACCCGATGAAGCTCTCAAGGTCCGGCACGGTGTAGCAGTGCGTATTGACGTGGACTTGGCCCCTTAGCACCGCTGCCAACGACTCCCACTTCAGATCTTGCGGGAGATACGAATCCATATTCTGAACGCCCACGCGATCTGCCGCAGCGCACCAATCGTCTTGGGCATTCTTGATCTTCGCCGCCTCTTCAAACGCATGCCGGAAATACCATGCCTCTCCAAGCCTCGAAAATGGACCAAAATCACGGCCCACTTTCCCGTACACAGACTTTGCATTCTCCCCACACGCCATCTTCATGTATCTCCAGGTGTTATCCGGGTCTGCGAGCATGTCTTCGATGCTGAGTTCGGGACGTCCGTCTGCCTTGCCAACCGCATGTTTGATGACAAACGCCTCGCCTCCAATATTGTTCCCACTCCCGGGCAGAATCAAAGACGTCGTGACTCCTCCAGACTTGATGACTTGAATTTGGCGGTCGAGCGGGTTCAAGCCATCGATGGAGCGCACATAAGGCGTGATATCGCTGCTCAATTCATTCGTGTCCGAGCTGCCACGAAGATCGGGTAGGCTATCAACGCCGGCATGACTGTGCATGTCCACGATCCCAGCTGTCAACTGCCTGCCTTGAGCGTCGAAAATTTCATAATCATCGGGAAGCTCCTTGGTCGATATGCCAGCTTCAACACGCGTGATCAATCCGTACTGGAGCAGAACATCGGCTTGGATCCATGAGTAGCCTTTCCCTTCACGAGCCTCCTCGATCGTGACATCTGCAGACGGCTCACCGGTCCAGACAGTCGCATTCCGGATGAGAATCGGCTTCTGTCCCTCCACATATCTCGCGTTCCGTTCTCGATAACCGCTCGGATCCTGTGGTTTGTGTCGGAGCTTTCCACAAGTAGCGTAATCTTGCTGAAGCCTATCGAGAGATAACAGTTTGGAGCCTGTACCTCGTGTTTGAGGTTCATTCCAAGCTCGCCAATAGCAGTAGAACATGAACATGATTCCAGCAAGGGCAATCCATCGAAATATCCGTCGACATTCTCGGCGTCGACGATAGCGGCGGCCGTGGTGCTCGAACCGTGTGTACGGTGGAAGACCGTCTGCCGTATCCTTGTCCATGGTCTACGAATCCAACAATGAGATGTCTTGGGAGAAGGCGTCGTGCAGTTTGCTCGATGTCTGGTGAGACAGAAGCGGAAGGCGTAATCGCAGCACGGACCAATGGATCCACAAACACCAGAGCTTATCGTCTCACGGGACGATTCTAGAAGAGATGAAATGGATAGATATCTCATGCATTCAATCCACATGGAAGCGTCATTTCAATTCGGTTTCATGCTACTAACAATGCCTGGGTATCTATCTCCATTCAGCATGCGAATACGCCTATTCGCAGTAATCACCGAAGCACTCCAAACCATGTTGAACACCCGACCTTTCATAGCCAGACGTCCCCAACTAATGCTACATGATGCTGCAGCTCTACTTTTTGGAGACGAAACTCACGAATGACTTCCGGAAATTTCCCAGATCCCCGCTGATGCTGCCCAAGAAGGACTGAACACCATCATCACCCGCGCCGAGCGCTCTAAGCTCATTCTGCAGTTGACTCTGATATGCAGCGCCATTCTTACGGAGAATGGTCCACTGCAAGCTCGCCGCTTCCTGCAGCACGCTCCTCATCTGAGCGTCGTTAGAGCTGAATCGATTGGCAGAAATCAGAGTCCACGGCAGAGGAGCGAACTGAGAAAGGATGAAGGAGTCAAAGCCAGGCAAGCTTGGCTGAGCGACTGCATCAGCCGCCGCGAAGTTTGCAAGATCCGGTCCACCCCATATGGTGGTCAATTTGGTCAACGCAGAGAAGGCCAGACGCGCAGACTGTGGATCACTGGGATCGCACGAAAACCGCGTGATGGATGTGATGAACGTGTCGAAGATGCCCTGATTGGCAGGACTGACCAAAGTCGCACCCAAGTCGTTGTTCAGAATGACCAAAACGAAGTTCAAGTACTCACGTTTCAGCTCGCGTAACTGGATCTCATCATCCGTGCCAGTGATCTCTTGTGAGAGTCCTGAGAAGACGCGCTGGAACAGTGGCGAGAGCAATTGGTCCAGGATATCGTAGATCTCTGACTTGAAGCCATAGACCACCTGCCCGAGCGTCCTAAGGAACATCGCCATCTCGTCGTTGGATGATGCGGATGACAAGAGCCCTTCGATCCAGCGAGGGAGCTGTGGTAACACCTGCGATCCAAGAACACCCAGCAACCGTGAGAATGCATGACGGGCGGCGGCACGCAACTCTGAATGTTGCTTGAGGTTCTCCAGTGCAACGAGCACACTATCACTCGCACTCACGAACTCTTGCGACACTTCAACCGGGGGAGGGCCACCCGATGTCAAGCCAGGAGTCCAATCGGAGAAGCCATTGGCGAGCGATCCTACCGCCGTGATGATGTGATGGGTCTGCAGAAGTGCTCTCTCATCGCCGTTGCTGGCGGACGGCAGATGATTGCTCAAGTCTGCTGAAAGCGGCGTAATGACCGTCTTTGCAATTGCGACTTTCGTGGGTATAGGAACATGGCTCGTGGAAGCAACGAGTCCGATTGCTTCGAAGAGGTATTGTTGGCTTTGGAACGTCGCGTCCGCAGATTGAGCATTGTCTTCGGAGGAGGCATCATCGTCCTCCCTGTCGGCAGGCAGTTCTGCTCTAATGGTCAGGAGATCCTGTATGGCACTGACCACCATCTGTGCATATTCGCCCAGTTGTGCGCGCAGATGCTTGACGAAGCGCTGGAATAGGTACCATGCTCGATACCTGACCTTCTTGTGATCACTATGCGCGAATCTCACAAGATTCTCTAGGACGTTCGGGATGGCGGTCGGATTCTGCTCGAAGAACTGCACGTAGCGCACACAAATCTCCATGTACTGGACTTGCACGGCAGCATGCGGGTAAGATGCCAAGTCAGAAGCGACCATGGTGGACATCATTTCAACGAGTCGTGAGGAAGCTTCAGTGCTCGGTTTACTCTTAGTGTACAGGCCACCGTTCTTGATTGCGAGCTCACCGAAGTGATGCATCTCCAATAGCGCCAGATCGAGATCCCTCCAGTTCGGCCTGTCGTCTGCGGAAGTGAGACGTCCAAGAGTGTTGGCAACAACTCTGCTGAGGGTGTCCATGTAGAGTCGTTCGTCCACAACTGAAACGGTCTGTTGTAGAACATGCAGCCGTTTCCGAAGCTCTTCAAATTCGGCTTCGTCAGTCCGATCATCCTCGTCACCCCAATTTGCCGTCTCATCGTACTTCATCTTGACAATGATGACGTCTAGGATTGGCTGAAGCATTACAACGTACTGATTTGGGAGGCTATTGTTCGACTTCTGGACCAGCCTCCGGAACAGCGTGAGGAGGTCAGTGACAGATGGAATCACGGCCGAACAGATTTCGTCGTATTCGTCGGAGAAGAATCGCAGCAGATATGGAATGAACGTCTGGAGCTGCTGGTCGGCCTTTGCTCTCGTCTGATCATCTAGACTCTCAGTGTCTAGTACCTTGACAACGTCGAAGACGACGTTGTTCACAAGTTTGCCAACCGTCTCCGCGAGATCCGTGTCGTAATTCGGCGTGGGTCGTAGCTCAGACAGAGCTGGACTTGCAACCAGCTGCCCGATGATGGTGCCCAGATTCAAGTAATTGATCAACTCGACCTTGTCGTTTGGCTGCATCTTCTTTCCCACTGTCTCGGTGAAGGTGTCGATTGCAGCATCACGGGCCTTTGCTTCTTTGCTGGCCGAAGAGAACGTGCCCTGCTGCCCAGCAATCTCCAACAAGGCACCCTGGATCCTCTCGTTGATCACCAGCCAGATATCAATCCAACTGACCCACTTAGCAATTGTCCTGAGGCACATCTCCACGAGTAGGAGGTCCAGCTGCCTCCATCTTGACAGGATCTCCTGCCACGTAGTCGCAATCTTATTGACATCTCTTGCTCTGACCAAGTCCTTCAACTCATTGCTTCTCCTCTGCTCTTCTGGAGTACGTGGAATCATCTGATCCGCGATTTCGTCGTGAATGGAACTCAAAATTCGCAGAAACATGGCCGTTCCGGCCGCATTGCTGCCAATCTCCGGCCCTGCGAGGCCCAGGAACTCATCGAAGAAATCAGCCCAATCAGATGCATACAGCGAGGTGAAGAGGTATGTCAAGGTCTGCGTGAGCTTGTTCTGGATGCTGGGAGTGTCCACTTCGGTTGCTCCAGGTCCATAGTACCGCCGCACGTAGGCCATCAAACGGTACCGTACATCATTCAGAGCTGCCTGATCAAGGCGTTGCGTCTGAACCGCACTGTTGACAATCTCCAAGCACACGACCCGTACCACTTCCGAAGGACCTGGATTGCGTGTGAATAGACTAAGGCATACTTGCCACGCATCTGAAGCCTCTCGCAGTTGAGTGAGGAATTCATATGCTTGTGCCTTGAGGTTGCCGTCTGTCCCTGGGTTGAAAGCGAGGTCGATTGCACTCTCCACCTGAGAATCCATCTTCTGCGTCACGGGTCCAGGCTCTTCCTCTCAAGAGCTGCAATATATTCGGTGGTTGTAAAGGACATGGCAGCGCGCTGAGCACGCTGCAAACGGTGGAGGGAGTCTATTGACGCATGGCTGTGCTCTTTTCGATATGCGTGCGGGCAGATTTGTGTTGGTGTGAGTCAAGTGAGGAAATCGAGTGGTCGTAAGGACACAGTGGATGAGAGGGTCGTGGTCGATGACGAAGGGGTAAATTGGCTGACGGATGCGTTCTCGCGGGCGACTGTCACGGTAGAGGTCCGGTTTCTTTGAAGTGTGAAGAACAAAGTGTGGTGTGTCTCGTGCTTCAGAAAAGCAGCTTTGCGGGGTGGTCCGCTAGCCCACTTTCACCTGATAGGGGCAGAATAATACCATGACATTTGCGCAATTCTCATAACTCCACTATTGCAATATGAGTTAAGAGTTGGTCATTTGAATAAATAAAGTTTCCCGCTCTAACGCGAGACAATTGTTCTCTGTAGGGTATCGAAGTTCATCATATCCGCGCCAAGTCATTAAATCACAATCCTGCAGGCCGTTTCAACTTCACCTTCCGTCGGGCGCTCCTGGTGTTCCATTGTAGTCTCTAAATGGGAGTCTGCCACTGGGTCCTGCACTTCGCCCTGTTGCTGTAGGTGCTTGCCCGCCATTGAGCTGCGTGAAAGCAGTCGTCCGAGGCGTCATGGGGTTCAAGTGTTCACCAAAACCAGGTGTGTTGGGAGTCTTCGGGAGGTTCAAGAAAATCTGTCGATTCATCTCTCGTCGATCCTCCTTTGAGATGTCGTCGTCTGTGCCGTACATGAAGACCTGCTTCATCTCGAGGTCCGCCTCCTTTTCAGCTTCACGCTCCGCCTTCTCCTCGGGAGAGAGCTTCAGGTTCCATATCGAATATACCAGATACCCCACGAAAAGTGCGCTGGTATAGTGTCAACAATCGCCTCCAATGCTCCAGCGTATGGCTTTCACTTACTCCATGACAATCACTACAGCAAAGCTTGCCCGTGCCTGCTGGCAGTACCCCTTGTTCCCAGGCTCCGCGTAACTGCATCCTTTGCTCAAATACCACGGCATGCCATGTTGCGGATGCTCCTTGTCGGTCAAATCCGGCGCTGATTGGTTGTAGATGCTGACAGAGAACAGTGCCACGAGCAAAGCATGCGCAAAGACACTGATGACGGGTATGAAAATGTGCATGACATACATGGCGCTCTTCGCCAGCAAGATGAACATGCTAAGCACCGAGATCACCACGTTGAATTCAGTCATACTATGACACCGTCAGCATGGTCCCTCCAACAGCCAATCCAGATATCTCATACTAATGACTCCACGGTATCGGCGTCTTTGGGTCCTGCCAGTTCGCGTATGCGTACAGAATCGAGTTCGGCGCACTATTGAATCCCTTGTCGAACCCGTTCTGCCATAATTTCGTCCGGTAGGTATTTGGATGCGCAACGCCCATGAGAGTCAAACAAGCGACAGTCAAGGGAAATTCGATCATCAGAAGCGCGACGAACACCTTTGGCAGGCGCCAGTTGTGCGCGAACCATATCCCCATATTGGCAACCGAGATTCCTGCTCTTGCACGTGCTCTGCTACGTATGATTGCAGAATCGTCCACACTCGGAGGGCGCTCGTCCAGTCTGGCCGCGGTCGTTTTATCGTCTCGTCTCGTGTCGTCTCGTCTCTCCGTCTGGGAAGCTGGCCGCGGCGAATCGCTCACATCGGCAACATCGGATGTACTGTAATGAGGAGAAAGAGAGATCGGGGTGACAGGAGGAAGAGAGGTCTACTTAGAATCGGGTACATCGAGACCAGCGCCGCACACGGCTCACTGCCGCGCACTGCTGGACTGGAGGAGCGCCAGTGAGAGCTGCGTCTGTAAGCGCCCAAGCAAGATGTAGTTAGACTCGCAGCCAATCAGCCCACGTATCTGCACCAAGCATTGCACAGCGGAGGGCCACAGGGTCTGCCCACCGATGCGTCCACCCGAGCAAGGCGATGGGAAGAACAAGAATGTCCGGGTCGTTCGTGTCCTCACTTGGGAAGCATGGAAATCGTCACTTGCACACTTGTGTCACAAACCTCGCGCGACCCGTCATGCAGCCGTGGTGCGTGGTAACAACAATGGCAAGGGAGTTTTCGTCTTCGTTCCTACTCGTTCCAGTGAGCATGTTTACTAGACGTCTAGGTCTAGCAACCTATAGCTATATCATCAGCCAGTCAAGCTCAAGCTCCCGAACTGTGAGATGTGTGACTTTCTGTCACACTGCCACCATTACCCTCAGTCCACCCGACACACAAGACTCCTGGCAGAGCCAAGCAGCTCCTTCTCTCCATACACCGAACCTGCAGCATACAACCCGCGCGCAAACCTAAAAGCAACATACGAGATGGGGTATCTTAAATCATCTTTCCTCACGCGCCAGCATTGATTGCTTCTTCCAGACTTCCTCTCAAAGCCGTACACCGATCCTCAAACCCTGACATGATATCCTGACACTGCGCTGCACACCACCGATCCTTCACCTTCTCTTCCCAGTCGCTTTTCGCCAGCTCATGCCTTGCGAGCTCCGCTCTTTCCTGCTCTTCCCTCAGATCGACGACCATATCCTGCGTATTGCGGAGGTGACGAGCGGCAGTGGCTGTGATCTGTTTGCCCATTTGCAGGGTGTCCGTTAGCTGCGAAAGCTTCTCGATGGTTTCCTGTGTCTCTTCGCCCAGCTTGTGCATCATTTTTGTGGCCTCCACGTCTGGCTGCGGAATCTCCGACAAGAGCAATTCGGCCAGAGGCAAAGCTTCCTCAACAACGGTAGGGTCGAGTGGAGCAGAGAAGGTGTACAGGGGGTATAGACTTTGCGCGAGCGTCTGTAGACTTTTCGTCTGAGAGGTTAGGTAAGCCGTCAGACTGTTCGTGGAGGTAGTGAACCGCTGCGCTGCAGCCTCCAAGCTGGACTGATTGCCCAAGTCCTGCATCGCGCCGATCGTACGTGGAATGAGCGGATCTTCGGTGGTGGATGTGTAGCTTGTCATGCGCGCAACGGTGCTCATCAGATTCTCCAGATCCCGCGAGAACCGTTCCTCTGCCGGGTACTCTTCCTCTTCATCGGGTGGCTCCTCTTCTTTCCCGGCGAACGGCTTCGAGAAGTTGCGTACTGAGTTCGGGGATGATTTAGTCTTGGAATCGCGGTACGAAACGTCGATTCCCGAGTCTCTTGATGCCTCGTCTTTCTCTCCGTCTCCATGCGCACGCAGGCCATCCTCTGTCTCCCCTTCTTCAAAATCATCGTCGTCATCCAACTGGTCCAGCTCGTCTGCCAGGTTGCCCAAACCGCCCCCTCCCTCGTCCACCGGCGTGCCGAAGTCGCCGGATAATTGTGATGCATTGGAAAATCTGTGTCTGTTTGCAGGTGTGAGTGGGCTCCGGTCATGGTTGGAGGAGAAGCTGCTCGTTCGCCGTCTCAGTTGCTCGCTGAAGGAGTGGCTCGGGCTCGACGATGTATCAAGAGGCGACATATGTGACCGCAATGGGGTCAGCGGCGGTGAGGTTTCCATCGTGGCAAGCTGAGGTACCCGCCAGGGTGGAAGTCAGAAGGCCTATTGTTGTGTGCAGCCGGCGAGAGGAGCTGGTAGCGGGCGAAGTCGACGAAGACGCGGATTCGCGATGCTGCCTAATAAGGTAAACTTTGTTGACCGTTGGAATCGGCGTAATTGCCCGCAGGCCTCGCGGATCTCTGACGCTCGAGGGTGTGGTGAATGGCTCAATACAATATTGCCAACCAGTTCGCCGCATCGACAGGTATGAGATGTGGCTGTTTTCTCCTGAGGAGTGAAATAGTCGGGGTTAAGTGAGAGGGAGCAAGATCACAGCGTCTGGGTCTCGCTTCGCAACTTTGTCAAAGGCACCGAGCGGACCTGCATATCCGGCACAACAATCCCTGGCAGCCGGGCCTTTCCTTCAAAACCCAAGGAGATTTGATGCCTGAAGCACAGTCTTGCGTACGTCCAACAAAACTATTATTTGAACCAATACCAGCTACTGACCTTCGCATGACTCGCAATCTAATCAAATGCAGAAGTCGTTACGTCGTTTACAAGTTCAAAACGCGCGCCGCGCCGTCATAAGCCAGTACCTGTAGGTAAGGTAGGTGTACAATTGGCGACTCCACCTCCAAGCCAAAGTCTATCTCGTTTCCGGAGACAACTTGGAACTCTACCTCCGGAAAACTCTACACTGAATCGACCTGCTTCACAGCATCCAAGACGCGACCTCCTTTCATACCATTGAAAACAAATATTGCCTTAGCTCTACCGCAATCATGCTCGAGTGGCTCCTCGGCAAAAGCTTCAATCCGGAGCACGACATCCCAAGTCTTGATGGAAAAGTCATTCTGGTTACAGGGGGTAATACTGGACTCGGGAAGGAGACGGTCTTACAACTCGCCAAGCATAATCCCAGGGAGATCTTTCTAGCAGCTCGAACGCCATCCAAAGCAGAGGCGGCCATCGCAGACGTCAAGCAGCAGGTGCCAAACAGCAAGATTTCGTTCATCCAACTGGATTTGGCGTCTTTATCTTCAGTCAAAAAAGCAGCGGATGACTTCAACTCGCGCTCCGACCGATTGGACCTGCTGATTAACAATGCCGGAGTCATGGCTGTTCCGTACTCAAAGACCAAGGAAGGCTATGAGGTACAGTTCGGGACGAACCACATCGGCCACGCTCTCTTCACGAAGCTGCTGCTCCCAACCCTATTGAGGACGGCTGAGCAGCCCAATGCCGACGTCCGCATCATCAATGTCAGCTCTGAGGGTCATATGGGCGCACCGGGCATCATCTACGACCAAGACGCGCTGGAGAAGTACCATACTTTCGTGCGGTATGGCCAGGCCAAGCTCGCAAATATCTACCATGCGCGAGAACTGCAGAGAAGATACCCGTCGATTACGGCAACATCGTTACATCCGGGAGTTATCCTGACGGACCTGTACACCAGCCAGAAAGAGACCAACGTACTTATGCGTGTGTTCCTTCCGCTCATCGGGCTCTTCGCGAAAGACGTGCCTGGAGGAGCAAAGAATCAGCTGTGGGCCTCGGTGGCGCCGAAGAAAGAAGTCGAGTCCAGCTACTATTGGAAGCCTGTAGGAATTCCTAGCAACGGCTCCTTCTGGCTCGCCACGAAGCAAGACAAGGCTGCCGAACTCTGGGATTGGACGGAAGCACAGTGCGATGAGCAGCTCAAGAAAATGTCGTGATTGAAGTCTTGGAGTCAACAGATGTATCTAGAATGACACAGAAGAATAGCATTTGTTCGTAATTGAGTTTCCCATGCGACAAGTGAACATGTGAAGACCGTCAAGCAAATTTATAGTCCGTGCACCGCCAAGACCAGTCGCACTTGCAGTGGATGACTTGGGCACACATCGACCTCACGACAACTTAACTTCATCTGTCGATGAAAGTGCTGCCGCCGTAAAACACCACCCAGCACCGAGGCAGCCTCTGATAAACCCATCCTCTCGCCCACTCACCCTCTACTTCCTCGCACATTTCCCCCCGCCATCATGGATCACGAGAAGCTGGCCCGCATGCAAAATGCTGTGCGCATCGGTTTGTTTCCCCCCACGCCGCACTCGAGGGTTTCAATACCTTCGAGAACGAAAAGTACTGACAATTGACAGGGTAAGCATTCATAATACCTCCTTTTCTGCGCTCCCCGAGCCTCTGAAAGCGGCCCTAGCAAAAGCCACGACCGCAAAGCGACCGGCACAGCTGCATAAAGAGATTGAAAACGGGAAGTTTTTCTGACACGTGAATGCATAGGGGCAAGGGCACTCCACGGCGAAAGGTCAAGAAGGTGCACAAGAGCTCCGGCACCGACGACAAGAAGCTGCAGACGACTCTGAAGAAGATGAACGTCACGCCGATCCAGGCAATCGAGGAGGTGAACATGTTCAAGTCGGACGGCAATGTCATCCACTTCTCCGCTCCCAAGGGTGAGTTACATACGATGCATGTCCTAGCAAGAGAGGATGGCAGTATACTGAGAGAAGGCTTGTGCAACAGTGCACGCCGCGGTCCCCGCCAACACCTTCGCGATCTACGGCAACGGCGAGGACAAGGAGCTCACGGAGCTGGTCCCCGGTATCCTCAACCAGCTCGGCCCAGACTCGTTAGCTTCTCTGCGAAAGCTGGCGGAGAGCTACCAGAGCATGCAGAAGGGCGGCGAAGGCGAGGAGGGCAAGAAGGACGAGGACGACGACGAGATACCCGACCTTGTCGAGGGCGAGAACTTCGAGAGCAAGGGCGACGTCGAGTAAGCGCACGCTGCTCGCGATCGCCAAAACCCCCCCGAAAAACCACCGATCTCTGTCTCTTTGGGCGTCAATCTACGGGATGCATGGCGGAGTAGGGCCAAAAAAAAGCGAACAAGGTGCTTGTTGTGTCTTGCTTTCTCCCCCGAACCAAGTATGGGATAACGGCCTTGGGAAGGCACCAATGGCAAGTTTTCTGCGGTGTGTGTACATGCTTGATTGAGCGCTGCTGTATATTAGGTACGCGGCATGAGACAAGGCTACCATGATGAATGAAAGGTCGTCTCCTTTTCCCTTTTTGCGTGCCTCACACTTGTACGATTGCCTACTCACAATGCGATGACTAAGGCCTAGTAGATGTCTGACTGGCCCATCTGCCATGAAAATACACAAACGTAAGCTGAAAAGAAGCAGCCTCATTACATCGAGAAAACTGACGTTTCTACCCACTAGCCATATATCTGTACATCTTCGCTCTCCCAAACCGCCTGTATACATGCTCCATCGCTCTATGACATGATCACTGCAAGAGTAGGAACGAAAATGCGAGCGAACGGGCTGTTCTACCTCTTCTCTACCAGCAAAAAGTGAATCGCCAGGTATCCCAAACCCAAGAAAACAGCACAGAAAATTCCCAGCCCAAGAACATCATCCCACAGAGCCAGGACATTGAACCCGAAACTGGACAGAATGGCGGAACCGGGAACTTCGATGTCAAGGCCGTATTTCTTGTCCACGAGGGATAGGTAGCGGACTTCGTTGACGATCAGGCCTTCGAATGCGTAGTGATAGATGGACAGCTATTTGAAATGTCAGCGAAAGAGTTACGTTGTGAAGAAAAAGCGGAGAGGGGATACGTACGTTTTGCAACCACAAGACTGGTTTTGGAATCGTCTCGTGATTCAACAAGAATCCACCGAACAGCAGACTGAAGAGCATGACCAGCACGCCGAGCAAGTTCGCGACACCTTGATTGCGGACGCAGATGCCGATGAACAGCAAGACCATGGCCGCTGCGAGATTGAAGAAGACTAGGAACAGCATGAATTTGAGGAACTCCTCCCAGCTGGGAATCAAGCCAGTCATGGGATAGACAATGCAGCCCATGATGATCGGCGGAATGAGTCGCAAAGGTACGATGTCGAAGACCACTTTGGACAAGTAGTATGCAGCCGGCGAGTAGTAGCCCTTGGCACGCTCTCGCAGGAAAAGAAGACGCTCGGGAGCAAAGACCGTGAGCGAGGTCAATGTGCTGAAGCCGAACAGCGCGAGAAGGAAGAAGAAGAACCCGAGACGGTTCTGGAAGCCCTTCAGATCGTCTGTCAGGCCATAGAATAGGAATCCGAGGAAGACAGCCAACACAATGGCAATCGCGTAGTGCGTAAGCATAAGCATAGGGTTGCGGTAGAGATTCCGCCATGTCCGACGGGAGAGGATGAAGAATTGCGAGTGAATCCACGGCTTCTGAAAGCCCTTGACCTTACCAGGTGTAGCACCGTTCGGAGATCCTGCCGGGTGACCGTTATCGGCCTGAGCAGTCGATATGGCATCCCGGATACTGCTACGCAATTTCGAGGCCACTTCGGATCCTTGGTAGGAAGACACGAGATAGTCCAAGTTTGTACCAGTTGCTCCGTCCAGTGATGGCGGAAAGTCATGTCCGTCTTCAGCAATCTGAGGAGGCTGCTGCCTCGACATTTTGAGCCATTGCTGATGGCTTCCCTCCATGTCTCGCTCAAACGTGCTGTCTCCATCGCTCCGGACACTTGCCGGTGTGGCCTGTTCCGCAGTGTTCTTTCTAGAGTAGAGCTGTCGCTCCTGTTGTTGCCGTATACTAGTCTTCCGCTTTGACTTTGGTCGCAGGAGGCCTTCTCGTTCGCCAGAACCAACAGACTCGTCGCCCATGCTGACATTGCTGACGCTCGGTATGCTCTTGATGGCCATAGTCGAGCTGGCACGAGTTGTCCTGCCATCTCCCTCCGCGCCAATCAATGCCTCATCGAGGTCATCTTGGTCTGTCGGAGCGCTGGCGTGCATCGTCAAATCAATGAGGTAATCCGCAATATTGAACCCAGGTGGACAGGTGTATCCAATGCTGTCGAAGTAGCTCTGACATTCCTTGAATGGCCCAGAGTACACTGTCTGTCCTAGCGACAGGAGGATGAGCTGATCGAAGAGGGCAACGATGTTTGAACGTGGCTGATGGATGGTGAACACAACAGTCCTGTTGTAGGTCTTGACCAAGGTGACAAGACATTCAACAACATTGAAGGCGTTGTAAGCATCGAGGCCTGAAGTGGGCTCGTCCAGAAACAGGATGCTTGGGCTGGTTACGAGTTCACAGGCGATGCTGACACGACGCTTCTCACCACCAGAAATGCCACGGCCGCTCTCCTCTGAGCCTATGATCTGGTGCCTAATGTTGTAAATACCAAGCTGGCGCTCCACATCTTCTACTTTCTGCTCCTTGGCCGCTCTGCTCATTTTCTTGGGGAGACGGAGCAAGGCGGAGTCCAGGATTGTCTCGTGAACAGTCAATGTCGGCAGCATGGTGTCATCTTGATCGACAAAACCAATGACGCTCCGGAACTCAGCGTCGGCGACTTGTTCTCCGTTCAGCCAGAAATCGCCACTGATAGTACCGCTTTTGTTCTTGCGAGCGAGGATGTCCAGGAACGACGTTTTGCCGGCACCGGATGCTCCCATGATCGCCAACAGCTCTCCTGGATGCACGCTTCCAGTGATGTTGGACAGGATTTGCTTGTCTTTGAGGCCGTAGGAAACGTTCTCGAAGTAGAGCGACGCAGGCTTATGGTCCGCCAGTAGTCGCGCATTCTCCTCCTCTTCGTCGTCTCCCAGGTGGATGTATCCCTTTCGACTCTTTATGCCCCGGCGACTCAGGAAGAACACTAGCAGGACCACCGCGACGACGAACAGCGCACAGCCGGCAATCACCCCTGCGATGAGTGGCGTGTTGATCGTCTTGATAGGCCTCTCGTAGCCAGGAACATCTAGTTTGTAGAGACATTCTCCGCTGTGGCAATTGAGCAGAATACTGCGGTCTCCAAATACGCTTGAGATTAGACCATTCATCGCGGGCTCGGAGAAGCTGCTGCTGTCGTCGCCGGATCCGCCCTCAGTGCTGACGGATACGAATTCAGCAGGACCTTTGATTTCCTCCTCAAGGAAGTCAGAGATATCGATACTGTTCTCTGAGCCACACAACATCCGCCCCGGTACACAAGCACATTCAATGTTCTCGCACTTGTAAGTCGTGGTGTTCCTCTCTTCCTCAGCTTTCAATCCCCAGGTACAGGTATCAAGCGCGCAGTAGAAGCTTTCCTTTTGGTCCACCCAGAATTGGAAATTACACTCCGCTCTTTCGGCGTTGCAGCTGAATGTTGCCTGGGGTTTCTGATCTTTGAGGGTATCCAATATCTTGCGGTTCGTGATGTCGCACATCTGGAAGTTTTCCTTGACAACAGCTCCTTCCCGATAGCATACGCCTCCCTCACCCTGCGGCACCATAGCGTTGCATGCATCATCCGTCTGGCAAACGTTGCAGTTGATGCCTCCCCAACCCTCTCTACATTGGCAAGTATCACCCTCTCGTGGTATGCGATTCTTCCCATCGGCCAGCGAACCGCACAAAGGCAGACTACAGTCCTCGCCGCCAAAGCCAGGAGGGCAAGAACATCGCCCACTACTCTGGGTACAGTTGCCAAACTGTTGACACACGAAGTCGTCTAGGTTGCAGTTGAAACATGGCGGACAGTCCTCGGGTCGTTTCTCGTACGCGGCGAAGGGGTCTGATCGAAGGAAGAGGTCATCGTTGGTGGTATAGTACTGATTTACTTGACGGCCAGCAGAGGCAGCCCAGGGTAGAGAGAGGAACAGCGTCGCGAGTACGGCGACATGCGTTGGGGGCGACATATCGAAGCGAAGCGGGAGGCGAGAGGCGAGAGGCGAAAGGGCGTGTTTCTCAACGCATTGGACGCGGGAGTGAAGCAGGATGGTTGCAGAAGAAGAGCAGCAAGTGGAAGTGGAAGTGGAAGTAGAAGTGAAGGAAGCGCAAGGGAAGTGCGCATGCAGACGATGTGCGAGAGGATAAGGTAGATAGATGTAGCTGTATGTACACACCCACAGCTATGCCTCAGGTATCGCGGTCTCCATCGGCTCGGCTCGGCTGAACTGGCACGTGGCCCATGCCTAGATACCCCTGTCGCGCTGTACTCTTAGGTTCCTCCTGACTTCGGACCACATGACAACGCCATCCACCACCGAGGCTGCATCTTCTCTCTTCGCTTCAACGTGGCTGTAATCCGTCCATTATTGGCAGAAGCAGGAGCGGCAACATCTTTCCGTCCTGTTTCCAGCCTTACCAAACTTTCCTTAAAGCCATGTACAGCGGAAAGGCGGAGTAAGTGAAGCTTCGGCTAGACTCCACTCCATACTACTACATTTCAGGTTGCCTTTCCTTCCTCTTCACCAACCTCTCAAGTCCTCAAAACTTGCAGCTTTCAATCATTGCGTCTTCACTTCCAATCTCACTATGGCGCCTCCTCCACCCTTCGCCGTAGAACAGGTAGGCAGCCCTGCTCAGCACCATTGCCATCATCATATGCAAGCCAGCCAGCCAGTTGACAGTCTGACCAGTGGATGGACGAGCACGAGACCGAATGTAAATACAACATAGCGGAAACCTGCTGCGCCAGTCTCTCCATCAACGACCTGCTCGCTCTCTCCGAAAACAAATCCATCAAGGCCAGCGATCTCCTCGAGCTAGACGCTCCCCAAACTTACGGCGCCATACGCGGTGACCCCACTCTCAGAGAAAATCTCAGCCGTCTCTACAGCAGCAAAGTCGGCACAGCTCTCTCCCCAGAGAATGTCCTCATCACACCCGGAGCAATCGCCGCCAACCACCTCGTCTTCTACGCCCTCATCCATCCCGGAGACCATGTCATCTGCCACTACCCAACTTACCAACAACTCTATTCCGTCCCCGAATCCCTCGGAGCAGAAGTCTCCCTCTGGAAATCCAACCCAGAGAACAAATGGCACCCGGACCTCGAGGACCTGAAATCCATGGTGAAAGAGACCACCAAACTCATCGTCCTCAACAATCCCCAGAATCCCACCGGAGCCATCCTCCCCAAGAAACTCCTCCACGAGCTGGTCGATTTCTGCGAATCGAAGGGCATCACCATCCTCTCGGATGAAGTCTACCGTCCTCTCTTCCACGGCATCACACCCATGGACGAGGATTTCCCCCCTTCCATCATGTCGTTAGGATACAAGAACACCATCGTAACAGGCAGCATGTCCAAGGCGTACTCGCTGGCTGGAATCCGCGTCGGATGGGTAGCGAGTCGCAGTCCGACGATCGTAGCCGAACTGGCCAGAGCGAGAGATTACACTACCATTTCCGTCTCCCACCTGGATCAGGCAGTTGCGGCTTTCGCCCTGTCGCCGGATACGATTCATTCGCTGCTCAGTCGGAATATCCAGCTGGCCAAGGCGAATCTGGAATTGCTGCAGAGGTTTGTCGTGAAGCATGATGAGTTTTGCTCGTGGACGAAGCCCGTGGCGGGCACGACGGCGTTCATCAAGTTCGAGAGGGACGGAAAGCCGATCAATGCGGAAGCGTTATGTAGGGATGTGCAAGAGAAGACGGGTGTCATGCTTTTGCCCGGTGATGTGGGATTTGGTGGAGAGTTCAAGGGCTATGTGAGATTTGGATACGTGAACCGGACGGAGATTGTGAAGGAGGCTTTGGAGGAGTTGAGGAAGTATATGAGGAAAGAGTACGATGATGTACCGCTCAGTGAGTAGCCGCTTGGCTGTTATTGGAGTGCATTGTCTATGCTCTATCGTATACGGGCATGTCATTAATCGTACCAAAGCATTGAGCCACGGAGGCCCAAAGCAGTCGTCCACTTCGTGTCAGTATCATTTTCCACGTCCTGCCCCTTTTCGGTCCATCCACGTCTCGAGTCCTCAACAGTAAGCCTCTAGGACATGGAAGAGACAGGCACCTCCATCTCGATCTGAGTAGAAAAGACGCCTGCAGACACCTTGGTCGAGTTGAAGAGCGGAGTGGCATGGCCATATGCAATAGCACTATTGTAAGGATAGTCGCCAATGCTAGTGACAAAGTAAGTGCACGCTCAAGATCTCCGGACTGAAACGAAAAAAGCACTCACCACGGGTCTTCAAAGTACCGCTCGAGCGACACAACGCCGTTCTCGAAGACGAAATTGACGGACTGGTTGACGCAGTGATGGTACCGCGCGTCCGAGAGAGTCGCATTGGAGCCGACGGGGAGCGTCCGGTTGCATGAAGTGGTCAATTCGAGTCCCTTGTTGACGTCCTTGAAGTCAAAGGAGATGTACGACGAGCGGTTCCGGACGCCGGCGTGGGTCTGGAAGGTGATGAGGTTGGTGATGTGCCAGGGCTGCTCCTCGATGAGAGCCGTGCAGCCGGCTTTGTATTTGCGGAACGTGGTTGGGCCGGCGAGAGTGCGGTCGAAGAGAGCCAGAAGGGCGAGGAGGATGTAGGCGAGCATCTTGTCGATTGTGTTTGGATTTTGGGGTTGTTCAGTACACAGATCTTTTGCCGTGTAGCGAGCAAGTGTCGAGCCGGAGCGGGCCTGCGGAGTTGGGAGTGAAGAGGTTGAAGGGGCAGAAGTTGAGGTGAAGGTTGAAGTTGAAGAAATCGAAAGATCATTGCCGTGTTAAGAATTTCGCTCCTGCATTTGGAGAGGCCGTGCGCCACATGCAAAACTCTGTATTGCAGTTGGCTGCATGAGATGTCGGGTGCTCAGGCGGTAAACTTTAAATGCTAATTGCCTAACATAGAAGGAGCGAGTCACTCACTTGTTTGCCCATTTCTTTGACATCGCCTGATTACTAACCTTAGCTCGTTTGCTTGTCACCCCTGAAGCGTTCAATAATACCACTGCGAAGTTATGCAAGGTAAGGTAGTTGCAGCGTCCGGGGAATGTTCGACGTGTCACAGGAAAGCACCACCGCGTCGCGTCGTAGCCCGAGTAATGCACGCTGTGCAATGCTCTTTCTGGGTCCGATGCAGGTGGATTGAGAGGCTTCTGTGCTCATTCGAGCGGTCGTGATGTTGCACTACCAGTCTCTTCGTGGCCATTCTCATGCCGAATTCGCCCGAAACATGGCACCCAATCGCAGCAGTTCTGCACCTACTTGAAGGCCGAGTAAAAGCAATGGCTCGATTTTCCTCCGTTTCCCACGCAACTTGGTATCTTATCGTACACGTCAAAACCCGCGGGTAGTCCGTGTCTGACGTTGTTGAGCGCCCGCATCACTCGGTAGTCTCTTCCACCCACGCGCTGCTGTTTTGAGGGAACACAGAATTGCAGGATCTTACCCCTTACCTCCTCCTCCTTCGGAGCCTCCTTCGGAGCCTCTCCCTGGATGCAGGTCGTCCCTCATCGCCTTATATGTCCTTAATGATCAGATTTTCACTGGGTTGAACCCGTTGTGCGAATTCGGTCCAGCTTCCATCGTAGATGCGTCGACTGAACAATGCGTTAGTACGTCACACCACAGTCATTTGTTAGAGTAGCGAACGTACCTCCCGTCACCGTAGCCAGCCTCAATCAAGGCAGCATCGATCACGGTCGCTGTGACTCCAGTTCCGCAGCTCGAGATCACCGGTCTTTTTGGATCGACTGCTTTCTGTTGAAAGATCTTCTGGAGTTCCTCTGCGGGAAGGAAGGCCTTCGTCTGTGGATCGAGCAGCTCTGGGACAGGGACCGATGTACTGCCAGGCATATGCCCACTGGAAAGACCTGGGCGAGGTTCTGGATCAGTTCCTACGAAGCGAAGATCAGTTCAGTCACATTCCAACAGGAGAGCGTTCTTGCGTCCAACATGACTAATTCCAGGCCAAGTGTCGGGGCAATGCTGCGCGGTGTACCGTCGCGTAGTGACTTACCTTTGAAGCGGCCTGCCGAACGTGCGTCCAAGACTTGAACACCTTCGCTCCCCTCCTTGTTGTGGTCGAACGCAATGCTCTTGATCTCCTCGAATGCTATAACCTTGGCCTTGTCCAATTCAGGAGTAGGATATTCCGTCTGCTCAAACTGCTTTGGTTCGCCCTCCTCAGTCGGGTAACCCTGTTCCACCCAGAGGCGGAAGTTGTTCAGAATGTGCACTTCAGGGTGGCCGAAGACCTTGAATGTCCAAGCAACTCTGGGTGCAGAGAAAATGCCGAGCTCCGCCGTATCGTATACCACAATCGTATCGTCTCGCTTGATTCCCAATTTGCTCAAGGCATCCTTGAACACGTCTGGGCTCGGCAACATGTGCGGGTACGGACTAGACGTGTCGGCCACCTTATCGAGGTCGAAGAAGCGCGCATTGTGGATGTGACCTTTCTTGAAGACGTCAAAGCCACTGCGTTTCTCTGGGTCGTTTGGAAGGAACCAGGAACCACAGACTGGCACAGTTCTGGGCGCGGTTGACAAGCGGGATGGCGCATTCTTCTTGAGCGCCTTGTCCAGCTCCGCCGGTGTAACGAAGTACGAGTTGAAGCTGTACGAGCGCGCAGTGGTCATGGTGAAGGGCGAGGAAGTGGAGCGCGACTTGGAGAGGTTACTGAGTACCGGACGTCGGAGTAGGGCAGCCATGATTGCTTGTCGTATCCGTCAGCTGCGGGCTTTAGACGGGCATATTGTGGGAACAGCAATGCTCCGGCGAAGTGGAGCTGGTCGAATGGCGCAGGAGTTGTGAGCTGCGCTCACTCCTGTCGCTCCTTGTGCCAACGGCGTCACGCCTTCTCCAAATTATTATGTCGTGACGGGGCCCAAGCGCTTCAAGCTCCTGCCGTCACGCGAACTTCTCGGAGCTAAAAAGACACAAGGGTGAACGAACAACTCAGCGTACGGGGAGAGCTCCAGGCAGGATCTGAGGAACATATCGAGCAGACATTAGACAGTTAGGTAGTGCATCACATCTATTCTATGTAAAATCACTGCTAAGAGCTAAGCCTAAAAGATCTTAATATCTATGACCTCTAGGCTATTCGTAGGCTACGCCCTTCTATTTAATCTAGCTACGTTATCCTTAGTATACTAGTTAGTATTACGCGTTAATACTAAGAAGATAAAATCCGAGAAGAAGAGCTTAAAGAATAGTAGTAGTAGGTTAATGTTAAGTCTATAACTTAATAATCTTATAATACATAAGGATTACTTATATAAGGCTTAATCGGTATTAGGCTCGTTAGTAGAGAGGTCTAGTAGAGGAAGAGTAAAGCGATAGAGTAGTATAGTAACTTAAGGGATTGTATTCCAAGTAGTAAGATACTATAGTAAGTTAAACATACCGAAAGCTAGAGGCATTCTTAGTGTTCCTATATACTTCTATCTACGGTAGGTAAACTAATTAAACTAATTACTAAGTAGACTAATTAAACTAATTACTAAGTAGACTAATCAAACTAGTTACTAAGCAGACTAATTATACTAATCACTCCCTTACTAACTACCTAGTTAGTACTCTACTATATCTGCCTTAATTAGTCGTAGCTATAGGTAATAGTCTAATTAACTCGTAATACTATCCCCCTTCTAGCCTAGCTTCGTCCCGAAGCTTCCGTAGTTATAACGAGTGTAACGTCCCTTATCTTCCGCGAGGTAACGATATCTTCTTCTTCCTCTACTCGTCGAAAGAAGCTCGCTATAGAAACCGAAGTAAGCGGTATCGAAATAGCTCCTTGTTTAAACTATAGAAAAGTCCGGTACCCTCTTCCCGATCGTCCTAAGTGTATCGTAGGTCCGCGATCCGGTAAGTGTTCTAAGTACATCCGGAAAGGGTGTAAGGACTACGACGTACGCGTCTCCCGTCCTTAGTAGGAAAAGCTCCGCGATACTAGGGAGAAGCTTCGTCTAGAGATCGAGAAGATCGAGAAGGAGGAGATAAAGTTAAAAGTACGTAAGTATTAAGTCTATAACTTAATAATCTCACAATATATAAGGATTACTTATATAAGGCTTAATTAGTATTAGGCTCGTTAGTAGAGAGGTCTAGTAGAGGAAGAGTAAAGCGATAGAGTAGTATAGTAACTTAAGGGATTGTATTCTAAGTAGTAAGATACTATAGTAAGTTAAATATATCGAAAGCTAGAGGCATTCTTAGTGTTCCTATATAGATTTCTAGTTCGACTAACTTGTCCTACCTACTAGCTAGAAACTAGCTATCCGACTAGAGCTATAGTTAAACGGTCGAACTTGTTACGTAGTCCTCCTCGTAGAGTTCGACTACCGGCTCCTTCCGTTAGTCGAACACGTAACGCGTAACGTGCCTCGCTATACGCGTAGGGTCTCTCTTCTATTTTACTAGCTAGGAATTCTCGAAGTAGCCTCGCTCCTACTTCGATCCGTAATACTATCCCCCTCTTATCTTTAGCGCGTCCCGAGCTAAATCTTTCGGTAGGTGTCTTCTTTTCCTCTCTTTCCCGTTATAAGTAGAGAGCCGCTAACTCGAAAGGAGCGTCGTAAAAGACAAGCGTCTTTAATCGAAAGTAACGGTCGCGAAATGCTGTCTCTATATTCTACCTACCGTATAGTACGATCGTCGAAGGAGAATCTAATTTAGTATATAGTAGATGTTCGTTTTAGGTGCTATTCGGAGTGTGTTCGTAAGGGCTATAAGAATTGCGACGTTACGGTAACTTGGACCGAGTAGGAGCGTCTTCGGAACTAGCGTCGTTAACTAAAGCGTAAGTTAGACGATACTAAGGAAAAGGTAACGGAGGTAATAGCTCGTATCTATCGTCTTCGTAAACAACTTCGGTCGGTAGAGAAGCGGGAAGAGAAGGCGATCTCTAAGGAGTTCGCTAAGCTATAGAAGCTGCCTTCGGAGGGTCCTAAGGCTCTTAACGCGCCTTCCGATTTCCTACTAGAACCCGAGGGAAACCCTTCGGAGTTAGAGGACGTTTTCTAGATACCTCTTACTTCTTAGGCCGACTTGTCCCTTATTCCTAACTCGGAGTTCTAGTAACTACCTTATAATTCTAGTAGAAACGCTAAAGTAGCTAGCGACAGTTCGTAAGGTTATTCTCCGGTTCCTAGGTATTTTCTAATTCGTCGTATCCTTTCTACTTAATAAGATATCGCTAACCTTCCTTTCTTAGGATCCTTTCGACTTCGAATTCGTTTTCTTCTTCTAGTATATATAAAAATGTTTCCTAGTAAGGTGTCTCGGCGTTAGCTAGTTCTAAAAGAGAGATATAGAACACGGGATAAATATTCGTATCTACCGGTAATTTAAGTCGGTAGTTTACTAGTTCTCGGGCTTCTTTAACTAAAAATAGCCCGACTTTAACGTAGTCCAGTTTCTTCGTTAGTTTCCGACTTCTTAAGTTCTTAGTAAGGAGGTAGACCTTATCCCTCTTCTTTAGCTAAGGCGCTATTTTTCTTTTCTTATTATATAGCCCTAAAATCCGGTCCTAAGTGTCTTAGATTACGGATTATAACTAGTTATGCACCCGTTTTAGGTCTTCTAAAGCGATTATTGCCTTGTCCGTATTAGGGTATAGTCTTATTTAGTCTTATTATAATCTAAACGTTTTCGGATTCTTCCTAAAGTTAGCAAAGAATAGTGTATATCTAGTAGTTTCGGAACGATAGTTGTTTAGTACAAGCTACGCTATTAGTAAGAGTGTTGCCTAATTGTCTTATATAGTATTTATATAGTATCGAAGGTATTGTTCTAGCGTTTGGTTCGTTCTTTCTGTCTAGCCGTCTGTCTGTAGGTAATAGGCTATAGACAGCTTCTAGCGTATCCCGATTGTTGCTATAAGTGTTTTCTAGTAGTTCGAAGTAAACAGCTTGTCTCTGTCTATAATAAACACTTCTAGGATACCGTAGTATCGTACTAGTCTGTCTAGTATAAGGTATCCGAGTTGCTCTACGCTAGCCTTTTCCGTTATAGGAATAAAGTGTATATATTTCGTTAGTCGATCTACTATAACTAAGATTATATCGTAGGTAACTTCGTTAACCTTGTCCTTCGAGGGTAGTAGTTTAATAATAAAGTCTATTATAACTTCGTCCTATAGTTAAGTAGGTAGAGTTCTAAACTAGATATGTCCGTATTTAGCGTGTCTCGAGGCCTTGTTCTAATTATATATTACGTATTTCTTAATATATACTACAATTCGGTGCCTTATATATAGAAAGCTAAAACTTCGCTAGACTAGTTCTATTGTCTTCGTAACTCCTAGATGTCCGTACTCTAGGTTATCGTAATATTATCGAATGTATTCTTCCTCGCGATCCTTTAGTACCTAATATTTCCCTTATTAGATTAGGAATTGTTCTTCGTTGTCTTAAAGAACCTAGATAATATTATTAAATTCCTTCGTGTTAGCGCTTAGACTCCCGTCTTAGTTTGTTCTAAGTATGTTATACTACACTTATTCCTTTCCTTCTATATAGTCGCTACGTCGGCTTAGTACGTCGGCCTAACTATTATCGCGTCCTAGGGTATAACGGATATCGAACTTATACTAACCGAGCAGTTCCGACTAGCGGACCTACCTACGTGTTAGCGACTTTGTCGTAGTAAAGTAGGTAAGATTCTTATAATTAGAAAGAATCGTTAATCCCGGTGCTCCTTCCGCGTAGACTCTCTAGTACTATAATACTATAACGATTACAAGTAGTTCCTTATTATAGATGTCGTAGTTCTCTTCTATAGGCGTTATCTTTCTTAAGTAGTAGGCTACTAGGTGTCGCTTCCTATTATACTCCTATGTAAGGTATGCTCCTATAGCTATGTCTAATGTATCGGTTTCGATCTATACGGGCTTCGTTCCGTCGAATAGTCGTAATGTTAGTACTAAAGCGTATTGTTCTTTTAGTCTCTCGAATGCTTGTCGTTATCGTGTACTCTATTCCTATTTCTTGTCCTTTTAGGTAAGCTCCGTAAGAGGTTTCGCCGTCTTCGAGTAATCCTAGATAAACTTTCTATTATAGTTCGCTAGGCCTAAGAACGATTGTACGTCCTTAACGTTCTATAGTTGTAGCTACTCTTCGATAGACTTAGTCTTCTTTAGATCGATTCGGATTCCTTACGTACTAATAATAAATCCTAGGAATTTAACTTCCTTCTTATAGAACTCGCATTTCTTAGGCGCTATCTTAAAGTCGGTAGCGCTAAGTCGTTTAAATACTTCCTAGACTTGTAATACGTACTTTTGTAGTAAACCTTTCGTATAGACTAGAATGTCGTCTACGTAGTATATAACGCAAACGTCGAGGAGGTCTCGGAGCGTTTCGTTAATAAGGTCCTGTTATAATGTAGGTGCGTTTGTAAGTCCTATAGGTATAACGAGGAACTCGTACAGTCCGTATCTCGTTCTAAATACGGTTTTCTATTCTTCTCCGGGTACTATTCTAATCGAGAAGAACGCTTCCTATAGGTCGATCTTCGTAAACTAGTCTGCTCTAGTAAGGCGGTCTTGTGCTTCTTTAATACTAGGTAATAGGTACCTGTTTTTAATTGTAACTTTATTTAGTCTCCGATAGTCGACAACTAGTCGTAGTTTGTCGGTTCCTACTTTTAGTACGAAGAGAATTAGAGATCCTACGCTTAAAGTGGATTTCCGGATCTATCCCTTCGCTAGTTTCTCCTTTAGCTATTAATCGAGGGATTTTAGCTCTTTTTCTAATAGCGGATAGATAGGTCCCTATAGAGGCTACTTCCCTAGCTAAATATTAATCTTATAGTCCTATAGTCTATGTTTAGGTAAGGCGTCCTTTCCTTCCTCTTCCTAAAAGAGTCTCTTATATCTACTATACTCTTTAGGGATCTTAGGTAGTATACGAATTCCACTACTACTCGTAACTTCTTAGCCCGTCCGACCCTAGTTAGTACCTGTCCGAGTTAGTTCTAGTCTCTAGATTCCGGTCGTCGTAAACTACGTCGTACTAAGTTATCTTAACTTATCTACTAGCGAACGCTATCGCTACGTAGGGTGGATGTCGATCGTACAATCGCATCGCTTAAATCTAAGTACTCCTCCTTTCTAGTCGATCGATAGGTTGTACTTTCTTAACTAAGGTATTCCGAGTACGATATTATAAGTAGCTATCTTAGTAACGTCGAACGTTAGTTCCTCGTAGTACTATTAGATTGCTAGTAGTAACGGTATCGTCTCTCGTTCTACACTCGGTAGGGGTGACCTGTCTACTACGACGAGTTTATACCCTCCGTCTTTCTTCCTTCGGGTTGCGATCCCGGATCTTTTTATAAATAATTTAGAGGCAAATGTCCCGCTAGCGCCTAAATTAACTAGCGTATATGTCTTACGGCCGTTAACGATTACTTCCGTACGGAAGACTACTATTAATGCTTAAGCATTTGTTACGATATTAAACTCTCTTCGGTCGCTTATTCCTAGAGAGTTAATCCTTTTCCCGAGCGGCGTTATTCGAGCTACTGTCGGATCTTTCTTCTCGTTTTATAGAGGTCCTCGGCTATCTGTTACTCGGCCGGTAATTTGTTACATGCCTAGCGATTTTGTACGTATTATGCCTAGGCGAATGCTTCTACGTAGCGTCGTATCTAGGCCCGCATTTCTTAGGTAACGACTTCGTTATTCGGTATAAGATACCCGTAGGGTGTTATAACGCTTCTAATTAGGGGTTTCTCCTAGACGATTCGTCTAAAGTCTTCCTCTACCTCTATTCGTAGGTATTTCTAGGCGAGAAAACGTATCCTAGAAAGTATATTATCGAATTAGATAGGGTTAAGGTATCGTTTTCCTTTAATCCTTAGAAACACTTCCTCGTTGCTTCGCGCGATCGTAATTACGAGTTCCTATACTTGTCTTAGGGCGTCTACCGTAAAGGTTGTGATTTCTCTATCGTCGTCTTCCTCCGTAATATCGCTTTCTTCCGAGGATTCCGGTATCTCTAGTTCTTCCGGAAGCTAAGGTAGCTATTCGTTACCCTCTTCCTCGCTATCTTGTTCTTCCTCGGGCGTTAGATTTTCCTTGTCTAACTCTTCCTCGCTAACTAGTATAGGTAGCTCGAGTCTACGTAGCTTCTCCGGTATAGGTAGAAGTTAGTATCTGTCGGTCCTTTCTCCTTCGTTATCGGGCCGCGGATCCTATATAGGTAATAGTAGTCGTTATAGCTAGTATCCTACTCCTATCTTCGAGGAATAATGTTCTTAGTATAAATCGTCGTAATAGTATCTCTAATAAAGGGTACCGTACTTTTCCTTACGACGTACTATTACTCTAAAGAGTCGGGGTTCCTTTTTCTCGTCGAGAGTAGGCATATTATATGCTCCTCGTCCCGATCTTGGTTGTATTATATTAAACTGCTCGCGGCGTACTATATTCTTACTACGGCAATCCCGTACTATATGTCCTTCTTTTCTATAGGTATAGTAAGTTAGTTTTCCTATATTTTTCCTTCGAGGCGAACTTTTGCCTCGTATCTTACGACCTTTCTAGGTAGCGTCGAGTTCTATAGGCTGCGGTCTATAGTAGGGTTAATGTAATTAATTTGTCTTATTAAACCGTAGGTTGTAACTACCCTAGTGTCGCCTTTTAGAAATGTACCTAGCGCGTCCTAATATTTTCGAATCGTAACGCCTTTCTATTACTCGTTCGTAGAGCTTGTCGTTAAGATCGATTGTAACCTAAACTAGTTCGTCTATATTATCGATTAATCGCCTATCGCGTATTAATTCGTCCTTTACGTTATCCTTTAGTCCTCGTCGGTATATAACTTAAAGTGCTTCGTCGTCCTAGTCGGTAAGTTAAGTATGTTCCTAGAACTTAGCGGCGTACTCGGCGGTAGAAGTGCGTTGCGTAAGGTGCTAAATAACTCGTACGGCGGTAGATTGTTCGTTAGATATACTAAACACGGCCTTTATAGTAGTCTTAAGGCGTTAGTATAATTTAAAGATTCCATTTCCGGATTCTACGTCGTTAGTGTCGAGATATTCGCGGAGAAAAGGTTTGACCTAATACTATACACGTCCTCTTAAAAAGGTAGTAGTAAAGACAGGCTTAAGACGTTCTTCTATAGGGTTAAAGAGAAAGTAGAGGTCTATCTAGTTAACCTAGGTGTTATACTTCTCGCGGTTACTATAGTAGAAGTCCGGCTTACCGACCTTAAGGTTCTTGTCTCCTTCGTACGTAGCTAAAGCCTAAATAGCTTCGTTAGTCCTTAGTCGTCCTGCTTTACTAGGGGCGGGAGTTCCCCTAGAACTTCGTTAATTAGACATCCTCGAGGGTGTTTAAAGCTATTAAGTCTATAACTTAATAATCTCACAATACACAAGGATCACTTGTATAAGGCTTAATCGGTATTAGGCTCGTTAGTAGAGAGGTCTAGTAGAGGAAGAGTGAAGCGATAGAGTAGTATAGTAACTTAAGGGATTGTATTCTAAGTAGTAAGATGCTATAGTAAGTTAAACATATCGAAAGCTAGAGGCATTCTTAGTGTTCCTATATAGATTTCTAGTTCGACTAACTTGTCCTACCTACTAGCTAGAAACTAGCTATCCGACTAGAGCTCTAGTCGAACGGTCGAACTTGTTACGTAGTCCTCCTTATAGAGTTCGACTACCGGCTCCTCCCGTTAGTCGAACACGTAACACGTAACGTGCCTCGCTACACGCGTAGGGTCTCTCTTCTATTTTACTAGCTAGGAATTCTCGAAGTAGCCTCGCTACTATTTCGATCCGTAACACCTAGTCGGTAAGTTAAGTATGTTCCTAGAACTTAGCGGCGTACTCGGCGGTAGAAGTGCGTTGCGTAAGGTGCTAAATAACTCGTACGGCGGTAGATTGTTCGTTAGATATACTAAACACGGCCTTTATAGTAGTCTTAAGGCGTTAGTATAATTTAAAGATTCTATTTCCGGATTCCACGTCGTTAGTATCGAGATATTCGCGGAGAAAAGGTTTAACCTAATGCTATATACGTCCTCTTAAAAAGGTAGTAGTAAAGACAGGCTTAAGACGTTCTTCTATAGGGTTAAAGAGAAAGTAGAGGTCTATCTAATTAACCTAGGTGTTATACTTCTTACGGTCACTATAGTAGAAGTCCGGCTTGCCGACCTTAAGGTTCTTGTCTCTTTCGTACGTAGCTAAAGCCTAAATAGCTTCGTTAGTCCTTAGTCGTCCTACTTTACTAGGGGCGGGAGTTCCCCTAGAACTTCGTTAATTAGACATCCTCGAGGGTGTTTAAAGCTATTAAGTCTGTAACTTAATAATCTTATAATGTATAAGGATCACTTATATAAGGCTTAATCGGTATTAGGCTCGTTAGTAGAGAGGTCTAGTAGAGGAAGAGTAAAGCGATAGAGTAGTATAGTAACTTAAGGGATTGTATTCTAAGTAGTAAGATACTATAGTAAGTTAAACATACCGAAAGCTAGAGGCATTCTTAGTGTTCCTATATACTTCTATCTACGGCGGGTGAACTAATTAAACTAATTACTAAGCAGACTAATTAAACTAATTACTAAGTAGACTAATTAAACTAGTTACTAAGTAGACTAATTATACTAATCACTCCCTTACTAACTGCCTAGTTAGTGCTCTACTATGTCTGCCTTAATTGGTCGTAGCTGTAGGTAACAGTCCAATTAACTCGTAACAGTTAAATTAAAGACTACTAGTAGTATCTAGATCTAGCTATTCTAAGCGAGTATAATACTTACTATACTCTTCTATATACGTACTTACTAACTCTTAAATCGACTGTAGCTACGCGTAGAAGTCGTCTAGTAGTACAAACGCGTATTAGTACTAGTATATACTAGTAAGTAGTTTAAATACTATCTAGCTATTTACTAATAATAGCTTTTCCGTAGTATCTACTACTACTACTTCCCCGGTTCCTTACTCTTTATTAGTTCTATAAGGGTCGGGTACGATAGATATATATTCTACTACGAATTCGTAGTCTTTAGTTATAGTATAGATATATAATTAGGTATTTCTACCTCTATTATATACTAGATTCTAATAGCTCGGTACTAAGCTACTTACCGGCCTACTTAGATAGGTTTAGCCTAACACCCTAGGCTAACTTCGACGCTCCGCTACCTTATTTGGCTATCCGGAAGTCTATAGGTGACCCGAAACTCGGGACGGATAAGGGGATACCTACCCCACTACCACACTTCCTATTGATTCTGAGACTCGTACACCTGTTCAGACGATCAAATGTCTATAGGGCCCGTGAAGTTCGACATCGGCTTCTGGGGCGACTACTTGGACGCACAGCTCTCATCACTGCCTCCGCTGCCAAGTGTAGAGCGGCTTTCCGATCGGGTCACTCGAATTCTTGGAGGCAACCCGGGGCGCATTGCTTTGCAAGGAACGAATACATACTTGGTGGGTACGGGCAGGAGCCGCATCCTTCTGGACACCGGACAGGTAATTCAGCATGCTATGAAATATGGACGGTGTTGCCATCATTGCCATTATGCTGACTCTTCTTCCATCAGGGAAAACCAGGCTGGATCGACTCGCTTTCCCGCACGCTTGAGTCTCAATCAATACAGATATCGCACGTGCTGCTCACACACTGGCACGGCGATCATGTCGGAGGCATATGTGACCTCGTCAAGTACGATCCTCGACTGGGATCAAAGATTCACAAGTGGAAACCAGATGCTGGCCAACTCGGAATTCTGGATCGTCAAGTGTTCGAGGTAGAAGGCGCAACGTTGGAGGCGGTCCATCTGCCGGGCCACGCACAAGATCACGCCTGCTTCATCCTCAAAGAAGAGAAGGCCCTTTTCACTGGCGACAACGTTCTTGGGCATGGATACAGCACAAGCGAAGATCTCATCGCCTATGTGCAAAGTCTACGGCAGATGCTTGTGCTAGACTGTGGCATTGGTTATCCTGGCCACGGAGAGAGCATCGCGGATTTGGATGCCAAAATCAAGGAATATCTTCACGTTCAAGAGACACGAGAATTGCAGATCTGCAGAGCTTTGGCAGGCGAGGCTAGCGGCAGCCGTCTCTTGCCCTCCCGGATGGGTGTCACCGTGGAAGAGCTTGCCAGAGTCTTGTTCGCTGGCGTCCCGGAGGAGGTACGAAAGTTGTCGGTGGAGCGAGTTCTGTCCGAAAACCTTTGGCTACTGGCAGCGAAAGGTAGCGTCGGATTCAAGGTACAGAACCGAGAACGCCATTGGTATGCAAAACGAGCCCTGACGACAGCTGAGAACTCATCGTAACGAGCAATGTACTTGGAGTCGATCTTCCTCACTTGTTGGTAGAGAAACAGTACACCCGATCTGCTAACGCCATCGAATAACGATACAATCTGAGACTAAACGCGAACCCTCCCACGAGCAGACGACACGCACTGTAGCGACAGCGGTAGTGCCTTGACATGGTAGCTCAATGCTTGGAGCCGTTCACCGGCTCATCATCCCAGAAAGCCACACATCGAAACTCAATACTGGTCCTCTCAGGGCCATGGTCCAGAGGAGACTCGAAAGCCGAATGGGGGGTCCTTCGGACGACTCCATCTTCGCTCGTGTCGAAAATCTTGATCAACAGCGCCTCATCCGGCTGCATGTCCGGGGCAAAATACCATTTGTGTGCATCTGGATTTTGAGGCTTGACAACTTTCCAGGATGCGAAATCTGGGAGTTCTGCCATGTGGGCAGAACCGGGGAATGACTTCTGGATAACCCTGCTGGTCATGATCTCGCGGTAGTCCTCGTCGGCGACGCTACGTGCGTCACAGAGGGCGAGTGGCATGCGCGTGGCGGAGTTCTGGAATGGCTGCCACCAGTTTATCACCGCCCAGCGCGAGTTCTCGAACCTTTCCGCAAACTGCGGACACTTGGCCAAAAAGTTCACCCGAGCACCGTCGTACGAATAGTCGACATGGATCCGTTGGGCATATTTAATAGGCATGGTGTCTTGTTCCTGTGGTCTGACTACTCTGTTTGGTCGTATAACGTGCGATGCCACCACCACCTCCGAGGCACCGGACCTATTCGTTACGTTAGTACCGCAAGGCGGGTAACAGCAGTTACCGATGACCTACGCAGCCAGAATCTTGGGGACAATCGTTGCATAGAACTTTTCTCGAAGGTAAGACGGTTCACTTGACTCAATCCGTCCGATGTCCTGGAGAAGTTGAAAGCCGTGCTCGTCCAAGGTGAATTCTGATTCGTGACCGCGCAGGTTTTTAATCCGAACGTCAGCGACGTCGTACTCGTTTCGGGACATATCGCTCCCTGTGCCGAGCTGATATACTTCCGGGCCTCCATCGAGGTGGTAGTTCAGCTTGGCCCGGATCTCGCTGGCTACAGGAGCAGAATTGTCGATGGTCACAGCCATGGATTGAAGAGTGTCAAAGCTTTAGGGCGGGTCGCCGGTACGAAGATTGGCCGATACGAAATGAGGTTTGTGAGGAAGAAGGTGTCCAGAAGAGCGAAAGGGCTTTATGACTGCCGCGAGGTGAGGTGTACAGTACCGCAGAAAGCTCGTAAGCGACTGAACCGGGCGGCCATGCACAGACGGTCGTGGGCACATCCATTGTTGGGGACATGCTTGTTGTGGCCCGGATCCCACCGGGACCTTTCGTATCCCTGTCCATCCGGGTCAGCATCGATGAAACAAGACTGTGCCCAAAGGAACCCTAAGTGACAATTTGGCCGACGGACGGATAAAGCGAAAGGTGGGAGAGCGAGGATTGGAACAGGGCCTGTCGAAAAGATGCCTGAGCATTCAACTGGTGTGCTCCAGCTTCGGGGCTTCCCAACTTCCTCCTTGCACAAGTCAATTGGTTCAACTTCTTCGACGCATCTGGATCGAAGTCTGTATCATGGCCGACAAATTCCGACTAGTTTGGTTTTGCGACGACTTCTCCATCCAAGACAAACGCAGGTTATGCGACACGATTCAACATCAAGCCAAAGACAGAAGATTTTCCAACGTTGCCGACTTCCTGGATACCGCTTTATCGCTGCTCGAGCAGGAGCTGTGCAGTCACTATGATGAAGCAAAGCAGCTGGGCACGCCTTCCCTGACCACCATCTCGGACGTCTTGGAAATGGTTGACGATCACGGCACGGTTCCACCGACTTTAGGCGGTGCCTTGCAGAATTTCTTGCTAGTCGTGCTGCAGATTGCTCTGTTCATTGGGTGTGGTATCTCCCGAGTCACCCAGCCTGAACAAGTGTGAGATGCTGACAGTATTCACAATAGGAGCCACGAAGCTGAGCAGACGCCATACCCAGGCCTCACATGCCCTTCGCTACTTGCTGGTCTCAGTGCTGGAATGCTCCCTGCGTCCGCAGTGGCGACAGCGACATGCCTATCAGATCTAGCCGTTCTCGGAGCTGAGACTGCGCGAGTCGCGTTCAGGATCGGCATCTGTATCCACCAGATGTCTACACTGCTCGAACCAGCGCATGATGGTCACACTCGTGAGAGCTGGGTCTACGTTGTCACGACGTTGGATTATGACGAGGTAGAACGCGAAATTGCTTCATTCAACCGCGCAATGGTAAGGCTGCATCCCCGAGACCAAGGTCGCTAGCACGTCGCGACCGAGCTCATGAATCCTTCCCAGTCCAACGAGGGTACAACACGCCTGTACATAAGTGCTGTTGACCAGTCCTCCGTCACCGTAACGGGGCCTCCTTCGCGACTGAAGCAGGCGTTCTATACATCTACAAAACTGCGTTATGCCAGATGGACGGCTTTACCGGTGTACGATGGCCTCGCCCATGCACCACATCTGTACGACGCACAGGCTGTTGCGCATATCCTACAGCCTCTGGACCGAAGTCCCCTGCTCTCGAACAAGGTCGTAGTTCCTCTACTATCCTCTCATACGGGGCTGCCTTTCACGGCTCGTGATGGCCGCGAGCTTCTGGCGCAGGTCACTTCGACGCTTCTTTTGAAAAGCATCCGTCTCGATGATTTGCAGAGAGGCGTTCTGGATCATTTCTCGCAGTCCGGCAGGTCACTCTTGGAATTCTCCACGTTTGAAACATGTCGTGGATCACGTCTGGTAATGCAAGCTGTCCAGACGGCTGAGCCCTGCTGTCTCCTAGAGCCAAAGGACCTCACCATCTGGACAACAACCTCGTTCGAGCGTCGTAGTCCTCGTACCCGAAAACAGTCGAAGCTTGCTGTTGTTGGTATGTCTTGCCGTATGCCTGGCGGTGCCGATGATCCCGAACTTCTCTGGAGCCTTTTGATGGAAGGGAGAGATACGTGCGATGTGGTGCCGAGTGATCGCTTCGACCTAGACGCGCATTTCGATCCCACAGGAAAGGTTGCCAACACCACTAAAGTCCAATACGGAAATTTCATCGATGAGCCCGGGAGGTTCGACGCTGCTTTTTTCAACATGTCTCCTCGTGAGGTACCTATTCCAACAAATTCATAGATCTGCGTGGCATACATGAGCTAATTGCTCATGAACGTTAGGCCGATAATACTGATCCGGGCGCTCGTCTGGCGCTTGTGACTGCTTACGAGGCCCTTGAATCGGCAGGCTATGCTCCGAGTCGCACCCGGGCGACCATGCCGGACCGAGTCGGCACATACTTGGGGCAGGCGAGTGATGACTGGCGGGAACTGAACGCCAGTCAGAACATCAACGCTTTCATCGTTCCCGGTGGCGTACGCGCTTTTGCCAACGGACGTATCAACTACTTCTTCAAATTTGGTGGTCCGAGTATCAACATCGATACGGCCTGTTCGAGCGGTCTTGCCGCAGTTCAGGCAGCATGTTCCGCTCTATGGGCAAACGAGGTTGATATGGCAATCGCGGGTGGACTGAATATTATCACCGATCCGGTGGGTTGCTGAACGAAAGCTATAACCCGTATTGTTCGCTATGCTGACAATCCTCTGTATATGATAGGATAACTACTGCGGGCTAGGCGAAGCCGGCTTTCTTTCGCGGACCGGCCAGTGCAAAGTGTGGGACGAAACCGCGGATGGATATTGTCGCGCAGATGGTGTCGGCACTATCGTCGTCAAACGGCTCGAGGATGCCGAAGCAGATAACGACAATGTGATTGCTGTCATTCTCTCTGGAGCGACTAACCATTCTGCTCATGCGCCTTCAATTACTCACCCGGACCCTGGTGCTCAGAGTCGCAACTATCTGAGCGTTGTCCGGGATGCAGGCATCGATCCATATGATGTGACCTATGTGGAGCTACATGGGACCGGTACACAAGCTGGAGATGTTGTAGAAGCTCAATCTATTGAGACAGTGTTCGCCCCGTCGTGGCCACGACAAAAGCGCAGCAAGAAATTGTTGCTAGGGGCAGTCAAATCGAACATTGGCCACGGAGAGGCTGCAGCTGGCATTGCCTCGATGATCAAAGTCCTTCTATGCTTTCAGCACGATACGATTCCCGCACACGTCGGTATCCGAACAAGAGTCAATCCGAACATTTCAAGAGAGCTACTCGGCTCTCAAAACGCAGTCCTGGTGCAGGAGAACACGCCCTGGCCACGACCAGCCACCGGTAGTAGGCTGGCATTGGTCAATAGCTTTGGCGCACATGGAGGCAATACTACTCTGCTTCTCGAGGATGCTCCCATACCGTCCCGTATCGGCAGCGATGCGAGAAAGATCTTTCCGATTGTGATCTCTGCCAAGAGCCGCCATTCCCTCGCGAGGAATCTCCAAAGATTGCGTGACTACCTCGATCAAGACCGAGGCGTACCTCTGGGAGATATTTCCTACACGCTTTCAGCTCGAAGAATGCACCATAACTTGCGCGTCGGCACTGCTAGTGCTAGCCTTGGTGAGGTACGATCGTGGCTGGCCACTGCATCCGCCACCGTGGATACTGCAAGACACGTCCCTGTCGACGGGCACAACATCGTCTTCGCCTTCACCGGTCAAGGCGGATACTATGAAGGTATTGCAACTCAGCTCATTCAGGAGTCCTCTCTCTTTCGCGATGAAGTTGGAAGGCTGAATCAGATTGCCATTGGATTCGGATTCCCGCCAATCGCATTGCATGTTGATGGGCGGAAGGCCTCGACGGAGTACGCGTCGCCAATCGTTACTCAGCTAACGATCACCGTTGTTCAGATCGCCTTAACAGGCTTTCTAGCCAAGCTGAATATCTTTCCGACTGCAGTGGTCGGTCACAGTCTGGGCGAATACGCGGCTCTCGTTGCTTCTGGAATTCTTTCCGCTGCTGATGCCATCATGCTTGTGGGAAAGCGTGCGTGCCTGCTGCAGGAAAACTGCGTCACGGGAGATCACGGTCTCTTGTCGATACGATCCAGCAATGAATCATCGTACATATTCTTCAAGGAAGCCATAGACGGATTCGACGACTTGGAAGTCTCATGCATCAACGACTCTAGATCGTGGGTTGTTGGTGGTGGAGTGTCTAGCCTTGCAAAAGCGCAAACCATGCTCGAGCAACGAGGATTCCTGTGCACCGCGCTTGACGTGGCTTTCGCCTTTCACACATCACAAATGGACCCCATCTTGGACGCATTTGAGGCACTCGCCGAGACGGTCTCGTTCCGGAAGCCACAAGTGCCATACCTGTCCCCCCTGGTACAGCGCACCGTCTTCGATGCTGTCACGATCGATGCGAAGTACCTCAGGCGAGCATGTCGGGAGCCGGTCAACTTTCACGGCGCATTAAGTCATGCGTTGTCTGAGGAAGTACTCGATGCAGATGCTTTGGTCTGCGAGATCGGGCCCCATCCTGCCTTACTGAGCTTCACTCGGGACCTGCTTCCCGGGGCCAGGACCTTCGCCACTCTTGCTAGAAATGAGCCCAATTGGACAACACTAACCAAAACCTTGGTCGGTCTACACTGTGCGGGAGTCCCCGTCAGTTGGAGAGAGCACTTTGCAGAATACGAGAAGGCTCATCGCTTGTGCCGTCTCCCTGCCTACGCTTGGAACGATAGAACTCACTGGATCCCATACGATGGTCATTGGACACTCGACAAGGCTCTGACAAAAGCCTGTCAACCTCTTCCCAATACACAAGCGAGAAAGCCCTCTCTGTCCACATCTCTTATCCATTCTGTGCTCGTAGAGGAGATACATCAAAAGAGGGTTGAACTCGTCACACTGTCTGACTTGGCACATCCCGACCTCCGCACAACCATGACCGGTCATCTCATGAACAAGCACAGTATTGCATCGTCGGTATGTATCCCCCTCAGCCGTCATCGAGATGGCGACATATGGATACTTATACTTTTCAGTCTGTCTGGTGTGAAATGGCACTCGCGATTGGCAGGCATGTGTTCGAACGCCTTGCACCTGTTGGAGAACAACAGGAGCTCACAATTCATGACCTGCAATGCGCCGAGGCTCAGATCCTTGTGGAGCAGCCTCAAATACACCACTGGATTCGACTAGAGGCAACAATGTCGCCTGAGACGCGCAATCTGGGTCTTCGATGGTTCTCAACTGATTCTCAGTACACTCGGCCCGAAGAGCCGTTCGCGACATGTGCCGTGACTATGGACAGGCTGCGCCCTCCGGAGATGAGCTTGTCCATAATGGAGCATCTGATGAAAAGTCGTCTTGACGCGCTAGACGAAATGGTACTTGGCGGCTCAGCGAGCAGACTTTCCAAAGACATGGCCTACAAAATATTCTGCAATGTGGTTCAGTACTCGAATGAGTATCAAGGGATGGATACAGTTGTTATCTCGGGTTACGAAGCATATGCTGACATTCGACTAAGTGCGCGTCCCTTAGGGAAATGGCACACTCCCCCCTGCTGGATCGACAGCATATCGCATATTGCTGGGCTGGTCATGAACGGCAGTGAGCAGTCTAACACGCGTGACTACTTTTGGGTCACACCAGGCTTTGAAGCCTTCACGTTGACGCGAGCTCTGGAAACCGGAACCGCATACCGTTCCTACGTTAAGATGGCACCGACCGAGGATCCAAATCTGTTCGCGGGGGACGTCTTTGTCATGTCGAATGGCCAAATTATTGGTTTAGTGAAGCAGATCAAGTTCAAGCAGATCCCACGCATACTCATGAATGAGTTCTTCTCGCCTAAGGTCAAAGAACCGGCCGTTTCGGATGGTCAAGAGCGTCAGAGACACCATGGTCGCTCGCCTCGTCACAGTACACCACAGCCAGAGAAAGCTCGAAAACACACCCCAAGCGCCATTCATGACTACGTGGATCATAGCTCCGCGGCAACTCTGCCTACACTAGCAGATCAAAGCCCCCCAAGCAGCGAGCCTTCTTTGGTGAGCCGCTTCATACAGCTTCTGGCTACGGAGACTGGCATGAACGAGATAGAACTTGGGGATGATCGCAAATTCACGGAGCTAGGCGTCGACTCCCTCCTGTCACTCCTTCTAACGACGAGATTGCGAGAGAATCTAGGCCTGAAGATCAAACACACGGCTTTTCTAGAGCACGAGACCATCGGCGAGATGAAGCAGTGGTTGATCAACAACTTCTAGGTCTGATTGTATTAGATTGGACAAAGGAGAAGAGGCTCCGTCCGATATTCACCGTCGTCTACAGTACAGTACAAAGGTCAACGAGAGGAGTCCATCCTTTGATCATCGATTCGTATTTCTTGCTCTTGCAGCCAAGTAGTGATCATATTTGTGGCGAATGTTTATGCAATCGTCTAAATAGTGTCAACTGTTCAATCGATTAGCCATGGGTTTTGTGTGTGTGTGTGTGTGTGTGTGTGTGTGTGTGTGTGTGTGTGTGTGTGTGTGTCTGTGTGTGTGTGTGTGTTTTTTTCTTCTACTCGTGGTGCTTGCTCGCAGTTGAACTATCTGCCCGTTCGTTCGTGGCCGTTGATTCCGCCCGCCCCGGACACCAAGGCCTAGGTCAAGAATAGCATTGTCCCGGAGAGCGTCGGTCTGCTCTTCAGGGATTAGACACTAATTCTTGCTTCCGTACCAGGTCTTCCATGTCGGGCCGATGCGTCAAGCTGCTGTACACACAAATCCTCGCCAGCCTGTCGCTGATGAGTAGCCTGCACGTCAACCATCTTTCTCAGCGTCTAATCTCGACTTCCCTTTGATGTCCCTCGCTTCCAGTAAATTCTATCCGTTGCGACTTGCCTTGAAAGATATTCTTGTAGCGTTCAAATTCTCTCGCAAAATCCTCTCCTAGTCCTGCTCGACCGACCGCAGATAAGGAGGATGCTCGGCTTGGCTATCCTTGGGCTTCTAGCAGTCGCCTTGACAGTGAGCTGTGTAAGAACGGCTCAACGCCACGATCTCAGAGACATTCCTGGGCCATGGCTTGCAAAATTCACAGACTTTTGGAGACTCTACAGTACATGGAGGGGCATGTTCACGAAGGACCTCCCGCGCCTCCATGAGTACTACAAATCTCCGTTCATTCGACTCGGACCAAACCTGGTTAGCTGCAGCGACCCGGCCACGATCGAGTACATCTATGGTTTCCATAACCAGCTGCGGAAGGTACGTGGCATCTGAGATTGTCACCGAGGCGCTCTTACTGAAATGCTCGCAGTCAGACCTTACCAAACCGATGGTTCCGATCTTCAAGCGCCGACGTCTACCAACTATGTTTCTCGCGGCCTCTCCCCAAGAACATCAGGCGATTCGTGCACCCGTAGCAGGCGCATACACAATGACCAACGTACTCCAAGGCGAGGGAAGGGTCGATCGCTCTATGAAGGACCTCTTCCAAAGATTGGTCGATCTTTTCGCAAGCACTGGAAGGCCCTGCGACATCCATAATTGGGTACATTACTGTGAGAATCTCAAAACGACTGCCTGGTTACCACTTTGCGAGCTGACTCTGTTTTAGTTTCGGCTGATGTGATGTTTGATCTGACCATGGGCGAACCAATTGGTTTGGTACAGGTATGCCTTTAACAGGATGCCTTGAAGAGGACACATATTGAGCTCATAGTTTTATTCTAGGCAGGCGGAGACGTCGACGGCGTGTTGGATACTATGGCGAAAGAGTTTGATTATCGCGGTCTTGTAAGCATGATTCAATCAGGTAAGACGTGAGTACTACTTCGGGGTAGCTGATGGGCTCGATACAGGTCTTGGCCATGCCGCTTATCGACGACTTAATCAGACTGAATCCTTTCCAAGCGATCTTCAAACCTAACCAAATGCCTGCCAGCGTGAGCCGTGCCTATCGTCTTCTCAACCAAGCGAGGACTATAGGGCTGTCAGGTAAATCAGATGAGGTCAAACCTCGCCCACTCGTATACGACTTCCTACAGGCCGCGGAAAAGAACCCCGAGATTGACGAACCCCAGCTTATGGGATATATCCAACAGAATGTCAGCGCAGGGGCTGACACAACCTCGATCATCTTGCGTACAGCGATTTATTGCTCGCTCAAGTCGCCATGGATTCGGGAAGCGATTCTCAAGGAGCTGGACGCAAACGATGTGCACTCTCCAGTTCCGTATCGTCAGGCCCGTTTCGAACTCAAGTTCTGCGCGGCCGTGATTCGGGAGTCTCTGAGATGGTCTTTCCCATTTGTGGCTCTTATGGAACGACAAGTGCCCGATGGACCCGGTTTGATACTCCCAGGAGGCGTGCGGCTTGCCCCTGGGACTGCCGTTGGAGTCCACCCAGGCTTCGTTCAACGGAACAAAGTCGTTTTCGGACAGGATGCAGACGACTTCAATCCGTTGCGTTGGTTTCCTGGACCAGGCGAGTCCCAAATCGCGTTCAACGAGAGGTTGTCTACCATGGCCGCTAGCGAACTCACATTCGGCTATGGACCTCGTGCATGTCTAGGACGGACGGTTGCCGAGATGGTGCTATACAAATTCATTCCGAGCTTTTTCAGCCAGTTGGACGTATGCGTGCGAAAAGGATGATACATGTTTGAACGGGCTAACGATTCTGCAGGTAGCACTGGTGCGTCCGGACAAAGCATGGTCCATTCGATCTTCATTCGTTGAGAAGCAAAGCGGGATGGATGTTTATTTGAATCCCCGGCACAGATAGACAGCCAGCTGTTCTTCTTGTAGACGAAAGCATTGGCTGCGAGGCATTCGGATGAATTTGCTGTTCAAGCTGAATGACAATGTGTTTGAGTCCCTCCCCTCCCATGCGTCTCTATCCCTTGGCTCTAAGCCTACTGACCTCCAATCTTGAAGAGATCTCAGGTGATCTCTCCCTATCGGGACAGCTGTTCATAGTCGATTCGGAACTGCCTTCAATGGCCCCTCAACCACTTGGATCGAAAGCGGTACGCCCCAGCAATGACGCATAGAATTCCAATCGTGACCGCGCTCGAGTTCAGCGCCCAAATGACATTCTCCCGTGCCAACTTCCTGGTGACGGGATCGACTCTGCTCCTTTTCTCCTTGAACTCAGCGCTTGTATGCGTATGAGGGAACGGCTGATCAGGGATGGGTACATCGAGGAACGAGCACAATGGATCCCAGCCGTCCGACAGGTCCCAACAGAGTCGACGATCGACGGGGATGTTTCCAAGCATCTTCGCGTAGTGGGCGTCATAAGACTTCCGCAATCCCGCTCTCGGATCTTCGGTCATACCTGCTTCGTGGAATCCAGTCACGCGCTTTACCACTTGTCGCAAATCGGCTCGTGCCTGGAGCGCAGGTACCAGCAGACGCCATATCCATCCTACACGTGCTTTTCCCCATAAGTTCTTGGTGTATGAGCTGACCCAGGCGTCAAAATCCCTCTGGTTGACGATGATTTTTGCGTCGGGGTAGATATTGGCCAATTCGTCAGCGACGTGGCAAGCAGGGGAGCCGACAGCGGCCTGCGTCTGCTTTAGCGTTTCTCCAACGATGGACTCGGATATACTGACGTTGAACCCGCAGAATATGTCATTCCATTGCTCTTTTGAGACGTTTTCTCCACGATTCAATGCCTCGAAGGCCTTGATCCAGTCCCGAGACAGATTGGCATCGAATTGGAGGCTCTGATAGTGATGGACCGGACCGAGACCAAGAATGTCGAGCGCGACACCCAGCGCTGAGATGGGAAGAGTCAGATGCCGCCTTTCTGCACTGATAGCCAGCACTCACATGTGGTTCCGCTACGGCCTAGACCGCACGCAATGACCTTCAGTCCGCCGTCTGCGCGCGAGCGATCTGGCAGAAACGTCTTTGACCTTTCGAGTAGAGCAGCGTCGAAGTCCATCGTGGTTCGCTCCGAATAGATCATTGGGGGTAAGTAGAGGCAATCGTTCGGCTGACAACCAAGCAGTAGTCGGGCGAGCCGATGTCATTTGTTCTATTCGTGACCTCGTACGAGAGCCCCTGTCTCGGTCATCCCTGATCCTGCCACTTCCGTCGTTGGCATGACCAGGATAGGTCTGATTACCACTGCTGTACTGTAGCTGAGCTACGACAGCCTTGCACCGGGTCACCCACCCTGATCTCCTTCCTGGCCCGGCCGGCACAATGGACGTAGACCTACCACAGGGTACGGTGTACCAGTTAAGAAGTGGAACTCCAAGGTCGCTCCGTGAGCTCGAAAACCAACCCCGTCTCCTGGACTGCCAGTCATGAGCGTACCCACCATAATTCAACTGCGAGCGTGGACCGACCAAGCCCGATGCGCCTTGCAGAAGACACCATCTCGTGTCGCACTTCTCGGACTATATGTTGCTTTCATTATCTTCTTGAAATCCCTATACTTGTGGGCGCCGCAGTATGACTTAGAATGGAGACTAAACAATCTTCAAGTGCTGGTTGTCGACTATGATGGTGGCCTTTTGGGTCTCCAGCTCAATACTACATACCAGACGCTCAGTGGGCCGACGTTTCCTCACTTTACCTTTTCTACGCAGCACGATTTCGAGACGGAGGACGAGATTTTCCATGCGGTGAAGAGACAATCTTACTGGGGCGCGATCTACACACGTCCCAATGCGAGTTCGCGGATTGCAGCAACTACCAACGAACCATTCAATGTCGAGCAGGGCCTCGGAGAAGCGAATCTGGTATATGTCTGGAACGAAGCCAACTACCCTACGGTAGGCTCCTGGATCAGAAACTCACTGAAACAAGCCAGCGAAGACATCCGGCTTAACTTCGTCTTGTCGCGGACGTTTGCCGCTCTTCCAGTGGGCGATGATATTTCCACGCAGACGGTGCAGGCTACACTGGGAGCGGTCTCCAACGTGCTGCAACCACTCGAGATGACAGCCTGCGCGGGGAAGGCTCTTGGTCAAGCAGCCTTCAATCATCTGGCGATGATAGCGCTCTCGACCGGAAGCGAGGCCTTCTTGCAAATCTTCGCACGTACCATCGTCAGATCTTCTAAAATTCGGGGCCATGTCAAATTTCGACTCTACTGCGTCGCAGGCACGTTTTTCTCCTGCTTCCTCGGTCTGGCGATGACGGCTTCTCCGTGGGTTGTTCGCGGCCGAGCAGGATCGAATCTTGGTGGTCGAGAATTTTTTCTGAGCTGGATGGCACTCTGGGCAGGCAGCATCACCATATACGCCGTCTCATGCGCTCTGCGCACCTGGGCTCAAGGGCCTTTGTCGACGAAACCACTTACGATGATCTGGATGGCCATGAATGCAGCCAGTGCATTTGTCCCGATCGAGATCTCTCCCACTATCTTCCGGTGTAACTGGATCCTGCCAGGCCATGCGGTGTACCGGCTACTGGTGACAGTGTGGTGTCGCGCCGGCACCTGGGAGACTGCTATAGTAGTGCCTGTGCTCGCATTCTGGTTTGGTCTGGGTACGTTTTGCACTTGGTGGGGAATGACAAAAGGGGAAAAGGAAGTTTAACAGACGCAGAGACTAGACATCTCAGCTCTGTCGTCCATGCAGAGCTGGAAAGTTTTCAGAAGCGGCACACGGACCCCAAAGATAGAGGTTGGGCTACCTGAACGTCGTGTAGATAGGTACTGCCCATCGCACAAGACCGGCCCAAGTTGCCGAGCAAACTCTCGAGAGCAAAGACACATCATATGCCCATGGGTTGTTCGAGAAGACGTGAGGCGTGGTGATCATTTCATTGTCCCACGTTAGAACAGCATCCCTATGGATGCAGTCATTTGATCGTTGAAACCATGCCAGGAAGTCCTGAACGAAAGAAAAAGATTCCAAATCCGCAAAATGGTTTTGCCGGTTACCGAAGCGGCACTCGCTATAAGTCGCGACGTACTCTACTACTATAATATCACTCTAGTAAGGATAGAGGATACAGTAGTAAAGCGCGTTTGTTGATTGGTTGGTAGAAGGATTCACGCTAGTAGGGGTTTATATAAATTTTGCTTAGGGCTTATAGGGGTTCGTAAATTAGGATAGATTAACGCTAGTTACTTAGTATACCACTCTATATACAATCTCTACTAAATAGAGTCTTTTACACGCTGTCTACTATTTAAAGTAAGTTGTCTACACCTCTATAGTATACTCTATATCCTATACCTAATTTACTCTATTAAAATCTTATTCTAAATACGTATATAGGCTGCTTTAAGAGCTTA